ATACTTATATAAAATCTTATCGTTATTTAACTTAATCTATATTTTATAATTAACTTTAGGATTTAGAGCCTAATTATTCGGTCGTTTTAAAGGATTTAGATAATAGTACTCGTTATAGAAGTATTTATATCTATAGATATACTTAGGTTTCTTCTATTACTTCTTTTCTTCTTTTAATATACTAAACGCTAAATATAATACTACTTTTACTATTATTTTCTTTAAGTTACGGTATATATCTCTAATTATATTAACGAGATTATATAATAATATATATTCTATTTCTCTTCGATTATAGAACTTAGTAAGTTCTAGATCTACTATACTCGGATATAGAGGTTATATAGTAGAGAGGAAGTCGATTTATACTACGTCTTTTATAGCTTCTATTATATATAGAGCCTTATACTACTTATATAGAGACTTCTATTAATAGAACTATATCTCTAAATCTTTACTTCGTAGTACTTATTTTAAAGTATACTACTTACTTACGAGGCTTTATCTCTTTATCGCGTCTAAGGGTTCTAGATAGTCTCTTAGTATCTTTAGTCGATAATAGAGTATAGACTTATCTTCGTAATATAGGCGATTAGATAGAGATATCGTTCTATTAAATTAATTATTAAGGCGTTAGATTAGAGTAGTTTATTATCGATATAGCTCTAATTAATATTAGTAGTCTCTATCTTTTCTATCTAGCGCCTATTTCTCCTTCTATATAACAGTATTCGATTCGATATAGGGAGGTAGTTTAGGTAACCCTAGTAATAGAATCGGTTCGGGTTAGGAAAGGTCGATATACTACTATAATCCGTTAGCCTATACTTTACTTTTAAAGGCTCTATACTAGTTATTCTAGTTATTAGAAGTACTTAGAATAGAAGTAGTCCTAACGAAGATAGTAGAAGAGCGAGTCGACTTCTCGTAGAATACTACTATTATTTCGGTTACGGTAGAGGATAATTCTATTAATACTATTAATTAGTTCTCGTATTAGAGTATAAGTATTACGAATAAATATATTCGGTTATTAGTCGTTCGTAGGGTAGTTAATCGTAAATCGGGCTTATAACTATTAATAGATACGCTAAAATTATTATATTTACTCTCGCTCTATCTACTTAATAGTATATAGAGTAGTTCTATATATACTATAGAAATCGGAGAGAATACTATATCTTATACGGTCTATAGATTATTCTAGAGAGTGGTAAACCTCGTCGTCGACATCGTTATCGAGCGTTATTTAGGGTCGATAGCGAGGTTTAGGAAGTGCAGCTGACGTAAGTGTTCCTTGGCAGTGGGGCATCGGAGCCGACTGTGTACAACAAATAATAATCTATAGTAGGCGCTACTCCGAGTCTAGCATTGGTGGCTAAAGTTCAATAGTTGATCTGTCTGACGTTCTGACGTCCTGATTGAGCGCAAAAGATGATCTCGATTCCTGTCAGACAAACACACCCTGTAAAAGTACACATGTTACCACATTGAAGGGTCCGTTCTGCCTGGCAAGGCTACAACTACACTCAAGCTGTACGCCACTAAGCCATATTTAACGATGTCATCCTGTGCGGCATAGCCGTGTGCCTCCAGCTGAATCATGGCGTGGCTTGCATTTGGTAGTGATATGTGTCGCTCTTGATACAATCGTCTGAGGACCGACCGCTCTCATACATTCTCGCCATGGCAGTAGGTGATGGTGATTGGAGACTATGAAGAGGAAGCGTCCCAGCCTCGCAGACACCCATGGCTTGTCTTGGGCAGCAGTGCTCTTCTGTGTCTGCCGGGCGTTCGAGACTGTAAGCACGAGGATCAAAACTAAATGGACAACCAAGTGATGCTTTGGGTCGTGTGGTCTGCATACTGCATGGTCACACAAGAGCCACTCAAGGCGGCCTCGTTGGCGCGATCACATTGGCCGAACCACTTCAATCGCAGCCGTTGACAGCCCGGGGGCGCTTTCGAGCCGTCAGTTTGAAAAGGTGCGGTTCGACCATAAAACCGGAGTAGGGGTGGATTGCAAGGGCTAGCAGCCTCTGTGCCGCATGACTGCCCCTTGCCACCGCCGCCATATCACTCTCAACAATCAATGGGATTCACCGACCGTCGCTATTCGGTTGTCACTGGGTGATGCGCATGCTGGCGCCTGCATAGCCACCGAATGACTGATAATCCGATAATAAAAGGACCATGCAGCCGTGGACCTCACGAATAAAGGACTATACATCCCGAAAGGATAACAACAATATCTCAAAGATATCCGCACCTACACAAAGCACTCAATCGCTCGTCTGCGCCAGTCAGCTCTTAAGCGTTATTGTCCATACCTGTCCAGTGCAGTACAGGCGCTCCCCACAAGCTGTTGGCTGATCCAAGGAAGGCCAGTGATATGGTAAGATCCCATAGCTTCCAATCTCTTGGTTGGTGTTTTCGGTGTTTGACATTGCCCAGCCGTCCACGAAGCCTTCCAGTCGGTCGGGCACATGCAAGGTGTGCCGTCATAGTAACGAGGTGCACAGGAAGTGGACTTGCAAAGCTCACCGATGCCGAAAACAGTGGAAGGTGTGCTTTGGAGCTCGTAACAAACCCAGTCTCTGCGCGGGATGCCAGGATCATCCAGGAGGCGGTCCAGAGAAAACAGGGCCAGGAGAGGACTGGCTGGAGAATGCTGCACTCCATGGTAAATGGCCGCACACTGTCCGGGTGATATGTTCCTGGCAACAGGGAAGGGAAAAGAGCTCATTTCCGATTCACACTATGTCAATTACTGTCGGACGCCATTTTTGCTGTGGGAATTGTAACGGAGTGTGAAATCGATGCAGAGGAGAGTGATGCTGCCTCACTAGGCCCATCAAACCAGTCATCAACCATGCCTTCGAGCCACTCATGTTTCCATAACTCCGAGTCTTCTGGCTTGACTCCGTCAATCAAGGTGTAAGCGAAGATATTGCAGGTTGCGTATTCAGATAAATATTCGTCGCAAGAAATGGGCTCGTGAGTCTGCCGAGCGACAAATCCGCAAGCGCGCCGCCAAAGATTCATCCTCGAAGAAAGGCTAGATAGCAAAAGTATCACATGGCAAGCAGAGGTTGACGGCGAAATGTTGGCTTTTCGTGACAGCCCATAATCCTTTGCGGTCCGCTCGTGGCAGCCTTGCCAAATCCAATACTTGTAAGCAAATGTATGTCCACAAAAGGCATGTTTCTGAACCTCGATAGAAGTGCTTCTGATACGGCTCGTCCCAATGGGTGGCCAGGGTACTTGTGGGAGATGATTGTACTGGGACGATTGTCTGTTGCTGATGTAGAGCAAACGTATTTCATCTTCACGACGAACGTACTTCTGACCCTTCTCGGCTTTGACGGGGGCTTTTCTGTGGTACCGAGGGTCCATAAATGACTGTGGCGACTTCGCCCATTCCACCGTCTCTAGAAGGATAGGTGCACCATAACCACCGAGATCTTTCGAAAATGTTGACAACAGGCCTGTTATTGCCGAGCCCAGCCAGAGGGGGGCAACATTCGGCCGACGCATAGCCATCATGTGAACGATAATATGGCTGCTCTTTTCACGTAGTAGATCCGGCACCATATGTTCCAAAACAGGGCAAAGCCACTGGCCGACGACGTTACAGGCTATCCCAGGCTGCCAAAGAGAGCTTCCCATGCAGGAGAACACGGCGCTATCGAAACAGCTGAAGGCCATGAAGTGAGGAAGATCGACGGTAGAGGGTAGAAGTCTGGTCAATGTGGAGCGTGGCCTTTCCTTCCTGGAAAGAGCCGCCCGGAGCCGGGGCAGTACCACAGGAGCCTGGCATCTTTGCCTTGGGGGCAGCGTTAAAGCCCCAGAAAATCCTGCCAGGAGTTGATCGACGGCATCGTGCAGTTTGGCGAAATCGATGAGGTATTGTAAGGCTTGCCCGGAAGACGGGGGGTTGGCTGTAGCGAAGGATGAATTGTCGGTAGACGGCGAATGGTAAATCTTGATCTGCCCGTCGTTGTTGAATTTCAGGTGGCACGCCCATGGTGCATGGAAATCATGTCCCGAGCGATGAAGGACAGCCTTCCAACCGCATCCACCGGCAAGGATGGCCGCCCACCACCGGCATGCTCCTCGGTCGGCTTTCCCAACCGATATGGCGGCTCCATCGCCCTCGAAGAACGGCTGTTCGCCCGTGATCAACGGAGCCTGGGCTTCGGTGTAGGTGATTCTGTCATCCCCAGACTTCCTGCGGAGTTCGACCAAACGCGCGGAAAGAACATAAGACCAGCCAAGGACGAACGCGCAAAGATAGTTGCCTGTTTTTCCCTGGGCACGAAAGCCTTGGAATCCAGTCCATTGTAAGGTGGCTTCGGTGGAAAGAGTGCAGAACTGGGGCTCAGACGTCCCTATCTGTACTTCAACAGCACGAGAACTTTTCGTCTCGTTCGAAAGGTCGCATTTTGTGGATCCGAGACCCCAGACAGAATAGCCTACAAGATCGAGTGACTCTTTGTTGCTGTCGACTATCTCCTCGACATCCACATCGGCGGCCGGTATAGCAGGAGTCTTGTGTAGGAGGCTGTGGATGTTGGCGCAGGAAGAGGGAAGGCTGTTGGCAGCGCGTGCACAGGCAAGAAGCGCGCCCCAGTGACGCTGTGATTTCTTCAAGACTGCTGAAGCCTCTTTAGCAGAGGGACGAAGTGGATCGTCGCCGGATGGCTCATGAGTCGAGGACATCGTGGATCGAGGACGACGATGATGAGACGCGCGGTACTAGTATCTCTGGTGGACGCGTCGACCGGCAAGTAGGAAGGCAAAGGTGTCTTTCAGTGGGGAAGAGCCTCTTTGCTGACAGACACTAGCACAGAGCTACGAGGACAGTAGTGTTGCTAATTGCTCGTGCATTGCCTGTTGTCGTGCGCTATCCGGGTTAGCACCGCAGTTAGTTCAAGCGCCGTCAACACTGGCACCGCACGTGCTTACAGCTACCTTGGCCTGCTGAGTCAGCGAGTTCGAGCACCTCCAACTCGAATTCGAACCTCGCATCCGTACCTACAGTTGCCATAGGTACTCCCAAGCAGCGGTTAAGGTATGTATACCTAGACATGTATGTTGATCAAGCAACTACTGCGTGACCACGAGTTTCTTGGTATTGTGTCACACGGTGAGGGTCTTTCAAAGTATGCTTCCATCCAGTAATAAAGGGACTTCCAAGACTTCGACGATTTTCATGACTACCTTGCCGTATACAGAGTCATGGCCAGCTTTCCTGCTACTTAATAGGTGAGGCCCGGCTCACACCACCAGCGGCCTCAACCCCTGCCGGCGGGCTCACAAAACCCTAAGCCTGGGTACTCGAGGTCATACTGCCCGCAGAAAGCGCACATGTGTCCAAGGGGCTTCGTCCTGCAGTCTTCGTTGTTGATACACAATAGAACGCGGCATGGAGGATCCTCTGGCCCGTCGGTCGATTCCTCGCCGGGCGGGGTGGAAATGCTGCCGGATTCGGAGGGGAAGATATTCTGACGACGTCTTAGACGGTGATCGACATCGACAACCTCCCCTTCGTCTGTTGACCCGAATCCGTTGCGGACGACCTGACGACGCCTCAAATGTTGGTCGGCATTGACAACTTCCTCTCCGTCTGTCGAATCTTCGCTGGACGAGACGGGACTGGTGCCGAATTCGGAGTCGAGGATATTCTGACGAGGCCTCAAAATCTGGTCGATATCGACAACGTCCCTACCGTCCACGATGTTCTGCGGGCTTCGTCTCAGGAACTGGCCGCCACGATTGTTGTGTGCATCATAAGCTCGCTTAATCTGGTCGGGATCCAGTTGACGCCAGTCAATGACTGTGCCATCGCCGTCGTACGATCGAAGAACGCCATCGTCTCCCAGTTGAAAGATCCCTTTTGGATCCGAGACCATGGATCCTGCGATGGTATTGATGCTGCCTGCCTCGTATCGTAAGGTTGAATTCGAGGCTCCGACGACCTGAGGGGCTGCATCGGCCTTTTATGTGGCATTCTTCGTTAGCTAGATTGTTGCATTGTGCCCACCGATTCCTGGGGTGTGAACGCATATATACATACCAAATAGAGCTGTATAGCCAATAACAGAACCAACTTGATAGTGGACTGTAGCTGCATTGTGGGCTCACTATAGACTGAATGTGTTGTAGTGCTGCGTTCAAAATGAATGTTTCAGACGGTAAGAAGAGAATCATCCAGAAACGTAGAATATCGTTCTCTCACTCCGACTTTATAGACGACGGTCCTCCGGTATGCGCATGGAATAACTTCACTTCGTTCCTATTCACGTCCATAAACTGAACTGTTGCCGACGTAACTGGGGTGCGGCGTGAGGGTCCTGCCGGCAGAAGAGAAGCGAGCTGATCGTAACCGGTTGTTGGACATGAATGGTCATCCTTGGAGGCTGAGCTGAGCATCTCCCCAGCGGTTTTCGAGGATGAAGACGTCCAAACAGTGACTATGCATATGGAGCGTCCACCAAAAAAAGGCTCCTGCTCATGACCTGTACCGTGGACCGTGTAATAGTCCGTGTCTGAAATGAAGCGGGAGCTTATCACCATAACTCACCGGATGCGACAGGAGAACAGTGAAGATTTGCATTTTGGCAAATTCCGGTCCCAGAAAGGAAGGGGAGAGCCACTGCATTGACACAAGCGAGTTGACTGTGGACAAGGGGCAGTCTGAAGACAGAACGTGACGGCAGAATAGGGTTTAAAAGAAGGCACCGTGCCATCAGCCCTACAAACCGAAGGATCATTCCCCCTTAGGAACAGCAGACTTCTGTTTGCATATGGATCAGGTCAATTTCAGCCCAAGTGCCATGGTGAGCATCGTTCATAGTCAATTTGCATCAGAACGCTCGATTCGTTTGAGGAAACACCTCCATGGCCTCTGTGACTTTCCTGATCATCTCGAGCTGTCTGCTTGTAATGTCTGGACAGTATTTATAGCCCATATTGGGAAATGAAGAGATGGTTGGACAAGGGCCTCGGTTTAGAATATGACGATTGAGTTGTAATGAACTCCTTGAATGAGTATGCCCAGGAAGTGGGTGGAGTCCAATGACACGGAACATCAATCCGAGGGAGGACTGATCCTGCGTGGTGCTCTTCAATTTTGGTTGCAGTAATCATGGTGATATGCGGATCTCCTGACACTGGCTCCATCCACCGGGTAGTTTCATGAACCCTGGCCAAAGCCGCCTGATTACCATGCCGAGTTCAGGACAGACCCAGATGGACGAAAGAACTGAAGAGCATGCACCAACTCGTAGAAGCACGAAGCAGACCTACCTACCAAGGTATAAAGTGGCCGAACTGCTGCCCTCCGCGGGTGTCCGGTGAAGATATGAAGGAAGGGGATTTCGACTCCGAGTCGACCGCAACAAAATAGGGCAAACCTCCGCTATCGCGTGTTAGTCATCATTGGCGAGCAGAAGACGCTTCTCTCGTTAGAAATGCGGGAAGTCAGGCAAATCAAGGTGAACAACGCCGCCCGAGGGAGGGACGGATTATTCTACAGTTCGTAGATGGTTTTTGGCCTTGGTGCCGACTTGTCCATATGCATCGGCCAGCAAGTCGCTTGCACAATGTTGTACAGTAGGTAGTATGCTGCGACTTCGTCTAATATTCACCTGAGTGCCTACCCTCATTCTCATAGTATGAGGTTAGCTTCACAGCCGGGCATATGCCGGAAGGTGGCAGCAGCGAATAAAGGCACATGCTCTCTGTGAACAGTGCTGGGGTGTCTCAGACCAATGGCTTGGAGCTGTTCTTTCAGGTACCTACACCTGATACACAGTCGTAAACAAGTTCTAGTCCCGACCTTTGGCGGGCCCCTCTTGAACATGGCCTTCTTTAACTCCGCAATATCAGACAGGTGGTGTCAAGTAGTGCGCAATCAGCTAGCTGGTTATTATCGTTCGTCCTAATTACTTGTAGTCTGTGTCAGACATCCAGATTCACATGCCGATTTACTATGGCGATGCAGATAATGCGGAGATAGGGCAGGTTTCACTTGGGTGTGATGGTAGCGGAGTGACTCACCCAGAGCGGTGGTAAGGTAAGCGTGTATCAGGAGACCGATTTAGCAGATGTTTGCCTCCACGGCTGACCGACGGCGCCAGGTTGTTGGTACTGTGAGTATCGATTCATCATAAGAGGAAGTTTCTCCTAGGTGTTGTTTCGTTCTGCCCCTGCATCCTTGGAAACACACTGTCTCGCAGTACGCCAAATCCAATCACTACCTTTCACCCAAACCCAAATCCTCAACTTGTGCTCTTGCGACAGCCACCAAACTGCAGAAAATCAGCCCCTTGCTCGACCACGATGTCTGTTTCGGCGTGCTGTCTCCAGGGATTCAAATGGGAAGGGACCCCTGACGGCAAGGAAACCAAGATCGCTGGTCTCAATGCCTACGTGACAGGCTCTAATCCCGACGCGGGCGTCCTAGTCATCGCCGACCTCTTCGGTTGGAAGTTCCGCAATGCACGGCTCCTGGCGGACCACTATGCCCGCGAGGCCAATGCGACCGTATACGTACCTGACTTCTTCGGGGGAGAAGAGCTACCATTCGAACCCTTAGCTGAAAAACGGTTCCATGAGATCCCTGACCTGGAGGGCTTCCCCAAGCGCAATGGCCGCGAGGTGCGTGAGCCCGAGATCTTCGCGGTGGCCAAAGAGCTGCGCAGCCAGTTCAAGAACTTGGTCGCCGTAGGATTCTGCTACGGCGGCTGGGCCGTCTTCCGTCTAGGTGCTCGCAAACACCAGCCGCCCTTAGTAGACGCTGTCGCCGCCGGCCACCCGAGTCTCCTAACAAAGCAGGATATCGATGAGATCAGCGTGCCTGCCCAGATCCTCGCTCCGGTTCTGGACCCGGCCTATACCCCGGAATTGAAACAGCACACATTCGAAACGTTGCAGAAGTTGAAGGTGCCATTTGACTTTCAATTCTTCCCTGGGGTCGAGCATGCGTTTTTGATCCGAGGAGACTCGAAGAAGCCAGGAGAGAGGAAGTCAATGGATAGGGGAAAGAATGCTGTAGTTGGATGGTTAAGCCAGCACTTCCAGGCTGAATAGATGAGACAAGCAGAAAACAAATGCAGTCTCATCTGCGGTTTTGGGAAGAAACCTCTTGATCACCTGCCACTTTCTGACTTCATTGAATGGTACATGAGGGCAGCATTTGTCTCGAGGCAGAGATCATGTTGCCCATCTTATCAGGAAGCCGTCATTCGGCAGGACGTTTGAACCGAGCAGTCCCGAGTAGGACGAACATGCTTGTTCGAGAAGCTAGAATGCCATGTCGGAACGTGCCTACTGATAGATTTAGATATCTCGGTTTCGACCCGTTTCATCTGCCGAATACCTGTAGTCCGAAGCTGATCATGGTAAGAAAGCACCTACTGTAAGGCATAGGAGGCTGTCAGGAATAGTACCCCATTGTGAGGATCCTGACGCATGCTAGGAAGAGGTAACTTGAAGAAAGCGATACGTGCTGCACTTTTCCCACGGTCGGCTCCATACCAACCAGATTAGGTTTGGTGCTTGCTGAGAATAACATAGCATACAAACCCACACCACCAAATTTTGGTGCAAAATGCTTCCGGAACTCGAGCGAGTTTCAGTGAGGCCTGTTGGTCTAGTCGTATGATTGTCGCTTCGGGTACACCCACCTCAGGTTGAAAAAGCCGTGAAATGTGACAGGTCCCGGGTTCAAATCCCGGACAGGCCCCGAATTGTTTTTGTCGTTGGCACCCACCGCAGTCGGTGTTGTAGGATTTCTTTTTTGCTGCATTGGCAAAAAGTCGATCGATGATGAGTGAAAACAACCTGAGCAAGGTGGCTAAATAATTATTTCAGGCAGATGATTTCGTGTGCGACACGGCCTCGGAAAATAGTACCTACAACGCAACGTTAAGTTGCCTGTAATAAGGCAGTGAGCAATATATCCCCGACCTACTAGTACATTTGTTAGTCAACTTCAACGGGACGCCTGCGCTCCATGGGTTGCGACATGCTGTGTCCAGCCTACTGTTATTACGATGCGTTTCATTCTTCCTTTCCTTTAGCCTGATATCAAGCCCATGATCATGCGGACTGCCTGGCATCAAGGTGATGTGGCTTTACACGGGCTCGTCCAAACGCGCTGACAGAACCTCTTCCGCATCTCCGACCACGAGTCGCCGCCATCGAACGTCGTCATCTACTACCAGTTCTACAACCACTACGCGGCCAACATCGCCAGGCTCGACACTCGCCGAAGTGCTACGCAGAAACCCGTTCCGGGCGGGCTCCAAGGAGACAGTTTCACAGATACCAGAAGAACAAGATGCATCAGTCTTGCTCAACAAGGATTTATTGGTCCTCGCCGAATTCTTCCCGGATGTGAAGGTCGAAGTCCTCCGCGAACTGCTACTCCGGTTCGACGGAGACAGCAGACTGCCAATATGTACGGAACAACTCTACAAGTACAAGTCAGAATGGGCCAAAGGGCGGCTGAACGTGCCGCCGAGAGGCCAGGACGAACCGATTCCTGCCCATGAACTGTTTCGCACCAAACAATATGTGGACGCAGTGAAATGGGCTGTTTCGCGGGAGTTTGCGGGCTTGAGCAGGAGTGCGGTCGAGGCAGTACTGGCGGAAGTGAATTTCTCGTACACCGATGCACGACCGATCTTGCAGGGTCTGGCGAGTAAATCATGGAAAGTGACGTTTACGAGTATATTCAGGAGGAAAGGCGGACAGGATTCGGTGCCCCCTTCACTACTGGATAGGACAAGAGCCGACCCGCAGCATCCAAAGTTGCTCGCATCGGGGAGCGAAGAACTTGATAAAGAACTGGCGGCGTTGTTTAAGCAACACGTTGTTCAGGGAAGGCCCAAAGGCCATGAGACGGACGACTTGGAACTGGCGCAGGCACTCAACCAGCGCGAAGCCGAAGAAGCAGGGGCCCTTTTCGAGTGTCAGGTCTGCTACAACGAGGTCGCGTTCGAAGATGCCGCTATGTGCACACAGTCCGAACACACCATTTGTCTAGAATGCGTGCGGCGAACGGTCCATGAAGCCATCTTCGGGCAAGGCTGGGCGAAGTCGGTTGACGTCGAACACGGCACTCTGAAATGTTTGGCTGCGGCGTCTGCTACAGATACCTGTGACGGACGCATCGCGCAGGACCTCGTGCGCAGGGCAGTCTTGCGCGAAAGATCCGGGTCTGAGACGTGGACACGCTTCGAGGACAGACTGGCCGAACACAACCTCCAACAATCGGGACTACCCCTGCTCCGGTGTCCGTTCTGCTCGTACGCCGAGGTCGAGCAAATCTACGACCGCGACACGGCGGCTTCGGCGCGCACATTGACCTGGCGCCTGCGCCGACCGAGCAACGTTGATACATTCACTTTCATTCTTTTACTCGAGCTCCTGCCAGCTTTGCTTTTATTATTGATCCCGCCCATCATCCTATTCCCCAATTACTTCGCCACCCTATTCTACACTGCGTTGGCACACCTGGCTCTTTCGAAACGCACGACCCGCTTCGTCTGCAAACGACCAAGATGTGGGCGCAAATCATGTCTCAAGTGCTTCAAGGCATGGCACGACCCCCACGTCTGTCACGAGCCTCTCATCGTGTCGTTGCGCACGACCGTCGAAGCCGCACGCACCGCGGCCGTCAAACGAACCTGTCCGCGCTGCGGAACCAGCTTCGTCAAATCCTCGGGTTGCAACAAACTTACCTGCGTCTGCGGGTATAGCATGTGCTACCTGTGCCGAAAGAACATTGGCAAAGCTGGCGGCGGTGGCGCGGGTGGAGCCGCTGGCGGAGGTTTCGAAGGTGAAGGATACCGCCATTTCTGCGAACATTTCCGTCCGCTGCCGGGCATGAAATGTACCGAGTGCGACAAATGCGACTTGTACCAGGCCGAGGATGAAGACTTGCAAGTCCTGCGTGCTGGTGAGGAGGCCGAACGCCTGTGGCGCGAGCGCGAAGGCATGGTTGGCGTTAAAGGTCTGGAAGACGCCGTGGGGAATCTTGCTGGCGAAGAGAATTCGCTTTGGAAGCGCGTCCGTGACGGTAGATGGACTGTCCAGGGCGTCGTCGATGCCGTGGTTGAGCGCTGTGTCGTAGTTACTATTGATTAGCACAAAAAGATTCACAACGCTGCAAGTGATGGCAGTTAAGGACAAGAAACCAGGGCGCAAAGCAGACACGCAAGCAAGCAAGCAAGCAAAGCTCGTCAACAAACACGAGCAGTCACTGCAACGAGCTGTGGAAATTTTATTCCCGGTGGAGTTTGAAAGCAAAGCGTTGTTGGACTCGGATTGGATTACTAGTACATGGATGCGGATAGATATACCCCCTTTTTCAGCGAGGCGATGCGTGGCATGGCATTGATACTTTAAATTGAACCGGTCTTCACTTTCACCAAAGTCGCTTGCGTATGCATACCACCATGTCCTAGTACTGTATTCCGTCCCATCCCTATTCTTTCCGCCATGGCTGTCGTCCACGTTATGAATGAAAATTGGAATACTTGCGAAAGCGGTCGCAAGATTGCATAGCCTTGGTCGTAACAGACAAGAATATATTAGGGCTTGATATGACCCTCAAGAGCAGACGACTAGCATCTCCGTCTCTTGAATTGGGGTGGCACGTAGGATGTACGTACGAAGGGAATATCATCGATATAGGCCTTCTATACAGAGGTCCTGGGGCTCCGTAGCACCTAGGTGGTTTGCATCACTTTGAGATGTGTTGAAGCGAAGAAGTTGGATCTTCAATCTTCCATGTCAAGACCAACCCCTGAAGAGGTAGTATTGCTCAATTGCGATCGCAAAGCTGAATGCGTGGCAGAAAGTCACCGACATACAGGACCAGATTTGATAAGGACGGTGGAAGGGACAGAAAAACTTGCTTTCGACAAGTCAGTGTCGGTAACGGAGCACACATCTGTAAAATTGTACAAGGAACATTGAGCAGTCCTCGAAAAAATGGATCTCTACACGGTCGCGTCCTCCACCGATTTCGACCATAGTCACACGTTCTAGATTTGTACTCAGCCCCAGTCACTAATAAGGACGTGAGGTGTCCAGGTGAGCTGGCCGTGCGGTAGACAGCAAAAGGAAACATACGGTAGTGCGACATCTTTCCACGTATTGAGGAGCATGTACGCGATCCAGGCGGCTTGAGCAGTGCGCGAAAGAGCACGGAAAAAGGTCGTTCATTCACTCTCGCGTCAGCCCTATAATTCGGGCGTCGTCGGCCATTTCTCGTGTCTTGCTTCTTCCATCCAGCTCATTCGGTCTCCTCATCGCTATTTGCTTTTCGCCAGAAGGATGGTCCAAGAACCTTCCATCGTTTCAGCATCTCGACCGAAACACTCCACACATTTGGCTCGTGTTGCTGCAGGACTTGCAGCGTCTTGGGCCGTATGGCAAGGGCATCATGGCTCGTCACGCAAAGGCAAGTAGCCTGGAAGCGCAATCCACGATCATCAAGTGGCGTATTCTCGTAAAGTAGCCGTAATGGTTCGTCGAACCCATCGTAGTCGCAGGCAGTTTCAGCATCTTTCATGAACCGCGCTGAAGCCTCTGTCTTCAAGCCTGGTATACCAAGCATATCCGCACAGGCGTACAGCAGGGCGTTGATTTTGGGGGGATGCCGCAAGCCTAGATTATCGATCATTTTGATCCTGTCGAAGATAAAGTCTTTGTAGCGGTCATAGTCCTCAGATCCAGACATCTTCATATAGAATTCGGGAAGGGAGACTTCATCGTAGTCCCCAGTGTACATGAAGAGAATGGCTCTCGCTATGATAGCGGGATGCAGCTCTGGGAATTTGATCCGGCCACTGGATGCCTCCTGCATATCCCTTGTTGGTCTTTGTACCCGATGGTGACGCTGTGAGCTTTACCTCGAACTGCCCGCTGCAGGCGGCGTCTAACATCGGAGACTGCGAGCAGACCACGGTGCGGTGGACATTGAACGCGAATCCTTGACAATCGATGATGAGGTCTGAAAACTTGCCGCTTGTGAGAAGGTCACGATAGACAGTGGACGGAATGTTGGCCATTTTGATTCATGCAGGGCCTGATCGCGGCCATACGATTGTAGATGACGCGGAGATGCTGCTAAGTTTCCAGAAGTCAAAGAAGACAACACGCTCAAGGTACAACACGTAGGTGAATGAAGAACCGGCAGTATCCCCAGCCTTGGCGACCATCAAGACATAGAAGTTAATGAAGGCACATCCGTAGGCTTCCCGTTGTCATCAGCATCCGAAGGCGGTGTGAGCATGGCGGCCTCCGGTGACGCAGTAGAAGCCTCGACAGAAGGCTCCGCCGTCGTGACAGGAGCCGGCAACTTGTTCACAAATCCGGGGTCCGGAGAAGGCCATGCATAGTCCACCCACTGCGGTCCGATGACTTCTCGGATACCCTTCGCAAGGACACGAATGGTCTGACGGCGCAGTAGAGACCATTCATGGTCGGTGATGGCGTCCGACGGAGTAATGGTGCCCGGCTCAGCGTCGAGGTCATCAGCCAAACCGTCAAGCACGCTCCTCCACACTCGCAATGTCTCGTCTAGTTCTTCCATATTACTCACGCCCATCACGGATACCCCGAGCCTCTCTCGAGGAAGATTGAGGGCACGACCGTAAGTGGCATCATCATCACCCAGCGGACTGCCCAATGCCCCTACCTTGGAACCCTCCCGCAGCCAATTCTCAAGAGCAAAGCGCACCGCCACTACTTCCAGTTTCTCGCCCTGGCTGTCCGCCCATTTGCCGGCGTCAATGCAGGCTTGTCGCAGAGCATCGGGCGCGGGATGCCAATTGCCCATGGCACCAACTGGAGTTCCATTCCTCCTTAACAAGCCCATTCCCAAAGGACTGGCATTAGTCACAATATCCACACCAGCAGATACGAGACGCTGAAGACCATCCGAGAGCAGCCTGGTATTCTGAAGTGTGAAGTTGGCATACGACTGGACGACATCAATGGGTTCCCCGGTCTCCTGAAGGATCATTTCGGCCAATTCGCACAGAACATGGACGGGGTAACCGGAGATGCCAACATATCTGAGCGTCCCTTCTCCGTCTCGAATGCGGCGCAGCTCACGAACGGCGGTTAAAACCTCCTGCGGCGAAACGAACTCGCAGTCATGGCAGTAGACAACATCGAGATAGTCGGTTTTCAGACGCTTGCAGCTCCGCCGGACACTCTCTCTAACCCATGCAGGAGAATAGTCGAAGCTGTCGGAGGCGACTCGACCAACTTTGGTGAGAAGGAAATACTGGTCTCGTGGATAATGACTTCTCACTATCTCCGAGTCCAATGCTGATCCGAGAATCTCTTCGGCGGGCCCATAATAAGGCGATGTGTCAAAGGCACGAACGCCCTGCGAAAGTGCCTTCTGAACAAGAGATGTGGTGCTCAGGGCATAAGGATCGACGTTATACTTGAGATGAGGGTCAGCGGGGGCTCTTTCTCTGTTGGATGGTCACTAATACCTGGTAATTGAAAGTGGCGGTACCAAAAATCAGGGGAGGGAGTGAGTCAGACAGCGGCGCTGTCGGTCTGGGCATTGTCACGGTCGGCCCCAGCAAGAACAACCTGTGTCGTCTGAGGGCAAGGAGAGGCAAGAATGAACAAACAAGTGAAAAGGACAGACGGGGAGGATTGAGGATGTTTTATTTATTCCACTGTTTCTAGGAGCGGTCAACGCCAGTAAATATGCTGTGCTATGCATCTGCCATTGTTCCCTGTGGCGCGGTCTTTTTTTCTCCAGCGAACTCGGATCTGACTAGACTCTGGCCATCCGAATCGCTGGGCGGAATTGCGAGATTCTGGTGGGGCGTGGTACCTGCGCTGAAGCCAACGGACGAGCGTCTTACGGATGCTAGAGGCGCAAGCTAGGGACAAGAAGGAGACCGATTGCCGCGCCTAGAAGCGTCTCTTTTGGGGAGCTGATGCGAGCATGGATGAGAGCGTCCATCTGGCTCGTCGATCGAACGGGTCGCTGCTGAATCAGAGAACGAACCGAAGAACGAGTCGAGATAGAGCTGCGGTCCGTTTGCCATGTGAGGCCTGCCGTTGCACAAAAAGATACTAGCGACGCGATAACGCAGCCTTGACCGCGATGGCGAGGCAGAATCAAGCACAACGCCACTGAGATCCATGATACGTCCAGATGGCCCCAAGGACCCTGCTTCTCCCACTGCATCGTCACGTAATCAACCTGACGCTACTAGGTATTTCATGCACTCGAGATACATTACAGTACTTCCAATCGCCCAATGTTAATTCTCCTATACATCTTTCGACCTAATCCAGAGTTATGCGTGTGGCAATCGTACTACGGAACAAGTGAAACAGCCACTGCCACAACAAACATCTTCTGGCCTCGTCCTTTGACGCATCAAAGTATGGTCGTTGTAGGCAAGCAAGAGAGCAATTCTTCGCTATAGAGTTGCCAGGTCTGCGACGCCCATCTCATGGCTGGACTGGCAGGTAGGATGCGTTCCAATTAAGCCCAGGGACATTCCCTTGGTCCGTCACTGCCCAGAGACATTTTCTCTTTTCCGTGGCTCTTGATTCTGAGTGGAGAGGCTTATATCGATGTCTCTCCATACTGTATCGGCTTCTCTTGCGTCCATTTGCTTTTCAAGGACAACCAAACATCTATCCATGCAGATTGTCCGCTGTCCTCTGCTAATCTCTCCGTCCAATTCCGAGTTTGCTTAGGCTCAACGCATCCGCTAGTATTCCAAGCCATCGGCTCGCCCAGAAATTCCGACACATCGCTCCAGCTTTTATTGTACAGTCCGCAATGCGATAGTTACACCCCAACGCCGTCCGCTATGCATGAAATATCGACAATCGGAATGGAGAAGGGTTCGAGGGTTGTAGGAGATCCGTCCATGCCCGTGGGCCATCAGCCGGGTCACCGTCCTTTGGCAGACGGGTTAGCACAGAAGATCAATCTCTGTACATCTTGGGCTTCCAACCTTCTTTGATTTCCTTTTCTAGAGCTGCTTTTCGCTCGGCAGCCCTGGCTTCCATTTCTATCCGTTCCCGCGCGCGAAGAATCTTGCTCTGAAGGTAAAATGATCCGCCGCCACCCTTTTTGGGTTCGTTGAGGTCGTAAAGCTTCTTAAATCGTTCCATAACTTGTTCCATATTGGCGACGCCACCTTGCGGAGGCTTGACGTTGAGGATTTTGCAGGCTTCGTCCAGGGTCATGCCGGAAGCAGCGGCGGTATTGACGGCGCCGGGGTCGCTCTTTGCAGCCGCCTTTGCATATTGAGAGGATGCTTGAGCTTGTTTATATGCTTCTGCGAAAGCTTTGCCGAATACACGACCGCCCGTGAGGACGATCTGGGTTATAATTCGATGCGCCTGCGAGAGTTAGCGACATTGAAACATCGGGATGACTGGCACAAAATGGCAATGCAGTAACTCACCATTTACTCCTGTGAACACCGCGATGCCAGTAAGAGCGACTATGGGCGACAAATAACTGTGCGACACGTTGCCGTTGATAGATGGCGGGAAAGAAATCTTTTGGATAGCAAGATGCTCTCTGCTGCACGATGCAGTTCCACCAAATTTCCCCGAATAATAATTGATTGCTTTGGAGAACAGCCTAGAATCACGTGAGGCAGTGTTCCTTTGCCATCTCGGTTGCTGACGTCGATTGACTGGGCGAGTGGCCGGACTCAACCGTCTGCCTGGGAGTCGGAGCGTGCACATGCCTCGTCGGCTCATCGTCCATCCACCGCTTCAAGAAGGCCAGATGGGTTGTTACTCGACTGTGGACAATGTCTACACCAAGACTTGTAGGATTTTGTCCCGTTGTCCTGCCAAACTCCAGCACTACTAGGCATCGGCGGTTTGCCTAGACGGTGTGACGCGCCACTTGCCTTTCGGCCCTCTACAACATTGTAGATGAGCCCTTATCCTTTGCATGGCAGCATTTGGTGCATACCACACCCTTCATTAAGCCCAGGTGATGAAACTGACTATCACTTTGCTCTAGAAACACCTTGGATCTCATCAATGTCCAGACCAGTCCCTTCTGCGTCGTCGACTGATCCCTCCAGCTCCCAGCAGGCCTGGGACCCAAATCCTCCTACCTATGCAGCGTTCTCACCCTCCTCCACGTCCGGTTATTCCGCGACATCGAAGCAACGGTCGACAATCATAGTACACAAGAAATCTCCTCTGTTGGTCGCAACGCCGCCGCAGATCACACGAGCGTTGGCCCATTCACATCCCTTCTTGCTGCCATTGAACAAACTTGCTGGACTATTGTCATGGAGCACTCCAGATCCCTGGGAATCATACCTGCTGGTAGCCGCATTCTGGGCGGTCACTCTCTACGGCAGGGAAATCATTCTCTTCGCAAGTCCTATCATTGTGGTAGTCGGTCTCATCTTGGCCATGTACTGGAGACGGTACTCGCCTCTATCATCCACCAGCAGAACTGGAGACAGGCAAACACACAAGAGGCAAAGTTCCGAGGCCTTGTCTCAGCATAAGACTCTGGATGACATTGTTGATACCCTACAAGAATTCACCACGCGCTGCAATATCTTGCTAGAGCCGTTCCTCAACCTGACGGATTTTCTCTCAACACAGACGACCCCTACCTCTGCCACTACTCGACCAGCCCTGACCACCCTTTTCATTCGTGTACTGCTTATAACACCCTTGTGGATCATCTTGACGCTTCCTCCCTTTTACGTCCTGACAGTCCGCCGCATCATACTCACTTTTGGTACGATAATCCTGACGTGGCACTCCAAGCCCGCGCGAGTATCGCGTGTGATCCTTTGGCGCTCTGTTTTCCTGCGCAAAACAGCAGCATTTATCACAGGTCTGGATTTTGAAGGCTCGTCTGCTCTACAAACCAAGCCATCAGGTCGAAGCGCTCGATCAAAGTCACAAGCGGGACTCGCCTCCGAGGTCGCTACCAAGAGGAAACCAGACTCTTCAGGAGTTCGATTCACCTTTATACTATATGAGAACCAACGACGTTGGATTGGTCTTGGCTGGACCACATCTCTTTTCTCTTACGAGCGGGCGCCGTGGACCGATGAGCATTTGAACCCCGCACCGTCTAAAGACGAGTTTGAGTTGCCAGAAGTGGAAGGAGGCCACTCTCGATGGAGGTGGGTGGAAGGTTCCGAATGGCGAATAGAGCACGGAAGTGCAAGTCAACACAAGCGGACCGCGAGTCAGAACAAGACAGGATCGGCCAACAATTCTGGTAAAGACGCGGCGGATGACGGCGGCGGGTGGATATACTACGACAACAAATGGGAAGACGGGAGGGCCGAGGACGGATGGGGCAGATATACCAGGCGACGGAAATGGTGTAGGGATGCCGAACTGGTGGAAATCACATCCAGCACAGAGAATAGTCGCAGTGGGACACCGGTGCACCCATCGTCGGATCCAGAGGAGGAGAAAGTAAGGAAGGCGAAGGAGTTTGCCCAAGGGCTAGGTGGTTTGAAGAACACGAGTCGTGCGCCGACAACCGATGCACCTACAGGTACTGCAGATCCAACAACTGGTATTGCACCAGAGGAAGAAAAGACCAAGGACAGCGATGCAACGAGCCTTGCTAAATCGACAGCTACGAAGAAGAGCGCCGGATGGTTCTCCAGTTCTTCGAGGCGAGAGCGCAGCGACAGTAAGAGCAGCAGCGGCAAGAACACAGGACGATTCAGCGCTCGAAGTGATCGGAGCCGTGACGGACCGGAAGACGATGTGGTTGACCATTGGCATGACACTGCGACTCATGGCCATCGGCCGTTTAGCGTGCAGGAAGATGTGGCCATGAGTCTGGGATAGTCACGGGGGGATAGACTCGGAGTTCTCGTCAGTTGACTTGGATGGGCATTTCACTTGCCATGCTACATGTCGAGATACTGTTATTACCACAGTGAACTCTGTTGTGAGCAGTTCGACAGCAAACCTGAGGTCCAGTGGTCATGATAGTGCGCTAGATCACCACGTCACTTGTGCCAGGATCAGGCTCTTGTTGTCCTTTGCACCAGGACCGCAGCAGCCAACTGTAGATCAACGTTATGGATTGATATGTCGACGACGGTTTGAACGGACCACTGCAGTTTCACACCTTGCTCACGCCTTGTCAGCGGACTCGGATCGTTTAAGATGTGATGATCCAGACTGCCGCTAGCCACCCATCTGGGCAGGGAGGATCCCGGACGCTGATCCCATCTGCAGCCACTCGCTTTACGACTCTTCGTAAGCCACTGTGGCCGTGACCCACGAATTCCAGGTTCTTCCTTGCGACTCAGTGAGGCCCGATGCCAGTCCCAGTCTTCCCCGGCCATCTCTTGGTCCTTCAAGCTCTTGACTCCATCCAACATCTGCCGCAGTATGATGAAGCTGAGGGGTCAGCATCAGCGGCACGGCATGTAATGCGGTGTTTTGGTGTTGACGTCAAGCCACAGCGCGGGCGGCGTGAATGATGATGATTCCATGGTTTTGCATCCCCGCTGCAGTGTACTGCACCTGTGGAACTAGCTATAGAGTATTGTAGGGTACAAATAGACTTGAGTCTCTAAATACTGGCCGCAAGAGGACCTTGACATTCTTTCTATTGACTGACTGACAAGACCAACCGACTTGGTGTGACGATCCAACACAACTGTGATCTACCCGAACAAGGCACATACTACTCTAACGGGAACTAGTCGAAATCAATCATCATGGCTGAGGAACAACAGAAAAAACAAGGTGGTGAGTCTGTCGAACCGTTCCCGGGAGACTGCAGTGCTGCATGTTTTTGGATCAACAATTCTACGCTCCCTTCCCTTCGCAACAACAGCATGCGAGACCAGAATGCCCAGTTTCTGCTTGCTTGACAAACCCACCTTCCCACCCGGGCCTCGGGACCATAATATGCTGAGAGCGACGTTGATGATCATCGTCGCCGACACGATTTATTGACCGACTGACTGACCCTCTACACAGGTCCCGGCGGCATCCTCACCGGACTGACCGACACCGTCGGCAACACTGTCGGAGGCTTGACTGTGTGTTTCTCCCCCTCTCTCTCTCGCTTCCCTCCCCTTCTTCTCCCTTTTCTCCCTCTTGAGACCCAATGCTGATGCGATCCGCGCAGGAAACCGTCGGCAACACCGTCTCGGGCGTGGGCTCAGGCGTAGGCAAGACCGTCGGCGGTGCCACTGAAGGTGTAAGCACCCTGACCCATTCGTATTCTCACACAACCCAACCTGTGCTATTCTGCACTTGGAACTCCAGCAAACTGATAATCGATTCTGAACAACAGCTCGGAAACACGACCAAGGCCGTGGGCGACACTGCCAAAAGCGGGACTGATTCCATCGGCTCGATCGGGGGCAAGAAACAGGACGGAGATAATCCTCTGGGCTTGTGATTGTGAGGCATGGTGTTCAACTTGATGTTCGATGTCAAAATCACCTGAAACGGCGGGGATGATGTGATACTAGTACTTGGTTGCATTGCCAATGCTTGGTCTGCTCTTTAGGTCGGGCACCATCTCCTGTTGTATTTTCTTTGTAATCATGCTCAAAACGCTATCTTCACATGGAGTGTTTGATCTACTAGTTGCGATCTTTCCAAGTACAATCCAAAGAAGCTGATCGTATCATGTTTGAGTTATCAACTTCGTCGACTACCTCAGTACATGTAAATAGACCGAGATGCCAACCCACCCTACCACTGCGTTCCTGAACCCCATTGCGCCGGAGAATCCAAAACGCCCCAGACAGGATACCATATGTCCTTAGTAGTTGAAATGAAAACAAACCGCAATCCAATGCTCCGAATCCTCTGAACCCCCAGATCCCACTCGTTAGCCCGCTGCATTTCGCTTATATGCACTCATGTACCCATTGTTTCGTAACTCATCCGTATGTATCTCTCATGTTCACAATTCCTCCGGCTCCGCCTGGAAGTCCACATCCTCAGAGCTGTCCAGACAGATCAGCCCAAAGAAAGCACGGTGCTTGCACTTCCTGTGTCTTCTACCGCCACCGTCGACCTGGGTGCTGCTTGGCAAGGCACTAGTGGTGCTAAGGCTGGGTGACCGTGTGATTGGAGATTCAGTTTGCGAATGCCAGCGGTGATCATCACGGCAGCCGAAAAACAATCCAGGAGTTTCACACGTATGCGGCTCCGCGGTCTTTCTCGCACTGGTTTGCGAGGATGTCGGAGACGGATATGCAGTCCCAGTAGTAGTAGGATCACGACAGCCAAACCAGCCTGGATGCTCACACGCCGAGGACGACGGTGTGACGGTAGCGGGGGAGGATGAGGAGGTACTCGTGGGTGCCTCCGTGGTGGTAGTGACGGTGACGTTAACCGACTCCTTGCATCCAAACCAGCCTGGAGTGATACAGCTGGTGGTGGTGTAGGTGGTCGTAACCACAGGGGAAGTGGTTGTGCCTGTGGTTGAAGTCTCGTCCAAACATCCCCACCAGCCCGGCGTCTTGCAAGTCGTTGTCCGTGTGCGCGTGGACGAGGTGCTAGTGCTGGTAATTGCGGTAGTCGTCGTGTCTGATCCGTTGCTCTCAAAGAATTTCCAGTTGTAGCAATCGACACATTCATCATCAGGGGCACACTCGGGCACGGTTGGATATACTTTGAGCACGTTTTCAATGACACTGCGAATCTTGTGGTTGCCAATTCCTACACGCCAGCCGTAATCTGCCACCGTATCATAGACGCATTGCTTTCCCGTGTGGCATTGAGATTCCATGGCGTAGCCTCCTAGCGTGCAGGTAGCCGTGGGTCCGTTGCAAGTACCCATGAACACAGGATCGGCCGTGTTTCCGAAGTGATAAGCTCCAGTATATTTGGTACGCGGCCGATGAGGATCTGAGGAAGGAGGCGCAGGCAGACCAAGACGTTTGGCTGCGAGGTCCTCGCCAGGTGCTTCGAATGTCACAGTCGGGAGTCCAAAAGTGAGGCCGAGCAGACTGGTCACCGCCCCGCCGAGGGAATGGCCAACGAGCCAGACATTCGAGTCGGGGTATAGTTCAGTGACATTGGTGTAGAGATCAATGGCGGCTCGGTAGTATCGATTTTCCTGCCGCAACGCCTTGACGAGGCACGTTTGGTTGCACGTGTAGGTGCTGCTGTAACAGTCACAAACTTGCCGCCAGAAATACTGGCCTCCCTGCGCACAACAGCAGCTGAAAAAGAGGTTATCGTTGAGCTTGTCACTTGTGGTTGTTCCATCTCCGTCGAACACGGCAGGAGACGTTCCCTTCAAACTGATTACCACAGTTTCATTGCCTTCATCAGCGAAAATGTGACCTCTCAGGCCATCCCCGTCCCAGCCAAATCCCTTTGACCGATTATATCCTTGCGACACGTCTTGCCAGTCTCCCTCGCCGGGGACAGGAGCATACGCATCGGCTGCCATGATGGCAAGGTTGAGGACGGTGTCTTTGTCCGAGATGTTGGGACCCTTGACTTCGTCCATTGTCCATTCCGATGCGCCCAGCACTGCTGGCGTTCCCGAAAGTCGAGCATGCCTTAGGTGTTCTTCGATGCGATTTGGCTGCCTATCAACCAATCTTTCAATCTGCTCTGGCTGCGAACGAGCCTGGAAGTGAGGCGGGGCCTCGATGGATGCAAGCGATTCATCGTCGGTCGTCACCAAGACGGGAGCCTGTGGTCGAAAATCATAGCGTTTATGTAATTCGGGGTCTCGATACGTTCCTCGGTGAAAGATGTGTCTCAGAGTAAAGTCGTGACTGTTTTGTCGGGGTACGGGTAGAGGATTCCAAGGATCGATGGCGGCGGGGGCGCTGCCGGCAGCACTGGGATTTCCAAGGGCGAGGAAGGATAGCAGGAGGCCGGCGGTGACTCTCCCACTCGAGGCACAGAATCTATCTCGCGGTTTTCGGACCTTCATATTGGTAGCTATTGTCATTGAATGGGTCAACGAACATGCAAGAAGGGAATGCAATGTCGTTAGGAGGGAGACCGATAAAGAGGTGTGAGGATCGGAATGACGGTGATGCCTGGGGCAGTGGAGGTGGCAACCACCCGTCATCCAGGTGCAGTCCAACGACGACGTGGTCTCCACCAACAAATCCCATCACATGCCCTGCGTACACAATCACTTCGTCTAGCAACCATCCATTGTTCAGCAGACGCGTCGGTCAGGTACCATAGTCACTCGTTTAGGGGGTGGTACACATGTCTCGGTGATACACGACTGCCTGCAAAGGCTGCAGTGATGATAGTCATACCATGTTGGACGCACGGATCTGGCTGCTCCTCCGCTTCCGTTTCGAATGCTCACTCCTGTCTCTCCATTATAGCACACCCACAGCCACTCTTGACTGATTGTCAGTAATAACATACATACACAATGTCGAGGACTGTCTCCGCCGGGTCCATCAAAGCGAGACCACCAGCTATATCCACACGATCCTTCATACGTTACGAACCAGACAATGCATCACCCTCGTTAGGACGAAGCAGAGCCAGCACGATCCAATCCATTCCCTCTCTGAAATCTCCCACAAAATCAAAAAATGAGAAAGAAGACGTATTTGACACACCGCCCGGCGAAGAGAATGAAGTGCTTTCTCCGGATCTGGGTCGGTCACCATCCCTACCAGACCGGCTCGACGAGCTTCCCGTCGAATTGGCAAGCCTGTCGGACAGATTCGTCGAGTCCCTAGGTGCCAAAGTATATAATGAACCACCTTCCATTGACCAGCTTTCGGAGCTGTTTCAAGAGTTCTATGCTAAGGCCTCCGGGGCCATCTCAATTCACATCTCGACTCTCGGATCCCGGCTGAATCGGGATCCTTCGCCAGCGCCCTCAAAGGCCTCGTCTAGGTCCAAGACCTTGAAAAGCACATCCTCCAGCGATTCACTAGCACCTCCGAACAACCCTGGAGGCTTTCAGCAAATGTTGACGGCCTCGGAAGTGACCGAGAGACGAAAACAGAGGAGGATGCTCGAACATAAGAGGATTCTGTTGGAGGAAGCCGTCGAGAAACGTGTCTGCGAGAGGATATACGACAAGATATGGAGACACAAAAGCACCTTGGATGAGGTGCGAGATGAGAAATTGAGGTCAAAGACGGGCGCTTTATCGCTAGTCGGAATTGGCTTGAAAGATCTAGGAATTGAATGGAGTTCCGATATCGAAAAGACCCCTGAAGATGTGCAGGCCTCACTCCTACCCGCAAGTGAAGGCCTCGCGAAGATGAACGAAGAACACTATCCGCTGGGGAAATTGCAGCATCTGACTGCTGCCCACAAGGCCATTGTCGACACTCTCTCTTCGATTCATCCATCCTCGTCCTCCGCGGACGAGATTCTACCTACGTTGATTTATACTCTGATCACGACTCCTTTCGAGGGAATCAACATCATAAGTAACCTATTCTTTATCCAGCGCTTCCGAGCGGCGGCCAAGATCGACGGCGAAGCAGCATACTGTTTGACAAACTTGGAGGCGGCTGTTAGCTTTTTGGAAAATGTCGACCTGGCAAGCCTCAGGGCAGATGAATCTCCAGAGGGGCCGAAAAAGGCTGCAACCCAGCCTACAGAGGAAAGCGGAAGAACACTCGAGGCCTTCCCTACGCTTCCAGGTCCTACCCCGGCCCCTTCGACACCACCAACAGCTACCTCAATATCCAATGTTCCGGGGACAACCGTGGAAGTTAGCCCGGCAACATCAATACTGAAACCCTTACCAGAGAAGGCCTCATATGTGCCTGCAACCCGCCATCAACGAACCTTTTCTGATTTGTTGCAGCCCATAAGTAACGCTAACGAAGCCATGCGCTCCACGGCGGAAGAAGGATTCAAGAACATCTCGAGCACCCTGGACAACAGTTTTAAGTTCCTGATGGGCAAGTTGAAGGAGCGGGGTACTGAGGGCCCCAACGCTGAAGTGATAGTCCCGAAAACATTGGACGAAGCTAGACAGTTGGTTAGTCGACCACTCACGCCCGAAGAAGACGACCACGCCTTTAGCGAGTCGAGCTCAATCCAGGATGGCCATCATACCCCAATTCCATCCAATTTGACCAAGACCGAGGACAAGATCCTGAGTCTGCTCGGCGGCCGCAAAGCAGCCGTGCGTGAGCGAAGTGTAGACAGTGTCAAAAGCAGTGGAAGTGGAAGCGTGCGAAAGGTGACCTTTACCTCAGGAAATGCGGCTTCTCCGCTGAACGATGGGTCTACGACGACCGGCACAGCTAAGTCAGCCCCTTCAGCAACTCAGCCGACAAGCAGTAATCCTCTTGAGTCTGTTAAGAATTTCGGCAACAGCATCAACCCGATAAGTCATTTAGGCTCTGCACTCGGCGGTGCATTTGGGCGCTTTGGGAGCCGGGTGACCGCGTCCGCATCCCCTCCCGCGACGACGCCAACGCCAGAGGCTTCAACAAACCTAACAAGCCAGGATCAGGAGCTGGTGGAAACTGGAAAAAGCAGCGAGTCGGGCACAGACGAGGCCCAAGCTGTCCCGTTACGCACCCCTGATGCTTCCGAACTACCCAGTATTAAAGCCACACCGCCTATATCACGCTTCATGCAACTTACAGATGCAAAAGAGCTGAAGATTGGTGAGTTGGACGAGCTGCTCGCGGACTATCAGCGTCTGGCTAGAGTGCTGGGCAGGCTTGTCCACCGTGCTCAAGAGGATGCAAAGCCAGAGAACGGTGAGGCTGAGGCCTCCACAACAACAAGTGAAGATGGTAGAGTGTGAGCCGAAGACACTGCTGGAAATTCTCTGGAAAACATGATAGATTCTACGGCTCAGGCGACTTGGCCTTTGATGGGAAACCGCCGTCCTCTATCATGAACGCCTTTTCGCCCGAGCGCCCTAGTATATGCATGCCCCATACCTGCAGGCACCGAAGCACTTGCAACCGGGTTCAACTGGTGCTCGCCGGTACGGTGCGGAACATGCAGAAGAAGCCTCAGCAAAGCCAAGTCCCACCAATGGGCAGAGAGAGCACGTCTAATGTGACCGAGACAGACATTCTGGGCAGTGGCAGAACATTTTACAGAGCCCTATCCGGTGCGAACCTAGATCCATAGGAACAGACTCTCCTTGCGACCATCCTTGTGTCGCCTCATCCGGCTGGCCATACGTCACAAGAGAACTAAAATAATGTTACAAGTACAGCAGGATGGATAGAGTCGCAATGCGCCTAATAGAGCGCAATAACAGAATTTCGATTTTGTGCTCTTTACAGCCTCCTTTTTCGCCTTTTCCTGGGAGCCTTGCGGCGCATCCGTCACGACTAGTAGACGACACTTGATTCTGAGTGTCTTCTAAAAGATCCGCTGGATAGCCTTCGCCCTTTCTCGGGTCAACTAAAACTTCCTCAATGGCAAAGTACAAAGTAATAATTACTATATCGGGGTATCTTTGAATAATAAACAGGCAAACTTTTTCTTTTCGTAGCATCATGACACGTTTGGTCTTGGACGGCACCTCCCAAATGGTCTCCGCTCGACGGTAATGTAGTCCTGTCGCAACTGAAGACCTTCATTTAGCAGGTGTATGCCTGCCACTAATCAACTCGACACCACCCTTTCTGAGTCCCTCCAAGTCACGATCAACATCGTTCTTCTTGACCTGAACTCTCCTTTCACGCTTCTTGACCTCGAGTTCGAAGCGGAGGGCTATTTTTCTGCGCTCTAGCCTCACAGCCATCAATTTCTGCATGTCCTGTTGGAACTTGTCGAGAAACCAGGCGGCTGTCTGTTCGCGCTCATCGTCCGTTTGAGATCTAAACAGTTGCCGCTGGGCCTCGGGTCGCATCTTGTTTAAGTTCGTCAGTTTGGCCGAGAGAGTCATCGGGTTGCCGTTTGCGTCGAGAGCAGATTCGGGCGGAGGCGCTGATGGGTCTGTCGTGAAGGGGATGGCGTCGAGTTCGGCGATGGTTTTTTGACTAAGAATCTCAGGGCTGAAGTCCAGTTCGTGCTCTTGGTATGGATAAGGTCGTTTGAGCGCTGCGGCGGCATTGGATGACAATGGCGCGACGTTGTCTGTGTTGACACTGGGCTCTGGCGGCTCCTCCGCCGCTTGGTCTTCTTCAGATGATGATGATTCGTGGTATGATGACACTTTGGAAGAAAATGCCGGCTGGGGTATGTTGGATGTGCTGGCTACAGGGAGGGATGATGTAGTGGTAGGAGCAAGAGGTTCTTTGGGCAGATTGCCCATGTGTCCACCAGCACCACCGGTTTCCTCAGAAGAAGGGATCTTGCCTCCGATCTTGAACCGGTTGACATTGTTGTGATGGAGTGGATGAGGCTCGACACTGTCGTTATGGCTGGTGATTTCAGTCAAAGGGTTCCGCTTGACGGGCAGAGGAGGGCTGAGTGGTTCTTCCTGAAGGGCGTGCCGGACAGCAGCACTCTTGACATTGTTGCTCTTCTTCAAGTTGCTCACGATAGTCCTGGACTCGGCAGGCACAATTCGGGTCCGGGACGGTGTGTTTTCCCAAGAAGGTTCAGCGTAGTCACCATCTGGGTCGTAGCCCTCGTCTTCTTCTTGGTACATGTACTCTTCAACAATATGGCCTGTGTCATTGTGATATCGTGTGTTATATTGAGGGGGCTCTCCATGTCTCTGTCGTTCAGCATCTGCCTCCGCCCGCCAGTCGCCGGGGAAGGCCTCGCGTTCGTCAAGAATGACAGGCCCAGGAGGTGGATGTTCTTCGTGGCGTCGAGGCGGCGGCTGCTGCATAGTGCTGGACCTGAGAGGAGCGGGTGAATTGCGGGCATGGAAATGCGGGATCATTGACGCATCTTGGTGGTCTTCTGCTATGCTTGTCGAGTCGTCAAAATGGATGCTTTGCGTGTCATCAAAGGCCGATACAACACCAGGCTTTTCAGAAGTGAGCTGCAAGAAACAGAATCATTTCAATTCATATGGCCGGCTCTCACCTGGCGAGCTGCCTGCATATTAGGCACCGTGCGGGAAGATCGATTCTGCGCAATGGCGGATGCAACCTCGGCCACATCCTGCTCAGAGACATATGGATGATCTGATTGCCGCTTGTTGATGGTATTCGGTATTGGGAGCTTCAACTTCATGGCCGCCTCCTGACGCTTCGCTTTGCTGAGGCCTTTGCCATCACGGCTCGTCGCTCTTGGTTTGCGTCCCGCTTCGTCTCGAGACTCTCCGAGTCCACCTCGTTCGCCGTGGCCTTTGGGTTGTGGTGTCAAAGAACGCTTCGCTAGGCTGGCTTGAGCATTGCTGCCTTCCCGGTTCTGTATGAACTGTTTCATATTTGCCTGTAGAGGCATTCGTGCTGCTAGATTCCTTCCAAATCAATCAACGAACTTGAACTGCGCAGCCTTCAATATGACCTGGGGAAATCAGGAAGCCGGCCGCAGTCGCGAATTTAGGGGCGAAATGATTGCATCAGGCTGAACTTGGAACGCGTCGGAACGCGAAGGCACGTGCAGTGGTTCTCGGTTCGGAGTATTTGCGTCCGATGAAGAGGTACATTTTAATTACTGCTGATCACCAAAAGATATCGAAGTCATTAGTTACATACGAAATATTGATCAAAGGTGTGTATAGAGACTATTCGGCTCATCACTTTCCAGCCTCCACAATGATTAAGGAGGGTTGAGTCCTGTGAACCTCTGGTTCTCGTGGAAGTGTTCCCAGAAAACAAGGAGAGTAAAGGAGAGTATCCAATCAAACAAGAACCGCAGTAGCCGCTCACCACGCCGAGAAACAATCTGACGAGGTGCTTTTCTCCTCCCCACACATTTGTAAAGGCATGTAATCATAAAGGTCATAATCGTGCGAACGAATCAGGCTGAGTCCACTGCAGACCCGGCCTTGGAGTCAGAGCTTGAACCGGGACCTGAGCCAGATTCTCCTCCCCTCGACCCGGAGCCACTCTGCGACTTGGTTGTTCTCTTCCGCCCGCCATCTCTGTTCTCCCCATCGACGCCGTCGAACCCGTCGGTACCGAACGCATCATCGCCTCGTCTTTTGGGGCGCCGCCATGGTGGCATCGTTGGAACTCGCTTCCAGACGACTTCGTCGTCACTGCTGCTCAACTCGTCGTGTTTCTTCGGGCTTGATTTGGCCACAGAGTCGAAAGGACGGTGGGCACTGCATAGAAAGCCATTGATCGCGTTGTCAGACTCTGGATCTGTCTTCGCATTCGGGTCCCAGACAGGTAGTTCTGGTGGCACCGCCTCGCCAGCGGCATGGCCCCGAGCATACTGGGCAAGTGAGCCATTGATTCCAGTCAGCGACCAGGCGAAGACGGCAACATCTCGAATCGCCGCCATGAACCCAGATTGCGCGTTGTCCGTCACAGTGGGCAGCTGTGCAGGAGCAGCAACGGCACCGAGAGGCTCGTTGGCAGGTAGGACTGGTTCTGGAGCCCAAGGCGAGGCGAAGAGCCCATTGGAATAATAGGGCGCCTCGGTCGCACCCAGAGTAGGAGGCACAAGTGGTCCCGCGCGGCGGAGCACGACAACCAGGCCGTCCGATGAGCAAGACACGACGGCTTCCAGCTCTAGCGGTTCTGGCTGAATGTCTTCGTTCAGTGTGCGAGACGAGGTGGAAGTTCCCGAACCTGAACGGTCAAAAACACCCTCGACACCATCATGGGCGCTAGCCTCGGGGTCGGTTCCAGTGCCAGAAGAGGCACTTTCGCTGACGGCGTTGCTGGATGCCTGAGCGGCTCCAGATTCTGTAGGCTGAGGATCTTGTGGAAGAGCTTGATGTGCAGGAGGCGTTCGTCTTGTGCCTTGGCCGGGCAATGTAGCTTCCTCATGGAAAGGCGTGGTCCCATGAGCGTTGGTTCCAGGAGCAGTGTCACCTGCCGCATGTGGTGTGGAAGCATCCGACATTGACACGCTAGAGACGGACGCACCGGTTGTCAAGGGCACGCCGCCATCCTCATCTTCATCACTGTCTTCCAGAGCACGCACTGATTCAGCATGGGCCCGGTCCATATCCTGCATTGGGTTGCGGTATCGAAACCTCAGGTAAGCAATGGAGTCGTTAGCCTTTGCGCTCTCGAGGCATTTGATGGCATCCTGAAGGCAGTTTTCTTCAATGCAATAGTAGAAGCTCTTGCCAATGAGTTCAGATGGCTGAATGCCAAGAATGGAGGTCAACCCGTCGGTGGCGTACATGACAGTGCAAGTACGCGTGAAGCGGTTGAGGAACAGTGCAGCCCTTGGCTCCGGAATGTGGGCAGGCGGTTCTTGATAGAACTTGTTGGACAGGAAGGACAACATGTGGTACCTCGGGTCCCGGGGAGACGAAGAGAAGATCCGACGGATACCAGCTCCATCAAGAGCCCTCTCTGGTGGCAGTGTCAGCTCCGATCGAAAAAAGGCAGAACGAAGAGATTCAACGCACGTCTTGCCTTGGGTCCTTGGCGATAAACAGCAGTACTAGCCACCAAAACATCGTAGACAACTGTAAAGACACATTCACAAGCCACCCAGGAGCCGTCCTTGTGCTTGATTCGGCAGTAGTTCATAACAGCCGCCTTGTCAAGACTGACCCCGCGGCCATGAATGGACCGCCCAAAGGGGATCTCATCTGGGTGAAAATACTCCCAGCATGATTTGCCTGTGACTTCATGCGGGAGATAGCCCAGAATGTCCTCAATTGAATCCGAACAGTACCTGATACGCGCATCCAAAGACAAATCTAACATTGTAGTTAGCAACACCATTCCAACGCCCTCTGGAAGGACACCTACCATGAATAGTGATGAAAACCGTCTCCATGGCGATAGCAAAGAACAGGTAAAAGCAGAAGACAACAAGCCTTTCCGCGCTGAGCAGCCCTAAAAGACGCTGGTCTTCTTTCAAAACATGGGGAATTCAAGCCCTTTAGTAGTTCCCTTGCCTTGGCCACTTCCACGGAGGCACTCCCTCACAAGGGAATAGTGTCCTGGCAACGAATCACGTTCAGCGACAAGGACCGGAGGAGCGGTGGCGGATGATAGCACAGGTGCTAGCTGAGGTCGAAAGAATTGGGATCAGGGCCCAGCAAGTAAGCGCTCAGGCGCACGCGACAGGGACCAGGATCGTGCGTGGGCGCTGCGAGAATATGTGTTGTACACTGGATTCCAGGAGCTAACCGGCCCTTGGCTGGAAGAAGAAACTGTGCATTGAAGCTGGTGTACAAGGCTGGAGGTGGGCGTAGAAAGAACCACTAGAGTCAACGGAAAAGCTCTGAAACGTCAGACGAACGCCGCTGGTTTCCGTACTACTACAGATGTTTAAAAGGCGTCTTGACTGACAGCCGACGACAGGCAATATAACCTCCGACATCTATCGAGGATGTAGTTTGCACAGTGGAGGAAAATACGTAGCAGTCGACGACAGCAGGTCCAACCAGCACTAAGCAACTTTTGGCAGGCTGGTTTCTCATGGGAATTGCTGTCGCCACTACCAAGCCGGGTTGAAGTTCGGCTCTACCATTATTGGCATTTGTTATTGCATTCTCCCGTTCAATCCACTGCCGGTATCGACTCGAGGCCCGCCAGGGTGAGGTCTCCGGTTGGCCGGTCGGACAGGCAGGGCCGCAGTGGCAGGGAAGACGCAGACGGTGGATAAACGGGGTGTCAATTCCAGCGGCATCAGACCCGGGAAGCCAGGCGAAGGGATGACTTAACTTTGGGACAGGTGATGGTGGTTAGCACCAACCGCGATGAATGCTACATATGTCAGTGGCGGTGAAGTATCAGTGGAACGTCAGCGGCCGCCAATGCTCCAACGGTTTTTCTGATTTCCTGCAGCGCAGCATTTACGTCAGTCACCGCAGCCGGAGGTGGAGGGGTCTTTCACACGTGCTTACACGCGTCGGTGCTTACCACTCAGGCTGGCAGGTACGACTGTACATTTTATTGTAGCGCGCGCTTGCAAATCACCGCTACTCTGCGCGGTTCTACCACCTACCTACTACTAGCAGGTGCTATAGTAGTAGTAACGTCTCTGACCATAAAATCTCTGTCCAACATCCCATGGTTGCCAGTAAAGCACACCTCAGCGTCCCTTTGCTGCCTGCTGTGTACAACGCAGTATTGCAGTTTCACTCGTCGAGTGTCTTCCTTGTAAAGGCGCCCATCGCTTCAGCCTGACAACTTTCACCCTCAATTCGAAGCAGGGTCAGCTGGGACAATTGCGCCTCCACCGAACCTTACAGCTATTGCCCTGTCCATGGTCACTCGGCAGACTCCACGATCATGCTCCCTTCAAATCCAAGGTGGAACGTGACTCGTCACATAGCACAGGCACGCCAGGCCTCCTCCGTGTATGCCGGCCAGGGGTTGGGAACGTCCACAAGCCCGCTCAGGGAGCAGGTAAATCCAGTACTCAAGGAGCAGGTGTAGGCTTGAGCTGCATGGCGAGCTGTCGGAATGCCAATCGACGCAAGTTCCCTTCAACGGCACTGCCTAGCGGAACCAGCTATCCGAACGCCACTTCCAGCCCTGACATTCCCATTTCGTTACTAATACTTCGTGCCTCGTATCTAGCACCAGCTATGCATCAAGGCTACAGTACGAAGCGAGCGGATGATCAACCTCCGAAACGAAGGGATGCGGCAACAAACGATAGCGTCGCGCTATACGGAGATATCGCTCAAGATGACTGCGCCTGTTGTCCGACTCTGTTTGGGGCTCTCAAAAGCCTGTCACGTATCGAGCAGCAGTCTGAGGGTAGTGGTATGAACGGTTGCTGCGAGTGGAGACTGCCTATAATTCCCTCCACATCTAGCAGGACATGTCGACAGCGCCATGGAAAAGCAAAAGGCGGTGATAAAGTGGCCCATCTGACAGGCCATTGAGCTCCCGTCTGCAGCGGGGCTATAGGTATAGACAACCACTGTGCGAAGTGACCGCGTTGATCTTCTCCTACATATCGTGTGGTGGGCTTATTCGGACTGTGTATGTCACGCAGCTTCCAAATACCCCATCACACCGAAAATGCCCCTCGTCGCTAGATATGACCACGAGTGACTGGAGAGCTCCGAGACACTGTTGACCTGAATAGGGGCTGTTACCTGCGATCGCCGATGATATGCAGCAAAGCCAAGCTAAAAGGTCGGGAGGCGGCCGCCCACGAGGCATTCCTTGCAATGGCTTGCGTTGACTCTCCAGGTGAGAGTGTCTTTAGTCGCCCTTCTGATCTGTGGGCACCATGTTTGCTTGCGGACGGCCTCTGTTCCCACTTGAACACTCTGCTTGGAGGCTGCTTTCCCAACAGTCTTGATGACTTGCTCGCCTTCTGTCCCGTCAAGCATTTGCTTCCCGTTCTGTGGGCTTGGCAAGGGGCAAGCCAGACCTCGTTCAAGGACCGCTGGTTGCCGAGACACATGATAGCTGTTGCATGTGCTATGCCTTGAGCAAGTCCGAGAAAGGAGTTATGCTGTGTGACTCGACTTGTGCACAGTGGCAGGCGAACATAAGGTGTGATGTCGACCAAAGCTGGGAAATTCCATTCACTTGTTGCGCTCAAGCGAGCTTCTTGTCCTTGACGCTTACTTGCACTCTTGGCACGCTCTTGAAGCACCTGAGTTGCACCTGCGGCTTTCTGGCTGAGGAGACCCAAGAACAAGTGGCCGACCAGGTCTTAGATCAAGCGTCTTGCAGGAGCTTCACGCCGCGCGCAGGCCAAAGTGGGTAACCCGGTGGTTCAGATGCTCCCGGGGCGGTGATGGCCGTAATGCTTCTATATTTTTCTCTGTGACAGGTTCCAAAAGTCAGCTTGTTGACAGCTCGGCAGACGTACGACTTGCCAAACCCGATGCAGTAATTCAGGGTCAATCTGTCTATCAGGGTCTGGGGATTTTTGGGGCGGACAATGTGTGCTTCTTACCTTTACCAGACCCTTGAAGAAGTCAAAACTGTTAGAGTCACTCTGCAGGGTCCATCTGCGCCCTGTCTCGCGGTCTTCCCATCCGAGCTCTTCTGCAATCAACAGCCCATAGTCCCTGGTGATCCCCTTGATGCGTGCTCGTTGGCCACCTTCAGCTTCCAAGGTTACAATCTGGTCCATGTGGAGCCAATGCTCGTAGTACATTTTTTCCATGGCGTCGTCAAAACCTGTCCTCAAGAACCGGGCGTACAGATCGTCAAATACCGTCAGAATGCGGGCCAATAGCTTCTCCAGAGTGAGTGGAGATACATCTTTGGGCAACAACTGCGTGAGCTGGTTGAGCGAGGTGGTGGGTGCCGTATTGGAAGTGTTGAGTCCGACACCACACACAGCAATATATTCCTTTGTGTTGTAGTGGCTGTTAACCAGGATCCCTCCAATCTTTGTGTAATTTTCGTTTCGGTCGCCGCCATTCTCCTTGGCCTTGGTAGGATCCAAAGCAAAAATGTCATTGGGCCATTTCAGCTTGATCGGCATCGCTTGGTAGCGAGTGCCATCGTAAGACTTGATACCCTGGACAATAGCCATTGCGGCCAAATACTGCACGAAGACGACGGGTGCAGACTGCATCTGAGCCATGGGATGTCGGATAACAGTGCTGAACATGAGGCTCCCGGCCGGCGAAACCCAGACATTCGATCCTCGCCCTCGGCCTGCTACCTGAACCGTCGCCGTAGCGGTGAATCCTTGCGGTAGATTGCGTAATATCTTCGTGTTCTTCTCCAGCAAAGTGTTGGTTGAAGTTACCACTTCTCCATAGAGCAAATGGGTGCCGAAGCTGCTGGCGGTGCCACGCATCTGTGTCTGATAGGTCTCCAGGTTGGCGTAAAAGTCCTCGTGGTTGAAGTAGGGCGTTAGCTGAGAGGAAGGGTATCCATCGTCATGAACGATGATCTGTTTGACAACCTTGTTATAGTCGATGATCAGGTCTGAACTGGAGCTGCCGTTGCCGTTGTCCTGGTCAGCAGATTCCTTTGTCTCTGCGGTCTGAGAGGGAAGAGCTTGTGCCAGGTCACCCATCTTCCAAGCGGACGGCTTGACAAGCTGGAAAGTGTCATTGTCATCCTTGATGAACTCGTCGCCCCGCTCATCCTTTTCGATGAGATGGCCCAACGATGACACAATAGCCGCCGTATCTTTGGGCTGCAACGCAGATAGGTGCATATAGGAAAGGGAGGGTACTTTTTGCTCCTCGCCCACCGTGAGTCCGACTTTGGTCAAGCATGCTTTGACGAAATTGATTCGTTGGCCTTCATCCTCGGCCAGTGCTTTGATAACGTCCGAAAAGCCAGGGGCATCGTCATCCGGTTTGGGCTCGAGCAAGGCAGAAGCAAATCTAGGCTTCGTCAGTGACCAGTTGTCGGCTGGTTTGGGTGTTCCAAGGAAGACAAACTCTGGGTGTGGGCCGGTCAACAATGCTGCTCCCTCACCAACCTTGCAATACACAACGGCTGCTGCACCTTCTCCGGGATCCACACTGAGAGGCTCCGTATAACTTGCCAGAACCTCAACGCCCTTCGACTGGTATCGCGGAGCATCCACAAAGACACAACCCCCGTTGTAGTAGGACTTGAACACGTTGGGGACGTTGCCTGCTGATAATACCACCTTATCGACCTGTAGTTCCACGGCACGAGCTCCCTTTTCGCTGTGGTAAACGAAGCCCGGGAATGCACATCCGCGCGCTATACCGGGGTAGAATGCCAGCTCTCTGTCACCCACGACTTCGAGCAGTTTGTCTCCAACTTCGAACTCGCATCTTTGGCTTCCGTAATAACCACCGGCACAGAAGCCAATGTAGACGCCGCCGCGTTCGACGAACTGGCGAATGCGTCGATTTCCCTCTCCATTCAGAGTGTTGCAATATCCCTGATCGGCACCGCCGGGAAAGACCAGCGCAGCACAACTTGCCGTCCATGGTTCTTTGATGAGCATGTCACCAGTGACGGGGATCACGGCATAGTTGGGTGAAAGCAGCTTCCGAAGCGTGTACAGAGCATGGCGAACGGATTCAACCGTGCTGCCGTTTCCTGAAGATAGAATTAGATTTTGGTTCGCCCGCCATGCTTCCTGAGTCAGCGCACCAGAGTAAACAAGGACATTCATCCGTTTAGAAGCCATGGCGGTGGCAGTTGGTGGCGTGTTTCCTTGCTCGGTAGCTGTTTTGGTAATGAGGTCAAGAAGCCGAGTATGTCAGACGACCATCAATGTTTGGAGAGCCAAATAGGTACTTTTTCTCGCCTCCAATCCAGCAAGCCGTGTCACTGTCCAACACCAACACAACAATGTCGAAGCAGGAGAGTACAGCTGAGGCCGACGTCGGCGAGGATGAACTCGATGAATGGTAGCTTTTCACCCACTTGGGTTTCATTCAAGAAGCGGTATTGACCACACGACTAGGGACCAGCGGATATTCAGTACAGGCTGTGCTGGTGATTGGGTCCGTATACACCTAACGGAGGCAATTCTGACATGCATGTACAGAGGAACAACTTCGAATGAACGATTGCTACTATGATAAAAAAGATTGGCGAGCGTGTAAGAATGAAGTGAGTGCTGAACCCAACGTCAGTCAAGATCACTGGTAATCTGGTCTTGGTTGGCACCAGTCTTATATTCTCCGGCCTTGATTCTTTGGCTCCTTCATCGCCAGCTAACTAAGACGAACAGATGGAGGCCTTCAGACAGTGCTGGAAGCGTAAAGGAAACGAGGAACGCACCCAGACCAAAGATGCACCAGTTGAGAAATAGACATGCTATCCAAGAAGTGTCGACGCTCGTGGGACTGATTGGTGTACAACTTGAACCCTGGAGTGCAGCCTTCAAGTCTGCGGCGAATTGCCAGATCTGAGAAACCTCACCCTGCAATCTCTCGCTTCACCACCTTCGATTCTTCGACTGCCTTTGTGCTTCACGTTCCATTTTTCTGTATTATAGATTGCTGCTCTGGTTTGTAACACCTCAATAATACTCTCTTCTCCACCTTGTTCTTTTCAAGCAATATTCGGTCATCTCGATAAACATGGCACGAACTGCGCGACTACTCCTGAACTCCTGGCAGCCGTCCCTCAAAACCTCTGCTCTGTTGCCTTCTCGATGCTTACGAACGCCCACCCGGCCTGAAATCGTGGCGAAACAAGCTCTTCGCTCGACCTTCTCTACTTTCACAGTTCGAAGAGCTGAAGCTGCAGTCAGCACGCCGAAGACCGCAGCCCCCTCGAAAGATTCAGCACCAAACGGGTCGAATATACAGCCCTCGACTGGCTTCGACGACCAGCCGCTTGATACCCAAGCAGATGATCCATCCCGAGTTGACTGGACGCGATCCTTTCACGGGCTCTCCGCCGAACCCTTCTCGAAGGAAGCTGCCGATATCCTGCAAGCACCAATCGACCCTGAAGATATCGAAATCAAGCCTGATGGCATAGTATACCTGCCTGAGATCAAATACAGACGGATTTTGAATAGGGCATTCGGTCCCGGAGGCTGGGGTCTCGCCCCGAGGGGGGAAACAATTGTTACGGATAAGTCTGTGACTAGAGAATATGCATTATTGGCCCACGGAAGGTGAGCAGACCAGAATGTCTTCCGGGAAGCCACGGCTAATATGTGACAGGCTGGTGTCAATTGCGCGGGGTGAGCAACAGTATTTCAACAAAGACAATATACCGATGGCCTCTGAAGGCTGCAAATCGAATGCAATGATGCGATGTTGTAAAGATCTCGGCGTTGCCAGCGAACTTTGGGATCCTCGCTTCATCAGAAAATTCAAAGCACAACATGCGCGCGAGGTATTTGTTGAGCACCAGGGCACAAAGAAGCGAACCAAAATATGGCTCCGCAAGGTATGTCCAGAATGCTGACGATCACAGCTCTTGCCTGCTAACAATTACGCTCTATAGGGCGATCCTGTGACATATCCATACGCTGAACTCAAGAGATGATTCCCTCGACCTGAGCTGAACTTTCTCAGAATGTATGCCACCCACGAGTCGTACTCATGCTGGAATATCAAGCAACTGCTGTGATATTGTTACAGCACGCTTCAATGCCATCTGTCAGTATCCGTGGACGTCGAAATCCGGATTTTTCATCCGATCCATCTCGCGCGTCTTCGGCTTCTGGCTGAGTCCAATATCTCCAGAAGTCCGTTGCTTAATTGCGATGTGGTTTGTGACTGGAGTACCAAGGCATTGGCTCACGCTGGTGCGGTGCAGCACCCGAAATCATGCACGAACCAAAATGCCCCAGCGCGTTTTAAGTGGAAGACATGCTCGAAACTTGCAGCATGTGATGTACAGCTAGCTCCGTTGTTGTACCGGATGATGGAGGCCCTCCCATCTCTTTGTCGCTTGTGGTGTACTAGGTTATGTTCCAAGCAGAATCAGGGCAGTAAATCTGCAGCGGTGTGAACGACATCGGGTCTACCAGGTCTCAAGACCTGGACCCAAATCTCATCTTAAACCTCTCAAACACCTCAAACGGGCGGAGGCGAAAGAAATTATATGCTTAACTGGAACACTCCCCTTTTATCATCCTGGCCCAGTGCCAGGGCTTGAACGCAGGCTTTGTCTGCAACATTCTGTCGAGGACCGGACGGCCATCGGGCATTCGGAACTTCTTCAGAGTGGCAGTCTGCTTTGTTCGTTCCCAGGTGTCGAGCAGAGCGTTTTGCGGACAAGGCTGAGAAGAAAGGCTGCGATGCATTTCCATGTAATACCTTGTTATCCAGTTAGATACAGCAAACTAATTGTACTACTTGGTTGCTCTCCTGGTAGATGGCTGGATTTTGACACAGCGTGCATGGCACCTTCTGTTTTTACCTACTAGGAGAGTTGACTGCTGCAGCTGTGACTCAAGCACACTGCCCCTTCCCAGCATGTGAAATGGAGGACAACCCGTGGTAGGCCACATTCCACATGCACATGCACGAAATGCATGTGCACGTTGTTGTACAGGGAAGGAAAAATTTATTGCCTTATCTACTCGACTGAGGTGCGTACATGTAAACAAACCAGCTTGAATGTCGGTGAACATCACGACTGCAACTATATCCGACACACTATTAAGCTACCGTCCCAAGTCCTGCGTTCGACCTCTTTCAGCTCAGAGCTTTGAGCAGCACAGCCCCGCATACATCTGCCTAGATTTCGACCCGTGTCAGTTTCCCAACGCACTGGCAGCGCCGCGGTGCCAGTATCATTAGAGGCCAAGCATTTCCAAGAGTCCGATCCCAGTGCCAGCGTCCAAGTCGGTCTCATGCGTTGACGGGAGTCATTGACACTGGCCATGAAGTCTTTCCGCTCCTCCTCGACCTCCGATCTTATGCAGCTCCACGCTGGCTGAGAAATTCAGACCATTCTAATTCCGTTTCCACCCTCTGACTCCACGTGAGGGAGGATCTGGGAACAGAAATAGAACGGCGAGAAACAACCAGGCGTAGACTGCTTGCTGGAGCAGGTGACATTGGTCTTTGCGGCGTCGACTCTTCTCGCCATCGTTCCTCGCGATCTCGCCCCGATTAATATTGACCTTCGGCCCACAGTTGCCACTCGCAGAGCGGCTGAGAAGAGCAAACAGCTCGGCTGATTACCCCACGCGTTCACATAATGGCCGCTGCTCCAACGCACGAACCTCCCAATGCGGTCGATGGTCCCACGGGTCAAGAAGAGCAAGAACTCGCGTTTGGGCAGGTGTGGAAAGACGCGGCCAAGGCTCCGCCACGACGAACAACTGTAGAACGGCCGGCTACCGAACGCCGGAAGTCGTCAATCCAGTTTCACACTGCTGACGCCGAGGACACCATAAGACGAGAGAGCCTTACACAAGGCTCGCGAACCTCCCTTTCCCAGCGGAGAATGTCGTCGCCTCCTCCGCCGTTCAATTATCAGCGCGGCGTCTCATTTGACACACTCGACAACAGAGACGCATCCACCGAAGCCTTCACCCTGAACTACAAGCATCGCGACTACGCCTCTACCTCACGAAGCCGAACATTTCTCTGCGGCACGGACGCCAAAGACTATTCCGAATATGCATTGGAATGGATGTTGGACGAGCTCATCGACGACGGCGATGAGATCGTATGTCTACGAGTGGTGGAGAAGGATACAAAAACGGCCCACGAGACACCGTACGAACGCAGCAAGTACCGCGATGAGGCGCAGAAATTACTCGACAGTGTCATAAAGAAAAACAGCGCAGAAGAGAAAGCCATCAGCATTATTATGGAATTAGCTGTTGGCAAGGTGCAGGAGATATTTCAGCGCATGGTAGGCGGAGCATACTGTCATTGCGGTGGATCTATACTGACATTGCATTAGATAGGACTTTATGAGCCGGCGGCGTTAGTTGTCGGAACACGGGGAAGAAATTTGGGGGGTATGCAAGGCTTGCTTCCGGGCTCAGTGTCGAAGTATTGCCTGCAACACTCACCTGTGCCAGTAATCGTCGTTCGCCCAACGTCCAAAAGATTGAAAAAGAAAATGAAGCGCCAATTAGAGACTGGTCGGAGTCTGTACAGCAGTATGCTGGAGAAGGCTCAAACTGCTGGCGGCAGTCACCTCTTCGACAAGAGAGACAACAGCTCGATATCTATGGAAGCCACCGAGAAAGAAGCCGATGCTGTTGCCAGAGCCATCGGACCACCCAGACGTGGCATTCTGAAGGGAACTTATGGCGGACCACTTGCGCGTGTGACCTCGGCAAGAAGCGATGCCACCTCAGACGATGAGTCCCCGGAGCGAGGATTCACCTTGCCGATCGGGTATTTCAGCACTGAGAGCGCGCCCAGAGCTGATCTGGCCATGCAGTTCCCCAGCATTGCAGCCCTTCAGGAGGATTGGGACGACGAGGATCTGGCCACGCCTAAGAAAACTGCGAAGGCGACAGGAAAGCGCCATGAGAGCCGCGATAGTGACGCTGCCATATCCGATACGGAGGAAGGCTCACTGGGAGTCCGCAAGATTGTCGACGAACGACGGCCTTCCGTCAGAGAAACAACCCCTTGGCTCGAGGAGATCCTTCGGGACAAACCACAGAGAAGATCTCCCAGCCATGGACGATCACCTTCACGATAACACTAATTGTGGATGTCACCCATGACACTTTTCTCGAAATAAGAGTGCTTTACGAAGTTAGCTGGAAGCGGAGCTTTCCACAGAGGACGCAGAGGACTGCCGAGAGCGAAAATCGATGCGACAATGGTTATGCATGACCGAAGTTACCAAGGAGTGTACAGCAATCTCGAGACGACCGATGCAGCCCAATACATCATTCATGTTGTACGATTAAGAGAATCAGACAGTCCTTCTTACAAGGCTGCCACACTCGGCGAGAGTCGCCGCAAACTTGCTTGGTAGTATTCAAATAAATCCTGCTGATAGAAGCACACACTCGAATTCACCATTTCCTAAGTAGTTGACAATCATTGTAGCATCTCTACCTGACCGACCCGCCCACCACAGACACGGACTGGCGCTCAGGAGGTCCCGGCCTGCACAAGGGTGACGCGTTCAACTGACTCGCCGTCAGTAAACCTCAAAAAGAGAATGAGAGCGTCGTCAGGATTACAGTATTCGCAGTTCATGGTCCACAGAGTTTAGCCACATTATACACTGCGTAGTATCCAAGGTACCCGAAGACAGATACATTTGTAGATAACCTACTTGGGTTGTACTGCCTCATCAAATACTACAATAATGTAAACGCACGGACTGGTTGTCGGGCGGGTAGCAGCATCGAACAGAAAAAGCCACGCCAGACTGTGACAGCTTGCAAGCCCCCTTCAAGTTGCGCAAGGATCGGCCCCGTGCGCTTTGCGCCCTGGCGATCTATCTTTCCAGATCTCAAGTTATCCTCAACCACCTTTCTGGCGCCTGATAAAAGAACATGCATCCCGACAGTCAGTGCGCTCGTTCTGCTGGCATCGTTGCGCAACATGTTACCTACCCGCGCTGAGGACTGCGATGAGTGTACTCCGGCATCACTCAGACACTCGACTGCCTTCGGACCTAAAGCAGCACTCTCGACGATCCCCTTCATCGCCACATTCGCTTGTTTGACCTTCATCGCCTATAGAAAGGTCTATCCTCTATTGTCTCCCACTTCTACGAGGCCACAAAATGGCGACAAAGGCCTCCCGCGACCGGCGACATCTCCTCCCGAAGCCGCAACGCAGCAACTCGCTCGGCGCATCGCGGCAATCACTTTCTCTTCCACTATAGCACTCTCTGCGGTCCTGACCGAACTGCTTTTATGCGAGATATCGAATTCCTTCAACCCTACAGCCAGGAACATCGCATTACAGGCAACAGTTGTGAGCCTCTTGGGGTTGCTGGTCGTGGCCATTCCGTTGCTAGGCATATCTTCCGTTGTGTCAAAGTCGGGCTACAAGTTCCGTGGACCGGGAAGAAGTCGTGTCCGCCTGGCGTGGCTGCTTGAACTGGCTGGGTATGGGGTCTTTTTGTCCGGATTCTGGGCAATCGGCGCCCTGCTACCTGTTTCTCCGGGCATTACTGAGAGCATCAGCCGGCGAGATGGCCTGTTTCAAGCCTGCTTGGACAGGTTGGGTATCACTGGCGTCTCCTTGATGGCTCTGCTCTCCGGCTTTGCATCGGTCAGTGCAATCTGGCAGACGTTTGGACCCAAGACGAGGTTGGTTTCCGAGAGTGACATCAACCGGAAACAAGCTGGACTGGATGCTACCATGGATATGATAGCGGAGAAAAAGGAGCGACTGAGGGCCTTACAGAGGAAGAGTGCCGACACATCGGACCAAGGATTTTGGAGCCGGACAGTGGGCTCGATACGCGGCAACGCAGAAACGCAGGAGAAGCAGACCCTCGAGATGGAAATTTCGGGCCTTGAGACCATGTCCGCCTCACTTGAAACGTCGCTCGCAATATTGCGGCAGCGGAGAGCAGACCAACTACGAGCGACTACCCCCATGGGTCGCATGTCCCTAGTGTTCTCCTATGTTTTTTCGTGCTACTGCATCTATCGAATTTGCACGACCACCATCAACATCGGGCGTCGAATGCTATCAAGCAAGCCCGCAACGTCTTCTGATACGGACCCTGTCACCGCCACAATTGCGATCTTCGCGCGGCACGTCTACCCTTCTTTGGACCAGGCATCGTGGGCCCAGCAGATCTCCTTTTTACTCTCCGGAGCAATGCTTTTGGCGTCCTTCTCCGCTGTCACGCAGACCTTCCATCTCTTTTCCCGATTCATGCCAACTGTGCTCCATGCGACAAAGACCAATTTTGCCCTCTTGATCAGTCAAGTCAGTGGAATGTATGTCATCAGCTCTGCCATTATGCTTAGAGGCATGATGCCCAAAGAGGTAGGCAGTGTGATCAACAGCGCTTTGGGAGCCGGGCTGCTGGAACCTGCCTGGGTGCAGAAGTGGTTTGATGGTTTCTTTATGCTTGCCGTGGTCGTCACCGGCCTGGGTATCTTTCTGGGAAGACAGATTTCCGGAGCTGCCACGTGGGAAGAAGATATGAGTTATGGTGATGCCATGGACTTGTCCAAACAGTCGTGACTACTACTATGTTTTAATACGAGGAATGAATTAATGATGGGACTGGGTGTGCTTCGGCAAAGACATTGTTTAGAGAAGAAAAGGGCTGCAATGGTGGTCGGCGCACAGATACAGCTCCTAGGTAGATATGAAGCTTCAATGCACCTTATCAATAGACATGATATCGGACAAAGAATCTGTAAGAACACTACAATGGGTTTTCTAAGACTCAACAGGTGGTGTGTCTGCATACAATCGTACCTGAGTTGATGCGGGAATCTGGCTCGGTGGTCGTCATGTCGGACAAAGCAATTTGGAGAAATGTCCTTTGCGCGGGTTCATGCTGGCCGCGACCCTGACACGTCACGTCCACCTTCATTTTACATTTGAAGTAGTACCGACCTTGATACAAGGATACAGCGCAGTTTGGAGAGAGTCTTCATCGTCGACCCTCACAGTCCTCCCTTCGGAGAGCCCTGGCTATGACTGACTTGACCGGGACATTGTCCTCCATTCTGGTCGAGAAACATTCCTCTAAGCCCCTCCGAGGTGTTCGCAACGGCCACCTCACGCAGAAATTCGATGCCTTTCTGAAGGAAGCAAACCAGATTGTATTTTAGCCAAGACCCCATGATACTCGTCAGCAGGAACTAACTCAACATTGTAGAATAGATCCATCTCGTCTCTACTGAGCTATCTAAGATCCATACGGACGCCGTACCTGTCCAATGCGCCGGCACCGCGCCATCCTAAAAGAACGGAAGCTTCTCATACCATCGCCGGCTTAGATCTTCAGAATCAGAATGTGCCGGAGTACTTGAACGATTCACAGCGCGAGGCAATTGACCGGGAGACGTCGTCGGTGCTTCGAGAGATCAACGGCAAGATCACGGATCTCTCCTCGGCCGTCAATCTACAACATGACACGGCCACCAAGATACTGGAGAAAAAATACGGACGACCAAACGGGATGCTCTGGCGATGGGCAACAGGCGACCAGGATATGCCTGATGCCGGAAAGTCAGCACAACAGATTGAGGAGGAGGGCCAAGTGCGAATGCTGAAAATGTTTCGAGATGGCGTCCTCTGGTATCTAGGCAAGAGGCTTAACGACGCCATCTCAGTGCAACAGGAAATGGTTGAGAAACGGCTGGAACGAGAGCGACAGAAGCAATTGAGTGCCCTCTACGACCCCCGAAACAAAGGCGTGAGAGCCACTCTGGATGTCGAGCCCACGGCGGCGGCAGATGGTGGATTCAAGGAGGCACTCCCGAATCGAGACCTACGAGGGCACGATGAATACAGACCGTGGACCGAATCTGGCCCTACGGGTCTTGATCCCACTCAGCAATTGTCGGCGGAGCAGTTACAGCTGTTTGAGGAAGAGAACAGAAGTATATTTGAGCATTTCAACGACCAGCTGGCCAAAGTCACCCAGGTCGAAAAGAGTCTGATGGACATCAGCAGTCTGCAGCAGACGTTGGTCGGGCATCTCAGCGTCCAGGGCGAAATGATTGGCAACTTGGTCACAGATGCCGCTAACACGGACGAGAACGTGCGCAAGGGAAACAGAGAGCTCAAGCGCGCGAGCGAGAGAGGAAGTACTGCCCGCTTGGTGTTTTATGCCACAGTCGGGCTTTGCTCGTTCTTGGTGGCTTGGGATCTTGTATTTTGAAGACTCCGACAGGTATGGGTTGTTGAACTAAGGCTGTGCTACCTAGGTACCTACAATACTGCACGTATTGTCTTTACTGTTATAGGGCGGGCAGACCAGCCAGGCAATACCTATAGCCGGCTTCGGCAATACGTTGTTTTGAAGCCAATCCTGCTGTCATCAAGTAGCCACCTGCACGGTTTAGCCTGGCATATTGCGTTACAGCATAGGTGTATCCCGCCAGAGGCGGCGTACATTGAACCGGCGGCACCATATCCTACCTAATACTGGACTACCACTGGCAGTTGTAGTATGGGGACACTGCATGGCGTGCAACTCCAGGCCTTGTACCCCGGGTTTGCGCCCGAAAGCGGTCTTTAGCCGGTCCATTCCGAGTCACGTTTAGGCGTCTTCCACAGACTGCGGAGCCTAGCGCCCTTCTGAACGCCGCTCCAATAGGCGCTGCGGCATCCGGGGAAGCCCTGCAAAGAGATACGTTGTCCTCCTTCGAATTCAACAAGAGGTTGCAGTGCCAGTGAGAGGCTTCGATGGGGTTGAACTTGGTCGAAAGTCAACGACGACAAGACGCCGATTCGAACCAACGTATACAATGCACCAAGTCATGTGCCAAGCGAGACATGTTGTGATACTCTACTAGTATAGATCTGAGCAATGAGCAATTGTATGTCGGCGATTGGCCTCGACGCCGTTTTCCCCCTCATGCGGTGCCCTCCGGGCCCCCAGTCAATCCACTGCTCGCTCGCTGTTGATTCTCCAACCTCGGGCTTTCGGGGTAAATTTACGTTGTATGGCGGGCATATTTCCTCGTTAAAGAGTCACCCGCGCAGAATACCAATTACTCTCGAAAACCACCCCTCAACAACGCATGATCCCTTGTTCCTACCAACCTATCCGACAACTGAACCTCCGAGCTTGAATCATCATTATCTTGGTGCCAGTGCTGTGGTGGCGAGCCTTGTTACCCGACTCTCTTTTGAGCTCTAGAACCTGCATCACATCGATTGAGCTGCGGTATCATCAGACTACATCCATCCGCCCGTCCTAACGTGTACGTCCGTCCCATCTGCATCCATCCGTCCTTGTACACTTTGGGTGAACCCGACTGTTCCGCCGATCATTCTTAATATAGTTGTTTACTCGGACATGTCCTCATTGTCCAAGTCTCCCTTTAAATCCGCGTCTTCAATCGCGGCTACCTTGTCTTCACAGACTGACATCAACGCTCGTTTGTCGCAGATCCAGCAACACACAATGGGTTCCATATCGAATGGCCCCGTCGAGCTCTTTGAGGCTGTGCCTCAAGCGCCAGAAGACCCTCTATTCGGGTTGATGGCCGCGTACCGACAGGATACATATGAGAAAAAAGTCGATCTGGGAATTGGTGCATACAGAGACAACAATGCGAAGCCTTGGGTGTTACCTGTCGTTAAGAAAGTGCGTATCACAGACAATGCCGATGATGCGACAATATTTCTAACATAAAATTTGTCCAACAGGCAGACCAGATCCTCCGAGATGACCCCAATCTGAACCACGAATACCTCCCCATTGCTGGTCTTCCAGAGTTCACATCAGCCGCTCAGAAACTTATCCTTGGCTCAGACAGCCCCGCGATCAAAGAAGGACGGGTACGTAGTCACTCCTGATGAAGACAAAGGGTTTTGAAAAGTGTCGTGTGTTAATTTATGACATCTGCGTATAGGCAGCCTCACTACAAACCATCTCTGGCACTGGTGCCGTCCACCTGGGAGGTCTGTTCCTGTCAAAATTCCTCAAACCCACGCCAGCCATCTATCTGTCCAACCCAACCTGGGCGAATCACAACCAGATCTTCACGAATGTTGGCCTTGACATCAAGACGTATCCATACTTCTCCGCAAAGACAAAGATGCTGGATCACGAAGGCCTGTTAGCGACGTTGAAGTCGGCGCCAGAGAAGAGCATCATCCTGCTTCACGCATGTGCACATAACCCCACGGGCGTCGACCCCACACAAGACCAGTGGAAGCAGATCGCCGAGGTGATTCGAGAACGCGGCCATTTCCCCTTCTTCGACTGCGCATACCAAGGCTTCGCCTCGGGCAACCTGGCCACCGACAACTGGGCGATCCGATACTTCGTCGAGCAAGGTTTCGAGCTGGTCATCGCACAGTCCTTTGCGAAGAACTTTGGGCTCTATGGTGAGCGGGCTGGAGCATTCCATTTTGTCGCAGCACCGGGATCCAAGGCACAAGACGTTACAAAGAGAGTAGCCAGCCAACTGGCCGTTCTGCAGCGATCTGAGATCTCCAACCCTCCGGCCTACGGTGCTCGGATTGCCAGCATCGTTCTCAACGACAGGCAGTTGTTCTCCGAATGGGAGGAAGACCTACGCACAATGTCTGGCCGGATCATCGAGATGCGCAAGAGCCTCAAGGCCGAGTTGGACAGACTGCAAACTCCGGGTTCCTGGGACCACATCACCAGCCAAATCGGCATGTTTTCCTTCACCGGCATCTCCGAGGCTCAAGTCCTGGCCATCCGAGAAAAGTGGCATGTCTACATGACCAAGAATGGCCGGATCAGTATGGCGGGTCTGAACACTGGCAATGTCAAGTATGTCGCTGAGGCGCTGGACGATGTCGTCAGAAATGTCAAATAAACAGAGGGCTGTTTAGAGCTTGTCCGGGTTGGCTATACTAGCGGACGGGGCAGCGTGAGCAACAAAAGTGAGCTTATCGCGCAATTTGTCTCATTGTGCAACCACTATGTGATGCCACAAGAGGTGGTCAAGTCGGTGGGCTACTCTAAGTGCTGCTTTCATATGCTTGCTTGAGTGATTCCCGTCCCCGGAGGCGCTGCAAGACAACACTTGACAGGCACCTAGACAGGTGGTCCGTCATTTGGCTACAACTTGACGGCACTTGATTGTGCATCTTTCTTTTAGATGGGCATGGGAAATTGTGCAGTGAATGGTCGATGTAACATCTCGTGCATGCACATACTGCTTACTTGCTTTGTTAGCTACCATGGAAGAGGATCAAAAACGCTAGACTCGGATGTTGTAGAATGGATGAATGATGTATGTCTACTCTACTTGCCTGCCCACTGCATTCCGTACTGTAGATACTACAGCTACTGATAGTAGTACTGGGGGTAACTATCCGTGAAATCACCTTAGACCACTACCACCTACTCATGTCTGACCCAGTATCGAACAGGAAGCTCTTCTCCTAGTCGAGAGGCCCTTCAAGCATATCGTGACAATAATAATTATTTATTTCTCGTCGTATATCCATCCTTTGACGGCTTACTTACTACGAAAATCATCTACAATCCTGTGACCGGCACTGAGGGCCTTTTAGGTGTACACAGTCTCCATCATCGTTCCTTCAAGGACCGACGCGACCAGAACGCCCCGTCAAGGTGTTTCACTTGGGTGATCGTGACCTAAGGGGGGCCTTGGCTGGGTATTAGTGTTCGATGTCATCTGCCCTCGTCGTAACAATGGCGAGGTCACGGCGGACCAAGGCGACTGCAGAGATCAGATGTGGTTCTTGAGAGCTGCAATATCGGTGGTCGTGGGAGCGTAATTGAGGAGATCCAGATTGATAGTCTGGCAAGTCCACGGAAGAATGGTGGCTGTGGGCACATGACCGATGACGATTGGCGTATAATCATAGCCTCCCACCACGGCTACTACGCAAATCGGGCTTTGTAGAGGGAAGAAAAAGAACATTAAAACAATAAGGTCGCTGGTCTGTCACTCCCGAAGATGCGGATCGTAAATCATGGCCCAGGCAGTCACGCCTTCACCAGAGCCGTCAGGAGTAGGCCAGCCATGAGCGTCGACCTTGTCCTTCCCCACAACGATTTCCTCCACCACGCGGAAGCCGTAACGCTCATATAGCTTGACAGCCTGCCGCGACGTGGCTTCGAGCCATGCCGGGACGTGTTCGGCACGAGCGCGTTCCAGAAATGGAGTGATGACCGCATTGAGACTTCCTGGGACCCGGGGCCTCGAAGGGTTGCGAGCCAAGAAGGAGAGATGATAATAGGGTCTAATCCGGTGTTGTTGTTCAGGTTGTTCATAGGAACCTTGGGTGTGGTCGCCGTTTGCGCACGAGTCAGACGAGGACGAGCCCGACGCCTCGGAATCAGTAGTGGAAGAAGAGGCGGGTGTCGACGTGGACGTCGAGGGTTCTGGTTCCGCGGCCATATACTTTGCCTTTGCGGCCTTGACCCGAGCTCGCCATTCCCTGGGCAGCGCGCCCGGCTGAGCTTTTGAGTCGATGAATGCCGTGCCTTGGGAATTGGGAGCCTCCCATAACGCTATGGCAGACCAGTTGCCTGCCTGGACTAGTTCGGCGCCCGACGTGGCGCTTTCGATGATGCCTTTGGCAAAATGTCGCTCTCGCCGCTCTCGGGGGATGCTGTGCGAGGGGGGATTCGTCCCATCATTGTCGGTTATGAAAGCGTTGGTGAGAGCAGTTGCATGAAAAGCGTCAGTGATGATGTTGATGAAGTGGTTGAGGTCCTCAAAGGAGTCGGCAGAAATTCGTGTATAGGGTATATTGGTGTTCTTGGTGTTGTCGGTGTTGGTGTTGTTGGTTACGATGGAAGAGGAAGGAGGGTCCGATGATAGCGCCATTATTGTTGGTGCGAATACCGGCCGGACAATGTAGGTTGTTGGGTGTCGTTTCAGTGTAGACTGTAGTAGGTTTGCTCGTAAAGTCAAGGATGGGCTGATACTGTAGTAAGATGAGCAGTTATGATGTTCTTTACGTGTGGATAGGAGATGAGTATACGGATGCGGGCAGAAGTCCCAGAACGAACGAGGGTGGCACCAGAAACGCGAGCGGAGCGGAAAGCAAAGGGAACGACAGGATGACAAGGCTGGTCAAGAGCGGAATGGAACGATGGCTGATCCACATTATTCCCACGGGCTGGTTTGCAGCTGCCTGTCAGCAGAGGAAGGCCCTGCGGACAAGAGTTGTCCAGCGTGCTCTTTGTTCGGGCGTGTCTCATCCTTTTTTTGCTTCCCGCGAGTAAGCGTGGAAGATGCCGTGTCGAGCAGCGCCTTGTGACTTCGGCGGGTGCCGATGTCACGTTGATGTCCGAGTCCGAAGCCTGGACAGGAGTTAGCATAGAGTAAGAGAAACACGGTCTCTGCGTCATTGCGACACTGTGATGACTCGAGACCTGGGGATGGCGGCCTGGTGTGCCGGAAACCACCTGCTCAAGTTGTAGAAACACAATATGCAGGGAACAAAGAACTTGAAGCGAGAGAGCAAAGACAAGCGAACAAAGAGAAGGATTACAGTGGTTTGGGTTGATACTTACAATTTCCATTCTGAGATTAGTTCCAGCTACTAGTACAGTATGCTAATGTCGACCTCTCCTACTTTCCACCGTTGTCCCAGCCCATCTGCAAAGAATTTTACCCGCCCATTACAATGGAACCATACGTGTCCTTGTGTAAAGCACAATTCGACGTTCTGGACCAAGATCGCATCTGGGGATTCGAGACGTTGTGGCATCGTTGGCCTACCTACGAAGCAACAACATCCCTACAAACCGTTAGCGACAATTATGCATGCTCTCGAGGGAGCCCTGCTGAACCGTCTCTAGCGGCGTGGAACTCTTTCCTTGACTTTGGTGTAGACGGTTTGGGTGCTGACAACTGAGACAGTTACACCACCAGCGTTGAAAGTGACCTCGTCTCTTATCTCACGGGCCTGCACTGCAGAACGCTCGACGTGATCGCGGTCTTCCCGTTGCGCCGTCCGAACAACTTCTTGTCTTCGCGAAGGTCGACCTTGAGTTGCTTCATAGCGGTCAGCTTTGACAACCTCAAGTCCTTCAGCTTGTTTCGATGGACGTGTCGAACCGCGTGCTGCATAGGCTCCTTGTCTTACCACCAATGCACGGCTATCGCCTGGGGCATAAGCTTTCGAGTCTCGCTGAGTTTTGATGTAATCGTCGTTATGAGAACGGACGGGCATTGCCATATACTGGCCAGGTTGGCTTCCGCTTCGTCCCATGGTTGACTCTTCCTCAACAACTGTTCGGATCGTTTGTCGACAGACCTTACAGTGGCGATCTTCAACATATTCACTCACACGCTGTTTGGTCGAGGGTAAGCTCAACATACCATGTTTTCTGCAGCTTTTGTCGAAAGTGACTGCTCGCTTGGGATTGTCCTTGAACATGGAACTCTTGAGCTGAGTTTCTCGACCTGCTTGGCGACACCCCGCGCAGAGGAGGTCGGTGAGGATGATGCTGCACTTACACATGGCTGATATCGGGTAGGTTGAATAGAAGTGCCGGCCTTGAAGAAAACGGGTAAGTTAGGTGATGGGCTGTGTTGTCGACCACGAAACTCGACGTTCTCTCAAAGGCTGGCTTGCAGGTATGAGGAAAGACCAATTCCCCAGACAGAGGAGAGAACATGCGTCCTTAAATAGGCCATTCCAGGGCAGTAGGCCTGAGACAGTCTGCATAGCAGCATCAATGCAGTGAGTGCCTCGAAAGAACCCGAGTACAATGCTTCGAGAACGATGAACTGCCGGGCCTAAGCAGTTGAAAGGGACAATAAATCAAAGACAGTCATTTCACAAAAGAAGGTGGCATGCACAGACAATGCCCCTTGTGGCAGTACACCCCATACATCCTCCGGCATAACTCTCAAAGACATTCCTTTGTATGAAAATGTCATTGCCTTGGTCTCACACGGCCGAACATTGAATTCGAGTGTGTGTGGGGGATTGAGAAACCAACACCCCAGCGGCTGCTGCCATGAGCTTTGCCAGTTCCGCTGCCAATGTCTACTGTCCTAGCAGTGACATGGCAGCTAGAGAGATGAGCATATGGCAGCGACTTCTGCAACTTTTCTTCCTCCACCATCCACCGCCGCCACCAGCAGCGCCCTGCAGGGCTGCAAAGGCAATTCCTTTCGGCGACGGGTGGTCTATACATAAAGAGGATACGCACAGCCCGTCTTTGGCTGCTATCATGGTCTCTGCGCAGGGTCATCCATTCAGTCCGATATTGCAGTCACAATCTCGCGCTGCAACGGATTGTTGGCAAGTACCGATCATCCCCATTAATCCAAGGCCGCACGTGAAGGGACCGAGAAAGCGAAAAGCCCCGGCCAGAATCGTCTTCACTGGAGACCCTAGAAACCTTACCTCAGATCAAATAATTCATGCGATCAACCAGCCAAGCCAAAAGCAAAGTCAAACCCTTCACGACCCAGCCCTTGGGACGGCAGATCAAGACAAAGCGGGATAGGAACCTGTTGAACAGCCCAAGCTGCTGGCTAGATACCTGGTAATGAGACTGTTCCCCCAAAAATTCAGATCCAGGTCCCTCGAGCCTGCTACTCCCAGTAATAGATCTGTCATTCCCTTATCTAGAATCAATCGCCGAAGTGCTGTTCATAGACCAACTAGCTAAGTAGATTGCGAGCAGAGGTGCCACACTAACACTCTCCTTTCCTGATGGCGACATCGGAATTTAAAGGCCCTAGCATAATCTCCTGTAGATAAACGACACATCGATCTGCAGGGACACCAAGGCATAGCGGGTGAGAGCCGTACGCGAGACACGGACTTGTAGTACTGGTCAGAGGGTAGAACGTATACCGACCTGGCAGGACGATGATCAATGGGGTTCCAGGGTCTTAATCTCCCCATGATCCAGAGGCATGAGATTGGGGTCGATCTCTCCTGCTCGGACCAGTCTCATCGCGGAAACTACAAAGTGGGTTTGATATCCGAGTATTCGCGGACAGCCACGCAAAGGTCTTTGCCGGGGCCTTCTGGTTCTACTGGCCAAAGCATTGTAGCGGGCACGGGCATCCGGGTACGTTTCGGTGGAGTCTGCTTGCGCAGCTCTGTTGCGCTTTGAATGACAAGGATCGCGGGAGAGAGAACAAGAGCTTGTAGAAATCTACTACCTGAAAATGAAAGAAAATCAGATTCGAAAGCATTATGCTTCCCTTAATCAGGATTATGGGGATATAACAAGGTATTTAATTCTAACAATGTCAAAATAGACCCCGGCTCCCATGTCCAGCATGTAAAAGATGCGTCTGCAGTAGTACCTAGTGCAGTGGTGGTACCTTTAGCCGTTCTCAAGTCAATGACTGAGCAGGACAGGATATTTTTGGGTGTTGTAGTGCCCGTGCATGTGCTTTGGGCGATGGTTGCGTGTGCATGTTTCAGATCTTGTATCAGACTCAGCCATTCCAGCCATTGGTGTGAGCCACACAGTCGGCCGGTTCCAGTTGTCAAGAGATCGCGGCCCCAGTCTTTCGGGCTCAGCAGCCAGTGCTGATGCACTGCTGAGTTGATGGGCAGGGAAAAATTAGAGTGGAGGATCAGGATGTGCAGGGGGGAGGACGCACAGGAAAAACAGGTCCTGGGCTCCCCTAGAATTTTCGGCGGTGCCGATCAATCATGACCCGAGAAACGCCAATTTTTTCTCCAATTCCGGGGCTGAGGACGCCGTTGACGCCTGTAAGACACCCAAGAGCCTCAACTGTGGGCGGGGATAAGCATTGAAGCCCCGGCGTGGTGGGCTAAGACAGCTGCTAGGCATTGGAGGACAGCATTCGACAGGCCACCGGCATCACCCTGGCACTGCAGATGCTGGCTCAGGGCACCAAACAGCGTGCACTGGCAGCCCACCGCCCGTTACCGAATGGACTGGGGGCGTGATTGGAGGCTCGGGGCATGTTGCATGCATAAGAAAATCCTTAGGAACCTCATCTGCATAGATGCTTCTTGAATCACGCTCACGACAGCTCACACAAACAGTACTAGTATTCCTCATCATCCGCTTGTCTTTCAATTTCACTTCGAGTTCAGTATTCCTGCTTTGTCCTCAATTATTCACAGTCTCTCGCTTGTTTTCTTTTGCCCGCCTTTTTTCCAATACCACGCTTCACTGATCCATCTAACCACGTTCGTTGAGCCCTTTGTCACACCGCAACTCACAAAGTCCATTGTGAGAGATATTGCACAGGACTACCTGGTGTGACTCGGGGCAATCCTCCGCGGAATCTATTTGCCCTCCACGTAAGCACACTCCTCTCCGGCAGAGGATCTTGTGGGAACGCAGGGAGACATCTCCAGTTACCCGTAGACCGAGTTGTGCACAGGGCCCGATTATTTATTTGGGGCTTCACTACCCACACAGTCTGTTCCGCGTCGCCCTGACCCTCTCTGACATCACCCGACTGCAATGTCACAGAGAAGTTATAGCCATTACAGAAATTTCTCAAGAGAAGGATTCCAACCGCTGAGGCATCAGACATCGAGGGAAATGGCCTCCAACCCTAACGACGTTACCATCGACATCCCGCTGACCAAGGTCGGCACCTCCGGCAGTCGTACTGGCGCCCGCAAGCCGGATGGCTTTACACCTGCACCAGCACCACAGAGTTCAGACACTCCCGAACCAATGGACGAGAAGCAGTCTCATCACTTCCTTAGAGGAGGCCCTGCAGGCAGACGGAGGAGACGGGACCAGCAGGTGGAAGGGAACAATGACAAGGACGAGGGTGGTTTGAACGCTGTTGGCAGACTCTACCGAAAAATCTACAACTTCTCCGTTGTCACGAGATATTTCATCTACGTGGCACCCCTTGCTGCCGCCATTGCAGTGCCCATCGTCGTCGGCGCCACGGTCGCAGAAGGAGCAAGAATCGGCGGTGTCAAAATTGTTTGGTTCTTCAGCTGGATTGAGGTCGTCTGGATATCGCTATGGGCATCGAAAGTGTTGGCCCGGTTTCTGCCCTATCTGTTCCAATATTTCACAGGAGTGGTCAGCACGGGAACCAGAAAGTATGCGCTCCTCTTGAGAGCTCTCGAAATACCTCTGTCGCTGGTGGGATGGTCGATCTGTTCTCTCACCACCTTTGTGCCCATCATGACTCTCAATCCCGACCAGAGAGCCAGGGGCGAGACAAGTTTGAAAGATTGGGAGTCGGTGGTCAAGAACATCCTCTTTGCATGCGTCTTCTCGACCCTGCTGCTTCTGTGCGAAAAACTGTTCATCCAACTGCTTTCCATCAGCTACCACCGCAAGCAGTTCTATGACAGGATCAAAGAGTCTAAGCGTCACGTTTATCTTGTCACCTTGCTGTATGACGCCTCTCGACAGCTCTTCCCGATGTATTGTCGCGAGTTCGCCGAGGAGGATTACCTGATCAACAATGTGCTTGATCTGGCGGCCCTTACCAGCAAGCGCAACAGTTTATTCAATGGTCACAAGAGATCGGGTTCGGCCACGCCCATGAGACTCATTCAGAATGTTGCGCGAATAGGCGATAAGGTCACCTCAGCTTTCGGCAACGTGGCGCAGGAGATTACCGGAAAGCAAGTCTTCAATCCCACTGCTTCGCATTCCGTTGTCGTCCAAGCTCTGGAGAAGAAGCATTCGGCCGAAGCACTTGCCCGACGCTTATGGATGTCATTTGTGCTTGAAGGTCGAGAAGCGCTTTACCTGGAAGACATCATCGACGTACTAGGCGAATCGCACGAGGAGGAGGCACATGAGGCCTTTGAGATTCTAGATGTCGATTGCAACGGTGACATCTCCCTCGAAGAGATGATTCTACGAATTACGGAATTCGGCCGGGAGCGCAAGGCCATTGCCAACAGCATGCACGATGTCGACCAAGCAATCCACGTATTGGACAACCTGCTCTGCTCCGTCGTCTTCATCGCTACCATCTTTATCTTTGTGGCTTGGCTCAACAAGAACTTTACCACCACCCTTGCCACGGCCGGTACCGCACTGCTTTCGCTGTCTTTCGTCTTTTCGGTCACGGCTCAGGAGGTTCTGGGTTCATGCATCTTTCTCTTCGTCAAGCACCCATTCGATGTCGGAGACCGAGTCGACGTTGGAGACAATCAGTATATCGTGGAGCGGATGTCACTTCTGTACACGGTTTTCCGCCGGGTCGCAGATCAGAAACGAACTCAAGTTCCCAACAATGTTTTGAACACGCAGTGGATCGACAACGTTTCGCGTAGCAAAGCGATGCGCGAGAGGATCAAGCTCTATGTCAGCTTCGATACTACTTTTGAGGATCTCGATCTCTTGAAGAAGGAAATGACCAACTTTGTCAGGGACAAGGACAATGCACGTGACTACCAACCCGATCTCGATATTGAAGTTACTGGCCTGGCTGAGATGGACAAGATGGAGCTGACGCTCGAAATCCGGCACAAGTCCAATTGGGCCAACGAGGCCGTTCGGGCCGCCCGGAGAAGCAAGTTCATGTGTGCGTTGGTCCTGGCTTTGCGGAAGATCCCTATCTACGGACCTGGTGGCGGTGCTCCTGCTGCTGGCGATCCCGCAAACCCAACATACTCGGTGGCCATCAGCGATGAGGAGGCGAAGAAGAACAAGGCTGCTTTTGAGGAAGAGAAAGACAAGAGCAGACTGGTTCCGCTATTGCCCCATCACAAGGCAGATACCCAAGCCCAAAACGTTCAGTCCCCTTCGACCGAAGCGCAAGGCTCTTCAAGCGGAGCGGAGACGAAAGAGGCTGCAGCAGTGGACCACCTGATCCGACGCAATGTTGCCGTGGATCCGGAAGAAACCCATGACCGCGAACGAGAGGTTGCCATGAGCAAGCAACGTTCGAACGAGCTCGAGGAAGTCCGGAATATCCTTCGACGCGAATCGACCACAGGTCGGCGTCGGGCAGCGGGACATACTGGTTTGTCTTTGACAGACAGTGCCGTGACCCGAATGGGATCGCGCACTATCCCAACGGTCCCTGATTCTTCGCCGCCAGAGCAGGTTGACGGGTCTGCACCCAGCCGAGTCGATTACTTTGAGGACTCAACAATCCGACCTACTGGTTCTCAGCAGATGCAGCAGCAGCAAGGATGGCCTTCTGTGGCGCCTCTTAACTATTATCAAGCATCAACCAGTGGCCCCGGACCTGAAGAGCAAGAAGAGGATGCTGGCTCAAGCAGGAGTCGTTATGTGCCAGGCAATGCCTTTTCTCAACAGGCCTATGCCTCTCAGCAACAACATCAGCAACAGCAGCAAGTTCCTCGAGTACCCGTCCCTGGCATGCCCGAGATGAAGAGAACACTGCAAAACAACGGCGGTCAGAGTCCTCCTCCGCCCACCAGATGAGGCAGGACATGGCATGACGTTTCCTTTACCGAAATTTTAGAAATGACCGAAACGAAGAATTAGACTAGGCGCGAGCCGTTCCATGCGAACCGTTGCAGGTGATCCGATGATGTGAGCACAGGAGACGATACCATGTGTTGTTGACAAGGTCGCCCTGATCCATTTTTGCTTCGACAAGCTGACTTTGAAGCTAACTGCGTGCTTCTTTCAATTTGTACATAATGTTTCGGAGCTTTTCAAAAGATCAGACGAGAGGCGGGGAGATTCAAGTACTAGTTTACGAATCAAAGATACATCCCCACCAACAAGTTGAATGTCAGTCAGACTCATCATGTTGACTTTTTTGTGATCTCATTTATATTTTATGCGGTTTTCATGCTGTGTAGTAATGGCCAGCCAAGACTGAGATGAGATCGATCGCCTATCCGTGTTATAGGCGCCGAAAATATCCGACACAATCGAATCAAAGCGGAGATGTTGTACAGTACACTTGTCAATGTGTACATGTAGGTAAGGTAAAGAGGACTCGGATCAAGCTCACCACTTGGTATCATGATGCGGACGGACACCTCAACACCAAGACCTCTGGTGCGCACCGCACGGCAGTCTTTCGGCTTCTTTCGACTCAATATCTCACAAACACTCCAGAAACGAGTCGCGAAGGACCGCTTCCACTGCCACTGCCGCTTGGGCTGCCGCTGCCGCTGCCTGTGGCCGTTCCAGCTCCGCCTCCGCTTCTCCCAGGCCCTTCATTTTCCGTTTCTTTTGAGCCACGAGGAGGAGACACGGATGTGTTGCCGGTTGCACTAGTATGGCTGTGACTGGTATGACTCATGATATTTGCTTCTTGGGTTTCTGCCCCGATTGTTTCAGGTCCGACTCCGACTCGCCGGCTGTCGATTGTCGTCGAGGACGACGTTGTTGTTGATCTGGGTGTTTCCCTTTGCCTTTCGTGCACTTGCACAAAGAAGGCTTGAGCTTGAGCCGCCTCCCCTGTTGTGAATTGAAGTCTGGAATCTCCTTCATCATCGCCACCGGTACCAGAGGCCTGACGTGCCCTCTGTCCTTTTCTAGGTGAATGTGATGGTCTCTGCAGCGACGACGACGGTTGGGTTTTGATTTTCTGGCTTCTTCTGTCTTCTTGGGGATCTGGCCTCGTGGACGATGACATGCTCATGTGGTAGTTGCTGTTGTTGGTGTTCCAAGGATAAGTATAAGGATACCCTGTAACGTGGCCTGGCCCGGAGGCGGCTATATGAGAACTAGGAAAGGGTTGCAGTTCTTCAGGGACTTCTCGCTGTCCTGGTACTTCTCCTTCTGGCAATCGTGGTCGTCTTTGTCCAAGGGGAGAATGGTGTGGATGTGATGATGTCGAAAAAAGAGCTGGTTCAGGTTGTTGGAAGAAGTTGTGGACTTGGATTTTGGTATGTGTGTCTAAGACTGCCACTGCCAGCAGTAGTGGTACTGGTATGTGATTGTCCTGACTGTCCTCGAGAGGAAGTGGAAGAGTATCTTCTTTGTCTAGATCTAGGCTGTTGTCTCCTTATGATCTTTACATTCCAATAGTGCGCCAGTGGTTTGGTTTCATATAGGTATCTCCACAAACTGAACGCGAGGGAATGTCTCGTGCACAATACACATAGATATATGTACAACTCAAAGGGGAGACAGATGAAATGATATACCACAAGAATGGAAAAGAAAAGGATATCAATCATAACATCTACCTTCCCTTACCTTACCTACCAGCATAACAGTTTTCCACCGCATTGCACTCACCGGCCGGCACAGGTCAGTCCTTGTGGAACCATGGTGGATTAGGCACCCAGGCACCTACGCACGTAGGGAAGGTAACGTACCTAGTTACCTCAGGCATGACTCCTCTCCTTTTCACTCACGTACCTGTCTGATCCACCACTACCAGAGTAAGCGAGTACTGTAGATTCTCTCATTGGCATACGAATCGGTTGTACCTAACCAACCAGTCATGCCGAATGGGCCAATGCGAGACTGACTGGCACTGCAGCGCAGTGCTACCATAAATATCAATCAGTGATTAATATCATATCATGTGAACTGGAGAGAAAAGCAGGCCCAGGGTTCAGGTTCCGGTCACCATCGGCCAGACCCGGCATGGCGTCTCCATGATGGGAATCCCGATGCGACACCACGGTCCAAAACACGAGTTAAAGCCCTTTATTCTATTACTACCATTGGTGCTGTTGCTGTTGCCTAGGAAGCAAGTCACGGTCACATGAACTGTGACATTCATGGCCTTTTGTATGGGCATACGAAGCAAGCAATAGCAACGAGAATTATTATCATTATTATTATCCTACGAGTATCTGGTCCCTCACCTGGTATTTGTGATTGGGACCCCAAGTTGACGAGTGAAAACCCGCGCACTGGGAAAACCCCCTACTATCAGATGGATGGTTGCCTGGCTGCTGTGATGCAATGCGGATATGAATATCCGAACCTACCTACCTACCTACCAGGACTGCCTTGATTAGCATCTCGCATTGACAATACTAGTGTGTCTCGACCATGGAAACCGGGAACGGGATCGATTACAAGGCTACCCTAGGTACCTATCTTCCCGGAGGTATGTTCGCAGCAAGCCTTGGGTACCTACCTACCTAAACATTCCGACATTTCACGATCGAACGGGAAAAGAGAACTGTGGATGAAACCTTGCAATGATTCCAATAAAAGAACAAAGACCATTCATTGTCTTGTACCTCCAATAAGTACCGTTCATGTTTGTTGCAGATCATACTATTCATGCCGAGCCCGAGTCGAATTTCTGTCGCGTGGCCATCACTTCGCTTCGTCTTCGCTTCTGCCTGAAGTCAAAATAATCTTGTTCCATCTGACCCCACTAGTACCTACTGGACCCTGGTCATGGAATCGCTTGTTGGACCCGATGGTAAGGCAGACATGTCATCTCACACACTAACACTCGAAATCCCAATAATAATGGGTTGTGGGAAGATCGATGCATATCGACACTCACATTACTACCTAGGTACTGGTGTCTGCCCAATTTAAACGTAACCTGTGTTCCAATGTTCCTGTCAGCTGCCTGAGTGTGGGGAAACGTCATTCCTACCCAAAAATAAAATACTATAGCAGTGCCTAGGTAGCCCTCAACTATTCCATACCGGTACTAGTCCCTTGGTGGTAGTTGCCCAATCATAGACGTCCAGCATGTAAACAAAAAGAATTAAATATATCATCTCTCTTGAATATATTCGCCCGAAGTCTCGACAGTGATAAATAGAGGGAGGAATCGAACCTGACAGCTTTCTGTCCAGTGACGATTAATACCAACGTAGTGGACACAGACCCGTCTGCCATTGCATGTTCTACAACGCTGTGTATGTGCTTCTCTGTAAACAAACTCCAAACCGACGCCGACCTGAATAGTCATCATCATCATCATCCTCCGAAGTTCATGATCTCTCCAAGACCTTCATAGTACTAGTAATCATGTGCAGAGTTTCGCCAATCCAATGCCAACTCCGACCCTCCGTTCCCATAAAATGCCAGACAATGCCACAGAACGACGTCGAAACATGTAGACGCCGTCTTGCCAAGAATCATTTGCCTTCACCCGCATGTGCATTTGTCACAACTCCAAGGCACAACAAAGTTGTAGTCCGGTATAAATCAATCCGAAGCGCCTCATCGATGATTCGCCAATCAAAAGTTCTCCATGAATGCTTTCCGAACAGTCCACATTCTGGCCCTCTTGCCGTAAACATACATGGGGATCGTGGTAAGCAAACAAGCAATCTGGATGCCCCCAATGGCCAGAAAGGTCGACTTTGGCCCATTACTCTGTAACCAATGAGCGAAGAACAAACTGAAAACCAGACCGTGGAGGATGTTTTTGCTGAAATTTAGCGTCACTAGCGCTTCACCCGCATACTGTCTGTAGCTGTCGACGCAGAAGGTAATGGCCGTGGTGCTTCCCAGACTGCAGCCAAACGAAATAATGCCAAAAAAGACGGTGGGCACAATCCAAGCGTCCCGCTCTTGGGCCGACCATCCAAACCCCATCAGTCCTATGACGGTAGTGAAGGCCATTGGAATGCCCATGACAAGTCGAAACTCAGGCTCGTACACACCGCCGTTACGGCGCGACATGTACTTCACGATAACATCAGAGATCTTGCCGGCGACGGCGGTTCCTAAAACGCCACCAATGAAAGGCGACAGATAAACCAATCCAGCACCCATGGCGGAGAAGTTGTAGGTGTCGCGTGATCGATAAATGTCCGAGATGGCTTCAGAAAGGACGATGAGCCATCCAACCGACAGAGAATAGACAAGCGTAGACCAAAGCACACTCGGATACGCAAACAAAATGAATGGTCGACAGGCGACCAGAAACCAGTTCGACTGTGACAGTCTCCCGTTCCACGGCTTAAGCGTAGCCACGTAGGATTTTGGTGGCGCATGTTTCAGGTGATGAGTGTACTTGAGGCTGGGCGTGGAAGCAGCGTCGTCTGCACTCGGGCACTTCTCCAAATCAGCCTCACTGGTGGTCGAGACTGGCATTGATGTACCAGTCTCCTGTTGCAACATATCTGGTCGAGTCGCGGGGTGTGTGTTGGCTTGGGCCGCTGGAGTGTCATGATGATTGATATAGTCGTCATTCTTTTCAATCTCAACATAGTACGGAGAATTGAGATTGTGCAGATGGGGCAATGGCCGTTCAACCTCGGCGGCGCTTGCACCTAGGGGACCGGTGTGTTCGAAGGTTCCATCATCACCCCTAGAACGTGGGTTCAGATATGGTGGAGGTGGTAAAGATAGCCCGGTCGGTCTGGCTTTTCTGCGAGTTGCCGGTGCAGCGGCTGCCGGACTGCCTTGATCTGGGACATCCTGCGTCCCATCCATTTGGTGAGGCGCCTTCGACACAGCCATGTCCTTCTCGTCCACGCCGGACGGGAGCGGAGACGAAGAGCCTTCGGGCCTTTTCTCTTCTGCCTCATCGGCAAAGGCGTCTTCAAACCGGGCATGTGCGTTCTGTTGGTGTAACATCTGCTGGCGAGGTGTCAAGGCCTTCTCAAGGGCCGCTTCCAATTTGGCCGCATCCATTGGCTCAGGGGTCTGGGGCATATTTGTTTTACTGTGGTGGAAAGGGTGATGGACCAGATTGGTGAAACTCCGTCGAGCAGTCGAGAGCCTGGATTTAGGTCTGGGCGTCCTGTCCCAGAACGTCTCCGGCACAAAAAAGAACAGCAGACACAAGCCAAAGCCTACAACAATGGTGACGATCCAAAACACCCATCTCCAACCTTTCGCCTGGATGATGGCCGCGCTTACCAAGGGAATCAAATTCTTCCCGCCCAGCAGGAGCAGAGTGTAAATCCCGAGTCGAAAGGCCCGCTCGTGTAGGAAAAAGATCTCCGCGATGGTTGCCGAGGGCAGGCACTCCACCGGACTGACGGAGATGCCCTGGAAGACTCTCGCCGCAGCCAGGTGGCCGTAGCTGGGAGCCTTTGCACACCAGAGGGAGGTGAGGATGAACATGACAGCGGAACCCAGATAAACAGGACGCTTCCCGTACAAAATGGCGGTGGGGCAGAATATGACACTTCCGATCCCAAGACCCATCATGTAGAAACCAGTGGTCAAGGCTACCTGGGAATACGCGACATCGTATGTGTCGGCGACGTCGTTGAAACCCGCGGCAAGGATCGGGGTCATTCCTCCGCCGAGCATGCAGTAAAACCCGAGAGAAAGCAGTGCAGCATCTCTCCTCCAGGCCGGCCAGTTGAGGGGATCATTCGCGGAATCAGACGGCTGAGGCTCCAATATCAACTGTCCATCTTTTGTCCTTTTGGTGGAGGAGACAGACAGGCGTCTAGGGGTCGAGGACTGAGAGAGCGAGGTACGTCGAGGCGTCAAAGGTTGAGGAGGCATCGAGGAGTCAGCCTTTGGGGCTGGCTGTATCTCAACACCCAGAGGCTCATTGCGTTTTGCAGAGAGAAGCAAGACCGTGCCAGGCACTTCCTCCGTCTCTTTGTCATTTAGAATACCCAGACTCCACTTCTCGATGCGTCGTTTCGGCATATCCTTGACGGACTGGTCGGACGAGGTCAACGGCGGAGAAGTTGCTCTTCCTGAGTGTTCGGGGGGCCCAATTTGGGCCGCGGACACATTCTGTGCCATGCTGAGATTGCGGCCTGCGGCGGGTGTCTGTGGGAGCCGTGAGAGGAGGACTGGAGGGGGACAGCAATGGTCCGGAGACACAATTCGGTCAAGACGCTTCCATTTGAGTAATCACGTCTAGGCAACGGAAGCGAGCGGAGCTGGAGATATGCAACAGCTGGTGGTGTCAGCCTGCGGTGCAGTGGTTGTGTAGAGATATCAGCCAGACAGGGATAGAGCGTTTACAACAACAGGACGGAACGGGTCCCTGCGTAGGAGGACCACCACAGAACTAGGAATGTATTAGAGGCGGGATAACGATATGGATAAAGGAGAGTAATATATTGAATGAGAGAGAATGAGGACAAAGAGCCGGTAGTGGTAAGTAGGGTCAACAAGAACAATAATAACAGAGAATAACGATGGAGACTGTGAAGAAATGAGCCGAAGTAGATCGTTGTTGATCAGGAAGCCGCAACCGTCTTGGACTTGGTCTTGGATCCTTCGAGTCTTGACCCTGCGCTGCGGATGATCTGCTGTGGATATGGATATACACTGCCAATACACTGCCAACTGAAGTAGTCGTATATGCTATGCTGCAGTGTCCTCGACTTCCACATTATTCTCTGCATGCCTCTTATCTTCCTTGTGCCGGCTGTCTCCTATCATTCATCGCTGTTGGCATGTAGCGGTGTTGCCTAGATTCTTCTTGACCACAAGGGAACCGACGACGAATGCTCTACTGCTGACACCGCCAGGTCGGACGTCAGGATCCCATCTAGCACCGACCACCATCCACGGTCCCTCTCGCTTCTTGGTGTTGTTTTGAAGACGCCAGTGGGCGGCACCCTCACGTCACATTGCATGCTGTGGTACTAACCCAGGCTAATCAGCAGCATGTCAATCTACAGTACCAGACTACCATGGAGTAGGGCTCCTTGGGCTTCAATCGGCCCCCTTGGAATCTGCCATCCCACGCGCATCCCTGCTCAATCCCACTTGGCGCCCTCCGCGTCGAGGCTTCTGGCTCGCTTTCGAAATCCGCCTGATACTGTATGGTCTCCGGCCCCCCACGGATCAAGTGCAGCTGTGCAGTGCGCGTGCGCGTGCGCGCTGTCACTGCGCTTGATAGTGGCGGCCCACAAGATCAGAGCCAGCTGTGACAGGCTCCATCATATGACTGCACCTGAAACCCCGAGTCTGTGCTGGCATGTGTACGTTGCAAGAAGTGAAGGGGGATCAGCGTCAACAACAACACCATTTTCATTATCCAAGAGAGCAGAGCCGACACATGGATGATTGCGAAACATGTCATCTCTCCTTCTAGCGCATGACCATCCAGACCACTTGAACGTCTCCAAGCTGTCCCTGCATCTAGGCGGTGTATCCAGCTCGTTCCGGCCGCATTGGTACTACTGTAAAGTGACCGCCACCAAGCGGCCATGCACAAATGAACATCTACGCGCGTGTCACGAGGCTCGCAAGCTGTGTCCGAACACATCCGTCAAATGGCAGATGGACAAAGACCGAATTCGCTCGATTTATTTCTTGATTCTCTGTTATTCTCAAGGTCGACCCAGGCTCAACCTCAACCTGGGTCATGCAAAGTTTGTCCAAATGTGGTCCTTCCACAAAGAGCGCATCACCCAGAATGTTGTAGTATGCAAACGCATTCCTCATCTCGACATCACAACATACATATCGTAAAATGGTGTGTGCACCACGCAGCAATTAGATCAAAGAGATATGTTCCTTTCTCGCAAGCATCTCAGTGTAAGCTCGCAGAAAACGGTCTGCTACAGTCATTTATGCCGAGCGCCGAAAAGTCCCAATCCAAGCGACGTTTCGCTCTCCTTGGCGCTTCCATTGTCCAGAATCTCCCATACACGAGGCTTCCAATCTCCCAGCACACCCTTTCCTTCTTTAATCATTTGCAATCCCTGACCAACATCACGCACCTGTGTGGAGCCCATCATGTTGACGCTACCGAATAAGTGTCTCATCCGCCTGTCCTGTAGCTTGTCTTTCAACGCTTTGGCGCCCATCATTCTCACCTCGTCGCCGACATTGTCGATGATAGTGGCCATGACGTCGAAGGTGAAGTCGAGCACCTCCTTGACCTTTTGTTGGTCTTCCGGGTCGGCCGAATCGGTCGCTGCCGTGGTAATGGCTGGGTGTGTGGCTATTGAAGCCAGTCGCACGAGTAGCTGTGCCTGTTCCGCTTGCGCTTGTTTTGCATTCGCGCCCGGAGCAACTGCGGAACATAATGCCAGCCGTTGTAGACACACCATCTGGAGCAAATATCGGAAGTGACCCATGATCATTCCAGAGATGACACCATACCCAGCTTCGGAGCTGCCTGCAGCAGGGCTGTAAGTCGGAGCCATCATCTGCGGAGCACTCGTGTTGATAGGTGAGGGCGAGGGTCCCGCAGCCGTAGAAGAAGCCGGAGCCAAAGGGTTGACTCCGAGGGCTTTGAGGTGTTGCATTAACTTGTCTATCAACTGGGCCATGAAGCCGGGCATAGGACTCGTTGAACTTGTGCAAAGAAGATATGCCCGTTCGGTTATCGAGGACAAATGATGGACGTCGCTGGAAAATAGAGCCGTCACCGGACTGGCGGCCTTGTTCGGTAGAGATTTGGGCAAGGCTTCGAGAAACTCGCTCTCGACCTGATGCCGTAGCTGATTGGCGACACCGACGTCCACTGATTCCAGTAGTTGGGCATACCAGCGATGGCCTTCCTCACTGCCGGGCGGCTCTTGTAGCATTCGGCCTAGCATTTCTGACAGAACCTGGACAAGTTCGTCCTGGTCGTAGCCGGTAGACTGATCTGGCATTGTTCGGGAAGCAAGCCAGAATCGCAGCTGCACAAATCGATGAGAAAAGACGTTCATAGACCCAACAAGCGCTCGCATGTCTCCAGTCTTGCCAGCTGCACCTCGACAAAGCAAGCGATCGAGTGCAGCCAGGAGCCACTGTTGTGCTGCAGGGGATATCGTGGACGTCCTGAATGTATCGTCTTTGACAAGGGAAGACAGCAGCGCCTTCTCGATTGGCGCCAACGCAGACTCAAGGCCGATTTCATAGAGAATTTCTAGTGCAGAGCTTGGATATTCTTGGACGTATTCAAGCCACCTACTCCGGGCTCGATATTCGACCAAATCAGGCAACGATCCTTCCGTGGGCAGGCTGATATGCTGTAAGAGGATTCGAGCGGCAGGGCTTTTCCAAACTCCTGAATTGGACTCGGATATTACTCCCACCAGGCCAACAAAGGTCGTACAGTGGGTCCCTACAAGGCTTTGAAGCAGCAAGGCTCCAAAATTTCCATCCACCGACGGTACGAGGCGAGCAACCCATTTCTGAATCAGCGAGTCTCCTTGGACTCTCCTGCACAAGCGCAAACGGCTCAGTAGATGGCAGAAGGACACGACCGTTTCTGAATCATAACCGAACTTCTGCTGTTTCTCGATGCGGTCCACCAAAACTGCAAAAAGGCCATTCATCGTTTGCTCGTTCATGTTGGGTTCGGATTGGAGGATAGCCTCAAAATCTTCGACAAACGTGGCGCCGGCTTGCTGCAATGATTCGGCAATCCCATCGCTGTACGGAGAACAGGCAGCAACCGCACGTCCTCGATCGCCTTTGACGAAATCTTGCTGCAATAGTCTTGTCGTCGGCGCTTTGACTGGGTACGCTGTGCAGAGATCGAGCAACGTTGAGGTAAAAAGGGGCATGGTCGGTCGAGAAGCCCGCCATGTTAGGTAAACTTGGCACATTCGGTGTTGAAGAACCTCAAATGCCCCGATCGCGGAAAAGACGTCTGCGTGAAAGTGTATTGTTGCAACAAGGGCCGCGATCACATCTTCGTCTGGTGACGAGGACAAGAGTCCTATTACATCAGCCAACACCGCATCATCCTCCATGCGCTCGAGAACTTTGCGGACGAGTGCAAATTGCTCGACGTTGAAGACTCGTGATCCTGGCAGTGCAGGAGCAGCTGAACCTCCAGGTGCGTTCCCAATTGCCCGCGCCCACTCAGCAACCTTGCCGCGCAGCCACATAGAGAGTCGGGACTTGACTGTCCATGGAATTGATGAAAACGCAGGCTCTGGCTTCCTGACTCGAGAAGGTTTCCGTCCGGGGGCTAATGAGGCCAATTCTTGCTCAATGTACTGGACGCAGTCGTGGAAGACATTGTCCTCTGATTCGGGGTTAAAGCCGCAACCGCGAAGAACGGAGTTCCGCAGGTTGATGACATGGTCCTTGACATTGTGCAAGGACACGTGAAGCAGCAGATGACTCGGGTCCGCCTGATTCTCAAGGTTATCCGATACTGAATCCAAACCAGATCCCAAGGCGCCTTTTTGCGGAAGCCCTCGAACCATGAGCCATTGCATATACTTGGCCAGAGGAAACAGGCCCGATCGAGAGAGTTGCGCTGCCAGATGCTGTAAGGCTTTCTGATCCACTGTGTCTGCATAACATCCGTTCCTGCAGTCAGAGAGGTAGTTCAGAATTATATTGTCGATATCATGACCCATGCGTTGCCACCGTCTCGCCAGGCGGGCGAAAAGATAAATTCGAGACCGGCAGTGCCGAAAACGCGTGCAAACCCACTCCAAACATGTGGTCATCAGCTGAGTAGTATCACCACATGCTGCGCTGAGCTGTTCAGCCAGCTTTGGAAGTTCATATGAATCGTGGGTAGAATCAAGGATTTCCACAACCATTTCACGGGCGGTGTGCTTGGTAGTGGAGGCCTGCTTGTTTTGCCCCATGGTCCTCGCATTGATAAAATCGAGTCGTTCCAGCAATTGAGTTTCGTGTTGGGAGGTGGCATCGAGGCAGGCCCGTACAGAATCAACGATTTGTGGCCACTTCTCCGGCATCAAAAAGCACTTGGGCCATGCCAGAATCAACCACCGGACTGTATGACGCAGTTTTTGCCGCAGGGAGGTCGTATTGAGGGCAGATGGTTTGTTGACCAGTTGGAACTTGTCAGCCAGCGCTTCCGCGAGCTTTCTACCACGTTTCCGATAGTAGCTCAAGTCCTCCTTGTATATGTGGATAACCATCAGCCAGAAAGGCGTGTGAGCTAGGTCGGCGGTGTGAAAAGAGCGTAGTATCCAGTCCAGGTAGTGGTCTCGATCCAGCAAATTCTCCATGTACAGGCGCGTGGTAAGACGCAGCGCATATTCAATGTTTGATATCCACTCTTGTTGCTTCGTTTGTTCGAGATGGGCGGCCACAAATTGCTCCACGCTGACCGTCCATTCACGAAGCCATTTGCTTTCTGTGCCAACAGCGATTGCAGGAGTAGTCCCCTTTCGCTTCAGAGTCCGGATCTCGTTCGCACAGACGCATTTGGCGAACCATATGGCACGATTCAGGGGGACAGAGCCTTGCAAACACTGGTCCAGAAGGACCTGGCCCCGGATACCCTGCGGGATAGTTCGACTGAGCCTCCTTAGCGGGACATCTGCATTGGCCAAATCTGCAATCCAAGACTTGCGTTTTGCTTCAGTCAACGTAACTCGAGGTGGCGGCCTGAAAGTGGAGGCGGAGCTGATCAGGCCATGTCGATTCTTGCGCTCTAAGACGAAGGAAAACAGTAAGGACAGGTTCTCCACTCCAGCCTTGTGTTTGAACGCATTATACAGCGGGCCCTTTGCAGTATTCAACTCCTTCTCCGGTGGATTGGGTGGCTTGTCGTAGAATCCTTGCTTCACATTGGACTCGCTCAAAACATCCTCAGGATGCTTCCCTGTCCATGGGAAGTAGCCGGCTGGCTTCTTGGAGACAATGTAAGGTGCCGACGATGGGAGTCGTAATGAGTCGGGTGTATTTGGGACTGGTATTTTGACGCGCGAGCGATGGGTTGGTTTGGGATCTTCAGGTTTTCTCGACTGCTGGACGTGACTCCATGGGCGTGCTGGGAGTTCAGGCACTTCGTCGCCATAGTCATCGTCCCCTTCCTGCTGTCCTTGACCGAAATGGTCATCCGTGTTAAGTACCACTGGCTTGACTAAGCGTAGACGAGGCACATTCGGGTCATGGAAGGATCCAGGGCTTTGGGCGACCGGAGTCTCATTACTGGCGCTGGAAGCCTGGCTCGTAGTTGAATCCCCTTCTATCTTGCGTCGCTTTGCTGGTCGAACATCTTCATGCAGATCATTCTTCTTCTGTAAACTCGGTGCCCTTCTTTCGATCGGAGTGTGCGCCTTCGTTGTAGGCCCGCTGAGTGCAGACCGATGGGCGTCGGGCGGCCGTCGTAGCGGAGGAGGCCGCGGTTCGGCCGGAGGGTTCAGTGTCATGACCTGATCATCTTGGCTGGTGAAAACGGGGCGCACAAGCCAATATGGCTATCTCGAAAAGGTCGCCGTTGGAAGGGGAGTTCTTGCACGAAGAGGTGGTGTGCAACGTTGAGGGTGCGCTGCCCAAGGTTGAATTGGGTGTCGGTTATGCGGTTTGGCTGTACAGCAGAGCGACCTGAACGGCGACTACGCAGAGGGGAATATGTAATTTCCAGCTCCCTGTTGTATTCGCCGCTATCGCTTAAGTACAAACACAAATTCAAGAAAGACGCAAAGGAAAGTGGTAGACGTGCTGGCTGTACGGTGAGAGTGAAGTGGAGGAAGGTTGGACTTGGAGTATGTGAGATAGGCCGGAGTGCGCTCGCAGGCGCAGGCACAGGTTCAACACACTCCACGGCAGGCTTCGCGAGGCAGAGTTTCGGGCAAGCTAGCAGTAGCAATATAGGCTAAGGGTAGCGGTACGGTATCACTACGACAGGGACCTATCAGCCGATTGCCAACGCAGCCGGGGATGACGGTGATGGGGCTAGAGACGAGCAACAGCACCGGTACTAGTGGGATCCAACAGCTACTACTCAGGACCAGCAGCCGAGTCAAGGGATGGGGCAGAGCTGTATCACGACAATGTTACAGGCTACGACTGTGATCATTCGGGGCGAAGTGCAAGGTGCCTGATCATGATGATGATTTATGCCATGCAGCGCAGAGCCATGGCCACGCGCAGCAAGTGGTGGATAATGCGGAAAGATGATCAATACTACTGGTATTCAGGTGGTGCCAGAGTGCGCCGCCTGATTGTGCCCTTTTTGTGCAGCCCAGTAGCAGTTCAGAGTCGGGTTGTGGAGGTCCCAAGGATCCCTACAATAATCGTAGTAGCGAGGGACTCGGGGAGGGTTTCAGGCCCCGGTGATGCCCGTGGCGTCTGGGTCCGCAGCTAATCGGGCAAAGAAACAAGGGTCTCGGGCTGCCAGAGATTCTAGACAGCAACTTTGAACCCCGGTTGCGGTCACGGTTCCATCCCTTCCGAACCGCCTATTACTAAAGGTAAAGTTCTGTGTTGGCCGTGGCAGCAGTCCAACAAGCTGTCTTCATTCCATGGGCACAGTACACCAGTAGGACGTATCTGTTCCTGGAAACAAACATGGCTATGAACCAGGCAGAACGGATCAATGACTGGATGCCAGAGGACTTTTATTTGATTCCCATGCAGTGGGCTCCAGGTAGACTTAGGCGTCTGGGTAACGCGGAATTGTCGGACGCAATATGCAGTGAGGGACATCGGCAGAAGATGCCATACTAGTTGTTGCGAAACCGGGCCGTCTTGGTGATCCTCTTCGAGTAGAAATGTTGGCTGGGGAAGTGTGTCAAAGTGACGATATCTAAAAGGAGAGCGGTAGTGGCCCGATAATGAGCGACACCTCGCCGTCGATATCCTTGATCTTTTAATAATAATGGGCTACCCGTGTAGTTGTCTAGTACACAAACTTGTTGAACTCCTATTGCCCCCTCCTCCCATTTCTTGTTCCACTGCAAGGATCGTGCATGCATCGGCATCTGGGAACCGGACACTTTCGCCACAAGAGTTTCGAGTTTGCAATCCTAGGTAGTCACAAATGTATACCCGACGGCCCAGCCCCAGAGCGCTCGGACGGAATTGTGCATGTACAATGTAGTGCTGTGTTCGTTGAGACCCTTGAATGTTAGCTCGGATCGGGAAATACCATCACTGCCAGTGCATTGCACCTGTGAGGCCACGCACTACCAGCTATCTCCCGCCAACATGGTACCATAGATAGGAGACCGTGAGGCCCTCCGGAGCCACAGCGTCCAAGTCGCCAGATCCCCTGTACTAGTAGGCCGATTGTTGAGCTCTTGTCAATCGAACAAGCCGAGCTAGTCCTGTAGCCGAGCGGCTGAATGATAATCCTGACAAAACTGTTCCCCATACAAAAGGTTGGTACGGTAGTAATAGTAATAAACACCTCCACCGAACGACCTTGGAATCCGAAATCTCTCTGATCTCGGGCGATTTGTCCTCTTCCCCACCGGATTTATCGCCTTGTTATCTGCCAATGACACATTGGCAGAGTATGGCAAACTTCGGCGTGGTATGCCACTGCCAGACACAATCGCGGCCCTATCTACCAATCTTGCCCAACCATCCCACTTTGCTGCTGCTCCTTGGTTGCTTGATATGCGCATGTGTATGCCAGAATGTGGTTGAGAATGAGATAAAGTTGCGCATGTATAGAATTATGCTATTTAGGGCTGGGGAAAACTTGGCTATGCCGATAGCTCCGCGATGTCTGTATCCATTACCTATTGAAGGCCGAAGCGCAGTGTCGCTCATAGCTACGCGGCCGTCAAGCGCATCAGGTTCCAGCCAACAGCGGCACAGCGTCATCGTCAGGGCCGTGTGCAAAGTGTCCATGTTGACTCTCTTCACCATCTTCCAAATACTCCATCGTTCTAGTCTCGACGAGATACGGGCCGGCAGATATACTTCTTCGCTTAACGTGCCTACTGGCGCCAATCATGCCGCCGTAGCTGCTTCGTCTTCTGTTCCATGTTCCCGTTGCGCTCAGGCTGCCAGGAAATGCCAAGCCCAGTTGATCCCGTGATTCATCAGTTGTCTCGTCATGTGCTTTGTAGAAGGGGTCGCGCAGTGTCGCGCTTCCGGCTGTGTTCGATCGGCTGCGTAAGGGAGGGAAGAACTCCACGCCCTCGTTATCCCTCCTTGGCTCCGTTGCTTCGACCATCACCTGTTGGCTTACGGCCAATGGCAGCGTCGCCGCATTGAGCGTCGTGTACGAGGCTTTGGAGCGGGGGAGATTGCGGAATGCGGCTTCCCGTGCAAGCCGGGCAAGTTTCGGACTGCTCTCAAGCAGAGGCAGAAACCCCTGTGCGTACATGGCTTCGCTTCCCGGCCACCAAGATCCCCGTCGGCTCGTCTCTACCTGCACCGAGGTTCGTCTTGATTGCGTGAGAATGTTGGAAAGCCGCCTTTCCAGAGCTTCTGTCCCCCCAGCCCCGCGACTCCCATAGTCCCATTCTCTGCTCGGAGGGGTTGGAGCTGCGCCCTCAGACGCGGAACTGGAAGATGTCTGATCCCAGATAATCTCATACATCCCATCGTCGGAGAAATATCGAGTCGAACACCGACGACCCGACTGTGGTGTGTATGTGCGGCCAGAGATTGAGAGACGTGGACCCGACGTGACCACTTCTGTGTAGACTGCGGGAGCAATAGAACTTGTGCCAGGGCAGACTTCGCTATGTTTGGCGCTGATTGAGGCGGGCTTGTGCACTTTTGTTTGCGAAGAGGCGCCCGAAGTCGTGGAAGGTCCATGGAGGGTCGGTTTGATTGTGTTGAAAATGGTCGACAATAAGCCGCTGCTCCTACGGCCGAACTTTGGTGGAGGGAATGAGGTAAGCGACATCCTGTGCTGAGACTCCGATGCTGTTGCACGCCGCAGGGTAATCATGGCAGGACTAAGAGAAGACTTCGCTTTCTTGCTCGACCGTTTAACATTGGCTTCTCGAACGGTGACAACTGTGGCCAACGCTCTGGTGGGCGTCGCCTTGGAAGCAACAGTCCATCGACGTGCTCGACTCTCCGTCCTTGGGGACAGCTCGACGGTACCTGGAACAAAGGGCTGAGAGATGACTGGCTGAGAACGCGTTCTTCGCAGAGGGAGGCCAGGGTCTGATGTTCGGCCCTGGAGGGTTCTCCGACCATTTGTGATCACAAAATTCTTGCTCCAGCCGGCGCCATCGTCGGGCGGTAAACGACGCCGCCCTCGTCGACGTTTTTTATTCTTCTTCATGCTCAAGCTAACTGGGTCATCGTCCTCCGCCTTGAAGGGGACTTCTTCCGAGCTGTGGTGCGACAAGGGCGGACTCAACAATGGTTCGCTTCGGAGGCTGACGGCGGCACTCGAGGCAGGCTGGAAACTGATTGGCATGGTTCAAGTGCTGGAGCACTTTCGGCAATGTGTATCAATAGCGTGTCTGATGAGCGATAAAGATGGATTGCAGGATGTGATAGGCGTGAGGATGTGTAGGTCGTGAGCAGCTCCCGCAGTTCCAGAGTAGAGATGTCTCTTGCCGTGATATCGTAGCCTTGATCTCAGAACGTGCAATCATGGCAGGGACCGGGCTACGTGCCTGCCTCATTTGTGCATCGTAGGCGGCAACCGTCCTCGTCAACCACGCCTCCGAGTCTGGCTCGCTAACAACACCCCGTTGAAGGCTCCTGTGTTGCCAGCGAAGCCGGATTTGAAGCTGCACATCAAGCGAGCCGCGGCGTCATCGGCTGCTGTCAAAAGAGGCGCTTTCTTGGAATGCCAAACCAACTTGTCTCTTGGGCCACTCTAGATACCGGCTCCAGATGGGATCCAAACGACTCGATACATCAGCAACCAAGCTGTATGCCCAGCCAGTCGCCCACCAGTGATGGTCCATACAACGGAACATCGCGGCCCAGTGTGCAAACAGGATCAGAGCCATAGGATGGCCTTGTTTCAAGCAATGAATAAATGGCGGGGGAGCCATGATAAACCAAGAGAATATGTGGCCATCCCACTCGACAACAGAACGGCAACGAGATATGTCACGTAGCTGTCCTAGTTGCTCGACGCAAAGGAACATCGCCTCCTTTGAACCTTTGGCCTCCAAGGACGGTCTCAGCTGGGGCTCTTCAAAGGCTTTGCCAAGGATGTCAAAAGCGTCCACGACATCAGGGGGATGCGGAGGCAGGTCTCCATCTCGAGGGAAGCGCAGCAATTCTTCAATATCGCCTTGCAACCAGGTACCTGTCTCGCTGAACACAGCATAAACTCCCCTAACGATCATGATAATCTCGATGAAGTCAGCAGTGGGCGAGTGTGCGGGAAGCGCAATCCCTGGAGACGTTTCGTCTGGTCCGAAGTCCAGCTTAACACGGGCTAGGCCTTCGGGGAGCCTCTTGGATGCGAACGCCCAAACTGTAAGTAGGAGTGAACCACAAAACAGTGCGATACTGTTGTCTTGGTTGGGCTTGCTGACCTCCGGGATGTAAGCTGCAAGAGCTGCGTTCTGATATGCTAGAGCGACTTTAGAGTACTGGGCATAGGCATCCGAGGTTTTGGGCTGCATCGTGGCTTTGTGCTGCGCCGACGTTGCCATTAGACCGTGCAGCAGGAATTCATGGCGCAATGCCTCAGCGAAAACAGTGTCGCGCCAGACAACATGGGTGGAAAGTCTTGAACATATTGTCATGTAGGTGCGTGTCGAGTAGTGCTGAATGAGTTCCAGATCCAGGATATCAAACCGGTTGTCCACACGCGAGAGATGGCCGCCTGCCACGACGTCTGACTGGGGGGTCAGGACCGGCGTGGGCGTGGACTCAATCCTCGCTTGACATGGATTCGGCTTTGGAGGATGCTGATAGTCGATGCCTTTGGGTGTCCGTCTATCGAACACCAATATGTTCCCCGACGGAGACGAGAGTCGCTCAGGGCCATCGTCCAGGAATGAGCATTTGATTTGCCTCTTCAGACAACGCTGGCATTGAGGGCTTGATTCGTCGCACTGGCGATTCAGGTTAGACGACGAGAAAATATCTAGGTAGACAGGATCGGACGACACTGTCGAAACCCAGCCTCAGGTGCATCAAATTTGAAGCCGGGGCATCAGGTAAAGGCTAACCTTGACTCTTCTAAGCTTACACTGTAAACATCCGTGATGCGACTTGGTGTGCGACCGGCGGGACGGCATAGGGCAATCGTGTCTCTCTACATTCACCTTTCGAAGGCATTAATCACATCCATGGGTGATGACAACGCTCGAAAGATGAGGCAAAATTTAACCCGCGGCCCTGGGAATGAAGAGGTCATAGAAGGGCCCGGAGTCGTCACAGAGGCCGGTATAATTGCTTGGCGATGGACTTGAAGTGCCAGTGCCAGTGCCAGTGCCAGTGCCAGTGGTGTTGATGGAGTGGAAGTTGCTTGACAGGGTCGGGGGAATCCCGGCTACTTGCAAGATTCTGGTGAGATTTCCGGTGCGAGCCACGGAGCCCGGGACACACGACAATCCACACCATCAGCCTCGTCATCGTCTTATTAATGCGATCCGCGCCCATTCACCAGACCCGGTCGCTCCGAAAGACACCAGGGATCGCTTGTACAACATCCTGATGGATACATGGACATTATTGATCCATAGGAGGCACCCACAAAAAGTCCAGCAACAAGGCCACCGCCCTGCCCCTTGGAGTCCACTTTTCTCGTAGCACAGTATAAATCAATATGCATATACTATGTATCTTGCGCTATATATTTCGCGTCGCATTCGTTCTCGGAGCTCTCGGAGCTCACGGAATCTCCAACGCAACTTGTCTCACCGTATGTGACATCCCTGTTCTATCTGCCTTGTCTCTTTCACACTTCTATAAACTATCCTAGACGCCGAGGGTAAAAATTTGACCTTGAATGGATAACGTCTTCGGCACCGTATGCTTATGCTTGAAACCAACAAACCCAAACAGAATGGCTCATGTCTTGAACTTCCTCATTGGCTCGAAGAAAAAGCCGGGATGAATCAAACACATGGTCACAGTGGCGATGCCAACCATCCTACGGCGTTTCAGGTCAGCCTGGTGTAACACTTCATGGTCGGCTACGGTAAGGCAGATACTCACATTCCATCAAGAATGAGGAACTCCCTCTCATTCTGCATCAGCGGATTTCCCCAACCGCCGGCCATCTCAGGCAGACTATTGCAACACGTCAGTATAACTCGCGTCAAAGAAACGTCCAACACGTTCGTCACATACCGATAGATGCAACGGATGAAGATTGTGGTGAAAGCCAGCCCGGTAGCGAAGCAGAAGATGCGGAAATTGCGAGCGGTCGGGCGCGTGCCTTGGTTCTTTTCGTACTCGCTCTCCGAATGGGCTGCTGACTTGAGCTTCTTTGCCTTCTGAAAACGAATGAAGAAGTCCAGCATCAACAGTCCGCAAACGCCCATGGTGGCCACTTGAAACGCGATCCCGGCCACGATCAGCCCATTGCCCACATCCAACAGTTTGCGATTGCTGCCGTGATCGCCGGCGGCCGCCGCTGTACCTCCGCCAATGGCCTGCAGCACAATCGAGCCAAAATCACAACCAATGAACAGCCATGGGTACAGTCGGGGCTTGAGTCTCGAGTTCTCGGCGCCGCAGTAGATGACCAGGTGTTTCAAAGTGACATAGATGCCGGCGGCGAGAAAGCTGGGGGCCAGCACCAGGCAGCAAATCTGCGTCTTGAATCCGGCCCCCGACCACGGGTTGCTATGCATGATGACTCGTCCTATGTATCCGACTGCCTCGCCGAAGCAGCCGATGACCAAGGCAACCATAAACGTCCACGTGCGTCGCCATATCCCGAAGCCCAGTTGCACAAACATGCATAGGCCGAACAGCGCAATGAAGAACGAGTTGACGGTCAAGTTGGGATAGTAGCCGTACGTGGTCAACTCGACTGGGCATTCTGGCGTGATTTCGGTGCAGTAACGCCGGGCGGCGTGTGTCGTGTTTGAAGACATTTTGGACGCCGCAGTGGTCGCCGCTGTCAGGCTGAACGAACCCAGTGTCCGAATAACCGCCGCGAAGCCACCAAATTTGTGCGGAGATATTCGAGAATCCAAAAGTTAAGTTAAATATACAAGACAAGGCTACTTCAGTACCGGTAGAATGGGCAAAATTCCTCCCTGTGATGGGGAGATCTAGCAAGAATTGAATAAAGAGGGCGTCGACGCAGTTGCAAGCACAGTATTGTGGGAGAAACGCCGGGCGGCAAAAGGTCAGAAACTTCGGGGGTGGGAATTGTTTTTGTCGGGGATAAGGACCCTCACAGCCTAGTAAAATGGAACCTTGGGGGCGGCTCATCTCCCGTATCATGCCCAATAAGGATCCGAAGACAGGCAGCCTTATGGATCATCACTCCCAAGCGATGGTGGCTTAGAACCGTGTAAACGAGCCCTCTAGGCGAGATGAGGAATAGGATACGTCGCCGGATATCGATTGCTCCGCCCTGACCTGACAACTCGAACAACGCACTGTCCCTACCGGTATCTTTCCGAGTACGAGATGACGATATGGCTGTCCAAGACCGTGATGGTCATGCTTACCACGGGAACAGAACAATTGCTTTGGGTATCTACATAGTAGGTACATGCTGACGGTTGTCCAGTAATGAATATGCGCCTCGGTGATTCTCCGACTGGAAAAATCACATTACAACCGAGTCAGACTGCCCTTTGTCTCTGGCCTCAAACTCCAGCTAAACCAGCTCATGGTAGAGAGACAACGATATCTGTGGCATTGCCTCCCACCCGCATCAAGAGGCCGTGTGAAGGCAGACACACTGAGACACTGACAGCCCTAGATCTTGAACTTGAGGGAGTAGCCGTTACCCTTTTCAATGCTTCTCTTCCACGCAGGACGCTCGTGACATCTTTTGTACCAGGCCTCTAGCTTGGGATATCTTGCAAAGTCTATGAAACCGTTCTGAACACATACATCCACCGGCCACGAGATGATGAAGTCGGCACGGCCTGGCGAGGATCCCATGAAATAGTCGGCCTCACCCAGCTGATCGTTCAGATACTGTAGATACAAATCGAGCTCAGGTCCTGTAAACGCCTTGTGTAGCTGTTTATGGATAACCGAGACCAACGGCCGGATGAAGAAGGGTGAAGCTTGGACGAGAAGGGAGAAGACGACTTCCACGTTCATCGGGACACTGATTGTCGCAGATGCAAGATTGCACAGTTCATCATCGCGTATCCAGTCGGCCCCCGCGCCATCACCTTTGAATCTCCCGTCCTTGTCGTAGGTCTCGATCAGGTACCTCGCTATGACCAGGGATTCCACGATAGTCCGGGAATCGCCTGTCTCCAGCTGAGGTGCTCTGCCTAATGGATGTGTTGCTTTCAATTCCCGTGGCGCCCTCGACTTGTTAGGACCAGACTCCTCACGTTTGTGAAGGACGAGGTTGTATGGTATTTCAAGTTCCTCGAGAAGCCAGAGAATACGTTGCGACTGTGAATTCTGCGAGATAGATCAGCGCGAGCCGGCATTTCGTGACGGCGAAGCAAGGTTTTACATTGAGATGATGCAGAGTTGGGACGAGTTCGCTGTTTGACTGCATTGTAAGTTATCCGCAAGTTCTGATCAATTCCTTCCAAACTCGCAGTGTTCGTTCAACAACAGCTCGAAGATTGCCTGAATACACCCAACCCCGGCATAGGCGAACTCATCTTGGCGGTACCGGGAGCCTGAAACTACAATACACTTTAAGCAAATGTTCAACCCCCTCAACCGTTTTCGATTTCCAAGCAAAAGTTGTAGCAGGATTTCAGGCAATGCCCTGTTCTCTTCAAGGGCCTGTGATGAGCTGTGTGCTCCAACAGTTAGCCTATACCTGCACTCGGCCTCTATCGTTCAGGTCAGTGGACCCAAGAGCAGCGTGAAAACATGCGGTTTCGGAACCGGTCTCATTTTCTGTGACCCATTATCACCATTACGTGCTCTACAACGAAATGGTGTGGTGGTGACGATAACTATCTAGGTAGTTTGACATCCTCGGCGTGCCAGTGGGCAAAGATCCGGCGTACAGAAGAGGCTGAAGAGTCAGGATCTTTGAGGCGTGGTCGACAGTACAATAATGTTGTAGTAGTAGTCGGATTAAGGAGGTTAGCGCAGATCTGGCCGCAATTGATGAATTGCTCCCCTCGACGCTGCTTTTTGCTGCTGTGGCTTGACTGCGGCTTCAGGCATTGCACGGCACTACTAGTACAGGTACTGCCAGTGCATCGAGTCGTGGACATCTGTCAACACCGTCTGCGCCCATATCGGACTGAGGCCCCTATGACCACGCCGCTTCTCCTACACGGTCTCATGAATTGATGATATGGAATTTGGCTCTTCTAGAACTCCCGATTTGCGCAGTCTCTTTCACAACCCCCGTTCGCGCGGCTGAGCACCCCTGTGTGCACGTTCGGAAAGTCCTCGAATAAATCATACGAGTCTCCTGCGTGATGCGTCTGGACGTTAAACGGCAGCTCTTTGCCCGTGAGTCTGGAATCCATGAACGAAATGACTGTTACTGACTCTTTGAAGGTTCGGAGCGGGTAAAGGGCATCGATTTCCACAGGTAAGTCCCGAAGCGCAGTGTCATTGAAATTCACCATCTAACTACTGAATAGTACCGAACCATGGGTAACGCGGATGTTTCCTTCATGACGGCGCATTTGAGCTGACTGAAAAAGATTCTAACCACCCTTTACAATGGCCACGCACACATCTGGTCCTACGAAACCCAGTCCATAATCAAGACCTTTGAGCTCACCGATGTCCCCGTACGCGCCGGAAGATTCATCGAGAGGAAAAACTGGATAGTATGCGGCAGCGACGATTTTCAACTGAGAGTGGTGAATTGGAACACGAGCGAGAAGGTCAAGTCGTTCGAGGCGTAAGTGGACGAACATCCAAGAGAAGACACAGACGGCTGATTTCCGCGTGAGAACAGGCACCCTGATTACATCCGTGCCATTGTGGTACATCCTGTGCTCAATGTCGTCCTTACCGCTTCAGATGATATGACGATACGAATGTTCGACTGGGAAAAAGATTGGCGGTGTGTACGCGAATTTGTGGGACATCAGCACTATGTGATGGGATTGTCTATTGTGGGTTATTGTCAGCAACGAGGCGTTGGGTGCGATATTGACTCCTTTGTCTTAGAACCCCAAGGATACCAACGTCTTTGCATCAGCTTGCTTGGACCGAACTATCAAGATTTGGAGCATCGACAATGCCACGGCCAAGCAGACAATCGAAGCCCACGAAAAGGGGGTCAATCACATCGACTACTACCCGCACAATGACAAGCCTTATCTCCTGAGCACGTCGGATGACAAGACCGTCAAGGTGTGGGACTACACCACCAAGGCTCTGATCGCCACTCTAGAAGGTCATACCAGCAATGTCAGCTTCGCATGCTATCACCCAGAGCTACCCGTCATCATATCTGGCTCGGAAGACGGGACCATCAAGATATGGCACGCCAACACATATCGACTGGAGCAATCGCTCAACTACGGTCTTGAGAGAGCATGGTGTGTGGCTTATCAAAGAGGCAAACAAGGAGTTGCCATGGGCTTTGATGATGGCGCTGTTGTGGTCAAAATGGGCCGAGAAGAGCCAGCTGTCTCGATGGACAACACAGGAAAGCTGGTGTGGGCACGCCATAACGAGGTCGTCTCTGCAATCATCAAAGGCGCAGATGCGAGCATCAAGGATGGTGCACCCATTGCCCTTCCAACCAAGGAGATGGGTACCACAGAAATGTGAGGCGTTCCAGGTACTTCGTGGCTGCATGATTACTGACATAAGTTTAGCTACCCGACAACTCTATCACATTCGCCGAATGGCAGATTTGTCAGTGTTTGTGGAGATGGAGAGTTCATCATTGTGAGTATTACAATGAGGTTGAGAACGGGAACCTATTAACATAGTCCAGTACACTGCTTTGGCATGGAGAAATCAAGCCTTTGGTCCAGCACTTGACTTTGCATGGTACGTCCATTTTGGTGCATTGAGAGCTAGCATCAGTTACTGATCACTCTATAGGGCATCCCATCAAAACCCGACAGACTATGCCATCCGTGAATCCGGCACCAGCGTGAAACTGTTCAAAAAACTCAAAGAGAGCGGAAGTCTTGATGTCGGCTTCCAAGCCGAAGGTCTCTCTGGCGGCTCATTGCTGGGTGTGAAAGGTCAAGGCGGAATAGGATTGTTTGACTGGGAGACGGGAAGCCTAGTTCGAAGGATTGAAGTCGAGCCTAGAGAGGTTTGTGGAGTCGACAAGTCCTTGGAACATGACTGACATTTCATTAGGTTTACTGGAGCGAATCGGGCGAACTTGTTGCCCTAGCCTGCGCGGATACAACGTACATCCTCCGCTTTGACCGGGAAGCGTACCTTGAAGGCGTCAACAATGGCGAAGCGGATGAGGATGGTGTTGAGGCCGCGTTCTCCGTCGTCACCGATCTGCAGGAATCCGTTAGGAGCGGCGAATGGGTTGGCGATGCGTTCCTCTTCACCACAGCGACCCGTCTCAGCTACTTGCTGGGCGAGCAGGTTGTCCACATTGCCCAATTCGACCAACCGATGTATTTGCTCCGTTACCTCCAGAGAGATGAACGGGTGTACCTCTGCGACAAAGATGTCAACGTCGTGAGCTACCGATTATCGACAGCCTTGCTCTCATATCAAACCCTCGTATTGAGAGGCGAGATTGAAGCGGCACAGGAGCTGCTCCCCGAGATCCCTGCGGACCAGATGAACAAAATTGCCAGGTTTCTCGAAGCACAGGGTCATAAGGAACTTGCCCTTGAGGTTGCCACTGATCCTGAGCATCGTTTCGAGCTTGCGTTGGGATTGAACAACCTTGCCGTGGCCCTTGAGCTCGCCCGCGAGGCTGATATGCAGGCCAAATGGTCGGCAGTTGCGGACAAAGCGCTCGAGGCTTGGGATGTGAAACTTGCCGAAGAATGCTTCCTCAACGCTAAAGATCTTGGCAGCTTGCTTTTGCTTTACACAAGCTCAAGCAACAAGGAAGGACTGGCCAAGCTAGCTCGACAGGCCGAAGAAATGGGTAGCAACAACATTGCTTTCGCCAGTTGGTGGTCCACCGGCGACATCTCTGCTGCCATTGATCTACTCAAGCGCACTGGCCGCATCAGCGAGGCCGTCCTGTTCAGCCAGACGTACAAGCCCTCGAAAACACAGGAGCTGGTCCGTGAATGGAAGGAATACCTGGATAAACAAGGCAAGGGTAAAGTCAGTCGCTTGCTCGGTGTGCCAGGAGAAGATGAGGACTTGTTCCCTGAATGGGACGAGTATATCAAGCTTGAGGAGGAAGGTGGCGCAAAAGCCCCTGCGACAGCGGACTTGGTCGACGTTGATGGCGATGATGCACCCACGACAAATGGCGCGGCCAAGACAGACGGCGAATCGCCTGAAGATCCAGTCGAGGAGGCTGAGGCTGAGGTCGAGGCAGAAGGAGAGAAAGAAGCATGAGTTCTAAAAGAGCGTGTTTTGTGTGGATGGGCCACCAGTGAGTACAGAAGACACGACTGACTCCAAGGTCTTCTGCTGTTGGGATCCCAGGTGCCTCATGTAGACCGTGATAGAGTCCAACAGAAGAAAAGAATTCGGTCTTGGGTGGATTGTTCCAGGTCTATTTCTCGATGGAAAAGCAATTTCACGGCGAATTGATCTGTTTACTGGAAATAGTTCTGAAGTTTCACCTCGACAAGGTTGTTTGCGCTTGTTATACTTCACAGAATGCCACACCGTGCAATCACCGTTATCTTCTTTCCGCCTACCTTAAGTACCCTTGCCTTGATTTCGCCAATAAGCTCCAGCTTTTCCTAAAGATTGACCTTTCCCACCCGTTGGAAGTTATGAACACTGAAGCTCGAATGAACACTATAACACCATCCAGTACTTATCATATCTACATATATGAACAGCGTGCTGTTGCCGACATGTCACCCCCTACTGTTCGTACGTGAGCTTGTACCGCCACCCCTTCTCCACCGTCTACCGTCCAACAAAAAATTGTAACAGTAACAGTAATAACAACCGCACCAGCAGTCGAATTTCTCCCTTGCAATGGCGGTGGCCTTCTGTGACTGAAGGAAAGAGAAACCAACTTGAAACAAATCGGCTTGCGACGCAATTGAAGTTCAGGTCTGCTTCATGACCCACGTGCACATGTACTGACAAAGTAGCTGTTCGTTACCCGCTTCGTATATTCCCTTTGACGCCGGGCACTCGAGTGACTTGATGCCAGTATTCCTCCCTTCCCTCCAGAGAGCGTGGGACAAGGAAGTAGAGGCGCTGCGGCGTCTCAAGACCCTTGAATTCGTGGTCGCCCAGGAGCCGGACCTGGAATTGCTGGTGCGTGAGTTTCTGCTGGCCTCGCCTGGACCGGAGGGCTGGGAGGTCCACATGACCGACATCTGTGTCGTCCCCATGGCCATGGCCGTGGTTGTAGTTGTTGACGGATTCGGACTTAATAGGGTTCTCGGGATTGTTCATCTCGTGGTTCTGGTTGTTGTTGCTGCTTGCGCTACTGCTGCAGCCATCCGAGAGGTGTGACTGCGACTCGGATTGCTGCATCTGCAATACCGATGATGAGGCAGAGTCTACCGGTTGAGCAGCACTACTCCCTTGTTCTTCTTCTTTGTCTTCCTGCAGTTCCATTTCCATTTCGGCCTGCAACTGGCTCAGAAACTCCTCCGAAACCACAATCTGGCCTGCCTCCGTGGCTTCGATGAACCTGGCGGCTCGATTGACCATGGGACCCAGGTAATCCATGCGCTGAATCACCTCGTTCCAATTACACACGGGGCTGCCCCAATGGGCACTCATTCTCAACTGCAAGCCCCGGAAGAGCAGATGGCCTTCGGAGTCCTTGGTCTCTTGTCCAGAGGGCAACTTCAGGATGGCGCGTGGCCAGTTCCCGTCGAGCAGCTGTTCTTGGACGTCGAGGCAGAATTGCACGGCTGCCGTGGCGGTTGGGAAGGCGATCATGAAGCCGTCTCCGTTCTGCTTCACTTCGTAACCCTGGTTCACTTCGGTCAGGTGCCGGATCATCTGGTCGTGCACTTGCATCGCCTGCATCATGGCCGCGCTGTCCCTTTCCCAGATCGCTGTTGATTTGACGATGTCGGTGAAAACGATGCTGAGACTCCCTTGCGGTGGCGTCGCTCCTGTCGCTGGCCGTTTGATGTCTTGTTGGATTTCATCTGCTGATGGAGCGCTGGCATGATGCTGGCCGGATGCTTCTTCTGCTTTTGACTCTTGTGACTTGGCCAAGGAGAAAGGGGATGAGGAAAAACAACGAATGGCATTGGCACCGGACCTTCTGCCGGCGCAACCGTTGCTCGACAACAGCAGCCGCCTTGGTGTCAAGTTTGCACATTCTAAAAGGGCGCTGCTCTGCTGGCGCTGGACTGGTACCTGTCGCTCCTGTACATGACGAGATACGGGTACCGCGCCGCGTGGATGTAGCGATAAAGGTAAGCTTGGTCTTGGTCTGTTGTGACCAGCCGACCATATCCTTCCTATCGCTTCGCGCACTGGCAGCTCAAACCTAGACATGGCTTCCAGGACGCCCAGCGTCGGCCGAAGTGTTGGTTCTGTGAGCCCACCCGTGCACCTCTCAACAAGAGGTTGGCAGCCTTTCTTGAGTGCTAGTTACTGTACCTGGCGGCTGACTCAATCGTTCACTCATTCGTTGACCTCGCACACTGCATGGTCAAGAAGGCTGTTGCTACCGAACCATTCTGGAGCAAGGACGTCCGACGTGAAGCTGAGGTATGCTTTGAGAACCTGTAACTTGATTTCGATGAGTTGCGCCGCCCGCCCGTGGTCTACCGATGTCTGGCCAGCTACAAGGTAGTAAGTACCTAGGTAGCATCTGTAGCAGGGAACTGACTGATGCCTTGCTAGTGTGCTGTGCGTGTGTGGCGTCTTGCTATAGATGGCGCGGTCCCTGTTTAGCTGTTCAGGTTGTCGTCCCACCGTCGTCATTATTGGTGGGAGAAACTGTCCGCAATAATACCTGCTAGCTATAGCATTATCTGATTGCTGATGAAGGTGCACGTTCCACTACATTACAGTATCCTTAATAAACCGTCCTTGAGGTAGCCAAGTCAGTAGCAGGACCTTGTTCTTTACAGTCCATTATGACATACCTACCTAGGTACTGGCTACCCTTTCTCACAGAGCCAAGGTCCGTCACTGTGAACATAAGCAATGCGGGACTAAAGTGTATATGGGCTGGCTGCCACTCGATCTGGGGCAGGAGGAGAACATGAAAAGATGATTAGGCAGAACATGGTGTTGTCATTCAGTCAAGTATATCGATACTGGCTCGGCCGATGGCCCTTCCTCAAAGGCACCTACTTGCTTCATACTCGTTCAGATGGAGAGTACCAGGCCGATGTATCAAGACAAGCCGAGTGCATCCTAATCTGATGTCTTGCCTTTGCATCTGGCACTGGGCGGCGACCAGAGATAAAAACAATTTAGCTGACTGCTCAACTAGCCAAGCCGACACTGGTCTTTGTTCATTGAACAAGATCTGCAACATAGCATTTAACATTGGGTTCGCTGCTACAAAGTGCTCGTTCAGTCATTTATGTCGGTTATCGCCTGGGAAGTCTTGAGCACTCAATACACAACACAGGAACTCCCTGTATAGGTTATGTTGCGAGTTTGATCAGAGTCAGTTGGCCATGCGTTGCCCCAGGTTGGCTGTAATTTTAGGACCTTTAAAGACTGTTGAGTTAAGGTCAATCGCTCACTCAATTCCACATGCGCCACACCTGCGAACTCTGGCATCCATGCTGTCCAGGCAGAGCGCTTCCAGGCCGACCACGGTCAAGGCTTCCATTAGAGTTTCCGCCGGTCCAATGGCAGGACTGTATCAAACTGTGAAGATGATTGCGTTGATACGTTGCATTCAATCTACCAGTTGCCTTCAAGTTGTGTAACAGTGTATGGCAGGAATATTGCGACCTCGGAGACTTCTGGATAAAGTAAGCAAAGTAATCCACAGCAGTTGATTGGTCCATGACGTCTAAACGCGGGGAGGCGAATCACTCTACCAAGTGTATCCAATGGCGACGCAGCTGTAGTCATCCGCCAATCCGATGTCGGGAGGCAATTCGACTCACTGGCATTTTCCATGTCTTTGCTTATATCTTGTGCCCGTCGATTTGAGGATTCGTCTCGCCAGTCGCTATCATCCCTCCATCCCCTCTATCGTTCATCGTCCTCACCTGTACAGGTGTTCTCTGGTTCCTCTTTGTGTTGTGTGGTTGGTTTTGTCATTCAAGATGCCTTCGGCAGACTCGCAGCCTCGTACCCTGTACGACAAAGTCTTTCAGGACCACATCGTCAATGAACAGCCAGATGGCACTGTCCTCCTCTACATTGGTCCGTATATCCCCTTCCACGTCTTGTTTCCAATCGAGATCTTCATACTGACTGCCATGTTCAACGTGCAGATCGACATCTCGTCCACGAAGTGACGTCTCCACAAGCCTTCGAAGGCCTCAAGAATGCCAATCGAAAAGTCCGCCGACCGGACTGCACCCTCGCTACAACCGACCACAACGTGCCAACCACGCCACGAAAAAACTTCAAGAATGTGGCCGACTTCGTCAAGGAAGAAGATTCGCGATTACAATGTATGACATTGGAGGAAAACGTCAAGGAATTTGGACTCACATATTTCGGCCTGGGGGACAAGAACCAGGGCATCGTCCACATTATCGGGCCCGAACAGGGCTTCACTTTGCCCGGCACCACGGTTGTCTGTGGTGACAGCCATACCTCTACCCATGGAGCCTTTGGCGCGTTGGCCTTTGGCATCGGCACCAGCGAGGTCGAGCACGTGCTGGCCACCCAGTGCTTGATCACCAAGAAGAGCAAGAATATGCGCGTTCAGGTGGACGGCAAATTGGCGCCCGGAGTCACCAGCAAAGATATCATCCTCCATGTCATTGGAGTCATTGGCACTGCTGGCGGGACCGGCTGTGTCATTGAGTTCTGCGGCTCGGCCATTCGCAGCCTCAGCATGGAAGCCCGCATGTCGATATGTAACATGTCCATTGAAGGCGGTGCCCGTGCCGGCATGATCGCTCCAGATCAAATTACTTACGATTACCTCAAGGGCCGACCGCTGGCACCCAAGGTCGACAGCAACGAGTGGAAGAAGGCCATCAACTACTGGAACAGCCTCAAGTCAGACGAGGGTGCCAAATACGACATTGAAGTTTTCATCGATGCAAAGGACATCTCTCCCACCGTCTCCTGGGGTACTTCGCCCCAGGATGTCGTCCCCATAACCGGTGTCGTTCCGGGTCCGGATGACTTTGAAGATGCTACCAAGAAGGCCAGCTGCAAACGCGCCCTTGAGTACATGGGCTTGACGCCTGGTACCAGGATGGAAGACATTGAAATCGACAAGGTCTTCATTGGCTCGTGCACGAACTCGAGAATTGAGGATCTCCGAGCTGCAGCGGAAATTGTTAAAGGCAAGAAGGTAGCACCGAACGTCAAGCGCGCCATGGTTGTGCCTGGTTCGGGCAACGTCAAGGCCCAGGCTGAGCGCGAAGGCCTTGACCAGATCTTCCTGGACGCCGGTTTTGAGTGGCGCGAGGCCGGCTGCTCCATGTGTTTGGGCATGAACCCGGACATCCTGTCGCCGCGAGAGCGTTGCGCCAGTACTTCCAACCGCAACTTCGAGGGCCGACAAGGTGCGTTAGGCCGGACGCATCTCATGTCGCCAGCCATGGCGGCCGCAGCCGCCATTGTCGGCAAGCTGGCGGATGTGCGAAAAGTCCACAACCCCAGCTCGTCCGGGGCCGCGGCCAAAGCGTCTCCGAAACTCGACGTCCAACCCGAATTTGCCGAAGTTGACACTGACGAAGAACTCGACCGCATCCTGGACATCCCGTCAGACGTTGGGCCGCACGTCAACGACAGCGTTGCGCATAATGGAGGCGCAGGAGCCTCGGCAGGCCTGCCCAAATTTACGGTGCTCAAGGGCATCGCGGCGCCCTTGGAGAAGGCCAACGTCGACACCGACGCCATCATCCCGAAACAGTTTCTCAAGACCATCAAGCGCACGGGTCTTGGCTCCGCGCTCTTCCACCCGTTACGGTACAACGAGGACTGCAGCGAGAACCCCTCCTTCATTCTCAACCAGGAGCCCTACCGACAATCCAAAATCCTGGTCGTGACTGGGCCCAACTTCGGCTGCGGCAGCTCGCGCGAACACGCGCCCTGGGCCCTGTTGGATTTCGGCATCAAATGCATCATCGCCCCCAGTTACGCCGACATCTTCTTTAACAACACCTTCAAGAACGGCATGCTGCCCATCATCATGCCGGACCAGGCCGCCCTCGAGAGAATCGCCGTCGAGGCCCGTGCCGGTCGCGAAATCGAGGTCGATCTGCCCAACCAGGTCATCCGCGATGCCGACGGCAAGGAACTTGCCCGTTTCGACGTCGAGGAGTTCCGCAAGCACTGCTTGGTCGAAGGTCTGGACGATATCGGCCTGACCATGCAGATGGAAGACAAAATCGCCCGCTTCGAGCAGAAACGTACTCTTGACACCCCCTGGCTGGACGGCTCCGGTTACCTGAAGAAATGGCGCAAGGGCCCCGTGAAGGTCGAAGCCGCCCCGGTTCCTAAAACGAATCGTGGTGAGATCAAGACTGATCCGGTCGACTGGTGAGGGATGATCCTGGCATTGGATGTTAGTGGTTGCCGGTACGGTGGAATGATATTGAACTGTCTCAAAACAGCAAAAAGTTTGGCCGGGCTGGGCTCATGATGGTCAGTTGGTTGGGTATGAGGGGAAAACCCTTGGAGGCTTTGTTTCATTTGGTGTTCATGGTCTGCATTATGAAAGGGCTCCATCTGAGCACCACCCGATAGTCGAGCTATTACTTGAACAATACTACAATGATACGACCAGCCTCTTGTGCTGGATTTTCGAAATCACAGAAGACATATGGATCGTCGTTTCATCAAACCCCTATAAACCTGTGTTATAGAATGGAAAACGGAAATCAGTACACATTGCGGTACATTCATGCGAAGACGGAGCCATAGCCCAGTTGTCGCAATCCTGGCCTCCAGAGTCGTTCACAATCGTGTGTGTAGTACACCTCGACAATGCCGTCAACCCATATTCCCACGGAATCTTCGATACCCGTTGAGTAATTCCTTGGTACACTCGTGAGTATCCATCCCGAACTGGGATAGCAAGCCTCGAAAACCTGGCTTTAGGGGGGCAAAGGGTACCATGATGACGGGGAATACTCAGTCGGACGACGATCACGGCCATTTCCCATTTCACCCATGCAGTGGACGCTGGTGATGTCCGGCACGGAGGTGACAACAAAGATTGTACCATGCTATGCCTCAGTCTACTTACCTCCACTTACTGCAGTGTTCGACTTAGAAGTCTGATCCCACTAAGGCGACACAAAAAACCTACCTAGGTAGGTATGTTCGTTCTCGTTGTCAACAGGCTCCTAATCCCAGGGTTGTACTCCCACGACGAGAGGCAAATGACAATAAATCCGCTCGTGCGGAAGCCATTCCAATGATTGAGGAAGCACCAAACATGAAACCTTGCGCAGCGACCAGAGAGGTTGTCGGCAGCCATTGTGGTCGCCCCCTTTCATCAGAGACGGCACACACCGTGAGCCGGCTCTTCAATGCCGACTACCTACCCTTAGGCAGAAATCAGAGATATGGGATGACGGAAAAGGGCGTTCCGTGGGCATCAGAACAGGGCGGAAAGGAAGCCCGATGTCTCTGAGCATCAACGTCCACTTTGACGAGGCTCACGCCTGCAGCCAGGGGGCTGGCCAGCCTGCTGTGCTTCATTCCGATATTGCGCACTCACGTGGAAGTCGCCACCGGGACGTGGAACCTCGGCGAATATGATACTCTTTCCTTTGCCATTGGTGCACAGCAATGGTGCTCGACTGTAGTAAAATCAGGCGATGGACGTGCCGTGCAGTGTCAAACATCAGATTCGAGGCTCGCGGAGGGACGTCCCGAAAAGGCTAACTCGTGGCGTCTTGATTGTTACCTGTGCGCCTTGATATATCGCAACACCGCAACCAAACAAGTCCTGCTCACAGTAATAGACACGGAAGCTCCCGTGTCATAGTCCCCGCCAAAGTGCACAGACATTCGAGCCAGAACCATGTTGTTGAGTAGTTAGTCCCCTTGGACGCTACCATATAGTAGAAAAGCATTGCACAGGCCGGCTAAATTTGCCAACGACGAAAGAAAAAGACCGACGACCTCGTTTCGACTAATAAGTCCTTTTGTGGAACACAAGCTGGAGTATCCATAAGAAGGGTACCGCCAGGGCGGCTCTACCAGGAAAAATATTCGAGGTAAGATGAGTTGGACCTGCTCCAGACGTGTCTTTTCTCTTGGCTGCGAGTGTGTAGAATGGATCTCGATTCGCCTCCACGCGACCGTCCTCTGCCGAGATGGGTGGATTTGGGGCCCACCTCTTGATGCGAGCTTGGAATGCGAATTGCCGACGTTGTCCTCTCGATCAGGAGTTGTGGTAGGACGTTGGACTGTCAAGCGTCGGCGATAGAGGAAAAGTTTTCAGCACACGCTTACTGCAGTTGTAGTTAGTCGCTTGTAGTGGGCACTTTGACGTGTGTGGGGCTACAGTTGCAGTGCCGAGGCGGACAAGGTCGAAATTGCCTCGTGGCAGCCACCGATTTCGAAGCGGAACATTGGCACGACAAGCCAAGGTCTCGGCCACGTGTTGGCAAGGAACAGGCTTGCAGAATTAGTTCCATGTCATCGAGGCCGTGAACATGTGTTGTCGTTGGCGTTGATGAAGGCCGTAGTTGTACTTGGTGTCACCGTCGACGCCGCCGACTGGACGACGTGAGCCGTGTGGGTGTGTGTGGGCTGCGTAACTCAGAGATGTCCTCGTTCGCTGACAACAACCTGTATTTCCTGCCTACCGGTAACCTGGCGGGGACAAAGTTGTCTGCCACGGGCATGGAATAGAAGACACTCGCGGTGGCGGGTGCCAGTGTGTGTGGATCGTGGAGGCTGAAATGGTTGGGCCCGTGGGCAGTAGCATGCATGCATGCACGGCATGAACTGCGTGACGCATGCATATTTTGACAGCGGATTCAAGACTACTAGTCTCACTTACCATTTCGACCGCAGTGCCACTGCCGCTACTAGGTTGGCCTGTGTAGAGAAAATCCACCAAGTCGTGAGAAGGTCTCATATCCAGAAGACTGTAAGAAGCACTCCTGGCTGAGGAACGATGGAAAAAATGGAGTCCTTTCGGGCTTTAGTAACCACCGCATGGCATGATACTGGGAAGGTAGTACGAGCATGGAGCCCATTGGACTGTCCCAGTGGAAGGTATGCCGAGGTATCATCGAAATAGGCTGGCTACATGAGGGCAGCAGTAGTGATCATGATGTCCGCCAGATGTGTGTGCTCGTCTGGTGCATCACTAGTAGCAGCAATGCCTGTAGTATACAAACCTTACTTGATACTACTAATACCAGGTCATAATTAATAGCTCAAGCCTGCCTGCACTTGGCACACGGCACAAGATACTTAGGTCCCTACCCAAGCGGGCAGCTGTGAGAACATAGTACCGTGGTCCACGGGCGCAATCCTTCCAAGATGAAACAGCAAAAGAGCACGGTCACTTCCGATTATCATTCGCAAGGGTAGTAACGTCCCTTCCACATGATTTCCGGAAGAAGGGAAGGTTGTTGCTACCGCTACAGGTGTCGTATCTCTAAACTGCAAGTGCGAATACCTAACCATGACGAGGAAAGGACCTTAGGCTGGCAGGAGTGAGTCCAGCACGTGGCCTCAGCCCTTACTACAATGTACAGTGTTAAAATGGAAGCCTCCTAGTAGCGCCTCCCTACAGCTTCTACTACTGTAAAATACTGTATCCATCCTAAAGCGGAAGAGACGGGTGCCTAGTAAGCATAGCACTGCTACAACAGTGCCATTGCTAAGTAGTACTCTCATCATTACTACACCCCATCAGCTACTAACGTTCCTCCATCGCTGCATTGCACGATAGCAGCCTGGCACTACAATGTTGCTGTACGGCACCTAAGGTACAATGTCCAGTTGTACAGCAACCACCATGGCCGACCAAGCTGAGATGCGGACTTGCGCGCAGTCGGCATCAACGGCGCGCATGGCCATTGGATGCTGAAAAGGGAAGGGCGGGTCCGCAGAAAGAGGGGGATGCAAAGTCGACCCGGCAGAAGTTGAATCAATTGCCAGAGTTGTTACAAAGAAAGAAACCTGAAGAACGAACAGTCGAAATATGACTGGACAGACTACCTAAGGTAGTGCCAGGACTACTGCAGCATGTCCCGGCCATGTGTGTTTCCTGCTGGTCGAAGTGACCCATCTTCCCACTTGGCTTCCTGGACGGTATTTTGACTGAAGGCTCACCGAAGGTTCAAATCGATGCTCAATCTCAAACACGTACATCGGAATAAACCATGTCTCTCCTGAATGTGTGCTAATACATTGTTGTGGCGGCCCAACAACCAGGGCGGGTGTTGCAAGCCTTACCCGCCCAAGTGGATTGCAGAAGAAATTAAACTGCTTCCATTGTGGAACTGGGAAACATTCTCGAAGATGGAGAGAACATGGACAGGGAAGTGCTCAGCCTCGACTGACATGGGGTGGAAATTGAGGCCGACAGGGATATCGGGCTTCAAAGTGACGACAAGGGGGGCGTTAGCAGGCCGGCAGTTGTAGACTTTGGCCCTATACTGCTAGCTTACAACGCTTGCAGTGTAGGCACGCCAGGCTTCTCTCGATCCAACCACTTATGTGACTGATTGGTGCTGCATTTATCCCACTTGAAGGAAGGCATTTACCTTAGGTAGGTTTGCTTCCCACGTGGCCGCCCTGAGACGGCCCCTTACCAGTGCTAGCGCGCAGTGTAACCACGCTGGAGGTCCACTCTTGGTCTGTTCTAACTTAACCTTTCAGGGCGGCGCTGCGTCCGGGAATTGTTGGCTGAAACAGACACGGGCTAGACTTGAGTGGTCTTAACCTGGTATATTTGCCGGGCTCCAGTACAGGCTGCAAAACACGAACTGATTCGCGAAATATGTCTAGCTCAACTAGTCTGTTTCATGTCTGACTGGACCATCACTAACTTGAACTACAATGGAGTAGTGGATGAGGACCGATCGACTCTGATGGAGACTCGGGAGTTGACTCAACGTGATCCTGTTGCGCGTCTTCACAGATACTAGTATCAGCAAACTTGCTCGATGCCACTGGAAGACCTCCAGAATATCTGCTTTACAACTAGTGGGTGGATATGTTTTCTTTGGTCGTAGAATGGAACCCGCACTTTGTTCGATGATCTTTCCGGATCCGTATCAATTCTCCGAAGCTGTTGGCTTTCAACTTCCGTGGTAGCTCAGGCTGTGTTTCTCGAAGTTGGCTGGCCCCAGTCGACACCCGGCCTACTGGTTGCAATGTTCCGAATATCGAAGCATGAGTTTGAAAGTCATAACGAGGTTGTATCTAAGATCATTACCGCTTGTCAAGCCTGAACGCAAGAAAGGGAAGCGATCATCGTTCTCGTGTCAAGACGCCGGAGGAGGGACCCCTGAAGCAAGCTACCGCACCGAGACTGACGTGCTGTCTCTGTCTTCGAGACTCCTAGACCGCCTCTTGCAAAGTGGCGTAGCAGTCTCGATCATGGCTACACACACCGATACCGACCCGATGGAACTGCTCCATCAGCCAGAATCTCCCCCAGACCGGCGCCGGAGTAGAGGTACCATGTGTTGTGACTTGGGCGGATCAGTCGACCTCCGACAGAGTAGTCTCCCATCCTGAACGTCGTGTGGACTTGCCTTTTGGCTCATCTAAATTGTTACTTCTGTGTGTTCCAGGCCAGGTGCTAGTGTGGCACTGGCACCCGGTGAACAATCCGAGACTCCACCGACAAAACCGCGAAGAACGTTAGACGCCATATTTGCAACCGCTGACAGCTCCGAGTGCGCCGCGTGGGGTTCAATGATAATGGTAATACATAGTAATATTCAGCAAACATGCCTACCTCGTTGTAGTGGGCAAGCGATCTGCGGTTTATCGGTGAGCAAAGACCTCCAACTGAACCGTCCGCAGGATTCGTCACTATTGCCAATACACGTGTTGCCCTGACCGCCATAGTCCCTAATAGTCCACAGCAACATGCCCGCAAATGGTAACAATATGTCACATTTCAACTCCTAAAGGTTGGGTCGGTTTGCATATCACTAGCACAATCTGGACTAGCGAATGGGCGCGGGTACTAAGTAACGGTTTGCCAACATCACCAATCACTCGGGCCCCCAAGAATCGGCGAATCGATGGCCCCATGCCCGAAGCGAGGACAGAGGTTAGTCGAGGGTGTAGCCTTCTTTATGTCGGAGGCAGAAGTAGTTTCGGACGTCCTGGCAGACCAGCTGCTGGATGACTGGGCAGCCCTTGTCCTCGGAGAGACAGTGTATGCTGGGAGTGCAGAGTCTGTAGAAATTTGAGTTCTGACACCCACAGTACGTAGTAACCGTACATCCCCGTCAGACTCCGTGTTTCAAGACACCGTCTTCATGGATGTTGGGCAAGGATGGGCGGCTGCCTCCCGTGAGGCTCCGACAGAGGTGGTCTAAAGTGGAGACAGCAAATATACCCTACCATGGTGGAACCTATACCATATTTTTGCACTATGTTTCGGCACCGACTGTCGGGTGGATGCAGGTTCAAGCTGCAGTGGGCTGTCCCGAGATGTGAGGAGGCCTGCCAACAAAGGAGACCTTTACTAGGAGCCAGGGACTCTACCCAGCTTCCCTGACTTGAAGAAAGAGAGGGTTACGTCGCTGTGCAGAACTTGAATGGCCGTCAGCAATACTGACCAGGGTGGTGCAGCCCCAGCCTGTGCCTGTCACTGCCAAAAACTGCAAGGGCTATTGATTGCACTTCAAGCTCACAGCAACTGGAGCCTGCCAGTGTGTGCCATGTGTGCAGGTTGCAGTGTTGCTAGTGATGCTAGTAGCCGTGTGTCAAGTAGTAGTACATTGTAGTAGTAGTGCGTAGTAGTAGTATGGGAACGACAGTGCGGTGCTTGAGTGCGGGCGCAGTGCAGTGAGTGTCCTTCACCACATTTTCATCTCGTGGTTTATCTTCTCCCATCTTCTTTCAGGACAACGACATCATCGAGTTTGGGCGACATCATTCATACTAGTACCATCTTCATTATTTACAGGGCATCCTGTTGACAATTAAGACGCATCTGCTGCAGACGTAAAAGCCCGTTGCTTGGTGTTGATCGCCTGCAACGTCCTCTACCCCGAATCCGATCTTACAAGCATAAGAAACTGACTGCCAGTGTCCGCGGTCTCAATCTCGGCTGCGGCCTCGCATGATCCTGGCTTCACGATCGAATCCTACTGTTTCCTATTCTGCAACTCCTCGATCGACAACGCCGGCCTCTGCCCTACGACCCAGGCATCCTCGGACCAACGAAGAGTCGTTGCGAAATAACCAGACAATTGCTGAACCAGAAGAGCCCACAAGCCAACCTCAAAAGGGAGTTCTGACGCCGTAGTGCCTGTGGTGGAAGATCGCTCCCCGTCATACAATCGCCCAAGCCCTCCGTCAGCTCGTTAAGAAGTCCGGCTAAAAGTCTACCCACTTGGGCTGCCCCGTCATCAGCTCCTGGGCTAAAGATCCACTACCGACTCAAGCCTCCGGATCAAACTTTTCTCGAATAATCATTACGCCCTTACCCACTCTCGCATCCTTGCCAGGGCCGGCGGACCAGGGCCGTGAGCGACTACTGGGTTAGCCCCTGCGGCCTAAGCTGCTCCACATCCTCGTGGTCTCGTGGTGAGGGCAATCCCGGCTCTTCGTGGGTTGTGGATTTGCGCCCCCTCGTCTGCGTTTCTGCGACTCGTCCCAGGTGTCGACCGCCAGTCCTCTGCGATGCTGGCAGAACCCGAACAAGTCCTGAGCATTTCTTTTTGTGCGACAGTTACTTCTCCCGATGCCCGAGTCAAACGAGTCGCTTGTTGTTGACTCCATGACTTCGTCCGCTCAGAGCCTGCCTGCCCCGGTCACCTTGTCGGCCACCACTACTGAATATCCTCCTCCGACCTCAAACTCGTCAAGTCTGGAGTCCTCTCGCTCGCCGCATCATCAGCACAACACCAGTACGGCTAGTGTCGCCCAGGCCAAAAGCAGACGCTCGCTCGCATCCCTCGCAAGAGAAAAGACATCCAACGCCTTTGCCAATTTGGCTGCCATTGGCACAAATCCCACGCCCAGTTTACGGTCTGCCACCTCCTCCAGCAGCCTCACCAAGAAGTCCGCCTCCACAGAGACTGCTCGCCCAAATCTTCCCCGTTCGCCAACTTCGCCCGAGTTACAGAGACCAACACAACTGCGTCCGATAAGTGGTCCGCCTCTGCCCAGTGAAGAGCTGAGAAATAGCACCACAACACCTCCAATGCCGAACACGGACAAGAGCAGTGGGCGGATGCACCAGACATCTTCCAAGATTCTGCGCATGACGGATGACGAGAGGCCCTTCACCCGGGACTTCAATGACTTATTCTCTACACTCATCACCAGTTTACCACTGACACCACATCGAGTACGATTTTCAAGGGTAGAAGAGACGTTCCTGTCAGAGGAAGCCATTACAAATCTCGGATCCCTCAAGTTCTCCCAATCCAATCGCATTCCAGATCCAAAGAATCCTTCGAGATGGGTAGTAACAACCACTACGACGACTTTCTCAATGGCCAAAGAGATGGCACGTTCGGTCTGTCAACGGTTTGTGGACGCCCGCCTGATAGAGTCGGCGGAATCCAAGAGTAACACCACGTTCCCGACAAAGGGAGGCGTGTGGCAGCTCACTCCTAAAGGCCTGGCAATCCTACATCGTTTCTGCAGCAAGAATGGCATCAACGCCCGTCACATTGAACCTCTTCTCAAGCGAGCACAGATGCAGATCGTCGCTCTGGAGAGAGACCCAAGCACGGATAAGCTGATCCAGGATAGGGCCACCATCGAGATCATTTTTAGGAGATTTATGGGTCTCGAGGGCCCAAATCTGAAGAGCTCCACGTCCTTATCCGATTCGGACTCTGTATCAGACTACGCTACAGGCCTTGTCGGCGTCAAAATGGCCAAAGAACGTCGAGTGCTGGACCGGACCGTACAGAGCACATTCACTGGCCGAGCGGCCTCTGACTGGCTGCTCGATTGTTGCACTACCATCGATCGGCGAGAGACTTTTGAGATCGCGGAACTATTCGTCAAGTGGCAGCTGATGGCTCCGGTTGTCGAAGACAGAGCATATATGCGCCAGAATCCCATGTCAACCTACTTCCAGCCCACCAAGCACGCCATCTACACTGTCACAGAACGAGGACAGCGAGTTTGCGGATGGATTGCCCGACCACCTAGTATCGAGAGCGAAGACAGCCATGATACAAGGGACAAGGGTCGAATCACCAGAGATTCCAACGTCAGCCGGCTGAATATGATATTGCAAGACGCTGCGCTCCGGTTACTTTTCCGAGAGTTCTTGCGACAATCGCTGTGCGAGGAAAACTTACAATTCTATTTCGACGTGACCGATTTCACCAACAACTACCGACAACTCGAGAAGTCAGGGATGCTCGAGAGGCCCGAACCTGTGAGAGAGACACTGGCAGCAGCATATGGTATTTATTGCACCCACCTTTTCCCACGAGCGCTTATTCACTTGCTTCAGGTCTCTACAACTCCTTCCTGGCATCAGGAGCACCTTCCGAACTCAATATTGACCACTCCTTACGCAATCGCCTTGACAGCAGAATGATCCGAACGAATATCGATGACGAGTCCATGAGACAATCTCTCGATGAAGTGGTGGAATTATTCGAGCTTGCGCAAAACGCAGTATTCAAACTCATGGCGAGCGTAAGTTTCCAGGTGGTCGCGTCGAGAATCTATCTAACGTGAGGCATAGGACTCCGTGCCAAAATTCCTGCGAGACCCACGACATGCAGCTGTACTTCGTGATCACGAAATCGATTTGATCGGGTCCAACCGCGCACTTTCTCCGGTCCCAGACAGGGGGGTCAGTCGATCTAATACACGGACATAGGTTTCCTTTCCGCCTTGAAAGACTTTCTACACTTTGTGGATGGAAAAAACGGAGCACATATTTACGATTCGGTCGGCGACCGCACTCGAAATGTTATCGACATGCGAAACTCAGCTCTCACCGCGGATGAAGTGCACAAAATCCTGATGGTGTTCTGCTGATCTACACTGCTGGTCAGAGTCGCATATTGTGAAGACTGGCTCCTGCGCCAGATGACTGGAGGTCTTCGAAATCGACGCACATAGAGCTTTACCTCGGGTGGTGTCTGCTTCATTTACTGCATGTATGAATTCTGCATAGCGTGGTTACATGGTGTGTGGTGGGTTTGTTACTTTCCTCGGCAGCATCTTCAGCGTTGTGCTCTCCATTCAGCATTTGCATTGGAAAGATACCCCAGTCGGAGGAAGATGAACAAAACAAACGGGCTTCAGAGAGGCATGAATATGGGCTTGATTTGCCCCCATGTTGCTGGATAGACACAATAATCACCTGAGCCCATCGGGATGTCAGGACGTGAATAGCTGCGTTGGAAAGAGAGCTGAATAACCCAGAGCTGATCATGATTCTCTGAAACACATCTGCCTCTTTGGCTGCGATTACCTAACTTTGTTCGAATACATCTTCGTAGAGAATAGCCTCAGATGTGTAATTTCACCTGGACTATTGTCCCGAGGAATACCATCGTCTGCATTACCCCGGCGCCCAATTGGATTGGTTGGAGTCGTTTAGTTTGAGGAGGACACGGGCACAACTTGAAAAGAAGTGATTACCCGTTGAGTAGTGAGGTTACATGAACACAATCGGTTTGAGAGGCATGCACATGTATTTCCAGAACACAACGTGTGGGCGCTCCAGATGTGCTGGTGAAGTGATGAGGCTGAGAGGGAGGATAGGCAGGTGCTTCTCGGAGAATAATTAATCCTTTCCCGCATTGAGGAAAGACCGAGACATCGTTTGTCCTTCCGCTGCGACACGTTAAACAAAAAGCGACCTTAGCACTTCACCATCTACAACGTTGTACTTGACATGTCCCGATAGTCGAGCGTGATCTGCTTCAAGGAATGTAATAGACGTATTACTTTCCAATCAATCTCGCGCTCGCGATCCATCCTGCTGGGATGGCCACCACAGACGTGCTGCAGCTGTTGCGGAATTCGATCGCGGCAGGGAAACCGCCCACCCTGACCAAAACCTCAGATCCAGCGACGGCCGAAGCAAACCGAACAGACTCTTTTGTTGAAGCGACACACCTATATTTCACCCATCCCACACCACTATGCCTTCCGTTGGACACAGGAACGCGGTTTACGTCGACCACACCAGACACGGCTCAAGTGGACCTGCGTAGCATATTCTTTGCATGGCAGCACAAAGATGTCACAGTGCCGGAATACATTGCGCTCGCAGCGGAACTGGATAAACAGTTACCAGAGGGGCAGAAGATCCGAAACCTGGTCTTTGTGGAACGTCTGGATTTGATTACTTGGCTAGAAGGCGCGTCCGAAGAGTCGGAATACATCAAACCCGTCGAGGGTGCTGCGGTGGGAGATGCTGCCAACAGGGCTGCAGATGTAGCAGGTGGTGCTGCTGTTCCTACCGTTGGCGGCTCAGGCGTTGGGGTCACGCAGACTGTGGGCGGAAGACCCGTCAAGGTCATTGATGCCAGGCTTCAAGCAATCTACAATGGCGAACGAAAAATGGGCGATCATAACACTGTCTTGAGGGGAATCAAGCCTACGGTAAGGGTGTCAGCCACTTTGAGGCACTGTAGCTAACGACGTTTACCTTAGGATTTCTCCCATGTGCGCAAGTTCGCAGAGACGTTCCTTGGACGACGTAAAGGCGTCCCTTCGTCAAACAGACCTGGCCAGCCTTCCAAGTCTGCAGCACTGGCTGCTCGCCCAGCAGCGGGTATTTCAAAACCTATGCCCTCCGCCGTCTCGTCGAAACGATCGGATCCTATCATCCTCCTGTCCCCCTCCGCCTCCTCACTGCTCCGAATGTCAAATATCAAGACCTTCCTGGACTCGGGCCTCTACGTTCCACCTGATCACCCGACACTATCGTCCCAAACGACGGCCAATCTGTTGCATATCACCCGGACTCTTCATTCCCTTAGCGAAAAGCCGTACCGGTTTATCCTTGTTGACTCTCCAGAGCAGTTCAAGCCTGACTACTGGTCCCGTGTCGTGGCAGTCTTCACCACCGGCCAGATATGGCAGTTTCGAGGGTACAAGTGGAGGGAGCCACAAGAGCTTTTTGGCCACGTTCTAGGCATTTATGTAGGGGAGAAAGGTTTACCAATCCCGTCGGAAGTCAAGGGCTGGGGCAGCAGTGTCAAGACCTTCGCGGTGGAGAGATGGGACGAGCGAGCTCATGGCGCCAATGTAGATCAAGACACCAGGGCTTCCAGGAGATGGAGGGATAGAGAGACTGTTGAAGAGGTATGGAGATCTATCGAAGGTTTCATGAGAGGCCGAGGAGAGTGGCGGAGGTAGATGCGAGCGGGCTCCTTCTTTACCTATTCCTCGCCCACGCAGGGGTCTCAAACGCTTCCACCGTTGCTAGCGATTGGCTGTTGATTCGTGTCAATTGACCACCACAAACGTGCTCAAGGAATGCGAAGCGCCGGAGGCACGGTGACGATGAAGATGATGGATAGCTTGCCCTTCCGAGTCTGCGAGACCTTTTGGTAATGACCATACCGATAACGATGGCTGAGAATGACGAGGCCGTACAAAGTGCTGTGCAGAGGTGCCTCCGGTTTGGGCCAACAGAACTGAAAACTATGCCATCATTTCTACTACACGGAAGTGCGAGGCGCCGAGAGCACCATCAAGCAGATCAATACCCAATTTTGGATGTGCTGTGATCACACAGAGGGCATTCAGTTTATTTATTTCTCCATCAGCAAGTTCTGAGGCTGTCCCGTGGCCTGGAGGAAACAATGCCCAGCTCTAACAGTCTCCGGAAAATCGAACGAATGAGATATACAATGTTGTAGGTGTGCTCCGTGGAGAAGCGAGCGACAAGCTGCTCTCTTTGGATTGCCTTAATGAACGAATGAAAGCATCACTGGCGGGTGAACAGAAGCACATGTTTCATGTTCTGTTTTCCAAGGCTCCGAGTCCGGCAAGGCTGAGATGACCCAAATCAGTCTAGTGGCGGGCGGCCGATTGCGATTGAGCGGATCGCGTCATCGGAACAAATCGCGGGAGAAAATCATGATCAGTCCAGACTGACAGGACTAGTAGTGGTTGTAGTCCACCCGCAGGTCGGCCATTTATCAGATTATACCACAACTACCGTAGAATTGTTAATCACCATCCATCCATCCATCCATCCATCCACGATCCGCACCGATTTTATACGCCTCTAGAATTCCCAGCCCCTGTTTCCGCTTCTCATACTGCTCATTCCGCCTACAGCACATCAGCAACTGTCGAGTCCAGGATGGCAAGCCTCACAGAGGTCGACTCCGAAGCCGGCTTCGAGCAAATCATCAAAACCGCCTCGCCCACCACCCTCTTCGTCTTATACTTCCACACACCCTGGGCGGCGCCATGCGCACAGATGAACACGATCCTCACGACCCTCGCCTCCACATACCCAGCCGACTCGGACATTCGGTTTCTGTCCATCAACGCCGAAGAACTCGCCGACGTCTCCGAGTCATACGATGTGACGGCCGTGCCGTTCCTGGTGCTACAACGGGACGGAAAGGTGTTGGAGACGGTCAGCGGCAGCGACGCCGCCAAGGTTCGCGCCGTGGTTGAGAAATATGCTGGTGCTGGCCGGACCGGGACCGGTGGTGGGATCCCGCCGCAGCTACAGGCCACTGCGCCGCCGCAGGCGAATGGCAATGCTGATGCTACGAAACAACAATCCTCGATGACGACGGCGACGTCCGGAGCAGATGTCCAGCAGTCCCAGGACGAGTTGAATGAGAGATTGGCGAAGTTGGTTAAAGCTGCGTAAGTCTCTTTGTCTTGTCTTGTCTTTTGTCCTGTCCGTTCTATCATTATGTGACGTATTACTACGGTCGGGATGGTCACCATGGGATTTCTCTTGGTATAGGCTGGCGCTGCAAGTACTGCTGGCTACCTGGGCGGCGCCATGGTATATGAACAAAACCAGCATTTGATATGGTGGGGTTGACACGAGTCCCGGGAAAAGAAGTCGCCAGATCTGATGGATGATATACGGACTCGAATCCCCCATATCGCCATGGAAAAGAAAGACACAGCCTTTTTGTTTCAAATGTACTTTAATTTTTTTGGGACTGGATTGGAAACCAAAACTGACACTGACGCTTTCGTCCCTATTTCCAGACCAGTTATGCTCTTTATGAAAGGAACGCCGAGTGCTCCGCAGTGCGGGTTCAGTCGACAGCTCGTCAGCATCCTGCGAGAGAATCAAGTTAAATACGGGTACGTTTTATGCCATAACTTCTGCTGCCAGGAGTACTGCTTGTCCTTTACTGCTTTTTTTCGCCTTGCGGCTCAACAAGTGTGACTCACGACTTGGAGACCGAACCTTTCCTGGCGCAAGCCTGGCTCGAGGATTGCTATCATATTGCCATGTTATTGGACTGATGTGGTAATGAATGGCATGCTAATTCTTCATGTCTCTCCGTTCCAGGTTCTTCAACATCCTAGCCGATAACGATGTCCGCGAAGGTCTAAAGGTCTTTTCGGATTGGCCCACTTTCCCACAACTGTATACAAACGGCGAACTGGTCGGTGGTTTGGATATTGTACGTCTATCTCTTAATCTCTCCCCCTCAAAACCCCCTTCCTTTTCTTTTCCATCCTGAGCGCCGGTCCGCCGAGCTTCCTCTTTACAACGGATGCAGCGCAATTTCGAGTTTGTTTCGTCCACTAAAACGACGGACGCCTCGCCTCGCCATACCATGATTAAACCTGGCATATTCCATTTCATCGGCTGACAATGCCTGCTTTCCGTTTTTGCAACAGGTCCGAGAAGAGTTGGAAGCCGATCCGGACTTTTTCAAACCGTTTGCCGCGCCCGCTCCTAGCTCTTAGGGTCCAAGAGAGTTGAAGTGGTTATATGTGCTGTGCCGCGCTGCAGCTCGGAGCATAGCCCAAGGAAGGCGAATAAGTCAACTTGAACCCGACAAGCAAGCAAGCAAGCTTAGCCTGCCGCCACTGGCACTATGTGGCATCGACTCGGCCGGGGGATCTACTTCCGGCTCCGGCATAGGCAGAATGGTTGACATGACACAATCCACCATCATATGAAGTGACATCCGCGGGCGGTGGAAAAGAAGTGAAAACGGGTCAACTTCAGGCATGTGGTTCCCCTACGGAACGAGGAATTTTGTTCAGGCTTCCGACCTCGAAAAGCTATCGACATCAATCAAGGGAATTGGAACCTTATGATGAACGGACGGAACATCTAGATTCACCTGGTGTCCCGATTTTTTGTCCCGATTTTTCTATGTCGAGCAGCTTCGTGATATGAACGAGTCAAAACATGATAAACTCTAAACCAAAAAGCTGCTCCAAAACACTAGGTTAGTTTTGCGCCCCCGTATAGCAAATGACACCACATCACCGTGTCATGCTATGCTTATATCGTAGGATGTTGTAATGGTTGCTTTTTTCTCGCCCTTCTAGCTGGGGTGATTCAAAAGTGGCCATCCTTTGCCTTCAATATCACACGCCAAGCTCTATAACCCCTTCCTAACTGCTCTGTCTCAAGTAGTGAGGTTTCCGAGTTGTAACATGATGCAGGTGGATCGCCGACTTAGGGCTCGTTGATGGCGGCGGCTTCTGCGGCAAGATGTTCCCCTTCTTCAGGATGCTCATCAGCAACAGTGGCATTCTTTGCATAGATGCCATCAAGGGTAACGTTCATCGCTCCAGCTTGCACCAAAGCGCTGCGCAAATCATCCAAGAGATCCTCGCCGTCCTCAATGCCAACACAGAGACGAATCAAGTCCTCGGGGACCCCTCGTTCTTTGCGAGTTTTGGCGTCGATGCTGGCGTGACTCATGCGGCACGGCATGCTGATGAGAGAGTTGACGCAGCCGAAGCTGACGCTGATGGCCCACAGTTTGGCAGACTCCACAATGCGCTCTGACAACTGGATATCGCCAGTTTCAAAAGACAAGACCGCACCGGGTCCGCGAGCCATGGAATGGAAAAGGTCGTACTGAGGATGACTTTTCAGTCCAGGATATCGAACCTTGAACCCGGCATTTTCGAGGAAGTGGGCAATCATCATGGCATTGCTTTGTTGCGCATCCATGCGGACCTTCAAGGTCTTGATTCCCCGCATTAACAGCCAACAGTCAAACGGAGCCAGGCCGCAACCGGAAGCATTGATGGTGAAATACAATTTCTCACCAAGAGCCTCGTCGTTGACGGCCAACACTCCGGCCATGAGATCATGGTGGCCCGAGAGATATTTCGTGCCTGACTCATATACAACGTCTGCCCCCAGTTCCAGCGGGTTCATAAGGAGTGGGGAAAGCATGGTGTTATCCACGCTCACAATACACGATGGGTTGGCGGCGTGCGCCATGCTGGCAATCGTGGGGATGTCCACGATTTTGATCAATGGATTTGTCGGTGTCTCGAGCAAAACCATGGCGGTTTTCTCATTGAGAACTTCCTGCACTTTTTCCGGTGTGGTGGTATCCACGTGGTGGACAATGATGCCACCGTGGGTGGAGAGGTATTTCAGCAATCTGTGGCTGCCCCCGTACAGGTCGTCGCCTGTCACGACCTCGTCGCCGGGTCGAAGCTGACGAGTCAATACGTCAAGAGCACCCATCCCGGAGGATACAACAAGGGCTCGCTTCGCACGCATGATCTTCGCCAGGTGATTCTCAAGGTGTGTGCGAGTAGGGTTTCCACTACGCGTGTAGTCATAGTCTTGAGCGCCTCCGCTAGCAGAGGTTTGCTTGAAGGTAGCAGACTGTCGACTGTCAGCTTGTGCTTCATATGTCCAAGAACGTCAGAGCTAACCTGGTAAATGGGGACACTGCTTGCGTTATACTGGTCATTGCCCTCGGAGTAGACCAGCTGCGTTGCAATGGAGTACTGACGGGAGCCTCGGGGGCTAGAGGGTGCAGGCGACGGCGGCAGGTCATGCCCGTCGAGGTCGACTCGAGCAAAAGCTTTGCTCATCGCGCTGAGTTTGGGGTCCTTCAAGGGCGGTGTGGACGAAGAACCTGACTCAGACATGGTGGCGGCGGGCGAATGGCGGGATGAGCTCGACGACTTGAAGATTGGAAATGAGGATGCTCAAGGACATGTGCGATCAAAGGAGGACCGGACGACCGATGATACTCGCAGGTTTCTGGGGAACAGAACGTGAATTGTGCAGCATGCGGACGAAGAGTCAAGAGCGAAAAAGCTCAAATGTCGACTTGGAGGTGTCGTTACGGCGGGCGAGAACCAGCCCGGAGGGAGGGAGTCAGTTGTGTGGAGCAGCCGGCAGTTCAGAGCGTGCGCAGGACCAGTCAGTAGGAGCAAGTGTCGCATGACGTGCTCGCAGGCTGGGGGCAAGCGCTGCAGTGATAACTAAGGTACATTGTACACTGTTGTACTATTACTACACTTCTGTACCTACGCTGTACAGTAGTAGGTACCTAGGTAGGTACCTTGCGGTTTAGTACAATAATGTACAGAGTAGTAAGAGGATAATAACTTATAAGAGTTGTACCCAGCCGGTTCAAGCATAAGACGCCTTCACTTCCACCTGCCTTGAGCGCAGCTTCTTGACCCTCCAACGTAGGTGGCTATCTCTGAATGCTGCTATCCCAACCCCTGGATAATATATATTCAAAGGCTCATCCTGTCACCAGCTAGTACAAGAACTCCAACGATACACAGTCAAGATGGTAGGCGTCTCAGCTTCACTCTGCATAGAATTATGAGACTCTTGTGCCTACATTGTGTATCTAAACTTGCGTGCTTCGTGCTTTGCACACGTTATGCTAGAAGCAGCTCGGTGACAAGCAACGCTGCTTGTGTCCACTACTACTAGTAGAGCCTTGTAGACCGCCATGCTACTACTATACATTCCAGAAGAATCGCGGTTCCGGATTATCATCCTGCAATCGCCAGGGTTCCATGCTGGACTCTCGATCGCAGGAATACAAGCAGAACAGTGCTGCTAAGGGCTGTATCCATACTGATTTCGTGGTAGATTTGCATACACATTTTGTCGGTATGCGACTCCGAGATGATCACCCTCCTGCATGTCGTGACCACGCGATACAGCTCGCAGCAAGGTGAACGGACCTTTGTTGGTCTTCAAGTCTAAAACACGCAAACTACATAGTATGCCGATCTACGACAGTGCGATGAGGCATCTTCTAATGTGAAACACTGAGGCACGACACTCGGACCCAAAATACCATACCACGCGTCTCCGTCAGCAGCGCATTGACCTTGACGGCGTGGTATTTTTGAGCACGAAATCCGTGCAGGTTGAGCATCGATCGCATTCTAGTTCGCACCACAAGCAGGGATACAAGGCTCGGCCTGGTGAAGAGTGGCTCTTCCAGGCCTGTGGTTTACCCCTGAATGAAACAATCCGGCAAGTCGGCCACCGGGGCCGGTGCCCCCATGTCGGCATACTGAGAAATGCTTCTTCCTTGCTTGAGTTACGCGCTGGGCCTGACCACCGGAATGAATCTAAGGGGAATTCACCAATGCACCGTCCGCCATGCAACAAGATGCAGAACTCGGGACAACGTGCAACGGGGATGTTTGCATTTCTACCGTGTCTTGACGTACTGCATCTGCAGTACCATAGCAAAGTGACAAGCTTGGTATCAGCCACCACGACTGGCACCCGAATTGTGGAGGCTGGCGGCCGAGATTGCCAACGAGGCTGCAGATGGAGAATTTTGCCCAATGCCACCGAACCACTCGAGGCGACCGGTGCCGCCAAGTCAGGTCGACGGCGTCTGGCTGACACGTTGCGGGCTCCTGGTTCCTGACCCTGAAATTGCCCTGCTTCACACAGTCAGGTCGTAGTACTAGCAGAGCGACCACACTAAAATTCCCGCCTTGTGCTAGTTCTCTTCGCTGGCTCTGTGCCACGGGGCCACGCATGCTGTCCGGCGTCGGACACTTGGACCAGGACACGCTTCGGCGAGTCCCAAAGCTGACTGCTTCATCAGTTCCAGGTCACGCTCTGGTGGCAGTTGGAGGCGCAATTGTCTCGAGCAAAGTCTCGTCGTCCAGCGGCCTACAGCTGTAGAGCAATCATGGGTGCAGTAGCCGAGATGTTATCTTGCCATTTTCTTCTTCGCCGTTGAGCTGGTCGAAGCGAATGCAGCTCTGGTCGCGTCGGACTAGTTAATGTCAACAAGTTGAAGGATGGAGAGGCACGCCATTGTAAAAGTTATCAACGGCAGTGGGAACGAGATTGCGCATTGAAATTGGCTGGAGCCCCAAAGGAGCCTCGATGAAGGGCGCAGTCAGGCGTGTCAGTAACGCTGCCGTATGACAGTAAACAGCCTATGCCGGCACAGGCTAGCGCCAGCTGCAGCCACTGGTCAAAGCCCCCTTTAGCCTCCGATCACTGCTCAGAGCGCTTAGCCCGATACCGTATGGGAATGTTTCTGACCACAACAGCGCTGGGTCCTTGTTCGCGCGGGAGCACCCTCCTAACCCTGCGCTTCGAGTAGCCCGCAGCCACGTCCTCAACTACTCCTTTCCTACGGCCTCCGCCAGGCTAAACCACCTCTGCCAGCGACCAGAATGCCTTCATTTCTCGCCTGTTTACTTCTCTGATCTTCCTCACCACCTACCCTCCGCCTCCCACATCCTCCCGTTGAGCCTCGATGATCCGTCAACGTCGCCGTGGTCGCCGCCTCTCGTTCTGCGACCGATAACTCCTCCATCGACTTGTCGACTTTGCCTTGACGGCACGCCTTCAGTCTCGCGTTTGCGATCAGTTTGCCAGCACGGCGCCCCCGTTGCTCGCGTTCACTCATTCGATATTCTTCTTGTTGAACACTCGACTGCGCTCCTTTGAACATATTTGATCTCGGTCACCTACGGCTGCCGCGTCACAAATCCTGCTAGCCCGCTGACCCCTTGCCGCGCCCTCGAACCGATCGACGAGTCCTGAGTAGACTCTTCAGCAGCGACTTTGTGTCTTGATCAATTGGCTGGTCCAACCCTCGAGAAAGCGTATAAGCTACCACAGCAGTCTTTGTTGGCCGTATTCGGATAATTTTAGGTCAAAGAACGCTCAGCAACATTCAATTGGGTTCTTTAATTGGAAGACGTTCTGGGAACAAAGACGGCTCCAAACATATTCGTGCCAGTACTTCGCGCTGCGGTCCGCTCTTGGGTCTGTCGAGGGACGAAGACAATACAACTGGGAGACTCGTTGGGACGGTTCTACGCTCACCAAATCTTCAGGGTCAATTGATCCTATCCACTCTTTTCATCTAGACGCTCAACCCATACACTCGTTCGAAGGAGACCGCTCACGTTGGTGCTCCCGACCCCAGAGGTGGCATATTTGTACTGACAAATTCGGTAGAAGCTCTTTAACCAAGGACAACTACAATATGAAGGTCTCGGTTGTCACTCTGTTTTCCGCCGTCGTTGCGATATCTTTCGCTGAAGCGGTTCCTGCATCCCATCCACGACGTTCAGATTTGAGGCCTAGGTACTACTTTCCGAAGGCTGTTAAGAGACAGGTCACGTCGTTCGCAAACACCACCACCGCGGATACTACTTCAGACACGGGCAGTTCTAGCAGTCCGGATTCGGGGGTTGGAAGCCTCCTATCGACACTGGGAGATGTATTGTCAGGAGTAGCATCGGCCATCTCACCAACAGCAACACCAGCAGCCACTGATGCTTCGGTGACTGACCAGGCTTCTAGCCAGCAGTCGAGCCTGGAGCCTAACCCTTTTCTCGTTCCTACGCCCACGGATACTGCCACTGCCTCACCAACCCTTCCATTTGGTGGCGGCATCATTGGTGCTACTCCGACAACGGGAACTGGTCTATCTCCTACGGTTACGGATACCGCTACTGCAAGCCCGACAGACAGTGAAGAGGGAGTCACGCTGGGTTTGGGATCTATCATCACCGGCACTGTAGCTACCGACAGTGCGACAGGGACTGCCACGGCAACCGACATCAATACTGGTGCGACCACCGATTCGGCATCTTCCGTACTCGCCTCTGCCAGCGACGCGGCAACGTCCATCCTGTCTGTTGCTAGCTCCCTGCAATCGGTTGCTGCGACAGCCACAGGCACAGATGTCGCGTCGATCTCATCTGCATTGTCTTCTGCCGCTTCGGTTGCATCAGACATTGCATCAGAGGTGAGCTCCGCAAACTCGGGCGTCACTACAACTAGCAACACTGCCGATGTGACTTCAGACTTATTCTCTGGTTTCCCCACTGATACCGCCACCGGTTCGTCAACACCTATCATCACCGATACTGTGCCTACGGAGACTCCGACTGATACCGCTACAATTACACCTACGGATTCGTTCACCTTTACTCCTACAGACACAGCAACGCCAACGGACACTATTACCACTCCGACGGACACTGCTTCTGTGTCTCCGACAGTGACGGTCAGCCCGACGGACACCAATACCGTCACTCCCACAGACACGGGCAGCGCAACCGCTACGGACACTGGAAGCGTTACCCCAACGGACACCAACACTATCACGCCGACGGACACCAATACCATAACACCGACCGATACCAACACTGTCACCACACCAACTCTTCCCGCAGATAACGGGAATAACGGCACTACCACCACGCCTCCTACAACAACTCCAACGGATACAGCAACTCTGTCTGCGACTAATACCGCGACCGACACTGGCTCAGTCACTACGAGTGAGACTCCTACAGTGACCCCCACTGAAACCGCCTCGATAACTCCACAGAATGTTGGGAACTCCACCACACCTCCAGCTACGACAACTGAGTCGCCGACATTGCCAGCTACGTCGAATGAACCTACTACACAGTCAACTGTGCCCACAACTGTGCCCACGACGTCAAGTGCCCCTGTCAACACCATCGCGCCCACTGGAACAGACTCAGCTACGGTGCTTACACCACAATCGAGCATCATATCTGCAACATCCACGGTAACGCCTCCTGATTCCACGTCGACATCGGTTGCCGTAATTCCGACGACTCTTCCCAAGGTCATTCAACCTGAGGGTGGCGTTCCTAATGCGCCGGAGAACTCGACTCTGATCCAGATCGGCTTTGCCTACTCTCTGAACTATGAGTTCGTCGTCAGCTCGTCGACTGCAGTCTCCCAGATCTTTGCTTACCTTCCAGTTGGTATCTCGCATGGGCTTGGAATTGATTTGGACAAAGTGGTTATGCAATACTTGCAACCGTACAACACTTTGGCCACTCTGGACTACATCACCACTTTGGCCATGGCTTACATTCCAGCAAGCAAAGTCGATACACTGTCCATGGAGTTGTTGAACCCGAACTCAGCCCTGTACCAGAACTCGAACCCCTCCGTAGTCACGCTGATGGGCATGGTTGATCCTTCCATTCCGGTATTACCAGGATCTGCCATTGCTGGCGCGGGTACACCAGTCAACTCGGCCAATACCGCTGCCACGACCTCGAACACTGCCAAGTCCGATGACGGTTCTCCCGGCTCATCAGACTCGGACACTTCACCTATCCGTCCGTCATCTGTAGGGATCGCTGTCGGCGCCGTTGCGGGTGCCGCTGTCTACGGAGCCGCCATGTTCCTTGTGGCCCGCAGATACCGAAAGAAAAAGGCTGGCCACCAAAGGTCAAGCAGCATGACATCGGGCCAGGCTCCTCGAGCAGCCGAACAATCCAACCTGATGGCTGCTGGTGGACGCGGCAGTTACGGCACTCGATTTGGTGGACGAACTTCGCGGAACAGCGACCACAGCAACTCTGCCCGAAGCGGTCGGACCTACATTAGTCCGCCCGTGATGGCCGAGAACAGCTTGGGGTGGAACTAGTTGATCGAGGGCTCGAAAAAGGATTGATCGAATTTGATGGAGATTTTTGTACAGGAGCGTGCCATCACTCAAACAACACCCCAAAGATATTCCCATGCCCGCCTACGATGCTATCTACCCACTTCCATTTTTTCTTTTTAAATAGCTTTCATTCTATTTTCGTTCCCGCCTTGTTTTGAACTTGTCTTTTTTCCGTTCTTGTCAAGAAATCAACGGCCAAAAGACAATATTTACAGTTGATATTGGCGAATTTGCATTGTTGTCGAAATCCAAAGTTTCCACGGCGAGAGGGAGAGAGTGAGAGTGAGAAAGAGTGCAGCCGTGTCAGAAAGACCATGTACTAGTTGAATACCTAATTAGTATACCTACCTCAGGTCCATAGGTCACACACAGGTCATCCGCGAGGCAGCCAAGCCCGAAGAGATAGATAGATAGAGCCTCTTCTCCGCCCATGGGCGTCAATATCATCTGCCAGCCAATCTCGATATCCATGCCAGATTCATCTTAATTTGAGAAAGGCAAGGTTAGCCTAGCTACAGCTTTTGTACAGTACTAGTAGCTATCGACAGTATAATCGTCACTTCGTACGCTCAAGGACAACCCCCGCCCTGGGTGCTTGCACAAAGAGAAACAGAGGAGGCCCTGGGTGCTTGCACAAAGAGAAACAGAGGAGATATTGTTACTGTATGACGGCATTAGACAATAAGGTAGTGGAGTGAGTACCCAACGTACAGGTAGGTACCTGGAGTACCACACAAGGTAGTATATATAGGTGTGTGTATAACTTAGTTGGTACTCTACCTACCTATTCTAAGGGGATTTCGCGGCCATCCCAAAACCACATTTGATCCCAGTCCCACACATAGGAACACGCACGCATACAAAAAGATGTAGAGGAAGCCAACACCGAACAAAGACAATAAAGTTGGTTGGTCCGTGGGGTGGGTGGACCAGAGGTCAACAAGGGCAGGCTTGCTCATCTCGATTTGATTCCGCTTGGCCAATACAATGATGATCAGGCGTCCTTATCTTTGGCCAACGACGAACTTGTCGTCGCCGTGGTATATGCAGGTCGAACTCGACCGCGGAGAGGGAAGCGTTCATTCAGCAGCGCTTCCTCTGTCGCTGACACAGACGCAGACGAGGATGCCGCCGCCGTGGCTTTGGACCCCTGCTGCTGGCCAGAAGCACCACTAGTATCATTTGCATTTGTCTCCAACTCGATAAGATCGCCGAGTTTGTCGACGCCTGCGGCGACGCCGCCGCCCTTTTCTCTTTTGTTTCCTCCTCCGGCCATTTTTCTGACCCAGCCTTCGATGGCGCCGCCGACGTCGCCGAGGCCGGAACTGTTAGAGCGTGTGCTGCGCATGGAATCCGTGCTTGCACGCGGAGTGGTGGCCCGCGGAGTGGCTAGGCGGAGATGGAATGCTGTCGTCCGCGGAGGAGTAACAGTAGTTGGATCCTGCTGAGGAGGCAACAAGTCGGGCAGATATTGGGCCAGTTTGCGGTTGAGCGGATCGTCCGCGGGCCCGGGTTTGGCGACTTCGGTGCGGAGGCCGCGGAGGTTCCCAACGCCCCCGGGTCCGCGGAGCGCGTCGGCAAATGAGGACGATGAATGTCCTGCAGCGAGGCTGAAGGAGCGTTGTCGTCCACTAAGTGAGGAGGCGGAGCCGAGGCGAGAGGGCATGCCTGGCCGGCGGATTGGGGAAGTGTTGAGAGAAGCGCTCGTCTGTGCCGCGTGGGTCGGCGGATGACGAAGCATGTCGAAAGATGTCTTTGGTGTTGTGGGCGTGGATATATCGGCGGCTGTTGTGGCGTTCGATTTCCGTCGGGCTCGAGGGAAGTATCCTAGGGCGCGCCGGGGAACGCGCACAACCTCTACAGGTTCTTTAAAATTCGGAAGCATGACCCAGGAGTCGTGTCTGTATTCTGTCTCTTCGGACATGGAAGTGATGAGAGATGATGGATTGGAGGGATTCGAAATGCCTGACGCCGGCGCCGGCGGGTGAAGTCCATTGACGGCAGCAACGGATGGGCCATTAGTCGCCGTCGATGTCGATGCTGCTTCACCGAATTCAGATTCGGAGGCCAGCTCGCGAGCCAAGTAAGGACTGTCGACCTTTCTACCCCTTGCCGTACATCCTTCCAGCGGTATCAACACGTGTGATCTCGTTTGGATGTTGTCGTTCGGCCAGAACCGATTGACTTTTCGAAATGGCTCGGCTTGACAATTGTACTTGATGATGACGCCGGCCATGGTATCGTTTTTCTCGACTTTGTGCAGGTATACTAGAGCTTCGCCCTCCGAGTCGGATTGTTTACTTGCATCATTGGACGACAAGCCTGCGTCCGAGTCTCTCCTTTTGTAGCGTCCTGAGCTGTCACGTCCTTCCGTTGCATTGGCGAGTAAGAGTGCCTCCCTTCTCTTTGCCTGCACCAGTGCTTGTCTCTCTTCAATTGCTGCTTGAGCTGTGTTGGAGGCCGGCCGTCCGCTTGAGGCTTCGGAGCTAGGGCCCCATTGTGAAGTTCCCTGTTTAGAACCATAGCGTTTGTCCTGTTTCATCCAGACCGGAGTCTTGAAGGGCTTGTCTGTCTTGTCCTTGGACGGGCCGGGTACATCCCCTAATAGGGTTGAGGCCAGTCCCTGGATGGAGGACCACGGTTCCCATATTGCCTGAGTTCCACCACGACCACCGGAGGAGGCTCTTGAAGAAAGCCCAGCGGATGAAGACCTGCTGCTGGAGGTGTTTGTCCCGACACGTCCACTATTTCTTAACTGACCATCCGTAGATCTCGCTCGATCGACGTCTGCAATAGGGGAAACTGCCCTGCTCGTCGAGAAGCGCTGCGGCGTCGATAAGGAGGACGTAGACACAGCCGTTGCCTCATTGGCCGTATCATCTTCGATGTAGGATATGAGACGAGGGGCGCGGGGCCGGAGGGTTGAAGTGCTGCTATTCAAGGTGGAGGATTGGTAGAGTCCGGCAGGGTGGGAACTGGTGTTCATGGTCGGCCTGGGTGCCAACTCGCGACATCGGAGGTCGAAGACATGGAGAGCCAGAGGTCAGGCCGAAGGGAGAGCTACAATCGGTTTGAGGTAGGGTGAGTACGATGTAGTGATTCCGTGCACGGCCAGGGGATATTGACTCTTGGTTCGGGGTACTATGCTTTGGCGGGAATGGGATCGTGATCGCGGTACCGTCGATGAGGGTTCCGGGAGGGAGGATGGTGTCGTCGCTATTGGGGATGCGCAGACACAGGTAAAGTCCGATCGAAGGCTGGATTGGACAAGGAAGAGCCGGACAGTAGAAGGGGTTGGCAAGGAGTGAACAGGCCTAGACTGGTATGTGTCGAGAGAGCGAGATGAGCGCAGTTCAGTTCGTGGTGCGGTGTGTCCTTTTGGCGGAGGATCAGATGTCGTATGTCGTCTTGGGGATAGACACATGCAGTAACACACCGAGACAAGCCACAAGCCGCTCTCCAGGGGAAAAGGCTGAGGAGAGTGACAGCCGTCGGGGTGTCTTTTGTTGCGCAGGTCTCGGTAACCACTTGGATGCGTAGGTGCCCCTATGCATGAGGTGTACACCTAATTACAGCTACACAGCAAGGTACACACGACATAAACCTATACGTACGGTCCTAGGTACCCTGCTTCACCACCGCCACCCAGAAAGCAGTGACCGCCTGCGATCTACCGCCTATCCATTGATAAAAGCCAACGCTTCAGCGTGCTTGGGGCCCCATACCAGCACACAATTGCCCCTTACTACCTCCTATAACTAGCACCAAGTGGCTTCCGCCACGCGTCCCGTCACGTCTACTCCACTGTCATGACAAACCACTTGGACGACAGGATCGGACTTCAAAAAAGCAGAATATAATTCTGGAGACTCCTGTATCATGAACAAACTCGCAAGCAAGGCTATCAAGGTAGTGTAACTCCTGTCGAATTGATCTTTCGACGATATATCATGCTTGTTCCCTACAGTATCCACGAGCCACCTAATGCCAAGCCATCAATATAATCCTGCCTCAGACGCCGATGTCGACGTTTCTGAAGCTTACCGCTCTCCTTCTCTCTCTTCTTCAAAGCCTTGAGGTCATCCTCGTTGAGGGACGTGGCGCGGACGCACTCGGTCGAGGCAGCTGATAGGCTGGTCCGGCAGCTCGTGGATGACTCTGAGCCAGAAGAAGCTGCCGTGGCCATCATCGGTTGACTGCAATTATGATTGACTCGGTAGATGGCGGTGTTACAGACATCAGGGTCCATCTCTGCTGGACAATCTTTGGTTATTCGTTTCCGCGATGACCACGGCTGCCACCAACGCTTTTTTCTTCTATCCTTGGGCTCGGCGTCGACCTCAGGCGTGCTGGTCGACTTGAAGTCTGTCCCAGATAAGACTCGTTGAGACGACATGATGAGGGAACCGAGGATATGATCTGGTTTCTGGATTGACATGGCTTGACTTGACTTTGAGGTCACTGCAACAAGCCTTGGCGTCTGGGAAGGGGAGCTGTCCGACAGACTTGTGTGTGATGCTGGCCGAGTTCACCGTGATTGTGATATTCGACGATCTCAGCTTGCTGAACTGGACCGTCTGGAACTGCAGTGGTTGATATGCAGGATTGACACTGAGTTGAGTGGGTTCAGTGCAGTGTGTGGCTAAGATCGATATTGATCTTGGATCAATATCAGGTCTTTCTCGATCGATGCCTTGAGAAATGGTGGCCTAGGTAGGTCTACAACAAAGACCTGGACAGGGAGGGAGTGTGTTTGCCGACTTTGTGCAATTGCTGTTGTTGTTATTGCTGTTGCTGTTGCTGAGGATGACCATACTCTCTGTCGCTGGCACTTCAGTCCGTTTATATATACTACACATACACTCACTCCACTGCAGATGTCCAGAGTGCTTCATTGCAATCCTTCTCTATCTTACCCACCAGCCAACCCCAGGTGATCTGATTGCACGCTCCATTCTCAGCTCCAGCCTCACTCTCAATTTGGAACGTGGACTTCTCTTCGACAAGCATATTAGCCAGGCACTGCAGAGCTGCTCCCATTGCGTACCAGATATCATCCGGATTTTGAATTTTGGTCTTCCCTGTCGCCAGAATCCGAAGGTAAAGGTTCCACGCATCCAAAGAAAGTTACGTACGGACACGTGCAACAGTGACTATTAACTTCCTCACCTGAAGCAAGACTTGAAACCTCGAAAATAAGGTACCTCCTCTACGCACAGCACATACAATCCTGTGACTGGCTTTGGCTCTGGCTTATTTTAGGTACTACAGTAGATACCTACGGTAGCTAGCCCAGGCTGACAACTACGACCCGATGGCAGGATAAAAGAGGAAAAAGAACTCAATCAACCAGAGTTTGTGATCAGCCGCAATGCCAATATTCATCGCCAGTCCATACTTACCAGGTAGGTAGTCACATGGGACTCTCCGAAGATACTACCCTACCACTTACGACGGCTGCCGATTAGGGCAACTTGACCCTGCACTGCCAGTGATCTGCAGGGATTCATCCATTCACTCGGGACCCTTTCAAAGCCCCGAAAACCCAAAAACGGAACCGACCTGTCGCCAGCAGTGAGGAAGAGACGCCAAAGTTCCTATGAATTTGGACCAGTCGTAACTGCAAATGCACACTGGCATGCAACGGCAACAAAATCCCAGGTATGCTTCATCCCCGCCCCATGGCAGTCCCAAGGATCTGGACCACAACCTGAGAGGCCCGATGCGTCCGATGGTCGAGGGCGGGAGGCTTGGTCTTGCTAGGAAAGTTTAGACAAAGGTATATGACTGATTGACGATACAGTCCTACCTAGGCACACTGGACTCCATTGATCAGAAAATACGCCCAAACAACCTACCACATTATTGGCACCCACTGTACGGTATGTACTACAGCATAATAAACTACTGCACTGCAGGGAATGTCCAGGAGTCGATTATCCCTCACTGGCAGTCCCCAGGATCCAGCTGGACCCAGAGTCCAAGATCCATTGCTTCTAGCGGGAGAGCCGCTGTGACTTTTCTATTATTTCTGACTGATCATGAATGAGCCATTATTCTTCGAAAATGGGCCCGGCTTTCATTCACCTCTTCACCGGTACACCCGATTGAAAAAGAAAAACATAATATTGACTCCGAGTGTCCATAATAATAATCCATATCCAATGTCGCACAACATACCTCAGAACGTTCGCCAGAATCCTATCCTACACCTAATCATCCATAAAAAGACAGGACCCTTCTCGAGGGGTCCGAACTTACTCTCCTACTTAGGAACCTGAGCATAACCTCCTTCCCGCAAGACCAACAATGCCAGCTACCCTAGTACACCACGGGGAGATACAGAATATTGAATACTGCTTTAAGTTGAGAAACCTAAAGTGGGGGCAAACATTCCCTTGAAGTTCACAGGTATGTCTCATCTTACATTCTTCTCTCCATCACGAAGGAAGCTCTTTTTATGGTAGGCGATATGGGTAGTCAAGTCTTCTCATGTTCCATGTATAGTCCCGTAGCACTATCAGATACCACTTCGTCCATAATCTGAGATTCCAAGTTCATGCCCACAGTCCAATTTTTGCCCCTTTTTTGAATATCAGCCCCGACCGACCGTACGCTTGGCTACGCTTACAGAAAAACATACAGTAAACTGCTCCATATAGACTTTTTGGCCTGCGCTGCTGCTCATCCATCAACAGTCATTTTGCCATCGCCCATGCCGGCCATTTCGCCATTGATGCCGAAAAACTGGAACCAATCTTCCACATTGAGCGTCGTGGGCGCCACGGGGGCGTTGCCGATCGAACTTGTCGACCAGCCATCGCTGTCGTGCATTTCCATGCCCGAACCCCCCATCATCCCTTGCATCCCTGATGATCCCCATACTTGAGGAGGTTGTTGTCCTCCTCCTGACATGTCCATTTGTGGTGCCATATGCTGACCACCGCCCATGCCGGGCGTTTGCATTTGCAACTGAGGGTCAACTGCATGGTGCATCACGGGACTGGCAAAGTTGGTGCCGTCGCCAATCGTTCCATCCGGGAAGAGCTGATCTGGTTGGAAATTCTCCCATAGCTGCTGCGAGATATTTGGCGAATCCCGCGTCACCAAAAACAAATCCGGTGGCGTGGCTGGAATCGAGTATCCATTGAATGGCGAGTTCGCTCTGGTTGGTCCCCGTGATGGTATACGAGACGGTCCACGAGACCTTGACGGTGGTAGAAATTGGTCCTGTAAAGGAGGGGACCCGAGGAAGTTGTGGTGCTGCTGTTGTTGTTGTTGCTGCTGCTGCTGTTGCTGGGGAAGATCGCGGGAAGGCGTTGCGGCAGGTGTCTGTGGACGTGAACGCTCATATGACATTTGAGGAGCTGGTGGTCCAACGTTGAATCCCAGGTCAATGTCGTCGAATTTTCGTTTGGCGGGATTTGGCGGTGGTGCTGGGGTGGCTGAGGGTGCAGACGATGAATGCGCTGTTCCATTGGCGTTGCCGTTCGGTTGAGATGCTCCTCCAGTAGCCTGAGGCCTCGAGCGTTGTGCCTTTCGGCCAGTTGCTTTCTGTAACCTCTCCTCGAGGACTTTGTTACCGAGAATGGATTCAAAGAGGGTATGAACCATCTTGGCCACCAACCACACTTTGGAAACCTCTTTCAACGCGTTCATGCAAACGTTGATCCGTTCCTGGCTAGCCGCCACCACGGACGGAACCGACGAACGCATCTGATACACATGCATGATGAGTGCCGAAAACAGGCTGTATACACTATACACCGTGTCAGATCTGGGGTACAGTAAGACAGTCTGGATGACTTACATAAAAGCAGGTGTATATTTGACTTGGTCATGGGCAAGGAGGTTTTCCATGATTGAAGTGATCATGCCTGCTGCTTGGAACGCTATCGTTCTAGAAGGATAAGACATGTCGACATTTTCGTAGTCATTCGACTTGGCCGTGGCGGGAGGCATGTGCGCCCGGTGGAGCAGACATAACGTGGTACTGTTCTTATATGAGCTTCAGCGCTTTCAATTGACAGGAACCAGACTTACTAATAGTTCGAATGTAACAACGCTGACCAGAAGTGATGCCGCGAGCGTTCCCAATATACCTCGCGAGGACAATTCTGAAGCCAGTCGGCCAAGGCCATGTCACTATGAGTGAGATCGATGGCATTTGTTCGCCGGGCCTTGGACGCAACGGAATACTGTTGCGAAAGTACAAGACCCATGATTTCGCAAAGCTTGACATACTGCAGAAAGAACTGCACGTGAACCGGATCGGGCGGGATGTCGTTGTTCGGGTCTCCTTCTTCTTCGATAAAGTCCTCTTCCGTAATCATTTCAACGTCCGAATCGTCCGTGTTGATGGACACCGGTCGACCAAGAGCAACAGCGACCGACCGGTCTCTTGTGAAAAGCGACCACCAAACTCGTTTCCAAAGTCGCTTATCCTGTCTACTCAGTTGCGAGCTCTCCACGCTGCGCCGCGATCAGCAGAAAAACTTTTGAAAATGCGGCATACCATACCTTCGATGCATCCCGGCACCCTGAGCGACCACAATGGCGACCCTAGTCCAATAAAAAACATTCTTCGTCACATCTGCTGCAATGTTAGACCGAGCAGCGTCGGCATAGTCCGTTGATGCCTGGCCCTTACCTTCGGGCCCTTCCCAGTACCAGCCCATCAATATCAGGGCCTGTACGATGGTGATGCGGTCGTCTTCGTAGTTGGCATCATAAAGCGCCTTTGCACGTTTGTAGAAGGTCATTGCTGCAGGCGTGGTTGATCCCGTGGCGTCCATAAGTTGCGGGTTTTGACAGACTCTCGAACCGGCGAGGAGTATAGCTTGGAGGAGGAGCAAGGACGGCGGGTTTTTGGTGTCTTTATACCGCTTCATGAATCGGGTCTTGTTGATAACGGGGACGATGGGGGCGACCCATTTGAAATATGCGTCGACGAGCTCATCGCACAGTGCGCGGGGTGGTAGTAAGAATGCTCCACGCTGCTGAAGAATCTCGATCTCCATCTGATCCGGCTCGGTCAACCGGGCGCGAGCGCCTCGAATGTTTTCTGGTAAAGGATAGTGAACCACGTCTGTGGTGCCATGGCGATCATGGACCAACAAGGACAGATTGGAGGATTCGCCCAGGTACGCCACCCGACCGGCTTCTTTGATGGGCGCTCGAGCGAACTTGGGTTTCATGAACTGTGCCATGGTGCCATTGTTGGCGGCCTGATGGGCGGCTTGCGCCTCAATCGTCTGGGTGGAAGGAATGCCATCTTCGGTATTGTAACCGGCCGTTGGTTTCGGTTGAGCAGGGCGTGCTATGCGAGGGTCTGTCGGAGTAGCCGGCTGTTGAGAGTCGCCAGTCTCACTGTAGACACCGAGTCAGGTCTAGATACAAGAAGGATAGAGTACCAGGTCGAACACCAGGTAAACAACGTGCATGACTTACCTCCCTTCCTCTTTGGCTCGAGCAGTACTGGCTCTCTTCCTCTTAGGTATGGGAATTCGGCATTCGATGGAAAAGGCGACGCAATTGGTACACGGAACACTGGACGGGGGTCAACTTCGCTGTAGCTTCCAACGCTTTACATGATCTTACCCTAGTGAGGCGGCATCACATCGGACCTATACGACATGACAGTTAGATTCCTGGTCAGAAAACACCACCAGGTACGGCAGTCCAGCGACATGCCACATCTGCGACATACTTTTCTGGCATGGCACGTTTCTGTAAAAGACCGCAGGTTAGCCAATCCATCGCAAAAACACCGGATATGCGTTGAAAACGTGGGTGTTGTGCATGCTCATTGGATCATTCCACTTTGGACACGGCGGCCTCCAGGTATCGAAGGATCGTGGACGCAGAACGCTGAACCGAGGTTCTCGGTTTGGTCGCGTCCCTCGAAACGAACAAATGTAATATTTGACGTCGTCCGCGGTCGCCTTCCAGACAATTGTACGACCTGCAACGACGGCGGGTATATGACTTGTTCTTGAATACAATCTCCATCCTCCCGAACCGTCCGACTTTTACACCAGGATGAGGTGGGTGCAAGGGGAAACCGAGGACAAGCTTACCACACGCCCGCGACGCACGCTGTCTGTATGGTGGATCAGCAAACTCGCGTACAATAACAGGGGCCGTCCGTACAAAACATACCTTCTGAAACTGGGATGACCGGGAGTTTGGTTTGGAGGCGCCTTCTTGGTGGCAGACTGGTCGGTGGATGATGCCTGTGGCTGCGCCTGCGACTGCGACGGTTCTTGAGCAGAAGTTGGCTGCGATTCGGACGCTGGGTTGGAATCGGCCATGGCTGCTACAGGGAGGGCGCCGCGCACAAGAAGAGAAAAGAAAAGGTTTGTTGTCGACTCGCACGAAGCGATAGTTGCATCGCGGGCGGCGAAAACAGCGGATGGAAAGGAAGCGACGGTGATGAAAGTCGGTTCCGGCAGCAGAGGTTGTGCTGTAGATGGCGGACGCAACGCTGCGCAGTGGCAGCGGTTGAACCGAATTGGCCTGACTTTGGACGCTGGAGAGTGGCAGCGAACCACCAGCCAGACAGTCTCCGGGTCGCCCGTAAGTCAGTGTGCAATTAATGCAGTGGCTGCCACTTGCAGTGCCTGGCCCGCAGCCTCCCTAGCCGCACTGGCACTGGCGCGATCTTCGGGCGTTAGTCAAGTTGACACGGGGTTCGGCCTAAGCACTTGGGTCTGGGGTCTAGCTTGGGCGCAGGCACCTGGTATGGGCTCCCTAGGCAGCTTTTAACTACCTGTAGGTAACAGCGCCGGAGGACTGGTGTCTGGTGACCGCTGTCCTCACCACAACGCTTAGCAGCTACTACGAACAAAGCACGATCATCACCTCGATCAGGCTGCTTCTCCGGCCTCGTTAGCCTCCCCTACTCCCGGTAGTTGGGCGATGCTGGCAGCACATGCTCAAAAGAGTGTGGGGTAAGCCTCAAGATGCCTGTGAGATGCCCTGTCATGCCTACCGGTATTCCGCGATATCTCCCCAAATTCCAGGTGCCATGCATCGCATTACCACCACATGCAAGGCCCCGTATCATTCTCGTAGTCATCGTCATCTGTAGTATAGACCGGTCATACGGTACCTGGGATAACACATTAATGGAGGCAAAAGTGAAGGGCAAAGTGTCTGTAGTCAAAATATTTAGAGCCGAGGTTGAAATCACATGCCACGCCGGTCATGATCGTGGTATTATTGTTGAAGGACCGGCTCAGGCTGCTGCTGCTCCGGCGCCTCTTCCATGCGTGAGCCTGCATCTGATGAAGACTCGTCGACACTCCACGCCCTATTATCTTCTCCGCCATCAGTAATAGACCTGGCAACCCGACCGCTTTCAGCAGACTGTCTAAAGAAATCCGTCGTGCGAAGGCCTCTAACTTCGCCGGCCTTCATCTGGTCGATCCTCTGCCCACTCTCCCTCTGCCTCTTGATCATCTCTCGCACAGGAATCATAGCGGCCTCGCGACAAGCCTCTTTGATATCGCTGCCAGACATTCCAGACATGACTCTGGCCAGGTACTCCAGATCCAGCTGTTCCTCGTCGAGTTTTGTATCCCGCAAAACAATCTTCAAAATCTTCAACCGTTGCGACGTATTTGGAAGGGAGACCGGGAACTTCTTAGGCATCCGTCGTAGAATAGCATCGTCGATATCCTGAATGCGATTCGTGGCCCCGAGGACCAATATCCGTTGCGGTCGCCCTGATGACGAGGCCGAAGCCAATCCATCCCAATGCGTCATGAACTCGGCCTTGACCATCCCGCTGGCCTCGTGCTCGCCGCTGCGTCGCGTGCCCAGAACAGCATCGATTTCGTCGATAAACACAATCGCCGGTTCCAGCTTGCGCGCGAGCGAAAACACCGCATTCACCAGCTTATTGGAATCGCCGAACCATTTTTCCGTCAATGTCGAAATGTGCAGGTTGATGAAACATGCTCCGCTCTCGTGTGCCAACGCTTTGGCGAGCATCGTCTTTCCACACCCCGGTTGGCCGTACAGAAGCACACCCGAAGGCGCCGACAATAGCGACGATGTGTTGGAGTACAGTTCCGGCATGGTCAACGGGTAGATGACCGACTCTTTCAGTTCTTCAATAATGTCCGATAATCCGCCAATGTCGTCAAATGTCACGCGTATGTCTTCCGGAAACACTAGGTCTTGAAGGATCACTTGCTCGTAAGGCGACAGTTGCATTTCCGATCGCAGTGGCCGTTGGGAATCTCGTCCGCCGTGGGCCGCCTGCTGGCTGCCGCTCTTTGGCTCGTCCAACCTCCGCAGGATGGCCGAGGATTGTTTTCGGTTCTGCTCCTTTTGTTCCGCCTCCGGGTCGTAGTTCATCTGTCTCAACACATATCTGACGAGGTAATAGCCTCCGATTGCCTGCGAGGCGTTAGCCCGTACCCACGGTGCATCGGAGAGAGATGCTGCGGTGTCCAAAGGAAGGACGTACCAGAGGCGCTGTGACGGCAAGCTCTTCGAGAATTCGATGCCACCAGGCACCTCCCCTATCCGGCGACATGGTGGAATTCTTTCACAGTGCACGCGAGATCATGAGTTGTGGATAAAGATGTTAGCGAAACCGCTGAAGATGAAAGGTTGCTGTGATCTGCGACTGCGAGGGCTTAGTATTGCAGGTGGTTAAGCCTTGCCAAAAGCGCGCACGGGAAAATCGATCAATCAGGAGCCGAGCCGTGAGTGACATGTGATGATAAGATAAGTGAGAAGTGCACTAGTCCTGATCAGGACGACTGTTTACCGCGCTCTAAACAAACTGACGCTGCAGAACCCAATTCGCACACGACTACTAACTATCTGAGACAATTCGCACTACGCGCGCAGTGCCAACGGTGAAGATTCCGTGATCGCATGCATCTGTGTTTAAGCTAGGAGCGTCCTACACTTCACTACCGACGCGCGATTCAAAATGAGAGGCATCGCAGACCTAGTCGAGTCCGCCATGGAGGATTCGACAACCAACTTCATCGACGAAAACTCGATCTTGTCTTCGGCTTCCGACGCGAGCGCCGCCGCAAGTGCAGCCCAAGCCCAACCCGCGCAGGCGAAGAGAGGGAAGAAACGGCATCGCGTCACCATGCCCACCAAGACGAGATCAAAGGTTCAGAAAGTCGCGCCCGCCCCTGCGCCGACAACAGGCGCGAAAAAAGCCGCCGCGACCAAGCGCACGACCACGGCGAAACGGAAGGCTCAGGCTCTGGAAGAACACATTGAGGAGACAGAAACCGCGGACAATGGGAATGACGATCACAATGATGTTGAAGTCACCCAGGAAGTGGTTGAACCGAAACGCAAAAAGGTCGCCCGGACCAAGCAATCCAAGGCCAATGCGACCAAGAAAGCGGCAGTAGAGGCCAACAATGAACCGACAGAGGATGGAATGGATGTCGAGGCGTCACCGGTGGCCAATGTACGACCGAACAACCGCACCAACACTAAAGATGCAGCTCCCAAAATTGCAAAGAAATCGTCCAAAGCTACTACTACATCCAAAAAAGCGTCCTCTGCCCAGCAGCAACAGCAGCAACTCAAGGCTACCGTCGAGGCAGAAGAAGAGCAGCAGTCCGATGCAGTCGATGAAATGGAAGAAGAGGAGGAGGGCCCTAGACCGGCGGTCGTCACAACAGCAGCGGCAGCAAAACCAATACCGAGACAAAACCGCGCCACAGGCACCACCAGAGACACTTCCAGAGCGAGACATGAGCCGACGACAATAGGATATGCAGCGCAACGAAGGGCAGGGAGCGCATCCGACACCGACAACAGAGGAGGAGACCCCAGCCTCCGCCGCAAACTAGGGGACATTACACGCAAATTCGAGAACGTGGACCTCAAATACCGCAATCTCAAAGAAGTCGGGATCCACGAAGCCAGCACGAACATGGAGAAACTGCGCAAGCAATGCGACGCCGCCATGGCGGCGTCCAACGACTTGATTGCATCTCTGAAAAAAGAGCTGGCTGCCCAGGCTCCTCTGGCCCAAGAAGCCCGCAAGCTCAAGAAACAGATGCAGACCCAGGAGCAAGAAATGGTGACCATGCGCAAGGCTCTTTCTGACCTGGAAAATTCGTTATCCGCCGCCCAAAACGAGAACAAGGCTCTGCAGGCTAAACTGGCCGCGGCCCGAGCGCCTTCTGTCGATAACAATAATAATGCAAGAGGAGCCAAAACACCAGGAAGCGCCATGAAGGCTGTTGTTGCCCAACGACCAGCAATGATTGGAAGTGCAGAAGCCGCTCAAGCTGCCCAGATCGCACAGATGAAGGAAGACCTGTACAGCGACTTGACGGGTCTGATTATTCGAAGTGTCAAGAGGACAGACGAAGGCGATACTTATGACTGTATCCAGACTGGTCGGAATGGCAGTAAGTACTATACTATCCCAAGATTGTCGGTTTTTGGTGTGTTTGCGTTGAAACGTTAGGACTAATTGGTGCCACTTGTTTAGCACTCCATTTCAAGCTGTACGTCGATCAAGAGGATGCCAGGACCGCCAGCTTTGAAGAGACGGAATTCCTGTACACGCCTCTCCTGGATGCCAATCGTGATCGCGACATGATCGAGTTGATGCCGACTTATCTGACTGAGGACATCACGTTTGCGAGACAAAATGCCGCGAAATTCTATGGTCGGGTCGTGGATACCTTGACCAAACGGCGAGCCGAGGAATGATCCGAATGGACTCTTTTGTGTTATTGTGACTCGCGTCGTTTTGAACTCAGGAATATGGGGAGGGGCTTCTCTCAGGATTTGGATGGGCGGCGAACTGTGTTGGATCTGGCGTGGCGTTGTCCATTGGCGATATGATTGTGGCTATGGCGGCAGGAAAGCAAATCGAGTTGTACTGTATGGTATGGATAGAGTACCACTTGAACAATGGTCCTCAGGTGGTCGGGACAATCGGCAAGATTGGTCGCTGTTCATCAATCACTGAAAATTGTATTCCTGTCGTCCCTTCGAGACACGCCATCTGTCAGTCCGGGTCCTGCGATATTTCATGGAAACGCATCCAGGACTAATAAGAGCGGCGGTATCGACCCAGTAGTGAACGGGCCCCCAGCCAAGCTGTCTATTCTCGCCGTGGGGCTCGAGGGGTCCATGAGATGTATCCTGATGAGATGCTCATCAACCCGGTGAGCAGCCTTTCAAAAACTGGAGTAGCCCGCCATCTCTGAGAAAAGCTCGTCCCAATTGAAGTCGTCCAACGACGGCCCGTTGCCCGCCAGGGCATTGTTTAGCAAGTCATCCGAGTCTGGTGGCGGCACTTGGGCGCCATCAAGCGCTACAGCAGCCGTTGGGCCATCTGCTGTGGCCGCCGTGCCATGACCACGGCCCTGAGAACTCGAGGTCGAGGTTGCCAAAGTAGAGGAGTTCAAGTTGCTGCTATTGCTATTGTTATTGTTATGATTGGCCAAGCAGTACCTTATTCTCAACACGGCACTCAGCGCAACATTCGCACCCATTCTGGACCTGATGGGAAGAAAGGCCATAGTTCGCTGAACGTGACCCGGCCCGCCGTCGCGGGTGGTGGTGGTATCAATATACGCTGTTCTGGTGATAAAGCGCTCGAAAAGCATGGAGGCTCGAGCCATGAAATCGCCGGGCACAACTGAGAGGCGCCGCAAGATATGCCAGCCGTGAGTGAGATTGCCGGACAAGACACTGTCTTCGACAAGCCCGTGATGTCGGGAGCATTTCAAAAGCAACAAGAAACAGACGGCGTTGGCGACCATTTTCTGCACGCGAGACGGGGCGTGGAACAACTGCTCTGGAACCCGGGACGCCGTCTGGACGGTCGCCGTCGCCGCCACGTACCCTCGAACCAGCCAATGTGATAGCGACTCGATGGCCACAAAACTTCCTCCCGAAGATGATGAAGAGTTGTTGTATAAACCACTAGTAGTACCACCATTGTTGCTGTTGCTGGTGTTATCGTCGTCGTTATCATGCGATGCAATTGCAAACGTATACAATATCATCCGACAGCCCAGGAAAATAATGTATTCTACCGGCGACCAGGACGCGTAGTACCGGCACTCGAGGGCGCGTAGTTCTGTCTCGAACATGCGCACGACGGGTGCCGCTGCGGGTAATAGTCCCGTGCTAGACGACTCGCAGCATCCGAGACTGGAGCAGATGTTGAATGTGTGTCGAGAGATATGGAGCTGGTGACACAGCAGATCTGGCAGCCAGGCCGGTCTGGTCGCTAATAATTCTAGCAGACCTTGGTCTAGCTGCACTGTGGCTGGGAGGCCTAGGCCGCCATTTACACTGGTAACCATCATTCCGTGAATAGTGGTCCACGTGAAACGAAATGGCAAAAAAGGTTGAGAAGAGAAATCAAACGCGCAACTTACCTCAAATTTGTGATGAAGCACACCGCCCACGTCTTCCGCCGCAGGATTTCGGTCTCGGGGTCGTTAGAAGCGTCCGCCGCGAAGTCGCCTGCATGACGAGGTCGATGAAGCCCCATTCGGAGGCCGATGTTGGTAGCCAGCGCGACGAACGAATGGGAAGGGTCCTGAGATTTCCCGAACGGGAGAGGCCATTGGCAGAGAAGCAGGAGGGCTTGCATTGCTTGGAACGAGGCCGCGGCCGGCTGCACAGTGTCGTATGCCATGGCAGCCACAGTCTCCGCGATGGTCGAGTATAGTGCTTGATGCTCGGGTTTGCCTCTCAGGGCAGTGACCAGCACCGTCCAGAAAAGTAACGGACATGGATTCGAATAGTCGAGGAAGCGCGATTGGTCAGGAAGAATGGGACAGAATGGATGATAGTTGGTGAAGAACCTTTCAAGTTAGAAAACGATATCCCAAAAACATACCCACGCCGAGACCTCTCTCAGGGCTTGGATAGTAAGATAACGTATACATACTCGTCGAGAAGATCCTTGATCCGTTGCGCCGCAAGGTCAACGCCCCGAATGGCCCTTTCCGGCGGTGCGTCTGGCCGAAGCAGTGGCCGCCGCGCTGTTTGTCTGGGCCGAGTGGTAGATCGACGCGGTATGGTAGGAGCAGGGGCCGGAGAATGAGAAGCATCTTCATTGCTCAGACTGGTTTCGTTGCTGACCGATGTCGCTCCCAGGCCCTGGCGGGCTTCTTGGAGTTCTTGCTCGACACGCGTGAGTCGTCTGATACAGCAACAACACAAACAGGTCAGATCATGACCGTGCAGAATGGAAGTCAGACCATAACTACAAATAAGTAGATAGGTAGGTCTGGCATAGCACAACTTGAAATCAACATACGTACTCTTTTCTTCTCTCGCGTCGAAAGTCCGGGTCCACCGAACACACCCTGCCGGTGTCTCTGCATCTTGTGCAAGGGCCCGGAAACGTAAGATGCTTGTCGCACGCGCGCTGTTGTACCGTTTAGGCACCGCACTCACTCCCTTCGATTTGCTTTTGTTCTTCGTGGGTGGGAAAGAAACGTACCTTTGCTTGCCGGCAATTGGTGCAGGCAACCAGGTTGGGCTTCCTGCCGCGCACCATTGGGAAATGCGGGTGTGGTCACGGATTGTCAAGGCATGGTTGCGAATGGGGAAGTGAGAGGAAAGTGGAACGGAAGATGCATTTGAATAAACGATGTTGCTATAACAATAGTTCCAGTGTCATTGCTCCCCAGCCACACAACATCGCTCGTTTGCCAGTAGGAGTAGTAAGTAAGCTGTTTGCTATCGTCCCACCACCACTTCCAAAAAGCCGTGTGAATAATATATCTCTCGATGTACCACCAGCATAGATGCACTTTCCTGATGCATGTTTTCGCAAAAGGGCTGCGGTTAAATACGAGAGGAAAATTGATATTACTACACTGCGGTGGATGAAACTTGAACCAAAACCTGAAGACACAAGGCTGAGAAACCCGCTACTAGTACCACTATTACTGCAGTGAAGCTTTAGCACTATCTACTACTATGACCAACGTTTGTCATCTGCTTCTACCACCCATCCAAGACCTCAAGTCTCACTCGCACTCCATCTCCCGGAGCCGCGCCGATTCCACGTTTCGTCGACTCTACCGACTTGTCAGGGTTCTCCAGCTCCATGTGAAATCTGCCAACCAGCGCAGCCACCAAACAAGTCAGTTCCGACTTGGCAAAGGTAGATCCAATGCAACTCCGCGGTCCATGGATGAAGGTCAAAAACCCAAAATGGGTCCGCACACCACCGGTATTCGCACAGCCCTTTCTCATCCAGCGCTCGGGATCGAACTTATCTGCGTCCGGACCCCATAGCTCCGGATCAAGGTTTGTGACGCCAGGAGCGATGGTGAACCTAGTTCCTCTGGTGATGTGGTAGCCGCCAACGCTGGTATCATGGAGAGCCTCGCGCACCGTGACCGGAACGGGCGGATAGAATCGAAGCACTTCGTTGCAGAAGGCATGAAGATAGGGAAGGCCATCAAGGTCGTCGGCCGAAATTGGAGTTTCATCATCCGTGATGGATGGCAGTCGGCTTCGTATCTCTTCTCGTAATCGCTTCTGGATTTGGATGTCCCTGCACAAAGCATAGACGGCCCATTGAAGAGCATGCGAGGTAGTGCCATGTCCAGCGGCGAGAAAGGTCATCATCTGATCCACGAGTTTTTCATGGGTGAAGATACCGCTTCTCAATGCGACGGAGATGATGTCGACTTGTTTACTATCCTCGCCGCCTGCATTCATTTTATCCATCTTTTCTTGGATGATGCTCCTGCAGACGCCTCTTATGTACCTGGAGGCTTCTTGGACCTGCTTCCGGCGGTTGCTGGGCAGTTTCGAGACAATCGTGGCCCATCGGGGAGAAAAGAGCGACACCACCAATCCAAGAACGACTTCCCACCGTGCCGGCTTCTGTCGCATCCGCTGGTACTGCTGGGTCACGTTGTTGTGCGGATCGTGGAGAGAGTCAAAGTCATGATCCATGCCCGCAAGACCGATGATATCCAAAGTGGTCCGGGTCGCCCAGCCCCGGAGGACAACCACGGAGCGGTCGTTGTTCTTGACTTCTTTTTCAAGACATTGCGTTAACTGCCTTGCCTTGTACCAAAAGACCGGATACAAGTCTTTGATGTGTCGGAAGGAGAATGATGGCATGAGAGCCTTGCGCTGTATCTGTGCAGGTACATTTTCTCAGACTTTAAACGCCAGGAAAGGAGAGGACAACATAACACAAACCTTGTGTTCTTCCCCTTCGGCCAGCAGGAGGCCATTACCGGTGATATACCGAAGTCGCTCTTTCGTGGCCTTGGGCTTGGTGAACTCGGCTTCGTGCGAGACCAGGATCTCTTGCAACGCTTTCACACTGGTGACCAGCACTCGTTCCTGGTTGCCCTCAAGATAATACCTAAGGAGGCCGTCGTTGGGGACCGTTTTCGTCCAGTAGCGCAGGCGCGCCGCATGAGATGTCGCCGTGGATGGTGCCGTCGTTCCCTTGAGGAGCGACCGGCCTGGCGGAGTGGGGATTTTCCTCAACGGCGTAAATAGTTCAGGGTATAGGAATGATGTATAGAAAGCGCAGGTGACCAAGATCATAACAGTACCTAAAGCGAGGGCGGACACAACATGCTTGGAGGTGAAGGGTCTCTGCCAGAGCCATGGTAGCGCCGCAGACCCCAATGCTTTGAAGGAAGATGCCATGGTTAAGAAGAATAGAGAACAGAAAAAGGCTCTGTCTCAATACAATGCACAGGTTGTAAAGCAAGCTTAATCCATGTCATGATGGCCACGACATCCCCTACCTTGAACCGATGTTCTTTATATCTCACAGGTCGGTTGGACTGGAAAAGCGCTTGCGGTATCCAAAGCGCTCCTCCACTGCGGTCCATGTAGCTCGCTCCACAAACATGATTGGACATGCCAGCAACGAGATTAGCATACCTGAGCTGTTCGATCTGTGAGTCGATGCAGTACATGCGGTTTAGTTTGAATAAACCGCTCACGCGGCTGAAATGTTGCGCAAATTGTAGAGCGGATTTTCCCTGCGAATCGATCCGTTCCGTACCTACCAGAGCGGTAAGTCAGGCGGAAGACGCGACTCACCTCTCGCTGACGCAGGCTACGAGACTGGCTCGCTAGTATCTTAAAGATTGTAGATTCTACGTCCGCAATCGAGCGGCAATTCATGAAGTATAGTATGAAGATGAAGACGGCACGGAGGACGATGACCCATAGTCTAGGTACATAGCTGTGTCGTGATACCGAGACAAAGGTCCCCACGTGACACAAGAACCCCACGTGATTCCGGAACTCCCCCGGCTTTGTCAGCAACCTGAACTCATACGAGATCCTACTGCCCCTCAGGTCCCGCCGAATCTGGTCCCACCGTGACGCTACCAGTGTCAACATCTCCCGCATCTCAGAGCCGGAACTTATTATCGTGGAGGGGACTCGGATCTCAGTACTACTACTAAATGGCCACGAAATACTACTGTAAAAAAGCCAAAGAAATAATAAAGACATTTGCAGAGCAGGCGGCAGCTTAACCACCTTAACTGGAAGGCACACCAGCTAGACGGAAAGATACGGACTGAACCCTACCCACCTTGTACAACCGACTCTACTTCCAGGATATATATCAATCATTGACTATTACCTCTGAGACACCGCCTTGCAACGAACGGCCAGTGCAAGATGGCACCTCAATTAGCATGGCTAGGCCTAGGCAACATGGGCAGGGTAAGTACATGTACCTAACAACACAGCCAGAACCACATCGAATTGTCACGCATACCCTCTCATACTCACGCCAACCGAAGATCTGTTGCCAACCAGACAACCACTAAACTAACCACCCGACATTGCCTATAGGGAATGTGCAAGAACCTCGTTGAAAAAGGCAACCTGACCAACCCACTGATCATCTACAACCGCACGACATCCCGAGCGCAATCCCTCTCCACACAGCTGGGCCACTCGAGCGTCGCAAACAGCCCATCCGAAGCCGCATCCAAAGCCGACATCATCTTCTACTGCCTAGGCGACGACGCCGCGGTCCTGTCGACGCTCGAACAAATCCTATCCACCCCCGAAGGCATTCAAAACAAGATCCTCGTCGACTGCAGCACCGTGCACCCGGACACGACGGCGCAAGAGAACAAGTTAATCAAAGAGAAAGGCGGCCGGTTCGTCGGGTGTCCCGTCTTCGGCGCGCCCGCCATGGCCGACTCGGGTCAATTGATCTGCGTTCTGGCCGGCGAGGATGTCGATGCTGTGGACAAAGTCAAGCCATACTGCAAGGGCGTCATGGGCCGCGAGAACATCGACTTCTCGGGCCAGGAACCCAGCAAGGCCACTTTGCTCAAAATCATTGGAAACACGTTTATTGTGAGTATGGTCGAGACCTTGTCCGAGGGTCACGTCATTGCCGAAAAGTCCGGCCTCGGCGTCGACGAGCTGCACAAGTTCATTGAGATCATGTTCCCGGGCCCGTATACCGCCTACTCCAACCGTTTGCGCACGGGCGATTACTACAAACGAGAAGAACCGCTGTTTGCCGTCGATCTGGCCAGAAAGGACGCTCGCCATGCCATGGCTCTGGCCAAGAAATCTGGCTGCCGCATGAAAAATGTCGAGTTGGCCGATTCCTATCTCAAAGTCGTCAAGGAAACCCAAGGCCCAAAGGGCGACATTGCCGGCATTTACGGTGCGAAGAGGCTCGAAAGCGGCTTGCCTTTTGAGAATTGACCACGGGCACTCGAGCTGCAGTGGCGGTGATGAGGAAGCCGCGACGACTTGTTGACTGACTGGTCGTGGGCTGGACTAAGAGTCAGGGCGTGTAACTTACACCAGAAGAGAAGCCGTGATCAATGCCATGGAGGCACTAGTCAGGATAGCGGCCGAGATGGTAGTTCAGGTCCCGCGCCATTGGAAACTTGTCCAATGTAGTAGAAATAAGTGCTGGCGAAACAGGAGGCGCCATAGAAGAACAACACTGGAGAGCTGTGCTGCTTCCAACTGAGCGGACCAAAAAGAGGCGTTTCTTCATCAACATAAGCCCCGGGCGAGTTCTCTCAAGTCGGTATGTCTTTGCCGGCCTCGTATTCCAGTGCACAATGCAAGTCTCATGCGGGCATTCAGAACGCCTCTGCCTGGCGCACCGTGTCCTCTGTCGAATCTATGCTGTTTCCAGCCGCGGCGCTGTTGGCCTCGTGCATCTTGCTATCGGTATCGTACCATTTATCCTCCGGGTCCCATTCAAAGAGATCGTGCAGACGCAGCTGTTCGTCGCTTTCGACGACTGCGACCATGGCATCAGGCCAGACCTCCGCCTTGATGTGGGAATGTACTCCAACCCGCGGATTCTGATTCTCAGCGGGTGCACTCGTGTGTTGACCGTCGCGGCGGCCGGATTTGGCGGCCCCATCGAATGCCTGGTTGTTAGGTGTTGTGACTGTGTAGCGTCTATGTACGGTCCATTTTCCCCTGCGCCTCAGAAACGCCTCCAAGTCGCCTTTCATGCCTTGTGTAAAATGGTGTTTCCTACCGAGCATCTTGATCCGACCTTCTAGGACGCGCCAGTACAAGGTCTCGGCGGTGTCGAGACGTCCTTGTCGTTCATACATCATGCCCAGTGTTCGAATGCTCTCAAGTCTGCGCGGGTGGTTCTGACCCAAGGTTTCACGTGAATCGGCGATGGCAATCTCTAGAACTTCGATGGCCTCATCGATGCGTCCTTGTCTCTCAAGCGCGCGATGCAGGTTGGTCAAGGCCGAGATGGACTGCAGATGCCACCGGCCCAGATTGGCGCACGAGAGCTCGTACACTTTGCGCAGGACCAACTCGGCCTGTTCGAGCTGTCGCTCCACGTTAAGCATGTAGCCGTAACAATACAGACATGCGATTGACCGCAAGTCCGTGTGGCCGTGCCGGCGAATAAGCTGCGTGTGCACATTGCTCAGAGTCAGGCTGGTGATGTCGCAATTCTGCCAATCGAGGTCGGCGATATGGACCATCCATCGCACCATGATGGTCAAAGGGTCATCTCGGCCTAGCACCCGTTCTGCCACTTTGTACGCCGAGGACATGATGGTCTTGGAAATGGCACCCTGGTCGTGCATATGTAGGATTGACAGTGTCTGATTAAGCGCCAGTAGAACTTTGGGATCTTGTTGAGGAGCCAGCATTTTTTCGAACTCGGCGTCCGCATCAGCCAGGCTAATCCGGGACAATTCGTCGTTGCCCCTGCTCATGTATATGCACGCAGAGAAGCACCGCGCCACCCACCTCCAAGAGTGTTCGTGCCCACGAGATGAAGCTGGCATAGAAAAGGTGCCTTCTGATGACTCGCCACGGTTGTCATTGAGGATGTTCCGCCTAGCCCCATGAGGATGTTCGAGGTTCGGTAGACTGATGAAATGATCTCGGGTCAGTTCGTGACATTTGGGACATACCATTTCGTAGTCTTCGGAGTCTGTCGACGACGTGTCGCTCATCAACCTCCACGACGTAATGTCGTCGTGGCCGCACAGGGATTTGAGTGAGGGTGCATCGATGATTTGGAGCGCCATGTGCTCTACATCTTTGCCTAGTCGCTGGCAAGGAGTCCCAGTGCGGGTGTGTTGGTCCGTCTTGCGGGCTTGGCTATCGTCGTTGACAGTTCCTATGGGTGGATGGGGCGACAAGGAAGAAAATGGAGCGGCATGGGACAACCACGGGGCACTTCCTCGTCCGGGTGAAAACTCAGAGGAGTAGAGCGATTGCTGGTTCGAGGACACCGAGTGCGTCCTAGGATTCCGGATGGTCGATTCTGGCGAGGCAGCGTCATGCGGTGATGGATGTTGAGATGAGGGCGTGTACGGATGACCGAGGAAATGTGAGCCACAGCCTGATGAGCCTGATACGGAGTCCGTCGCCGCCCCTATAGGCGAGAGATGAGCGACAGCCTTGCTAGGTGTGGCGTCTGACCAGCCGCGTGCTGTGGACGCATCACAGGAACGAAGCCCTTGGTCATAACCGCTGGCCTCGCCTTCAGGCTCTGGCGTATAGGCCCTGACATGAGCGTTCTGGGCCTGTTGATGGTCGTTGAAGCCGATGTTCTTAAGTGCGGATGCCAGGAAATCATCTTCGGACATCTTGCGGCCTTTGATGTACTTGTGCAAGTCTTTGAGGGAGCGCTTGTGGCCATGGATGACAAACGCCGTGTTTCGTTTACCACTTTTCTGACGGACGTGGTTCAGCACCGCGCATATCTGATAGTCTCTGTCCGAGTAGTTTTTGCTAAATCCCCACTGTGAAAGTCGGGCTTTATACATCCGCTCGCTGCATCAGACACGGAAAGTCAGTCAAGACGGGTCAGGTCCGGCGGGCGTTGATTAAGTGTCAAGCCCGACTCAGCAAAAGAAATGAACCTCGAGATGGTCGGAAGCTTGCATATTACATACGTCGCGCGAAAGCCATGGCGCTGTTCCAAGATTGTCCTGACATCTCGCAATGGCTTTTTTTCGTACAGCAGCCGGATTTCCTCCTTCACCGCTTGCCACTCAGCAGGCGCGGGGCCTTCGCGCGCCTCTAGTTGAGAAGAAGTCGGCGCGGCGCTTTGGTTGATCTTCGATTTCTCGGTTGTCCCTGGACTCAAGGCCATCGCGATGGCCTTGACGCTGAAACGCGCTGCTCAACGTTCATCACTGCCTAGAACGAAGATTTGAGTCAAGAGCCTGAGGCTCGCCGCGAGGCTTGGGATCAGCTTTGAAGCAGACGGCTCGGCCAACGCTGCTCGCCTTGTCCGGCTGCCAGCGGTTTGACAGGGAGGACGGAGTGTTTGCCTTGCAACAGCGGCTCGTCACCTGAAAGGAACCCCTCGATGGGAGAGGGGGGGTGGGTGGTCGAAGGGCCGTGGCCATGGCAGGCTCGTCGTCTCGACTGTCGTGGCCCTCGTAAGACATGCATTTCAGCGTGACAGGTCGGGTTTGTTAGTTTAGTCCGTATGCAAAGTCCCTTTGTATCCAATCAGCTCTGCTGCCTTAGGCCGTCTGTGGCGTGGGCGGTCGACTTGTATCCGACCAAGTAAGATTGCAGCCGACAAATAGCCCATAGCCCCTCAGCCGTGGCTTATGGCACCGATCACGGTCCACGATTCCTGTTGAGACTCTTGAAGGTATTTGTGCATTCTTCCCTCGAGGACTTGGAATCGGGACATCAGATTCCTCATCACTGCCGCTGCGAGGTTTTGGGCGTAGGCCACAGACATGCCATGCTGTGACCGGCCCGCGAACATCTGAGGCTCACTCATCCGCTCGACGACCCTGGCTTGATGGCGTCCTTCACATGATCTTGCAAGGACGGCCAGCAAGTACCTAGGTAGTGATCCTTGACTGGTGATTGCCCGCTCAGGCTGTCGTTGGGCAGACACGGCCCAGCTCGGCCTATTGGGTACGAAGCAGGCAACGAGATCCCGCCGCGTGTCAATTTCTCTTTCGCCGCCGCGCATCGGCGACCATGAGCAGGACGGCTGCCACAGACTAGCTAGTAACGCGAGCTGTTGGGAACTTAGAAGGCTTGGATACGTCTCTGCCAGTGCAGCAGCCCCCGGAAACTGCCAGGCAGGTGCCAGTCCCAAGTAGATGGACTTGCGGCACCAAAAGCAATACTTTGTCCCGACTCTTGAAAGAGTAGGTATATCATAATCATATATATGGTCCTTCCCGTCTATTCACCAAGCAGACTTCGAAGATGCCTTCACCGTGCCATCCCATCCGGTCTACTTCTTCCGTGGCACAATTGAGGCTCGAGTAACTGTGCAATGTTGACAAATTGAATGGTCATCAACTCTATCAAATCCGAGTTCGAGCCCCGGGAGGGCCTCCGTCATGAGTTAAGCTGCACCAGTTGTGCGACCGACCAAGTATTTCAATCGAAGGAAGACCGTTGACTGCGCTTTTGCAAGCGAGGTTTCCCTGAGGTCGCACCTCAGTAGGGGCCCGATATCGATCCTTCCCATCGGATGGCTCACACATGACCGATGCTTTGGATAAGCTCAAAGCGGTCGTGCAGCGAACAAGTTCTGGTGCCGCCGCAACAGGCAAATATGGTGCAGTCAAAGGCAGATATGACACAATGCGCTTCAGATTCCCAGATCGCATAACCGCAGAGGACAAGGACGCACACACATTTCGACGAATGGATGTGCCCATACTGCTGACCAAACTCCTTTCATGTCGCCTTTACATGGCTACAAACCATTGGAACTTGAAAGATCCTGCCAACTTCCATCTAGAAACCTTACCCTCTGTTACTGGACCTCCGGATGGTGTCCTCGTAGCCCGACGGCCTCCGAGACTGGGAGCTATATGGCCGTGAACCCTCTTCTCCTGGTGGCCGCAAAGGATTTAGATTCGTAGCTTGGCTTGTTGGCGGTTTATCATCTTGATCAAATGAGTCCGGGTCTGGTTGAGATGGAGGCTGAGGCCGTGGAGGTGCTCTCATTGTGGATTGGTCGTATGATGGTGGAGGGTAGTCTGGACTTGGCTTGGTTACCTGAGGAATATAGCTGAGTCCAGAACCGTCGCCACTTGGTGATATATTAGTATTGTATGATGTGGATGCCATGGTGTTATAGATGTTGTATGTCGCCCCATAATCGGCCCTCGATGTGCCTGGGAAGTAACCTGCCGTACTGGCAGTTCTCGCAAAGTCGCGAGGCTGAGGTGGTTGATGCGAGCCGTACTGTGCAGGAACCTTGCCGGGGTTCGGTACCGCAGTCGGTCTTTGGCGTGAATAGTTTTCATTTGGATCGGCCGCAGTCTCTCGTTGCGGCTGTGCTGGTCGAATCGTCCCGCCCTTGGAGGCTCCCTGACGTGCTCGGCGTCTCGCGGTGTCCGAGTCGGAATACCGATATGGATTCTTGCGGAATTTCCCTAGGCAGCGGTCAACACGATGTAGAAAATCCCTCTTCTGAGGCAGTAGGGCTCATACTGCTCTGTGTTTCCGTATCCCAATCCTTCGAATCGCTGATGATATCGCGGAGGCTGACCTGAAACCAGAGTAAGTTTTCGATGCAATCCGTAAGGCTCGGTAAGGTCTCAGGCTCACAGAATTGAGGGTCTTCTTTGCCAGGACATTGAAACCTGTCCGCGTTTTGTCCTAAACCACCATCAGTCTTCTCTTCGTTTTCATACCCCCAGACTGTCCTCACTGTGGGATGATGGCTTGAAGTGATCTTTGCGGTCCTATCGACATATTGGGTGACATACTCGACGAGGACGGCGGCGTTAATATTCTCGCCAGGCACGAAGAAATGGATGGGCTGCAGGTCGTCATCGCTGTCGTCAGAACCACTGTCGACCTCCCGCTTCTGTTTCTTGCTGGACTTGGAGCCCTGCTTGGACATGGCTGTGGTGGAACGAGTGCCAGTGCCACTGCGTGGGATTCAGGCGAAGGTCACGACAAAGGCTATCGCTGGCAATGGTGGTCCGGCGGCTGTAGGACCTCGGCCACAACGCAGACTGGCGATTCGAGGGATGCGGCAAGGCCAGATCGAATGAGCATGCTGAGAGAGATGACGCAGATTGAGACCCTATAGAACCAGATGATGCATTGACTCAACACCAGATAGGTAGCAACGAGCGCAATTGTTCGGTCAGTACGATAACTCCAGCCTTGGCCGAAGCATTGCCAACGGACACGTAGGGGATTGGGCTGCAATGGGCGACATTTGGGCATGATTGAGTGTACAGTAGTAACGAGGTGGATGAGTTGGCTAGCCTCTCAGGCCCAGTAGGTAAGGCGACGAGGCGAAGTTCGCATTAGCGGGCTTCAACCGACACCACAAGGAGGACAAGGGCAAAGTCCACCTAAAGCCAGTCAGTCCAAAGCCCGGGAGGCTCATCAGTCCAGCAACGAACTGGAAGTGAACACATGATTGCGCTCACGGCGGGCAGCCTGCACGCTACCCCGCCACCCACCGCCATATCTATCCTCTTATGCGCATATGCAACCTCTTCTCCATAGTCCCTGTTCGAGGTACAGATGGGCCTAGAGCGCTTGGTCTGATGGCTTGCCACGCCGAATGGGCGTATCGAGCGTCATGCCCGGTCGAAAGAAAGCCTGTAGGGTCTGGAGGCTTGGTCAAAACGACGCGACGCTCGTATGGCTCGTCCTCTTGGAGGCTCAACGCCAGGTTGCCGGTTGTCATCGTTGGGTACAAAGATAAAGGAGGCGCAAAAAGGCAACCAAAGCAGGCGTGCTACAGGCAGCGGCGCGGTAGGACACCTCGAATCAGACGCCTCCAACCCGCTGGATCTGCCTTGGCCCATCATCCTGCGGCCTGCAGACCAGGGGCAGATGCGCTGACCACTGAACGTTTGTGATGGGGCGACGCCCCAGCAAGACCTTGATGAAACGTTTGAGATATATAGATACAAATCATCTCTTTCTTCTGAACCGAACGTCAGAATCTCTAGTTGTGGACCAGCCACGGGTGCACGCTGTGACATCGTGTCGTGCTTGTTGAATGCAGTGCCAACAGGCCGCCTTACTGGACTTATGGGGATGAAGATAATGATGGAAATGAAGCCGGAGAGGAGTCCAAGTTTGAGAGTAAACGAACTTGAAGGACGCCGCCTCGCAGGCCGACCGCATTGATGCTGTGGGAACAAAGGTTGTTGCCGTTGCGTCGGCCCGCCAGGGAACTAAGCTGCGCTCATCTTGCCCAACACCTCGAGATCGTCGTGCAAGGCCGGACACGTCAAACATGACAACTACCAAGAGACTGGCGAATGCATTTCATTCCTCTCGCGCGGATGGTGGTCAAGCAGTGTTGACCTGGTTGTCCCATCAATTCACGATCGCTCGATTTACTTTGTTATCAGCTGGTCGTGCAGGAGGCTACGGAGCCCGCGGACGAGGGAACCTTGTTCAGATCGATCTGATCAAGAGCGTCCGGAGGCCTATACACGTCTTCGAGTGCAGGTTGGACCTAGTTCGGCCGGTCCATTGATCTGGATATGGAAGCGGTCGGTCAACGGGAGCAAGTCCAAGATTTCACATCGGCGGGTCTGTGCAGATGCTGCAGACGCGGAGCGAGACAAGGTGGACCGGCGAGATGTAGCGTAGCTGCGAAGCCATGCTCGTGTTGCATTCTGGGGAGGCCGACTTTTCATCACTGACAGACCTGAAGCAATAGTCTCAACATCAAGCGAGCTCGGAATTCGAAGCAGTCACCCAGTCACGTGCGCAGTCTGCACCTCACGTGACTACCTTGATTAGTCACAGCCTCCCGCAGCTGATGTCCCAGCCGACCCTGTTCACCGCTCTCTCCATCAGCCATGAAACATCATTCTCTTCTTGTACTGCATGGAAACATTGGTACACGGTAGGCATCCCCGAGCTACCCAGGTAGGTTGGCCGTCACACACCTCCAGAACCGGGAATCGTCAAGGTCGAGACCCATAAGGTGAGCTCGAGGTGGAGATCTCCCTGCCCGTGGCCGAGGTATAGTCCGCCGCTCTGTTGCCTGTCGAAACTGTTTGTGCCAGTATATGGCTTATACATCTCAACCTAGCTCTACTGCTCCATGTCAGGTGCAATATCCAGGCACGGCGGTAGGCAAGAGACCACGGTGGATGTGGAATTGAACACACTATACGAGAGGTAGTTGGGGGTTTGGGCCCTTTGCTGCTGAGCATAGCATGCATATCTCAACATTTCTGACGCTGTGCTCCCTGGCAGCCACATCATATACACAGCAGGCGCCGATAGACATTCGCGAAGCCACCATCTCGAGTCTCCATGGCTCGCTCTACTCCGGGCTAACGACATGCCGGGACATTGCGAGCGCGTTCATCACGCGCATCGAGCACTTCAACCCGAGCATCAATGCCGTCATCACGCTCAACCCGGACGCCCTGGACATTGCCGACAGCCTAGATGAAGCTCTCTCCCGCGGCAACGCCACAGGTTCATTATTCTGCATCCCCGTTCTTCTCAAGGACAACTTCGACGCGGTGCCAATGCCCACGACTGGTGGATGTTTGAGCTTGAACGCGTCCACCCCAGCGCAGGACAGTCCGTCGGTGACAGCTCTGCGGCGTGCTGGGGCAGTGATCCTGGGGAAAGTGAACCTCCAAGAGCTGGCACTTGAGGGGCTCTCCGTATCCAGCCTTGGCGGACAGACATTGAACCCTTACGACTTCTCACGCACTCCCGGCGGCAGTTCCGGGGGAACTGGAGCGGCAATCGCAGCATCCTTTGCCGTCTTCGGCACGGGCACCGACACTGTGAATTCGCTGCGCAGCCCTGCAAGCGCCAACAGTCTATTCAGCTTCCGGCCGACACGAGGACTGATCTCTCGAGCAGGCGTTATTCCCATCTCATACACCCAAGACACTGTTGGGGCGATTGGCCGATGTTTACGGGACATAGCAACTGCACTGACAGTCATGTCGAGCGTTGGCTACGATGCCAACGACAACGCCACTGCTGCCATCCCGCCCTCGGTCGTCGGAACGGACTACACGTCCTTTCTCACCCACGAGGAGGCCGGAATACTCCCCAGTCTCCAAGGCAAGCGCTTCGGCGTGATCGAGGGGTTCTTCGACCGCACTAGCAACAACAACGAGACAAATCCAGTCAATCAAGCCATGGACGCCGTGATAACCTTGCTCCGCAGCCACGGCGCGACCATTGTCAACATCACCAATCAAATCTACAATGCCACCGCAATCAGCACAGCAATGGACGTTCAACAATTGGAATACCGTGAACAGCTCACCGCGTATCTTTCCTCTCCCGACCACCTGAGGGGTGAGCCTCGTCCGAAATCCATGCCTGAACTGTATCAGCGAGGTAGCAGGGACTTCCTCGTCATCCCAGCCCAATACTCATATATCCAAACAGCACTCCACTCATCCACCTCCAACAGCAGTTATTTTCAGAAACAAACCCTAATCGCGAACCTAACCCGCTCGCTGCACGACACCATTGTTTCCAACAACCTCGACTGCCTCATCTATCCAGAACAAAAGAATCTCGTGGTCCCCGTGGGTTCGGTATCACAATACGGCCGCAACGGGATCCTGGCCGCCGTGACAGGTAGTCCTGTCGTCGTTATCCCCATTGGCTTCTCGCCGCCAACGGCCTCTGCCCCAATCGGGGTCCCTATCGGCATGGAGATTCTAGGATTACCATGGACAGAAGGCCAATTGCTTCGTTTAGCTCAGGCCATCGATGGCCGCTTGCATGCACGCAGGCCGCCTGTCACTAATGGATTGAATGAATCCGTTGAATTCACTGGTGTCTACGATGCTGTCCCAAGTATAATTCCGCTGAAGAACATTTCTCCTGTTTACCCGTTGGGTGTGTATTAGCATGTGGTGGAGGTTGCTGCAGCATAGTGTAATTTGGGATAGATAGATACATATATATACCAAGAATGCATATGACCTTAGGATGAAGCCTTGGAAGGTTAAACACGATTGCCACAATGAATAAATAACCTCCCTATACCTGCCGTAAGGTAGTTGGGGTCCACGCTGTATTCGACTACCTAGACACCGTGCATCTACTGTACCAGTCCCAACCAAAGATACCTGAGCGAGGTAGCAGTATGCCAACGGAAGATACAGCTAAGCTTAACATTCATCAACTCATTGCATGCATGCATTCATCACCTCATTTCTGTCCATAACATATGTACTGTGGTAACCTGCTACCATCTTGCGCCGTGGGAGACCGGGGTTTAAAGAGCATATACTATTATCCACTGGTCCCAGGGCCGGACGGGGCCGACCCCGACCCCTGATGAGCATTCTCCAGCTCCTGCTCCAACAAGCTCTGCTTCTTGACGTATTCCAGCACAATCTCCTCCTCCGTCCGCTGCTTGCTCAGAGAACTGCTCTCCTGCCGGTGTGGCTGTTGTTCACCTTGCACGGAATCCTGTTCCTCACCGTCACCGATACCTTCGTCAAGCTCGAGCTTCCCGGGCAGGTCGTTAGCGACAGCGGGGCCATCATCTAGACCACCTGTCATCATCATCGAGGCTTCTAGACCAGCAATGCCTTTCTTCTTCTGCTCATTCTCCACGTGGAGTCTTTGGCTCTCCTTTAATGTCTGTCTCAACGCCTCGTCATCAGATTCGCCGTCGTCATCGGCGGTGGGAGCAATATTGGTCTCGTGCTCGCCGGAATGTTTCCAGCCAGTGCGGTCACCCCAAGTTACAGGCTGCGCAGCCTTGAACTCTTCCAGGCTTTGCTTAAGCACCTTTTCAAGCTCATCATCTTTTTCTTCTTCTTCTTCTCCTTCGGCATGCTCAACAGCAACAGATGCAGATCCACCCGACGCAGACTGTTGTTGCTCAGCCTGTGCGGCCTTGTACTCTTGCATACTTGCCTTGATCGCCAAGTTGTAGGCTTCGTCGTTCTCGTCCATGTTAGTTGTGGCCCTAGACCTAGATGCCCCGTGCAACTCTCGCAAGCTGGCGCGAAGCGCTCTTTCAATGAGCGCATCCTCTACCGGGTCACCTCTGCTCGTGGCTTCAATCGAGGTCTGAATGGCGTGTTCATAAGCATCATCCAGGTTCACGGGCTGGCTGTTCTCGTGGTCAGCAGGCCGGAAGTTGCTCCCCATCTTTGCCTTGGTAGCACTCTTCTTCTCCGCCTTCTTAGCCTCCTTTTCTCGTCGCTGCAACTCCTTCTGTTCTTTCTTCAGTTGGTCACGTTTTGCCGCAAGCGCCTTTCGCTCGTCGAAGCTGAGATGTCTTGTGTTCCAGAAGCCACTAGGCAGTTCCGTAGATTCACCACTTCCAGTTTGCGTTTGCGTTCCGGTATCGCTTTCGACTGGTGCCTCGCGCTCCTTCTCCTTCTTCTGAGGTGCTCCACTTTTCCGAGGTTCAGGTAAGCTCTCCCTCCACTTAGAAACAATCTGTGCCCTCTCCTCAGGAGTACTTGTTTTCCAATCCTCGTAGCCTTGGGCAACTCGAGCAGCAATAATGTAGTTCTGCACCGAGCTGCCAAACCGTTTGGAGATCTCCGCGTAGAGTCCTTTCGCTGTATACCCTGGCAGGCCCCATATTGCCGCACCAGGTTTGAGGATAAGTCCTCCGAAGCCCTTGGCCGCTCCTTTGATAAAGCCAGCAGCTCCCTCCTTCTTGGCACCTGCCATAGGTTGAGTGACCAGTCCTGTTATGCCATCGTAGAACCCGTAGCCAAATTCCTTTCCTGCGACCCTCAAGCCTGACTGGAAGTCCACAATCTTCTCATTTCGACGGACTGTGTCGTCACCATATAACTTGGGGGCATTGTGGAAACCTTTGGCCAACGATAGTGTAAAATCAAGGGGAGATTTCATCCCAGCCGAAACAATCTTTCCAACAGCTCTGACTCCATCTATGGCTGTCTCAAGTGAGACCTGACCAACCTCCTCGCCTGTGGATGGAGTCCGGCCACCTTCGGCACGCGGCAAAGGCGACCCAGAACGAGAGCGGTGATGCGAGGAACTGCGACGGTGAGATTGAGGGCTCCTTATAGATCCGTCTGCCGACATAACAGTTGCCATCGCGTTTCCCTTCGGCAAAGCTGACCCAGCCTCCTGGCTTTTTTCTGACATTGCCCATGTTGATGCAGCAGATGACAGCGTTGGGGTTGATGTTTCTTCACTAGACCTTGCCTCGTTTATGCTTGCGGCCTCCCCTCCAGGAATAGGTGTAGACGCACCGCTGCGAGCCTTTCTCTTCTCGCGAATCTCTTTTAGGTCTCCCGAAGCCGTTCTCAGCGACCTCAGTATTTCCACGGGGAAGTCGGCGACACCCATCGAGAGGTTGCCGATTGTCCCGATCAATGCTGCTGCAGCGCCCGAGATCGGTTCCCAGGGGCCGTCCTCCGCCTCATATTCTCGAGGCCGGTAAAGCTTCAGGTCGGAAAAATCAAGTAGTCCCTCGTTCCCCAAGACCGCAGCAGCTAGGGGTGATAGTCGAATATTGGTTTTCTTGACTGTCCAGACTGCTGTGCGCGTTGGCAGCAAAGAGCACCTTAGCTCTGGCAAATTGGCATGCTTGTGGAACGACTCAGTTCCGACGCTTGTGCCGTCTTCCGACCTGATTTTCGCGCTCAATTCCCTAGCACGCTCAAGCGACTCTGGTTTCAGTGCTTCTTTGATCGAGTCCGCCAACTTGTCCGACGTCAGGTCTTTGTACGCGATTGGGGGTGGACCCGCACCAGCCCTCGCTAGCATCGAGCCCCAAAATGGCTGGTCACCAAAGAAGGGAACGACCACAGTTGGGCGACCAGCCAAGATACCAGCAGCTGTGGTCCCAGCGCCGCCATGATGGACAACACAAGAAACGCGGTTGAAAAGCCAATCGTGAGGACAATTGCCCAGCATGAATACACCATCAGGAATACCCAATTCATCAGCTCCCAGGCCACCCCAACCTTTGGAGATGATTGCTCGCTGTCCTGTCTGCTCAACAGCCTTGAAGATCATCCTAGTCATCGCATTAGGATCGTCGACCACTATTGAACCGAAGCCAATGTAGACAGGAGGAGGACCAGCCTCTAGAAAGTCTGCCAGTTCCTGTGGAGGGGTATAGCTTGTAGAGAGATTTAGAAAGAAGAATCCAGAAATGTCAATATGGTCGCCCCAGTCGGCTGGCTTTGGGATTAAGGCAGGAGACCAGCAGTAAGTCCATGGAATTCTTAGTCGGCTTGTCATCCCTGGCGCCCACATGATACTGACAGGCTCTAAGCCGAGGGTTCTCTCACGGAACCGGTTGATAATGTCGCCCAGACCTTGCCAGGTCAGCATGTCAACTAAAGCATATGTGACAAAGTTGGCCATATTAGGGTCGGTGTTGGAGGAGATGATGTTGGCAAGCGGGTGAGGGAAGGCTTGCGTAGGCGACCAAGGCATAGTAAACATCAAATGCAAAGGTATACCAAGTTTCTCGGCAATGTGGACGTGTGCAAAACTGGGCGGGTTCGCAATGATGGCATTAGCGATGAAGGGTTTCTGCGTCAGGTCGCCATTCAAAGAAACGCCACTGTCGAAGCTGCGAGTATCCATATTGTCGTCGGTTACCTGCACGCCAGTGCCATCACCAGCTTCGATGCACGACCGCCAACATCCCGTGATCATCTCGTAGATTGCGCGCCTCCGCTTTCCCACGTCGCCATTCCTGAGGGAGTCCCAACCGGGCATAAGACCAGGATTCTTGACCATGAATGCCATCAGCTCGGCCGGATCTCCACCTATACTGAAGAACTCGAGGCCGTTTTCATTGACGAATTGTTTGAACGTAGGATGAGTCGCTATCCTCACACGATGATTGTACTTGTTCTTCAACACCTGTCCCAATGCTACAAATGGCTGCACGTCTCCTCTGCTACCAACAATCTGGATAACAATGTTCATAGGAGGAGGTGGTAAGCCTTCTGTCTCGCCTAAGCCTTCAGGAACCGAAGGCTTCGCAGCAGCTTTCTCTCTCTGCAGTTCGAGTTGGCGACGAAGAGCGGGGATGAGCAGGTCCGTGAGTTTGCAACTGCGCTGGTTGATCTTGATGTTGACTCGGCCATCACTAGCAATCCGAGCACCCGTTTCCATACCGTTCTGGTCAATATCTAACTGGCCATAGTCTGCACCATTGTAGGCAGGCGGAGGTACCTCCTCCACGTTGGTGGAAGCGTCACCATGGTGTCGAACATGTCCCTCAGGACCCGGACTGGCGACATTTGCGTCTCCTCCTTCCTCAAGTGCAGAAGCTGCCGCTGCATCAGCTTCTTCAAGGAGTATTGAAGGAATTGAGGGGGCATCTTGCGGGGAAGGATTGATAGAAGGATCAGATGGAGCCATGACCGCAATATCTTCGGCACATGCGAGAAAGCAAGAGTCAGTATGCAGGGAGAGCCTCGTATCGAAAGAATCAGGAGCGCTGCAGTCGATAGATGATCAGTTCTCAAATACAGAAAACCGGTTCTTATATCCAACGACACTGCGAAATCCAATGGACCATTGGTGACAAGTTGAGGTACGCGGTCAACAGGCGCCGACCATTGTGACTTGAAGACTTAACATTGTTGGTATGGAGACCTGCCACGGGGAGACCGATCAGACTCTGAATACAGAAGCATCTTCCTACTATCGACGGCCCAGGGCGGTAGCGACATCGACGTCGTTTGAGCCTTGGTTCGTGTGACGTGTTGCGGTTGTCTTTGCAGTGCAGTGTCAACCGTGGAACTACAGTAGTAGGACCACGTGGGACTACACTGTAGTATTATGTCATAATAGCAACAAACTTTTGGCCCTAACCGTTTCAGCTCTAGCCAACGATAAGATCTCGCTTAGTCAGTTATCGATGAACATCTTAGTCAGCAGTTCGGTCATTGATAAAACTCGAAAAAGACTTCTCGAATTGAAGAAGCCGTCGAGTTGATAGAACGGTCTGGTTTGATGCTTCATTTGCGTTCCTTCCAGCTTCGAGCCACCATCTCCATAGTCTCAAATGTGATCTCACCCTCTTCCGCTGCACGCATCCTAGCCACCAGCTTCGTGATGAATCGATCGATCATCCCAACAATGTGTGCTCTTCCTGAACTTTCTGGATGCCAGATCATGCTGTAAAAGACAGCTGTGTCAGCACAGCGGCAAGATATCGTCATGGCCAGTATTGTTGTCTGTTGACTTACGGATATATTGACCCATAGCCTTTACCGGGTTCCTCATCTAGCCAGCTTTCATTTTCCCACAGCCATTCAAAGCGGTCCATCCACATCTTCTCCACAAGATCTACGCCGACATAGCCTTGCGTATTCGCGGCGTAGGGATAGAACCCGAGCTAAGGGGAAGCTCAACATCAGCGTGGGACACGGACCTCGGTCTGAGTACTTACAGGGGTCATGTCTTCGGTATACCAGCTTCCTGGAATCTCCACCAAAGCCTTGTCTGCTTCAGGGGTGCCTGGTGCTGGTTGTTCTGGGATCGGGGTGGGAATCATCCAGCTGCTGGCATCCTTGGTGTAATCTGGTACATGTGGGGTTTCTCCAGGGAATGGGTTTGGTAGGAAGTAAGGTAGGGAGTCATGGGCGTTCATGCTGCTGTCGTAAAGAAACCCTTGGTTCTGTAGAAGCTGGACAGTGGTTTCCCGGATCTGGTACAGCGGTGCGCGATATCCTGTTGGCTTCTTACCTCCCCTCAACGCGGTGATCAGTTCGATACACTTCTCAAGGACATCCTTTTCTTGCTGGACTGTCATTGCATATGCTCCTTCATGGCTGTAGCCGTGGAGGCCAATCTCGGCTCCGCTCCTGACCACCTCCTGGGCCTGGGCAGGGAATGTCTCCAGACTGTGACCGGGAATGAACCAAGTCATCTTATCAGAGATCCCATGCCTACGAAATAATCGTAACAACCTACCCACTCCCACGTTTGCGCTAAAGATGCCTGCCGAGTAATCGGATAAAGTGTTGGCCGGGTCGTGTCCGGTCCCCAAGTATCCTGAAATTGCATCAAAGTCGACTGAAAGACAGATCCGTAGCCGGCGCCTTCTTATCGGAGGGCTGAGAGATTGAGGTATGGCTGCTTGCCGCGAAGGGGCCTCAACATTGCCATGCTTGACTTTCTCGATGAGCTGGTCCTCTCGCCAGATAATCCGACCTTCCATGCCGCCATCAACGGAGATGCACTGCCCAGATATGTGGCCTGCTGCTCGATGACTCGACAGGAAGGCCATGGCCCGAGCCACATCTTCGGGCTGTGCAATCTTTTTCAAAGCAACTGTTGCCTGACACTCTGCCCACATCTCCCTTGGGTCATCCAAGCGGTCCCCAATCAATGCGGTATCCACCCAGCCAGGAGCAACCGCGTTAATGCGAGCTTTGGAGTTCAGGCGCACAATCTCATTCTTGACCGTGCGCACAAGGCCGTATTGTAGGCCTGCTTTGCCAGAGGCATATCTAACATTGTCAATTAGTCATGCCATAACCAATTTCTCCTGCTAGAATTTGACTGACTCTGCATGCCCTTCTTGCCCAAATTTTCCTGTTTCTGAACCCGTGATGACGATTGCCACGTTCTCAAGCTCTGCGCCTCGAGCATCCTGTATCCTTTTCACAGTGCGCAGGAAATGCTTGACAGTCAAAAAAGTGCCTCGGACGTTGTTTTCGTTGACCTGCACTCGTTAACTATCGTCCCACACTCAAGTCGGATGTCATCATGCCCTATCCCAAAGACTCGTCTCGATCTCCCATATCGGCGGGTGTGCGCTCTCATCGGTGATCCCGGCGTTTGCAACCAATATATTCACGGGGCCAAATGCCTTGGCTGCAGATTCAAAAGCCTGAGCTATGGAGGACTCGATGGTAAGGTCACCCTGGGTGACATGGAGTCTGGAAGCTTGCTCCGAAGTAGAACATAGCTTGGAGGCGTCAATGGTTCTCTTATCAAATGTTGTAACTCGACATCCGAGATCTGGACGCTACGTTTAGGAGCCATGACCTCAAAACGTTCCAGGTGCTGGTGGTTCCCTAACCTAGAAATTCTTTTACTGCAGCACTGCCAATCCCACCAGCAGCCCCAGTGAGAAAGACATGCAATCCTGCGAGGCCGAGAAATGTGTCTGTTTCCCGGTCCATAGTTCTTTCGATATTCAACGCATTTAATTCCTGGTGCACCATGTTCAAAATAAAGGAAGCAAGATGATTAAATACACGAACTTTATGCTTTCACGGACATGTCCGTACTGCGCGAATCTCGTACAATATTAATGAAATCAGCCCGACAGAAGCTGGGGAAATAACATCGTCGCGCCTGGTCAGAATCAGCCAAAATATGCTTAGATAAGGCCTTTGGCCTAGGCGGCACGCGTCTACTGTTCGCGACCATGGTCGTGTGCTTGGAAAATATTTTGCGATTGCAGTGGATGGCACGATAGCTGCCATAACGCGAGAGATCATGGAGGCCATGGGAGCCATAAAGCTGGCATTCTAGGGAGGAAGATCAAGATGCTGGTGTGTGGTTTTCGCTTGACGGAGTGATCCAGGACAGACTCCGCGTCTTGCCGTTCTCATAGTAAGACGATGCTTCTTCTGACAAGGGCAAAATTGTTTTCGCCTCCATCTTCACGTTGCTGCCATAGTGGCCTCTACCAACGAGAAGGCGGATGGAAGTCCCAATCACAATGCCATGGGTGCAAAGAAACGCTAGAAGGGCACGAGGACCACTGAAGGCCGTGAGACAGGCCGAGAATTGTTGCGAGGGCCAGCGTGGAGAGTTCCAAACTTGTGCTATGACTCCCCAAAGCCATTTGAGATAGACAGTGGTAAGCAGCGACGTTGGTGATATCATGGAAGATTCTTGGAGTCAACACTGAAAGTTTTCCCTGCGAGGAAGTGAAGCTCGAGGTGGTAGTGCTGAGGAAAGTGGAAGTTGTTGAAGTTCCGGCACAACTTCGGAGCCTTGCAACTGGCGATGCTCGTGCAGTGCAGTCGGGTGCAGTCACAGGCACCGCACGTGACGGTCTTGGCGGGCTGCAAGACTTGGCACAAGATTGATCCCACACAGACACTGCACCCAACTTATTTCGCGAAGACACCGCAATCGATCGCAGCACAGCGGACCATTTCCTTTTCGACCTACAACACCCAACAAGTCGTCAAGATGTCTGACAACGGCGAGGTCGAAGTCGAAGTGCCCGTCTCGGGTTACGCTGTCCTGCCCAAGGATGTCACCGCTGAGATCGGGACCATCAAGCTCTTCAACAAATGGAGCTACGAAGATGTTGAGATCAGAGACATTTCTTTGACGTACGAAATCGACGACCACCACGCGAATTCGGGCAGAAAATACTGACAGTTTCTATGTAGCGACTACATCCAAATCCGATCTCCCGTCTACCTCCCTCACTCCGCTGGTCGATATGCCGCAAAGCGATTCCGAAAGGCGCAATGCCCGATCATCGAGCGATTGACCAACTCCCTGATGATGAACGGTCGCAACAACGGCAAGAAGCTGATGGCCATCAGAATTGTCGCCCACGCTTTTGAGATTGTAGGTTTCGAGATTTGTGACATGGGTTGTCGGAGAACAAATTCTTACAATTGGTACACAGATTCACATCATGACCGACCAGAACCCTATCCAAGTGGCCGTCGACGCTATCGTCAACTGCGGACCACGTGAAGACAGCACCAGAATCGGAAGCGCTGGTACCGTCCGAAGACAGGCTGTCGATGTTTCTCCTCTTCGCCGTGTCAACCAAGCGATCGCCCTCCTGACCATCGGCGCTCGTGAGGCTTCCTTCCGAAACGTCAAGTCCATTGCCGAATGTCTCGCCGAAGAGCTGATCAACGCCGCCAAGGGAAGCAGCAACTCCTACGCCATCAAGAAGAAGGATGAGTTGGAGCGTGTGGCCAAGAGCAATCGGTAAAGTGGTTACTGGGTTATGGTGTTTTGCGGGGTCATGCATGGTACGACTTGCTTTTTTGCCAGTCGTTGCAGACATGTGGATGGTGGAAATATCATCCTTGTCATGACGCAGCGGGCGAGGTTGCAAACCGGTCGGCAACGCAGTCGGCAGGCTTGCAGAATCAGTGCTTAAATACACTGGTGTCCACAAAAATTCAAAAATGCACACACAAAGTGTCCCTCATCTGCTCAAATTGTTCTCACCAATGAATCTATGCGAGTCGATGACAAGCCGGAAGCGATGCCCCTTCGCAGCTCGCACCCATGTCAGGCAGGAAGGATTGGTCTATTTCTACTACTGACATCCAACCACTGCATGGAGCCCCGGGTTTTGAGTCGAAAAGGACCTGTCTTCACGAAACGTGCCTTGACTGCAGGTGGCTTCTAGCTTCGCTCCTGCCACATTATGCACCCAGTAAATTGTTGATCTTTACATTACTAGTAACCCAGAACTCTCTTCCGTTGATGCTACTCGATACCTGCTTAGCCGTCCCAAAGCCCTCAACGCGAACGTTGCTCTGTGTTGCCCAATGCGATATCTGGCATTGTGTATATTGCATCTTCGGCGAACAGCAGTGGTTTGTTGGCTGTTGGCTGTCGCAGGCTCGTATCTGGACTCCTCCAGTCCAGTTTCTCCATTTGCTCCCGACTCCGTTGACTTGTCGGCACTGTCTCAGCTCCCCGTTTGCATGATGGAAGGTAGATATACCAAAACGCTGTCCATTGGAGAGGCACGTTCCCACCTCTTCCCCAGCGACAGGCTCCCAGGGGCTCAACACCGTGGCGCGTTCAGTATCATACTGCTCGTGTATCCCTTGTATGTCTGACTGGGCCTGCCTCGCGTCAGGCGAGGATAGATCCATCATCAGACCTAGCGTCCATAACGTTGTTTCGCTCAGATGGCTTGGGGGTGAGGGCGGTTGCGGGCCTGCCTAGCATCGCCGAACGCTTCCAGTTGGTTCCTTTGGCGCACTTCCCTCATATATTGTTCTTGCGATTTTGAAACGTTCTTGAACCCTTTGACTCCATCATCCTTGCCCCATAGCCTTTGGAACGCAAGGCCAACGCAAACGATGCCGCCCGCCCCAATAATACAGATCAGGACCACTATCGAGTCCGACAACATATCGATGGCTAAGAATGCTCTCTGGTTTCAGGATGAAATGCGAGTGCAAACTCGAGGTTCGACTGGTGCTTGTCCTTGGGAAGTGGTGGGTTTCCGTCCTTCTATTTTGCACAGAAGCACGGCTTGTAAGTCTGTCAAATAGTGATAACTCGTTTGGATTCACCCAACTATGGGGCAGGTGAAGCAGGCAAAAGCAAAAGAAGCAAAATACACCCCACAAAGAGTCAAGAGCGCCTGAGCAATGCTTGTTTGACAAAAGTGATAGCAAGAGTTCAGAAATATGAGTCGGACCACTGTATATATATTTATTCACCCTTGTTTTGTACCCTCCCCTTGTGCATCAGGGACACGCACATGGTTATTGTGCACCATTCTGGCAACAATCACGGCTCGCTAACGCTGTCCGCCACCTGTCTGCTAGTGGACCTACCTCTTGTTTCCTGGATTTTGAGTTCAACAGTAGCATGCTTGAGATAAATCAAGGCCATAAAAGGAGATTTGTGCCCTTCAGATATGGATCGCACTAGCCCCGAAACGGCCGACAATGCGATCCAGCCAATCAGCAGCATCCCCCGCAAGGCTCAGGCTCCATCTTCTTCAGATGCCATTTCCCACCATCGTTCTCGTGTTTCTTTCTTTGGCATGTTCTATCAGTGCCGGCATCATGGCGTCCTCACTTTATCTCCGTCAACAGAAGACCACATACACAGCCACTGGTGGCGCGGGTTACGCTTGAGCCCCAGATCACACAGACCCTGTCCGACTGGCTTTCATCGTATGTTGGCTTGCTGATTACGAAGAATGTCAAGGCGTAGCGGATCCCTCGATATCTTGCCCAAACATGTTGGCGGCTGCTACTCCTCCCACAAGTTCGAGGCCGGTGCGCTTGAAATATTAGCATCCATGAAGATACGGGTAGGTCAGCCTGAGTCCTTGTCTTCTTATAGATGGACTTCTTGTTCCAATTCATCCCTCCCGGCTATCCAGGGTTTCCCGTCCGCTGAAGCTTGGTATACCATGACATGTGCCCAATGTCGAGGGTATGCCGTCAGCTTCAATGGTAAGGGAGAGAGAAAGACTCTTCGCTTGCTCTCAATTTCGGACTGTTTGATCAGGTTTCAAAACTCGACTTCCGACGAGGTTATGGTCATGGTCGATCAAGCGCCAGTGCTGCGCGCTTTGGGTGTCTTTCATGGCTGTATTCCTACGTCCTGATTCTGCCAGTCCCTATCGTCCAAGCGACATTAACAACGTGGCTGTGCTGTTGGTCCAGACATCCAAGACAGACGTCTGGCGCTTCCCCGACGCCGATTGCAGAATGCGCTTTGTCTAGGAACTTCTGATGTGTACCACTGTATATACAGACATGTTTACATATTGATAATCTCTCTCCTCTCAATACCTTTGCTGTGGGCCTGAAAATGCATGATAGATAGTACGAAAGCAGTCGATACAACCTTCATGAAAGAGTACAACGAGCCTAGCTACGGGCTACTTAGGTACTGTAACGTCGCCGCACTACTACGGTGTCCTGGAGTCGGTTATTGGGTTAGAATTTCCTCCGATGTCAGCCCCGAATACGCGTATAGACAGCCTCCTCGGAGATTATTATTTTTAGTTGTTTTTCGAGACACCTCAGCATTGCCCAAACTACCATGTACTAGGAAGAATTGATACAACAGCCTCTTGAATTGCATTGAGATAGACCTCCCTGTGGGGCTGAATTGAGTTCGCAGCTCTTTCACTTGCTTCGACAACGAGAATGGAAATAGCCTCCGCGCCTTGTCGGAGGAAGGAGTATGACCGCTGTGCAGAAATTCGCCCAGAAGGTCGATGGTCACCACCATGATTTGCTGAACCCATATAGCCGCCTACGACGGCGCCGGCGGACAGCTCACGAGAAGTCCAGGACCGGATGTATGACCTGCAAGTACGCATCCCTGCGCACACGTTGTCTTGCATTATCATTTCTGCTGTACGCTGACACCGCGCACAGGGCGCGCAAAGTCAAATGCGACGAAACAAAACCCTACTGTCGAAGATGCACTGAATCTGGTCGCGAATGTGATGGACCTATCTCTTCTGGTCTTCGCTTCATCCACGAGGGTCGCACAGTCTCGGAAGGCAACGGCTTGTTCTACCGGCCCGAGATATCTCTGGCTACTCCTCAACATGACAGCGCGGAGCAACGAGCATTCCACCACTTCCTTCACCGCGCGGCACCCGTTTTCGCGGGTGTTGTAGATTCTCCTTTCTGGCTTGATCTTGTTCCCCGCCTTGCCCAATCCAATCCATTTGTCTGGGACGCCGTGGTCTCGATCAGCTGGCTGTTCGAACATGTCCCCTACGATCGCTTGGTGACCAATTTGGACGCGAGGCCAGCCGTTATCGTCAGCCAGGGTCACCGACAAGCACTGCAATGGTACACCCGTGCCATCGCCAGTCTGCGTCAACACCTGGAACAGGGCGAAGTCGATGCACCTCTCGCCCTCGTGAGTTGTATTCTATTTGTTAGCGTCGAATACCAACAGCGGAACATCGGGAATGCTTTGGTGTTGATGGAAATGGGCTACAAGCTCCTAGCCCAGAGCATCTCGGCCTCCTCATCACGCATGCAATCCTTACCAAACAGTAGTGTGGTCGGTGAAGTCGTCACGCCGTTCTTCTCCCGCCATGCGGTCCTCGTGGCCACGCTGGGGAGTCCCCTACCACCCGACTGGAGTTGCTATGTTGCGGAGAACACTGGCACTCTACAACGTACGACACTGCTTGCATCCCTATCTACCCTCGACGAGCCTAGGGCGCACCTGTACAGCTTGACATACCGAGCACACGAGGTCATCAGAGCGGAACAGTTGAGGCCTACCGAGCACCGTATCATCCGGTTACAACGCATGAAACAGGAATTGATACTGCAAGAACTCAGACAATGGGAGACGGCTTTTGTCAACAAGTGGAGTCACGACAAGAGGACGGAGATCCTGTGGGCCGTGTCGAGTCTTCTCGTCTACTGTGGTGTCTGTTATATCTGGCTGTCGACGTGTACGAGCCCGCTGCAGACCGCGTTTGACGACTATATGGATCGGTTTGCCACTATCCTCAAGCACGCCGAGAAGGTGCTCGAGTACAGGGTGGATTCTGCAACGGGACGGCCACGGCCTATCTTCACGTCCGCACCCGGACTGGTTCCCCATCTGTACTTCTGTGCTACCAAGTGCCGGGATCCTTGGTTGCGGCGTCAAGCACTAGGGCTCCTACAGCGAGCGCCCGCAGGGGACGGTCTGTGGGCATCTGTCGCGAATCCGAAAGTGATTGAAAAAATCATATCCATCGAGGAAGGCGAACGTTATCATGTAAACAGCTCTCAACCCAAAGACGCAGGGCCACTTCCGTTACCGCCCGAGGAAAATCGCATCCATCATGTTGCCGTTGTCAAGAAAGATGTCTCGGGGAGTGCTCCGCGCTTAGCGCTTCAATTGAGCAAATGTACTGCTACCCCTGATCGGTCGAAGGCGACGATCAGTGAGAACATTTGGCTAGATCTGGGAGAAGACAATGAGGGCCCTTGAACATGGCTTTCATACGCCCGTGATAGAAGAGCTGGCAGATGTTGCTGGAGTATAATATCTCTCTCCGGCAGCCTAACAAATAAACGAACGAGTGCGTCCACTACTAAGGATCACCACACAGCATTGCTGAGCAGAGCTTGAGAGGAATAAGCACAAAAGGCCCCTAGGCTCTCGAGTTCAATTATACAAACAGAACAAGCTGCCCATTTTCCTGCGCGTGGAATAGTGTCAAGGGTCTTTCTCCTTGTCTACCTGGTATCAGATCTGTGCTGCTTGTCGTGAGACGCTCTACAAACTGGCGTATCCCAAGAGTTTTTCCGTCAGACGACTGAGCGAGATAGCAATTGTAGATGGCGTAAGCCAAAACGGCATTTATTATCCTGTCAGACAGTAGATTATGATAAGACCCAACAAGCCGGCCCTGACCTACGATAAGATAAGGCCTTATCCTGCGGCGGCCAAAAAAAGTTCCCTTCCAAACAAATGTCTGGCGAACTTTTCTTGACCAGACTCAACATCCACCATTGTTGAAGCACTTCTACTCTGACCGACCGGAACAATGGTGAAACGAAAACTCGGTGCGCTCGAGAAAGTGGACGCCGACCTCGCGAACCTGCAGAACAAAATCAAGCGCGATCCGAAATCCTACCACACCGACTTCCTCTACCAACACGTCCAATATGAGAACCAACGGCAGATCTTCATGCAGGCGCCGACGTCGGCATCCGACAGCGGCGTAATATCATTCCGCGAGCTGATCGAGTTCGTAGCGCACGTATCAGACTGCTACAAAGAAGAAACACGAGAATTTCCAGGCCAATTGATCGAGATCTTGACGACGCACCACGCAACATTGGAACCCGAACTGCGGGAGAAGATTGTAGGCAGTCTAGTGCTCCTGCGAAGAAAAGACATCATCGACTCACACACCCTGCACCAATGTCTATTCCCGATCCTGATTTCGACGCCGAGCAAGTCTTTGCGCGCTCTCCTCTTCCAAAAAATCATCAGCGACCTGCGCACGGCGAATGCCAAAACCATCAATCACAAACTAAACCGCAGCGTACAAACGACACTACACAACCTCGTCACGGACGACCGGTCCTCCACAAAAGCGTTATGGGCGATCAAGATCACGCGCGAGATGTGGAAACGGCAGATCTGGACGGATTCCAAGGCGGTCGAGATCATGAAAGAGGCGGCCCTAAGCGACAATGAGAAATGTGTTATTGGAGGTGTACGGTTTTTTCTCGGTGGCGACAAGGAGCGAGAAGAATTACTGGAAGACGAGAGTTCCGACGAAGACACTATTGATCTAGGCAAGCTGAAGCACCAGATTGGAATCAACAAGAAGAGCAAAAAAGCAGAGCGCAAACTCGAAAAGGCCGCCGCCACCATCAAGAAAAAAGAAAAGAAAAAGGGTCAACCGCATCCTCTCAATTTTTCGGCTTTGCATCTCCTGCATGACCCGCAGGGGTTTGCGGAATCCTTGTTCTCCAAACATCTGCAGAGCAGCAAGACAAAATTGAATCTCGAACAGAGATTGTTGGTGTTGCAGCTGGTGTCGAGGTTGATCGGCTTGCATAAGTTGACCGTGCTCAGCTTCTACTCTTACTTTCTGAAATATTTGACACCCCGCCAACCGTCCGTCACTTCTTTCCTCGCCTCCCTGGCGCAAGCGACACATAACTTGGTCCCTCCCGACGACCTAGAACCACTAATTCAAAAAATTGCCAACGAATTTGTCTCCGAAGCCGCAGCCGGCGAGGTCGCTGCAGCAGGGTTGAATGCCATTCGGGAGATTTGCGTGCGTCAGCCGTTAGCCATGAACGACACACTATTACAAGATCTGGTGATGTACCGAAAATCCAAAGACAAGGGCGTCATGATGGCCGCGAAGGGACTATTAGGTCTGTATAGACAAGTCGGGGCGGAAATGCTGAAGAAGCGCGACCGAGGCCGTGACGCCACGCTAGGTTTAAGGGCCGGCGAACAGAAACAGCAACGGTTCGGCGAAGAGGCGATTGGTGAAATTGAGGGTTTGGGCCTACTAGAGCAGTGGAAGCAGGAAGAGAGGCGGAGAAAGAGACTCGAAAAGGGACTTGACCCGGACGCTTCCGACGCAGACGAGGACGAAGACGAAGATGACGAAGAGGACTGGAATGCATGGGACGTGGAAGAAGATGACAGCGACGATTCAGGCGGCTGGATCAATGTGGAAAGTGACGACGAGATCGTAATCAGCGACAGCGAAGACGAGAAACCGTCTGCGAAGAAAGTAAAAGCTGACGACAAAGACAACGACAAACAAGACGGTGACGAAAGCCAGACGGGTACGACTACAACGAAGCCAAGATCAGGATCAACCTCAATCTCAAAACTCGCCACAACCCGCATCCTCACCCCCGCCGATCTCGCCAAACTCCAAGAACTGCGCACCACGGCATCCGTGTCCTCATTACTAGGCAACAAAGACCACAAGGCTCATCACGTCAGCGCCTCCCGCGCAGCAGCTGCGCAAACCAATGCCCAACGCCACATCGACGACCCATTGACCGCGGCCGAAATCGAAGGTCTAGCATCCCTATCTCGCGGCAAAGCCACTCGAGCCCAGAAATTAGCACTTCTACAAGAACACAAGGAAGATCGCGAAGACCATAAATCCAAGGCGGCAAGAAAGAAAGAACGCAAAGAGAGCGAAGGGAAGAGTACCACCAACAAGGAAAAAGCGAGGAAAAAGAATTTCCTCATGACGCTGGGGAAAGCAAAGTCGAAGGGGAAGAGGAGTTTGGTTGAGCATCGGAAGATTTTGAAGATGCATGCTGAGAGGGCGAAGAAGGGTGGAAAGAGGGGGAATAGGGGTTGATGCCTGAATTTTTGTATCTTAATACTGTGTATCTCATGCATGCATGAGACTAAATCGAGACATGGTCCGAGTGGATCCAATAGATGTATCCCCTGGCAGTCAGTCAATCAACTGAATCGTGCCGTACCGTTCTTGCTTCACACTGACGAACTGTAATGCAGCAGTAAAGTACATCAACAGCAGCAGCAGCAGCAGCAGCAGCAGCAGCAATAATAACCGTCATAATCAACACAATAAATAAACAGTCAATCAAGCCCCAGCCAGCCAGCCCTAAGGGCCGAGGCAGGCCATGACACCCACCAACACGCGCCCAACCCAACCCAACCTCCGTCCCCCTACTACCCTCGCCCGGCATCATCGATAAACATCTCAAAAGAAAGCACACCAACCAATATACATTCTGCACAGATTCGCCATATCCGTAGCCCGCTTGATCATTTCATCGACATAGCCACCAACACTCAGCGGGACACTTTCGCCAGGCAACATGCCGCGCACCTTTGCTCTGACGCCGTCAAGAACCTCAACAGGTGTATTAGGGACGCCATTGACCTGTTTCTTCTTGCGCCCCGCAACATTGATAAAGTCCGTTGTGGGGTCATGCAGAAAGGTCTCAAGGATAGTCATCAAGGCGTCCTCGTTGGACCGGAGCAAAACAAGGGTGATTTCGCAGCACCGCCTAAACGGTCCTTCGTAGCCATACACGCCCATGGCGTCGACCATGTTATGCGTGAGGCGGAAGGGGACCAACTCTGGTTTTTCAAATGTCAAACCTTTGTCGAACAGACAATTGAAGTCGACATGAAGAGTACCGCCGTTGTCTTCCTCAAATAGAATATTTTCGCCGTGCCGGTCGCCCAGACCTAACACATGGCCCACGATAGACATGACGGCCGCGGACCGCGTGTAGCGAAGACGAGCATTGAACCAAGCCGACGGGTCAGGGAAACTCTCGACGAACCACTCGTGGAACACGGGTGGGAATTTGCTCAGCACCTTGGTTGGGAAGATGTTGACCTTTTCGGGGTCTCCGGAGCATGCCTCGTCCAGCAAATTGCGGATTTCAATGTAATTCGGCTGGATCGACTTGTCCTTGTACAGCTTCAAAATGATGTCCCGGAACGTTTTGAGATTGTCCACCCACTCGATCAGCCCGCATTCTTCGTTCAATGGGATCACCGCGTATGTCCGGATGTAGAGCCGCCGCTTGGCCGCGTCCACGTCGCGTTTGAGGAATCGGTTGATCATCGTATTGAATTCCATCAGACGTTGGTCCTTGCGTAAATCGTCCTTAGGTTTCGCAAGCACGTTGTACATGTTGCCGTCGGACCCGCGAATCGTCAGTCTCCGTGGCTTTTGCAGCGATGAGAGAACTAGAGCCTCGTCCGCGAATGATGTTATAGTCACTGGTTCTTTGGCAAAGGGGCGGAAGGCTCGCAGTTGAGCTGGTTCGAAGTTGGTAGGCATACTGGGGATCAAGGATGCTTGGTTTGGCACCACGAGTCTCGACGGCGCGATCTTGTGGTTGAAGCCGAGATCGCGGGCGAGGCTGACCTTGGACACTTTGCCCTCGATGGGATATTCCGAAATGCGAAGCAGCTCCCTGACAAATTTCTGTCCACTGGTGTACATGTTTCTGAGTTCGGCAGCACTGATTGCTCCATCTTTTGAGGATTTCTTTTGAGTTTCAACTATCTTGTTCATGAGCGTCTTGCCTATAATGGCCCTGTCTTTCTGCTTGGATTCGACTACAGCCAAGAGTGTCCAGAATGCTTGCTGGGGAAACGTGCGGACCACCTTGACGACAATGCTCCCAAGAATGTCTGAGATCGTTGGGTCATTATGACAAATCCGGGCGACGACCTGTGGTAGAATCGTGTAGAGCATAACAGGTTGCATGCGGTCGATATATTTCTTGATATAAATGTTGGTGTCCTTGATGATTTGCAGTCGGCGCTCCGCGTTGTGTCTGAGGAATTCATCATTGCCACGCCGGGGGTCCTTTGGCAAGTCCCTCCCGTCTACCAGTTCGAGCCAAAGAGTAAGAACCTTGGGCAACGTCTGGAAGACATATTTGCTGCCGCAATTGAGCGACCGTAGATAGTTTTCAATAACAAGTTTGGCAGTCTCTCCCGTCAGATATGCTTGACTCTCTTTGCCCGGAGGCATCAGTTTCTCCGAATCAAGGATCTTGTTATAGTACCGACCCAGGTGATACCATCCTTTCTCCCACCGGCGGAAGCTCTCGGTCGCTTTTCGAAAGGTTTTTCGAATCACTTCAAACTGGGTCTGACTGGACTGGTCGAGCCATTTTCCGAGCAGCACATATGCTTTGGCTGTGAGCTGGTTCTGCGAATGGCGCTGTTCGACTGTCATTGTGACAGGTCCGTTTTCGGCGATATAGTCATGCGCTGTAAAGGCGCCAGACTCAATAGCTCCTTCCAGGATTTGGATGGCCTTTCTATGATGTCCCTCGAGCCACATGAGCTTAGCCTGTTCTATCGCCGCAGATTTATCGCCGAGCGACGACGCTTTGAGGACGGCATTGAAGGCTTGAGTGGTGGATCGAGCTTTACGCGCCAACCTGGCACTTGCCAGCCAAGCTGCAGCAACGTCATCTGGGGTGAACACGTCTCGTCGTAGGGACATCAAAGCACGCCGAATCCCAAGGACATACTGCTTGTCAGCAACATTTGACCCTAGGACATCGAGACGACCTCGTAGGCTCTCGAGTACTGACATGCGGTCCTCTTTATCACTCTCTGTCACGAGCTGCACGTCGCTGAGCACGTGTAGTTTCAACAGTGAGTCATGACTGGACTGAAAGGAAGAGATGGTCGCTGGCGTTAGCTCTGATGCCGCATGGCCGTAAAGTTCTTCGAAGAGCTGCTTTGCCTTTTCAGTGTTGTTGGCCTTCACAGCTAGCATCAGCTCTGCTAAATGAGACGCAAAATCAGACCCGCCGCTTTGAGGGATGTAATTTGCCAGGCGGTCCCATTGACCTGTGGCCCAAGCGGCTTCCAATGCATATGGTGCGAGGACTGTCGAAGGGGCAGCATTCCTATGCTTCATGCCCTCATAGTGGTGAAGCAAGGCATCATACTGTCCGGATTCTTTGAGGCAGTCCATCAAGTTCTTCTGGACATCAACGCTGTCGGGGTCGGCAACAAGTTGCATCTCGTACCAGTTTTGAGCGGCCGTCCATCTGCCGGCTTTCTTGTGCTCCAAAACCTGTTGCTCAATGTCAAGAACATGCATTTGTGAAGAGATGCCCTCGATGCCGTCGGGTTCATCAATCTGAGCATATATGTCTTGCATTTTCTGGAGTTCCGCCTCAAGATTGTCAGTTTTGGACTGGCGGATATGCTGTTCCCAATGGAAGAGCGCTCTGGAGTAGGATTTGCACTCAAGAGCCCGCTTTGCCAAAACTTCAGAAGGAATGCGCTCCAGCACCCGTTCAATGCTCCGGATCTGTGCTGCAGCACTCTGCAAAAGGGGGTCGTCTGGTCCTCGGTCGGATTTGGCCACACCCATCGCGTACTGTTTTCGCTTTTGTTGGTGCCACACATTCACATAATCTAGAATTTCGAAGACGGTCTGGCTGCATAACTTGGTATCATCCTGGATGCGGCGCTCCTCGCCCTCCAATGGCAAGCTCAGGATCGATGTGACTTCCCTCAAGATATCTTCGCTGTTACGCTCGATGCCACTGACAATAAGATTAACGACCGCATATGGCAGGAGAAAGGCCGGTATGGAAGTGTCTTGCCCATGAATAATGCGACATGCTATTCCAAACATCATCTCAACATTGTCGCCAGAGCCCCTATGGAGGAAGTCAAGAGTGATGGTTCGAAGCCAATCTCGGTGTTTCATCCCAGGACGGTAAAGCGGATATTCACTTTTCTCGGGTGGTCGGATCTCCTGTACAGTGTACTTCGAGCTCAGGAACGGGGTCAGAGTATGTTGTACAGACTCCGGCAATTTCTCCCAGAGCCGTGAGGCTAGGTTAGAACCCCCGTGTCGCGATGAACTGTCCTGTTCGCAAGTCTTGAGATACTCTTGCATTGCCCAAGCCAGAAATCCCTGCGCCCTTGTCGTAGTTGCAGAGAGGAATGTCTTGACCAGTACGTGCTGGAGAAAGAAGAAGACCCACTCGATAGCTTCATCTGCTTTTCCAAAATTCGCCAAGACTACCATTGATTTGCGTTCTCTGACGCTTTCGATCTTGCTGGAGTCTAGACAACCTATCTGCCCAAGGCACTGACCACATAGTCTGGTGACTTCGATACTCGTATTGAATCGAACGCAGCAGTCGAGAAGAGCACGGGTCAGGCTGGCCACAAACTCATCAGGTTGTTCACGGAGTATGGAGCGTTGTAGCAAATCTTGCCTTTGAGCCAGAAGGGGAGGCAGCTCGCTTAAAGCTTGTTGGACCACAACAAGATTTTCATCCTGCAGTCGGTCAATGTATGCAACCAGTTGGTGTCGCTCATCCATCTGCCGTTTCAAGGTCGAGATCTCCGACTCGTACTTTGCCATCATGGGGACGGATGCCAAGGACGGTATAATGCTGAAATGCTCCCGGATCAAGTCGGTATGATTCCGGAGCAGTTCGCCAACCACATCATAGGCCAGTTGTTGCGAAGAATTGTCCAGCAGGTCCCAAGCTCGGACGATGATTGCAAAGGTCTGACCGATCAGGGGTTCCAGATCGTCCTTTTTCAGAGACCTCACCATGGCCACCCAGGAGCTGAAAGCCGAGTTGCAGAGATCTTTGTCTTCCAAACCAGACCTCAGACAAGCGCAAATTTGGGGTAAGGCTCGTACGATTCGGCTTTTGCCCAGTTTGACCACTTCACCCAGAGCAGCAATGCATCTCCGCTTTTCCACTTTGGGTTCTTTGGCTTCCAGGTCGTTCAAAAAGACAGTGAAATGGGTCACGATTGCAAGAATATTACTCTCCAGGAAGGACCCTATACTGTCACTGCGCTTAGAACCAGAGGACTGCCCACGTTGACGAGCTACCAGCTGTGCGAGTAATTGTAGAGCTTGGTAAACACGAGAGGATTTTCCTTGCCCACTGTCACCGATCGCCTTGAGGAGTTCGCAGGCGATGTGGATCGGGTCCAGAGCCACCCAATTAGAGAGGTCGGTCTTCGCAAAGTCCTCCGAGACTTCTGACAAGAGCGACAGGATGGATTGTTCGGCGTCGGAAAATGGCTGCACCAGTAAAAATGAGAGGATGGCAATAAGATTCTTTGCTTGCGTGCAAAGTTCAAAAGGAGTGGTTGACGAGCCGTTGGACTCGGCGAAGCGCGCAATGGCGTCCGTTTCTTTGTGAAGGACAAGATAAGGGAGAGCATATTCTGCTGTATGTCCCATCAGTCCCGACATATCCATTCCCAGAAGATCACAGAGTTGATATGCCACGTTTGGCCGTGCTGTCAGTGACTTTGCCAGGACAACACCTAATGTCCGCCAGTACGGACGCAAAAGAAGCCAGACCGAGATATGCATGGATATAGCCAATTGTTGGATTTCAGCATATACCACGCCACTGAGATAAGGATTGCTGTGGCCAAGGTAGTCCACCAATCGGACTAGAATGATGTTCAGCTCTTCATCGCCGACAACCTGCGCCATCCGGACCAGAGCCATGGCCGCAGTCTCTTGCAGTGCCACTTGCCCTTTCTGCCAGATGCTGTGCAGAAAGTCCAGGGAGACGACCCTATTTTCCTGCGTTGCGATGATGTCGACATCTTTTTTTCTCACCAAATATGCCTGCAAAGTTCTAGTGGCTGCAATACGAAGATCTCTGGAGGAGCTCTTCAGTGACTGAAGACACCATTCGCCGGCAGGTGTCTGAGTGAGCTTCAAATCTGAGGATGTAACGCTGTGCATCAGGATCCGACGCAGCGCTGCCATGGCAGCAATCCTTGCTCTTGAAGGCCGCGAGATGTTCTGAATGAGAACAACTAGTGTCTTCAGCAGCTCTTCACTGGTCGCCGCCACCGGCAAATCAGATATGTTTGTTAGTTCGGGCGTTTCGTCGCATATCTGGCAGTGGCTCCTCTGTGCATTCTGAGCAAAGCGACATGCAGTTGCGCCCAACAATTCAAGAGCAGCACATTGTTCGTCTTCAGGTAGACGACGGAAATGCGCAGCCACAGTCTGGCTAAGTCCATCGAGGTCGGGAACAGCACGTCCAGTCAGCGCCATGGTGAGAGTACGGCATAACTGCTGTTGGAAGTTCTGATCTGGCAGACCGTCCTCGGTGTCTGTTGAGAGTCGAGGCCGTTTGCGGGCTCTATCGCTTTCGGGCCAAGCATCATTGTCGTCAACCACGGCGGGCGACTTAGCAGGTGGCCGACGCGGGGTGAAGCTCAATCCACGGATCTCATGGGACAATTCCTGGTATCCATCAGCAGAGTACAGGGTAGATCGCGTGTCTGTGCAGCTTACCTCGGAAGGATCCTGTTCAGCTATGGAATCATGATGATCGTCCACAAGGTGCCGGAAGCGTGTGAACACTTTCCAAAACTGGATCCTGCTCTGTGCCGAGAGGGAGTTTTTCGAAATGACCTTCAGCACACGGGCCAACGTCAGAAACAGCTGGCGAAGAGAAGGAAACTTCAAGCTCGGCAGGGTTATGACGGTTCCACGAGACGCAGTGGCGAGAATAGTAGTGAAGTCTCCTGCATCGATGATGATAGCCTTGCGCGGATGGAATGTTTGACATGAGATGGCAATTTGCACGAGACCTGCCAGAGGTTAATAACGGGCGTTCCAGCAATGTTATATGTGCCACGGACATCTTACCTAAAACACAACACCTCATGAAGTCCAGGACATTGTCACACAGATAAGGGGTGCCACAGTTCCTGTCAACTTCAAGCATAGCATTGAAAACATCAAGAACAGCATCTCGCGCCTCGACATCCTGGCAGAGAGAGAGGAGAGGCAGTAGCCTAGGAATTAGCCAGTAGTACAGCGGACACAGGGGTCCAGGCACATCTCTGCCAGGAGGATCCGACTTCACAAAGAGTACCTGTGGCGATCTCTCAATGGCGACCTGTAGTACTGCGAGGCATCGTCTCAACTGAACATCCACCTTACCTGGAGCGGCCGAAGTCTGAAATGGAGTCTCTTCCAGGGCCGGCTGGATGCCAACTTGGAATATGATGCAGATCAGTTTGTGGTTGACCGACACATCATCGCCTAGATTGGGTTGGCCTTCCGCATCTGAGCCCAGCGCTTCTGTCAACAACTGATTGAAGTGATGCCGATCCAAGTCAGGAACGCCTTCTCCATGGACTACGTGAGTAGCCAAAATAGACGATGGGGGAGGCTGAAAGCCGTTCGCCTGTCGTTCAACAGGGGCCGGCGCCATTTTTGTTAGGGAATCATGACGAATCGTGGTGTTGTGAACAGACAGACTCGGGCGACGCGAAAAGATGAAGTTGTATATGATGTCGCGTCAGCCCGAAGGATTCACCGTATACCACAGTGGATTGAATGATTCGCTGTAGCGGGTGCTTATTAATGACTCTACTAGCACACTTTGGGGAAGGTTCCCGGGCTCTTAGTTCTACGACTTGAACACGATTCTTACCAAGTTGTTCATTATGGAGGCACATTATATCATTCCAATTTTCCAGTCATCAATCTCGAGTCTCGTCTAGAAAACCTCTTCGATCTTTTCATCTTCATCCATTTCCTTGACTTTCTCTTCCTCCGCTTCATCCCTCATGAGAACCTGTACCAGCCGATCACAAGCCTCTCTGACGCCTTCATCTTCGACGTGCAAATGGGTCTCCCGAATCAGTGGATAGACCTGGATGCTTCTGAGCTTGTCTCTCCCGGCCCGTGTCGTCGTTAGTAAGAGCAACGTTTCTAAATGGGCCACCAATATCTCAGGATCGCTTTCTCTCGCCTTGTCCGGCGGTAAAAGTTGCAAGTCTGGAAGCATGTTCGCCGATTCCTCCTCCGGGAACTCTTCGGAACCGGCTAGAGGTAATAGGATGTATGGCAGGATATTGACGCCTGGGACGCCGTCGACAGTCTCGGTGTCATCCGCCATGAGTAACGGATGTTTATCCACCTCGAATGCGACGTTCTTGATCGTACTGGCAACTCCCCGCCTACGAACGTGACTTTTATGCTCTGTAAAAACCACCAACTTGCTTATCGGCACAATTCCATCATACTCTCTCTTGCTGAGGAAGTGATCCCGCCCAGCCTTGTGCTTAGACATGTCAGCCATGAGATATGCGAGGTAATCGAAATCGGCATGTTTATTCAGGCCACCGTCAGCGCCTTTCACAAACAGATCAAACAGTTGGTCGAGGGCGTATGGAGAAGTGGAGATGGTCTTGTCGGGTAGTGATCGTTTCAACCGAATCAACCTCTCCATCTGATCCGACTTTGCCATGTTGGATAACAGCATGGCAATCTCATTGGCGGCTGGTTCTTTCGGGTTCTGAAAACGAGTCAAAAACTGTTCCTCCATCCATGCAGCAGAGTCTAATCCATATAGGTGACTCTAGAGCCTTCTTACCGTAATCTTCTTCAACAACGTCTCAAGAAAAGCATCGTCGCCGGCCAAACTCTCCAGAATCTCTGCATCCCGACTAAGGTTGACGAGGATAGTGAGGGCATTTTTAGCAATAGGCTGGGACAACCCCGTCAGCCGCAAACCACTTTGGAGCCACGGATTGAGCATTACTCACAGGGTAATCTTTGACTAATAGTTTCAGGTCTTGGACAGGAACCAGTTGAGGCTTCTTGAAGATGGATGGTTCCGAGGAATGGCCGACTAGGTGCTCGCATGCTAAATAAACCAACAATGAGTTACCGCCATCTCATAGTCGAACACAGCACTTGGAAATTCCGGAGGGGGGTCGACACGGCAGGAAAATTGACATAGAATAAATGGGAGACCTACCGATTTGCCTAATCTGAGTATTCCCATGGTGTAGGAATTCGACGAGCTGGCGTTATGTGAGCGCTGAATGGGCAGTCCGGCTGCGACAAGTCTTAAACATACCTCTTCCAACTCCGTTGGCATTATGCTCTCCCCGAAATTTGATCAACTTACACACAGCCTTGTGCTGTATTCGGTGGTCTTGTTGAAAAATATCTGATACTGCGAGGCCTGATACCTGGAAGTGGTTTAGTGTCGATTCGCGAAAAAGAGCGAACCGTCTCATCAAATGTGGTTAGTGCAAAATTTCCCTCGGGTTAAACTTCTTCCGGGCGCTTACTGTACCTCCACTCACGCTGGCACTGCTTCAGCTGTCGACACTTGTATCACTCCAAACACTGACTGGACGAGGTGCCACTCTTCTCGCGCAACTCCTTCATTCTCACAGCCGCTCCCGAACCCCTGCTCTCGGGAACGTCGTACAGCGAATCGGCCAGACTCTCCAGACTTCTCGTGCATGGACTGCAGTGTCTTGCACAGGCCAGGCGAACCACGACCATGGAGTAGTTGGCGCCGTTGGTGTCACGCCCAGCCACATCATGTCAATCTTGCAATGGATTGTGGTACAGGCCCCTGTCCTGCAGGGCGAGGTCTGCAGGGCTCTGGTTGCAGTACCGCTCAATCTGGAACTGGCCTTAGCCTTGTGACCTCGCTTCGATTCACGGTAGGGATATATGAAAGGTAGGTTCCCCCCTTTAGCCAGTTACCTACCTGAACCTCTCGATCCCATCAGCCAGCCTCGCGCTTCTTTCCCCAGGACATCGGCGACTGTCCGTTTTGCTTCTGCGGGAGTGGCCAGCAGTGTAGCTGTTGAGTTCAACCGTCCTTCGTGAACAGCGATCCAACCTTGCCGCGAGACTGTCCACGCACACCAACCTCCCTCCTGATGGATATGGACTTTGGTTGAACGCCCGCGGGCAAATACTTACCGCGCAACATCCACTAAAGCATAGCGAAATGGAATCTTTCCGGTGCACCACTACAGTCTGAATCACCAAACCTACATTTTCGCTCCATCCAAGAGCACTGCAACTTCAACATATCATCCAAGACCACCATCTTGCGCAGCACCTACCACGGTATATCACAATGGCACTCCCTGCCGGCGATGGCGTCCTCGGCCTCGGACTCGGCATGGACGCAGCAGCGGCGCCAGCACCGCCCGAGCCGATCACAATGAGCGAAGCCATCGACAGCCTGCTAAAGCTCCTAATCCGAATCCGGCAGAAACTCCACACCCTGATCTCATGGTACATCGACCTAGAAGTGACCCCCAACGCAATTCAAGCATACGAGCCACGACTGATGATCCTATATGACCGACTAATGGCCATGCGAACACTATCATACACCCAACTACCATACCTGATTGACAACTCGGACGCGCTAGCCGCACAATACCTAATCGACATTGCATCGCAACTAAGCAACGCAGCACACGGGATCCAGACCATCTTCGTCAACCACTACGACCGAGACCTGGAAGAGCGCCAACCCTTCGCCGCCATCAGTGACACACTAGCCTACCGCACCGACCAACTCCGACTCGTCCCGACATTGAACCCCAGTAATCCGCTCCGTCTGCGTGCCGAAGACATGCGCGGCGGCACCAACGAACTGGGCTATTTCTGCCGCGGCGCCTTGCAACTCAACAACAATCTTGACAAAGGGCGCGTCTCGTTCGTCGACAAAAAGACCGAGTTGTCCGAAGACGACCGATTGAAACTTAGGGTTGTTGGCGGCGCCTTTCTCAACTGGGAGTGTCCTGAGTGCGCGTACAAAGGGCGCTATCATGTCGCGAGCAGTGGCGCGTCAAATATCCATACGACGGATGACTTTCGTCAACATGACGATGTTGCGCTACAATATCGCAGCTCGTTTCTGGCGAAATGTCATTTCTATTTGCCGTTGAGCGATTCGAATGCGATGCCGCCGACGCGAACTCTCTCACGGCGACGTGTGGGTACTGGTGGTGGTGGCCATGGTCTCGGTGGTGGTTATGCAAAACCACTCCTTCAATACGGATGTGTATTCTGTTTCGCCCAGGGCGTCCAACTGGACCGCGGGAACGGCGCATTCATCACGGCACGCACATTGGCCGAACATATCGCTTTGAAACACGGCGGTCCGCTACTGCCGCCGAGCTTCATTCTGCATCGGTTCTTGGTCGCTGTGGATGGGAAATTGCTCGATCCTCGCCAACGCTGGGATCTGAATTTTGTTTAGGTACAGTAGGTAGATACTAGTCCTACGGGATCCAGTGGACAGAATGTAGGTACTTTAGGTATTGCAATATATTATCCAATCCGGACATACTATGCGGCATATATGTCTAGTGGTAATGGTAACGTCAACATCGAGGTTAACGTCAATGTCTTGTCTATCGCGCAAATGGCCATCCCGTATATACAATTTATACAGTACACTACAATTGCTTCCTCATCAAGGCAGTGCCAGCTTTACTCACACAAAGCCACACTGCAATTTGGGAACACCCCACTGCGCGTATTGTGCAATGTGCACAGTAAATCAAACAGAAACGTCTAGCTGCTCTTTGATTGACCAACGGGACGCCTTCCAACTCCAATTCCATCCCATCCTATCCTGTTTATATCATCCCAACCCTTGCCAGACAGACGCCTTTTAGTACCCCGTTCCTTCCACTGCTCTCAAGCCAGGGGATGAGGACGACAGCTTCAAATTATACACTCTCCACAACCAAACCAACACTCAACCCAGGCCGATGTCCCCTATCAGCCTGCTGCACCACGACAGGCGAATATGCCTTTTTCTCCAAGATCTCCCAACGGGATTTATCAAGAATCTCCCATTGGCGGGGTGGTTCAAGTTGTTCGAGGCCATTAACGTTATCATCAGACTCAGACACCTTTTTACGGATCGCGAGGACCTGCTGCTGGGGCTCCCTGTCCCTCTCCTTTTCTTTCTCTTTCGCTTTCTCTTTCTCCCTCATCGCGACCTGTTTCTCAAGCTGCTGTCTAGCCCTCTCTTTCTCTTTCTCTTTTTCTCGATCCGAATCCGACTGCGACTGCTCACCACCACCACTGGGGCCGCCGAACATGAAAGTCTTGATTTTATCTCTTGACAAGGACCTCGATCCTGTCCGACGGTGCTGATGACCCAAAGCCTGTCCCTGTTGCTGCTGCTGCTGGCCCTGTGGCGGCGAAGGCGTCTGTCGCCGAGGCGCTTCCAGCCGATTCGGACGACCAGCCTGCTGACCAAGTCTTGGAGGCGGGACAAGGACACGAGCGCTCTGCTTGCGAGACAAAGATACAGTACGAGCCACTGCGACTTCTGCGGTGCCAGTAGTAGTCGTAGTTGTGAACTGAGACCGAGAAGACAATGACAACGACGCCGACGACGATGACGCTGGCGGTGGCACGATTTTCTCAAGACCTCGAAGAGCCGCGGAGGGCGATGTGGAAGAAGATTCCGTCTGAGGACGCGATGGGGGTCGTAGGGACGAAGGAAGAGTCGAGGACCGTTCCTTGGTGACTAACGATACGGTTCGTGGCGGATGTTGATGTTGTCTCGTGGTATTGTTATTAGTGCTAGTACTGATGCCGAGACCGTTGTCGGTATTTGCTCGCGCGGGGCGCGTCGGAATGATGCCCGCTTGCTCGATTCTGGACACGGTGTTTTTGGCCGCGTATCGAGATAATGGAATATATTTGGCGTCCTTTTTCGGTACTGGTGGCGGCTTTTCAATTTCACTTTCACCTTCACCTTCAGGCGTGAGTGGTGATGATGACTGTGCAAGGACGGATGGTGTGGTTCTAGGGGGTTCCTGAGGGATGGTTGGTGAGTCGTCAATCGGTCGATCGACTCGTTTCACAGCAGCAACGCGGGATGCCGTAGATTTGGGAAGCTTGGGGGCCTCGGCTGGAGCTGGTGGTGCTGGCGCTGGCGGTGACGGCGGCGTGGATATGGGCACGATCGTGGCGACGGATCCGGAAGCGCTGTTGGGGGATAAATCTTCTTTTACCTCCACCACGGGGGAAGGAATCAGACGGGAGACTTCGTGAGTTGTTTTGGGTTGAGTTTGCGGCGAGAAATTATGGCCCTCGTCCGAAATTGATGTCGGGTTCGAAAATACCTTTACCGAAGCGCTACCTGGTGACTCCGTGTTATAGACAGGCACATCACAAACCATGATAGGGACGTCTTGCACAACGTCTGTAATGGTTGGCGACGTGAGTCTCTCGACTGCGGCAATAGCTTCATCGAAATATTCCGTGTTGACTGAGGTGTGTTTAGTGGTGACTGCCGAAGTGACCGCCAGGCTGGATGTCATCACAGACGCTGGGATCGGGGGAATGGCCTCTTCAGGCTCGTCCGGCTGAGCACCTTGTGGCCGTTGTGATCGATCCGTAGTCACCCCGCGCTTTGACCTGGTTCGAGCCAGCTCCACCGCCGCCGAAGCTGGTCTCGTCATGACAAATTGTCCATCTTCCACCCCCCGGGAATCTCGGAACGATTTAATATCGAAGAAGATCTCATCCACGGTCGTGGCGGACGAGACAGACGATTTGAGCGAGTGCGCAGTGCTCCACGGTGTCCCTTTGTCTGTGGAAGCCGTATGCTCGTCCGGGCTGCTGGCGAGCTGCTCGTGCGAAATGATCCTCCGCAGAGGCCGTCCATCACCTATGGTTCTCTCAACGACACGTTCATCGGATGCTGTCCTTCTGAGGCTTAGAGGCTGAGGTTTTGCTGCTGCATGCTCATCTCGCATAGGGGACAAACTGGCAGGGGAGGTGGCAGATCGTTTCAATTGACCTGCACCGAGTGTGTCATTCTCGAAAGCTGCCGCTGCCGTGTGCCCAGAACCCCTGACTGGCGTTTGTGTCGTTGTCGGAAATAACGAATATTTGCTTCCCGCAGGGGATCTGGTCGAGGTAGGTGTTGTCGGCCGTCTGGGTGGAAAGAGAGGCGTCAAAGACTCCTCCGTGGATGAATGGGGTAATTGGTCGTCCCTGTCCTTGGTGGTGGGTCGATTGTCGTCAAATGATTTGAGACTCCCCAGGGTCTTGCTCCGTCTGGCCAACAAAGACGAAGAGCGAGTGGCTGCAGGTAGATTACGAAACATGACACTATACCGATCCAGAGGCGCAGTTGGGATCTCCAGTTCCAATTTTGGCAAAATTCTCTCCCGTCGTTCATTTTGTGATCCATCCTCTTCAGACTGTACCGCGTGCCGGAGGTTCGATGGCGGCTTCTTTCCCGCAAGAGTTGATGACGCATCATGGTCGGCACGGCTTCTTTGAATCGGCTGTAGTTTGTGTTCTGCAAGCATTCTCGTCTGGCTTGTGGGGCTTTTATCCAACACGACCAAGCCCGTCGGCAGTCCGATGGTTGGGCCTGGCTGAATCTCATCTCGCTTCACGACGGGTTCCTTACATTTGAACAAGCTTCCGAATTTCTTCCACGTCCTTGACTGCATCTGTATTGATTTTTCCAGAGAGGAGGGTTGTTGACGAGGCATCGGACTGAGCTCGAGAGGAACAGGTTCGATTTTAGGAGTACAAAAGGACGTCGGAGGATGGGACGGGCTCCCAAAAGCGAGACCGATCAACGTATCCTCTGATCTTGAGGCGTCATTAATGGGTGATCGGGTTTCTTGGTCGGATGTCTGTGGACGAGCCCTAGGTGTTCGATCTCGCGGTCGCCTCCTTCCCATTGCCCCTGCAGCAGTCTTTGGGCGTATCTCGGCCTGTCCCCCGGTCACCACAGTTCGGGTCGTACCAGGAACAGTGAGGATGGTGGCAGGATTGTCAGTAAAAGCGAAATCGAAATCCTGCCGATATGATCCTGTTGATTGAGAATAGAAATCGTCACGAGCGAGAGGATGACGGTGGCGGAGAGAAAGCCATCTCGTAGGCATGATTAAACACGGGCCGGACCAGCCGTCCAGGAGAAACAAAATCTCAAATTGGTAGGGTCAAAGGTGAAAGACAGGAGAAGAAGGAAACGAGTGATGTGAATGAAAACTTGGTCCAGCAGGTCGAAGTCTCAAACTGCGAGTGTGAAAGTGAAACGATTACCAGACAAACATGGTTCACAGCCAGCCATATGCTTGGCCTGCGCCAGAGCAGCTGAAGTATGGAGAAAGAAAAGCGGAAGGTTCTCCAGTAGACACAAACTGCAAGGAACCAAACTCAACCAACCTTTGTGCTGACTCGGAGGGCTTCATGGCAGCATTGACTTGCATGGGGCCAGCCAGGATCATGCTGGTGTCGTGAATCTGGCATGGTCTTCAATGCGGATATGCCGGCCTCAGCGACTGTCGAATGAGCATTGTACTTCGGTCAGCCACGAGGCCGGACGATTGTTGGAAACAGAAAAGCCTGTGGATGGGGCTGAGACCAATCTTCGACAATGGAAGTCGCAGAATGCGAATAACAGAAACTGTTTGAACAAGGAACAAGGGGGACGGTTGATGAAACTGGTGGAGAGTCGTGGGAGTCGATGTTGGACTGCGAGATACAATCTGTTGGCAGGTGCGCTAAAAAAATGTTGTATTTGCTCTCGCTCTATCCACTTTACAGTGTACAGAGCACTCCTATATATACTATAGAAATCGGAGAGAACACCGTATCTCGTACGGTCTATAGATTATTCTAGAGAGTATTAAACCTCGTCGTCGACGTCGTTATCGAGCGTTATTTAGGGTCGATAGCGAGATTTAGGAAGTATAGTTAATATAAGTATTCCTTAGTAGTAGGGTATTAGAGCCGACTATATATAATATACTCTCTTTAGGCTATATTCGTCGCTTTACCGTCGAGTATAGTCTATATATTAACTAGGCGAAGATATATCATAATATAGATAAATTACTTATAATTCTATATTATTAGTACTTTCGTAAAGCTATCTACTCTTATATTAGTAGTTACGACCTATTCTATTCGTATTTTACTAGCTTATATCTTCTATCTTAACTAATACTTATATATATTAATATATTTTAGCTTCGTAGATAATTAAAAGTTATTCTTAGTTAGTAGATGAATAGTCTATATATTATTAACTTTAATAGTAAGCGATTAGTTAAGTTTTAGATATATCGAGTTAAAGAAGCGACTTTACTAGAGTATTTTCTTAGCTATACGAAATAGAGCGAGTAGTTCTACCTCTATACTTAAAGTTATTACTATATTCTATTAAGAGGCTTTCTAGTTAATAAAGCCTCCGAATAGAATAAAGAGATAACTATCGGAACTCTTTCGACTAGTATTATTAGTAAATATTACGTCTAAGTATATCTTAAAGATATTAACGCTCTCGTATTTATTATTATTTTAAGAAGTTATTTTAGGAGGAGTAGAGTATTTAAGAGTAAGAGTATATATACGCTTTAAGTAGCTTAGTACTCTATTAGCGATAACTATATATTCTAGTAATAGATTACGTAAGTATTATAAGAGTATAGAATAAGCCCTTATAATATCCGGTCTCGTTATTATAGCTACAAAATTAATAAACTCTATATACTATTAATATATATATATCTCTTATAGAGTAGCCTAGCTATTATACGATACGAGACTTTTAGTTAAGAGAGGTATTAATAGTATTTTTCTACTATATATATTAATATTAAACTTAGCTAATAGTTTATTAATATATAAATCCTATATAAGCTATAACTTATATAGCTTTTAATCTCGTACGATTTATATACTAAGAAACTAGTTAACTTCTAGTATAATACGTAAAGTAAAACGCTATTAAAGACTCTATAAAATTATATTAATTCTCTTCTTAAGCTTATACTTATAGTATAGGATAATATTATCTACGTAGAATAGAACGATAAGAAACTCGTTATTAAGAATATAATTAACTTCTAGTATTTAAGAAAGATCTAGTACCTTAAGAGTATTACTAAAAGTATTATACTATAATAAAGAGCTTTACTTAAGACTATAGAGCGTCTTAAGTAAACGAAGTATTATATTTAGTACTTTAAAATCTTCTAGAAAACGTATATAGATTTTCTCGTCGATTTTACTATTAAGGAATATATTAATAGTATTAAGTTATATAAGATCTAGGTCGTAAGCGGCCGTAATAGTTATAATAGTACGAAAGGTACTAAAAGTAAAAGTAGTTATATAGATATCTTTAAAAATAAGTTATAAGTCTTCTTAAATATATATATATATCTTAAATTTACTTAAGTATCTATTATTATCGAATTTATATTTAAATATCTAAATAAGAGAAAGAATATTACGTCTATTTATATCTTTAGTAGAGACTAGTATAAAGATTTACTTATATTTAAGTTTCTTATATTTAACTCTCGCGACTTTCTTAAATTTCTTTCGAAATAGATAATTAGTAAGTTATTTTTATAATTTTAGCTTAGATAGAAGAGTATCTCTATATACTTATTAGTAATCTCTTTTAATAGTAAAAACGATAGCGAAGGCTAAGTAGTACGTTAATAGACTATTATTAATACTATTATCTTCGAGTATAGCGATGTATATCTATTTTCTTAGTTTTAAATATCGTCTTATAGTAACTATATTTCTTTTATCGAAATCTATTAAGATATTAATATATTAAGAGACTTAGACTATCTTACCTTAGTCTAGAGATATCTAGCGAGATAAGTCTTCTATAATAGTCTTTTTAGATATATATATTTACGGTTCTTCTTTCTAAATTTCTTCTCTTCTTTCTTATTCTCTTATTAAGAGGAGACTAGCCTCCGCTAGAGACTAGTTCTTTATAATAAATAAAGAAGAAGAATATAGCGATATTAATAAGAGTACGGCGCTACTAGAGAAGCCCTTTCGTTTAGGCTCGCGTCTCTTCTAGAAGCTCTCTTAAGTAGAGGCGTCCTAGCGCGCGGCTTAGGCAGCGAAGTCCTCTCGGCTAGTAGCGCGGCGAGATCTCTTAATACTTTCTATTATAGACCGCGAGCCTTATAAACCTATAATTACTTCTATAGTAGCTATCGGCTCTATAGATATCGCTAGTTAAGAAGAAGAAGAAGAAGAAGATTTAGATATAGCGTTAGAAGTAAGATATATATCTATAGAATCGCGTATAGTTAGCGCTTTATATAATTTAGCTTTCTTAGTCTCTAATTAGCTAGAAATTAATATCGTCTAAGACTTCTAAGCTTCTAATTAGTCGAAAGTAGTTTCCGAATAATTCGATACTAAGTCGTTTTTAGAATTAATTAGAATTATATCTATTTTAGGTATTAATTCGTATACTTTAATATCTAGCTAAATTAACTTAATCGATAGTAATTTATTATCTTTAGATAGAAGTAGTAAAAATATCTCGTTATCGTTAAAAATAACGTCTTATATTTATATAATCTAGTCTTTATTAGATCGCTAGATTTAAAAGATATTTATTAAATCGTACTCGGCGAGATATTTAATCTACGCGCGTTATTAAAGTTTATCTTTTTATAAAATATTATACTATAATATATAGACTTTATAGTCGTATACGTATATATACGAGATATTAGGTCGTTATTTATATAGTATTTCGAACGGCGTTTTCTAGCTAAGCGTATAAGATAATAATCGATTTAGAATATATTCTACGATTTTTACTATCTTAGACTATAGATTCTTTAGTAGATTTATATATAGACGTATTATTTAAGCTATATTAATAAGTAATTAGTCTACTCGCTTCGTATAACTATTTTAAGCGAGAGTATATAGTATACTTCGTTTAGTTATTAGATCTCTATCTCGTACGTTATTATCGTAGATCTTCGATAGCGATCTTTCTCTATCTATTCTAATAAACTTAATATTATAGCTATATCTTATATAAATTATATTTATAAAGTCTTAAACTATTTAGAATAATTAATACTTTCGTAGATATATATAGATAAAATATATTCTTATATAGTAATCTCTAAAATAGCTAATCTATTTATCTTCGTTATAGACTATATTAAGAGATATTAAGTCGTACGAGACTCTATTAAATAGTCTCGTCGCTAATTCTTCTTATAATAAGTTTCGAGAGATAATCTAGATTACTTTTAATAATCGATAAGGCTTATATTAAATAGAAGTAATCTTCTTAATCTTCGGAAGTCTAGTTACTATATTTAGTAGGTACCGAAGCGCTTTATATTCTATATACTCTATAATAGCGTATAGTCTATCTAGAGAGTCCTTATAGGGAGGCTTATCTCCTTAAGCTATAGTAGCAGTAGTAGCGGAAGTCTATCTTATCGGCGCTAACGCTATATCGGAAGCCGCCCGCGTATAGAGTATTACGAGAGAAGCTAACGGTCTTATAATAAAAGCTTCTCTAACTAATCTCGATACCGTAGTATTAGAAGTAGTCTTTAGGATTATAGAAGAAGAAGAAGAAGGAATAATTATAGAGTCGGATATATATAGTTATTAAGACGCTAAGATAGGGTCGTCGAAGAGTATCTAGTAACTATCTTTTCTCTATACGTAGTATAAATACTCGTTATTTAGTATTAAGGCTTTATCTAGTATAATATTCTAGTTAATATTCTTATTATATAAGTAAGAGAGCGATACTAGATTTATTATAAACCCTAGAATAAGAGCGACGTCGAGTAATATAAGTCTCTTAACTCCGTTTTTAATAGATATACGTAGTTTAACGCTTCTAAATACTTTAATAGAATATTAATTTATCCCTATAATAAGAATATCGATATCGGTCGCTTCTTTAATTCTTATAAAGTTCTCTAGCTTATTATATATATATATATCGGATCCGAAGTCGAGTATCTAGTAATTCTTTAACTTATAATTAGTTACGATAGTATATAAATATATAATAAATACTCCGAGTATTAGTTCTTCTTACTATTATTAATTATTCTTACTCTTTCTCTTATTCTTATTAATAAGTTATTTAATATACTTATATAAGATCTTATTATTATTTAATTTAGTCTATACTTTATAATTAACTTTAGAGTTTAGAGTCTAGTTATTCGATTATTATAAAGAATTTAGATAATAGTACTCGTTATAGAAGTATTTATATCTATAGATATACTTAGATTTCTTCTATTACTTCTTTTCTTCTTTTAAAGTACTAAACGCTAAGTATAATACTACTTTCGCTATTAATTTCTTCGAATTATAATATACGTCTTTAATTATATTAATAAGATTATATAATAATATATATTCTATTTCTCTTTAGTTATAGAACTTAGTAAGTTCCGAACCTACTATACTCGAATATAACGATTATATAGTAGTAAGAAAGTTAATTTATACTATATCTTCTATAGCTTCTATTATATATAGAGCCTTATACTACTTATATAATAACTTCTATTAATAGAACTATATCTCTAAATCTTTACTTCGTAATACTTATTTTAAAGTATACTATCTATTTACGAGACTTTACCTCTTTATCGCGTCTAAAGATTCTAGATAGTTTCTTAATATCTTTAGTCGACGATAAAGTATAGACTTATCTTCGTAATATAGACGGTTAGATAGAAATATTATTCTATTAAATCGATTATTAAGACGTTAGATTAGAGTAGTCTATTATCGATATAGCTTTAATTAACGTTAGTAGTCTTTATCTTTCCTATCTAGCGCCTATTTCTCCTTCTATATAAGGATATTTAATTTAATATAGAGAGGTAGTTTAAGTAGCTCTAGTAATAGAATCGGTTTAGGTTAGGAGAGGTTAATATACTACTATAATCCGTTAGTCTATACTTTACTTTTAAAGACTCTATACTAGTTATCCTAGTTATTAAGAGTACTTAGAATAGAAGTAGTTCTAACGAAGATAGTAGACTCACTCTAAGAAGAGCGAGTCGACTCCTTATAGTATACTACTATTATTTCGATTACGGTAGAGAATAATTCTATTAATACTATTAATTAATTCTCGTATTAGAGTATAAGTATTACGAATAAATATATTCGGTTATTAGTCGTTCGTAGGGTAGTTAGTCGTAAATCGAGCTTATAACTATTAGTAGGTGCGCTAAAAAAATATTATATTTACTCTCGCTCTATCTACTTTATAGTATATAGAGCATTTCTATATATACTATAGAAATCGAAGAGAATACCGTATCTTATACGATCTATAGATTATTCTAGAGAGTGTTAAACCTCGTCGTCGACGTCGTTATCGAGCGTTATTTAGGGTCGGTAGCGAGATTTAGGAATTGCAGCTAACGTAAGTGTTCCTTGGCAGTGGGGCATCGGAGCCGACTGTGTACAACACAATCAAATTCAGGCCTGAATCAGTGGCTTGGCCAGGAATCCTAGTCGAGTTCCTTGCCGACCGAGGTTAGCTCGACGGGCGCCGAGTGAGCTAGATCGTGTTAGCGCTCGCTATGAGTTTGGTTCTGATGGAGAGGGGCGCAAGAGGGGTCGAGGGGTTACAATTTTGGACCCAGGCTAACACCCGCTAGGTCGTGCCAGCATCAACACGCATTTAAGCCTTAAGTACTCTATACAATCTGCGGCTTTCAGCATAGTTCATTAGGCCGTCAATAGGGTTGTTTGTTTTGACCCCAACACACCTCTTCCGCGAGTTCATGCCCAGGCTGTATAATCTCACCACTGCCACCAATCTCGAAGCGAGGCCCTACTTGTGAACCTCAACCACACCGGCAAGGCTACCAGGATCCATGGCCTGGCGTGCTTCAGATCTCTTCTAGTTCACTCATGTGGCGCCCAGTTGCATTGCTGGTTGACATGCTTCGAAATCCTCCGACACAACGTCAACTGAACTTTGAGGGTATCGTCATTGACTGCAGGCGGAAAGGGATACAGTATATGCTTATCGCAAAACGATTCTCTCCTTCTTCTGCAGAGTTCACATCCCACATTCATGGAGAGCGATCAAGGAAGAATCGACCATGGGTGATTCATGGTGTTCCCATCGGATTCCAGAACCGATGTTCGGTGTTTCTCACCTTCACAACCCTGTAATCTTATTTATCGACCACTATTCCTGTCGACCTCGGACTTTTCGGGATGGCCGTTAGCCCCTGAAACAAAACGGCCTGCAACCCCCACAAATAGACTTTGAATCCTGCCGGGGTCGCAACGGTCGAATAATGGTGATTGTGATGGACTCGAAGCGAATGTCCATTCCTGAAGTCTGACTGGAGAGCGGCTTGGCCTGATTCGGCTGCACAGGTAAGCCACTTTCCCATGAATAATGATGCAAAGGGGCCAGGTGAGTCTTCGACAGCTTGCTTGTTGATCATGCAGATGCGGCTCCGACAATTTAGATTCCGTTTGGCGCAGCTACGACATGCTTGCTGACAGTCTTATGAATGTCAAGGACGGCCATCGTTGGGAGGGGAGAGACTGTCGAGAGAAGATCAATTTTGAAAGAACAGTAAGATGTCAAGCACATTGCCCGGTCGTTGTCGCGGCCCCTTCTCGGGCGTACGAGCTGCACACTCCCGGGTGAAGTCGAAAATACCGTCGCAAAGTCGATACGGCCAACAACTGGGATGAGTGCCTCTCCAACGCGAAGTCGAAGGCTGTCGGTGGTATTAGGGCGTCAGAAAGGTAGGAAAGCGGTATTTCATCCGGCAGGTACTTGGCTTGCCGAATTTAAATCAACGGTAAGGCAGTCACTGTTGCTATGTATTCTTTTCGTTCTTGTCGTTGAAGGCCTCCCCAGCCTCAGCCTTGTCATGGGTCAACATGCGGAGCCTTACATGGCATCAAATCACCCTTACTCTACTTGGGCGACCCGCTGCCGTCAACACTGTTCAGGCTCTTTTCAGGCTTCTGAATAGGTTCACCACGTTCAAACTTCAACCATTTTTATCTGCGATTATCCGAGACACCGCTCGATTCTACTGAAGCCTCAGTGAACCGGGAGTCTCAGAATGGAATCTCCCTGTTTGTCCAGCCAGAAACAATTGTAAGACTCTCTGGTCAACTTCACCGTGGACGATTCTTGCAGCAACAATGCTATCAACAGGTTTCACTGCAGTGGTTTCAATCAAGTATTATTGATGTTCAATGCTCAATAAGAACACAATCGGAACAGACTATACACTTAGCCGGTCTTCTCCTCATACCTGTCCGTTGATGCGAATCTATCATCTCTTCAAATCAACCTTTCCCTACACTGACATCCTCCTTCTCGCCCCTTCAAACTTGAATCAAATTTCTCTATTCTCATATATCATTTCACGCTCAGCCTCAAGGCGCACCATCGGTGCTCGGTAGGCTCTCTTCTTCTACCTGCTTCCCTACCCAGATCAGCCTCAACCCTTTGGCATTCAAGCTTCACCCAGTCTTTCTCCTACGTTTAGCATCTGCCCTTTTTAATCGATCTCAGCCATTCCAGACTCGTGGTCAAGAGAGAGACTTGAGGTTCACTTCACTCCTTGCCCAGTCTGATTCACTTTCACCGATCTTACCAATCCCGACCCTGGTCCAATCCGACAAAGCAAAACTAGACTCAGTCCAGACACCTCTCTTCCACAACGAGTAGGGGAGGCAAGGTCAGAATGGGTCTCCACTACTGTCTAGAAGGACTCAGATCCTCCTACCTCCGCTTGGCAACCCTAAGAAAAGTCGCCGCGACAAGGGGTGACATGGAATTAGAGAGCATTATCACCGAGCTGTCGATTCGAGCCTCCAACGTCGTGTTTCCTATGGTCTGCCTGCTCGACACGATCTACCGTGGCAGACCGGTTGGGCATGGTTTCATGGTTCATCATCAAAGTGAGTGGTGGTCTACAACACTAACGTATTTTCTGCCCATGTGCGTGTTGGTGTTCTGTCATATTACATCCCTCCAAGGAGATCCCCCTCTCCCTGCAAGATCCATGTCGATAAGTGCATGTGCATCCAGTCGTATCCTCACTGCATTTAAGATACAGGCGTGGTTTGAATTATGCAAGCAACACCCTTAATCGAGCTACATCATACATGATCGACTATCCTCCATCTGCCCGTACCCATCGCCGTACCCACACCCTTATATGTCCTCAGCGTGACTATTTCAGTCTCAGCCTCGAAGATGCCACTTGTTCCCGATCTGACTCTGTTGTTGATGTGAGGATTACTAACCAGGTCGTCCTTCCTCCTTTGTTTCTAGCCAAATCCGAATCTCAACCTCAATCCCAACACTATCCCTATAACCACGACCACGACTCGGATGTCGACACCGATAGCGACTCCTATGACTACGACACTGACCACGATAGCGACTCCTATGACTACGATACTAACCGCCACGACTCCGATTCCAATTCCGATTCCAACCACCAAGCCCACGACGACACCGACACTGACAGTCGCTCCACTGACACCGAGACCGACACTCCCAGCACCGACACCGACACTGATAGCGACAGTGACACAATAACCACCACTCTCTCACCCACAACCATCACCCGCAGAACCAACCCAGATCCACTCCTTCTAGCCTACTTCACCACCCATCTCCTCCCCCCCAGCGGTCTTTTAGCCCATCTCCCCACCGCCACGACCACACCCACCCAACTATTCCACACCTACCGCGCCATCGGATCGACTACTCTTGACAACTTTGAAATTCGTGTCCACCGCGCCGTGGTGGCGCTGGAGATGGAGATTAGAGAGTTGGAAGATATTGTTTGTGGCTGAGACTGTTCTTCGGCTTCAGGTGATCCGTTGTAAGCCTCGCAACTGGACCCTACAATTGGTAAGTGGGAGGAGCGGTGGTCCATGGAGGTTACTGAAGTTGACGCCGCCATGGTCGTATTCAACTCAAGTCTGCGAAATGAAGCGCAGCTAATGGAAAATCAGAGTGGTTATGGTATCGAATGGAATGGCAAGACAATGGCCATCATGAGGGCTGAGGCTAAGACTCAAAGCGACTAATTAGCTGGGACTTGGGGATGGGAGAGTGATGAGACTGTGCGATTGGGAATTTGGGATGGGGCGCGCGTGTTAGTGATGGCTTGAGCCTGAGCATCCCCAGGCAGTCAGGTCCAGCTGTGAGTGTAGGTAATGGAATGGAATCGACTATCCTATTTTATTCTATCAAGCCATTGGCGGTAATATTGGCATTCGCAGTGGAGCTGGACACTCGTCACCGGTGAATGAGTACTAGACAGGCACAATAGCTATCAGAGCTGATTGACTCCGAGACCAAGAATGGAAGAACAGAACAAGCCTAAGGAACAATGAATGGCCTTGGTTATTACATCTGCATTTGCTATAACCGTATCACTCTATCACTCTATCACAGCTAGTCCGACTGTCTTTGTTCCTATCGAAACTTATTCCGCTATCTATTCTCCTGTCCCTTCTTCTTGTGTAGACTCTCATCGACATCAACCTGCACGGTCTCGACTGCATTCGATTTCACCACCACTGGCACTTTGACATTTTCCAATCGCCATTCCATTCCAGGGTACGAGTCGCTCATGACCAAAATGTCCAAGTTGACGATGGGATGTGCCGGTGTGACGCTTCCGCTGCTAGTACTAGCACCAGCAGGAGCTGTTTCGGCCACAGCCTCAACAGGAACCTTCAGCCTGACATTGCTGACCTCCGTAGCTCTGCTCTTCGTACTCCCATCTGCATTCCTCGTCTTTGTAGTCCAATTGGCCCTTTTCAATGCCAGAATATCACCACCACGACCTTTACCTTCCGCAGCAGCAGCAGGAAGAACAACGACAAAGTACCCTTCGGTTTGCGGCTTAGGAAACCTAGGCGCATAAATCCTTGCCTCCGGGTCAAGAAGACGATTCCCTCGTCTCATAGTCACCTGGAGAGAGTCGGTATCTCCACTCGCAGTCAACGTAATATCCGGCAAGGCGTTGACAGCTTTCACAAACTGTGAACGAACGCTGGACGACTTATTGATTCCAAACACATTCATCAGCCCATCTATTGTCTTGGGCCCGTGCCTGCTCGCCAGAACTGCCGTGGTATTGAGATCCTTGGGCACTTTGCCATCAAGACTCGAATCGAAAATTTCCGAAATGCCAGAAAGGATGCTCAGAGGATAATCCTCAGGCCAGCGGGCGGATTTGATACATTGCAGCAATCGGACCATTTGCACGACAGCATCGAACTTGTTGAGTTCGGTCATGACATCAATCCCGGCCTGGATGATACGGATTCCTTGGTCCAACACGGAGATCTGATCTCCCACATAATCGCTGATGGGGAGGTCGACACGAGACATGAATGCTTGAATCAGCAGGAAAGCCTTGACGTGCGGATCCCACATTGGCAGACCATCTAGCAGTCCTGGAGTGTCAAGAGGAAGATTCTTGGCCAGCTCGGCATTGATGAGATCTTCATTGTGGCGCACCGGAAGGTCGTCAAACTCGGTCGCGAGACTGATCCAAGCCAACACTTCTGCAAAGGTCGTGTTGTTCCGGGTTTTGCGGGCCCTGCCCAAAAATGTACGGATGGTCAAATGGCTCAGATAGTAGTACGACATGATCTTGCCAAACGGTGTGCTGTCGACGTCGCCGTTATTGTGCACAAGAACACATTCGCTTTCGGCCAGATCGTCCAGGGACTTGTCGACCAATGAGACCATGTAATCTGCGGCTTGCTGTCTGGCGGAAATTTGACTTTCCTGCTGCTCTTCCGCCGACATTTCTAATCCGTAGTAAGTCGGGTTCTTGTGCAGCCGGCGGAAAAAGAACGTCCAAGTCAAATAGTCCAAAGCGTCTTGTTTCGTCGTGATGACCCCGGCAGAAACTTCGGCGCCCAGATGGTTGTCCAGCACTTTGTGCAGAGTACTCTCGACCGGAAACCCGGTGTGCAAGAAATGCTTGTAGAACGCCTTCTTGGAGTCCTGCGTAAAGATCCGAGCAATCCCAGAGGTATCAAACTGCGGCCGGCCGGCTCTTCCTAGCATCTGGAGTACATCGGTCAAATCCATGTCCTTGTAGCCCTCGATTTTGGCGTCAAAATAGTGTGTGCCCTTGACAACCACGAGATGCGCCGGAAGATTGACTCCCCAGGCCAATGTCGACGTAGCAACCAAGATTTGGATCTTGTTGGCCGCAAACAGTTGTTCGGCCAGCGTTCGATCCGATTCCACCAATCCAGCATGGTGCAGTCCGATCCCGAAACTCAACGCTTCTTTCAGTGCCGAATCTTTCACCGCGGATAGTGTATGCTGCAGATCATCTTCCGAGTCGAAATGCAGGAATCGGCGCGGATCTTCTTCCATCCCGCAGAAATTGATCAAGTCTTTGGCAGTCAAGCGTGTCTGTCTTCGAGACGCCACAAAGACGATGACAGGCTTTTCAGGGCTGTGGTTCTTGATTGCCAAGTATGTCGGTCGATTCATGCTTTGCATGAGAGGACAGAATCCACGTTGCTCGGGAAAGCCGTCGATGTAGATCTCCAGTGGAACTGGTCGTACACTGTGACGGAAGTTGAACAGACCCTGGTTGTTTCCGGGTTTCACTCCCAGCCAGTTGGCCAGGTCTGTTGCATTGGCACATGCGGTGGACATACCAACTAGCCTGATGGAGCCCGTCTCTGCTTGAGTTGCGATATAGTTCATCCGCGAAACAATGATTTCGAGAATCGGTCCACGGTCACCACCGAGGAGATGAATCTCATCGATGATGACGAGCGAAACCTGTCGGACGTAGGATCTGGTTTGCCAGGATCGAGAAATACCATCCCATTTCTCGGGAGTGGTGATGATGATGTCGGCATCCCGGATGGTCCTTGTATCTGGAGTGTTGTCGCCGGTCAATTCAACGAGTTTCAGACCCAGCGGGATAGCCAATCTTCTGCGCCAGTCTTGGACTCTTTCGCGCACCAGGGCCTTCATCGGAGCAATATAGACAACCTTGCTTCCTGGATGTTCTCGGAAGGCCCACCACATGGCTAATTCGGCCGCGACAGTCTTGCCTGAACCGGTGGGCGACCCCAAAAGAACATTGTTGGCTGTGTGATAAAGGGTGTGGAAGATTTGCGTCTGCATGGGATTGAAGAATTGGAAACGTTGTCCGTACAATTCCTCAAGTTGGGGATTTTTCAACGCAGTGATAGGAAGTGGCTGCAAGTCAAGTAGATCTGTGTAAACGCTCTCGGTGTCTGGACGGATAAGATGCTGGAACGAAACAGGATGCACCGTCTCTGCCCCCAACCACCGGTCAGAGATGACCCGGACGTAGATTTGTGATGGTAGAGGGTCGGCCAAAGGAATTGTGAAATTGAGCTCGTGGTTGTCATGCATCTTCTTACGACTGAGGATGAAGAACTCGTGATGATATATCTCCGAAGTATCCGAATTTTCAACCCAGACCCAGTAGGACTCGGATGTACCGTGATGCCGATCGTTCCAGACAAACTCCGGATATAGGTACAGGCGCATTCTGAGCACGTCCCGATTAAGAGGTGCTATTTCGGCTTCGACCGCTATGGTGGGAAAGTTCTCGAGCAACTTGGATATGGTATTGCCCATCTTCTGGTTGTGGACGAGGTTGCCAATCTCGGCCGATTCCATTTCTCGCAGGCTTTCAATGTTGGATGAAGGCGTTTTGTCGTCCAAATTCTTCAGCACCGACATTGGGAGATCGAACTGGTGGAAAGGATGTTGGAAAGGCCAGATTTGCTTCTCAATGGCTTTGCACATGGAGAGTAAGACCTGGCATTGGTAGCCCCAACCACGGTTCAACGCAATCATAAACAATGCTCGACAAATTCGAGCAGCATTTTGAGCGACATATGCCAGGTCCGAAGCCAAGGCAAAATCTTCCAGCTTTGCTCTCGAAATGTGCGACTGAAGGAGAATGTTGGTTTTGGCATGGTTTTCGATAACTCTCTGTTCCTTCTCGTCCTCTGAACTCTTGGGAGCAGCCCTTCTCTCCTCAACCTCACATGCAACAGCTTCCTGACGCAGTCGATGTAGCTCTTGAGCTTCGTTCTCTCGAGCCTGGATATTGTCAAACTCGCCGCTCATGCTGATCATCTTCAATACATCCGCCTCGCTGGAATTCGGGCGCATCATGGCATTGAAGATCTCAATACTGGTATGAAGGACATAAAATTGGCTGGCGATCCGGCCGACATCTTTCGCTCGAAGTTCGTCAGTCCGTTCGTTGAAGATGATCATTTGATTTCGATGCAGTGTTCTTGCAGCCTCGATGATCAGTTTCCGGCGACGCTGGAACAGCTGAGGGTCGTCCTGGTATTCGTTCCAGTCAATACCGTAGGCTTCCGGCTTCTGTCGCATGCGAACAAACAAATATGAGTAGCCGAGCCATGTAACACCTTCTTGCACTGATGTCACTGTGCCCAGACTGATCTCAGCATTGAGGTTGTCCACCAGTTTCTGAGAGAATCTTGACTCTATCGGCCGTTGCTGGGTCACAGCGGACAGGTAATGCTGCAGCTTGTCCTGAGTAGTACATATGTAGCCGATACCACTGTCCTGGAACTGAGGACGACCGGCTCGACCAAAGATTTGTAGGACATCCAGAATTCCCAGATCCACAAACTTGCCAGCTTCGGCACTGTAAAGTTGGGTTCCTTTGATGATCACGGCGGCGGCGGGAAGGTTGACACCCCACGCCAGTGTAGCAGTACAGCACAGGACTTTGATAGCACCATCAGAGAATATCCTCTCCACAAAGTTACGGTCTGTACGAGCCATGCCGGCATTGTGGCAACCAAATCCCTTCGGCACAATATCACGAAGTTCGCGACCACGTGTCGTCTTCAAATCGGCCATAGCTCTTGTATAAGCAGGACTGTCCGGGCTCGGGGCGAATAGCTCTGCGCAGCCATCCTCGACCGCCATGCTGTAAAGTGTCCGAGCAGCCAAGACAGTGTCTTTCCTCGAATGAACAAAGACCATCACCTGCTTGTCCTCCTGTAAGAGCTCCTTGATCTTTTCAAAGGTCACGTAATCAAGATTCTCTCTCTGCATCTTGCTTCCAACCTTGCCTTTGACGCCGATGAAATGTTGTTCTAGTGGAACGGGTCGGAAGGAGGCGTCGAAGTAGAACAGACCGGCATTGAGATTGACCTTGAGAAACTTTGCAACATCAACATAGTTGGGTAGAGTGGCGGACAGCCCGACTATTCTGATTAGTGACTGCGTACTTTCGACCTGGCGTTCGGTCCTGGCCACTAGGGATTCAATGACGGCGCCACGATCGTCGTGGAGCATATGAACTTCATCAATGATGAGGAGCCGGACTTTTTGTACCAGTTCAGTATCACCCGTACTCTTTCGAGTCACGACGTCCCATTTCTCAGGGGTAGTAACAATGATCTGGGTGGCGGCAATCTCCCTTTTGGTGAGTTGCATGTCGCCGGTCAACTCTCGCACTTGAATGCCCAACCACGCCAATCGCTTGCCCAATTTCTCCGTCACCTCGGCCGCAAGAGCCTTCATTGGGGCAACATAAACAATTTTGAAGTCATCGGCCATGACAACGAAGTCGGTGGCATCAGGCTCTTCGATTGGATTTGGAACCACATTCTTGGATATTGTCTGTAAAATGGTGAGCATGGCAGCATCTGTCTTACCAGCACCAGTGGGAGCACAGATTAACATGTTCTCGGAGGTTGTGTATGCAACCGGATACAGTAAGCTTTGCATGCGGTTCAGACTCTTGTAACCTTTGAATGTGCGTTGACAAAGCCCATCCATTTCGGCAATATTGACCAGCTTCTGACCCGCAGCAAGCGAGCCAACCTTGGAGGCCGGAATGGTGAATTCCTCGTATTTGGGATAGTCCTTTCTGGAACTGCCGACGGGCAGGGCGTACCGCTTTCCAGAAATATCAAGCATGTTTCCGGATCCGGCAGTATCAGACTTGTAGACATGGGGGTACCTGCGTTCACTACGGTCGTAGGCTGGAGCGAGAGAAGCATGTTTATGTTCATAGTCTTGCCGGCTCAAGGCAGCTTCGCGTTCTTGTCGAGTCTCAAGTTGTGCGAAAAGCCCATCTGTTTGACGACTAGTAGCAGTTGAAGCAGCCAAAATCTCCCTACGATGGGTGATGAGCTCGATGACCAAATCGAGGGCATCATATCCAACAATATCCGCAAGAGACATTTGCAATTCATCATCAGAACTGTCTGAAGCAAGTAGAGCAATGATCTGCTCTTCCAACTCGGAGGCATTTAGGCCAGATCTTGCCTGGGCGAAGGCAGCACATTTTCCATGTAGCCAGGCTCGGTTGAAGACTCCATCGACCACCTCTGGAGCCTTGTACCCATTTGTGGGCTCTTCGAAGGCATCGCTTGGAGGGCTTTCATCGAGTGCATCGTCGACGTCCCAGATGTCATCGTCGAGGTCTTCACTCAATTCTTCATCCAGATCGATATCGGAACCATACATTTGCGAAGCGTCGTTCAATGGTGGCAGTCTCAGCTCGGCAATGGCCTGTCTCATGGCGGCCATCTGAGACAACCATTGTGCTTCTGATTGAAAGGCTGATTGTGACATGATTGCCTCGAGTCAGGGCAAAGCCTGGAAATCAAAATCTGGCGTTACGTCTGGCAGAGCGAAGGAAAAGATCCGACGTGAATTGGGAGTGGTGAAAACTCGATGGATGACTCGCACGATGCCGACCTGACCAAATCAAGAAATATATGCTGCCGCGGAGATGATAGCAAGACCTGAAACCCGTCGGATCAAGCAGGAAACCCTCGTCCTCTGGCAACAACGAAATTTGTCTCTTTTTCCTGTAGAAAAGAATGACTGGTACTTGTAGTTCTAGTGTCTGTGAGAGGCGACGACTCCAACTCCGACTCCGAGTCGCCATGTGACGCGATGTTTCGAGCCTCGCTGACACTTGTCTGGAGGCACCGCACCGCATTCACTTTACTGCTTCACTTCTCCCTTTCTAGTACAGTACTATACTACATTGTCGCCTGCTGATTCCAACAGATCTCTTGAGAATATTGGCCACAGTCTCCTTGAAATTCCCGATCCTGCCGACTGAATTTATTGCACCCAACACCCCCCGCCCCTTCGCCTGCCGATATCCCCTTGAACCACACCGCCGCCATGAAGATCTACTATATCGGAGTAAGGCAACGGCATCCCTACACTCTTCAGTGCCGATCGTATACAAGCATGCACTGACACGAAGCCTGACCAGATCCTTCGAAATGACCCGGTTCCCGCCACCGAGTTGGCCGTTGAACGCGACCTATCGTCCTTCTCCCGCTTCACTCGAGACAGGTGTGTTTACCTTACGTTCTAGCGCATGTCACAACCAGCCAGACCTCTTGAAGATCTAACAAGTTTTTATATGCTCAGTTACGGCGAGTTCATGACCATGTTCGCAAAGACAGTGGCGGAACGCACCAAACCGGGCGTGCGCCAGGACATTGAAGAGAAATCATATACCTTCCACGCCTACGGCTCGAGTCAGGGTGTGGCAGGCATCATCATCAGCGACGCCGAATACCCAGCCCTAGTGGCACACCAAGTGCTTTCCAAGATCGTTGACGAGTTCACTTCACAAAACCCGCGGTCCAGCTACGCCAGCCCCAGCGTCACGAGTCGACCGTTCCCCCAGCTCAAGGAGTACTTGGTCAAATACCAGGACCCGCATCAGGCAGACAGCATCATGAAGGTCCAGCGTGAACTGGACGAGACCAAAATTGTGTTGCACAAGACCATTGAGAGTGTTCTAGAGCGTGGCGAGAAGATTGATAGTCTGGTAGCCAAGAGCGACGGACTGAGCGCGCAGAGCAAGATGTTCTATCAACAAGCCAAGAAGCAGAATTCTTGTTGTGTGGTTATGTAAAGGAAAGTCGCTGCTGGGCTCGTGTTTTGGTTTTGTGAGCGATACAATGGTCCAAATGGCCTCAGGATGCTATGTCACTGGTCACGGTGCTGCCCGTCTCCTCTGTTTGTGGTTATGCATTACTCTTGATTGCGAATCAGACCTCAAATGCATTGAACATGTCGCTGCTTGGGTCGGTCGGACCTCGAGGCCAGAACCACGGTCTCAACTCCGAATCAGCGATATGATCAGCTCGGTTGGTCGATGGGCAACGATAACTATCGCAGCGGGCATCGGATGTGTCTGGGTCATTGCCACACAATATCTGAGGATGACTACCTTTATTGGGCTCGACTCAGATGTCTAAGGAGCAGCAATAAGAGCGGGCGTTCGGCGTCCAGTCAGTTATTGAGGCAGTCAAAGCAATTGCTATCATGTCAACGTTATGAGCTCTCAGGTCCGGCGTGTTTGGGGTGTCAACATCCCAGACTCAAGTCGCTCTTGTGCCGCCTCCCATTTGATGATTGCTATATCTTTTCCATCTTGGTTCTCCTTGTCCCCTTGGTGTTCATGCCCCGGAATTCCGGATTCTTCAGTCTCAGCAGTTTTGCATCAGGAGAACAGTCTTGACTGTGGACTTCGGCTTCCTCTCAATCTTCTCCTGATCATTGTATTTCTTTCCTGAGTCTTCTCTTTTATCCTCGTTGTTCATCTCGCCCTTTTCGTTCCTCAACATTTGTCCATCTCTCGACTGCTGACCGGCATGTCCGCAAATCAAAACCACATCTTTCAGCAGCAAACGCGGCACCTCCAAGCGACTGAAGTACAACCTATATGTATTCAGTAGTACAAATCAATAAGAGTCCCTCGTCTTCTCTGTTTCAATGTCTCGTTTCTTTCTTTATCCTTAACAGGAAGACGTGTCTACCTACTACCTACCTACCAGTTGAGGTACTGTACCGTATCTACCAGGTACTTCACATCAGTACCTAACCTTTCAATCCCCATAATCAATCATTCCTTCTTTCCACCAGCAAGTTTCACCAGCCTCTCCCCATCAACCCTCATCCCGACCCACTCATCCAACATTTTCGCCCCAACCTTCTCCGACTCATAAAACTCAATACTGGGGCGATTCCACTTCAAAACACTCCAATCCAATCTTTTGCAATTGAGTCTCAAACACTCTCTCGCCAACGCCTGCAACAGCGCCACCCCGAACCCTTTTCCTCGGTGTGACGGGCGCACGAACAGGTCTTCCAGGTATATTCCTGGCGCGGCCGTCCAGGTGCTGTAGTTGTGGAAGTAGAGGGCCATACCGGCGACGGAGGGACCGGAGGTGGTGCTTGCACCACCGATGGTACCGGAGTTGTTGACATCGCTGTCGGTGGTATTGTTGTTGTGTCCGGTGTCACCGTCACCTCCGGTGCCGGTACCACCATTGTTGTTGTCCAAAATCAACAAGGTCTTCGCATACCCCTCCGTAAACTCGCCCTCTTTCGAGGGATCAACAAACGACAACGTCTCCAACAACGACTGCTCCGTGGCATGAACTTGGTCCAGTGCTTTTTCGTAGTCTGCTAGTTCGCGGATGAGACTTAGGATGACTGGGACGTCGGATTGGCGGGCGTGCCGGATGGTGTAGGTTTTGGTTTTGGTTTCTGCCATGATACCGAGTACCTGGGTACGGAGAGGAGCGAAGTGGTGAAGTGGGTATTATACAGAGTACTTGAGTTGGTACGGACTGGAGAGAAGTGAAGTGAGGTACTGCTAGTACTAGAGGTACTTTTGGTGATTTGTGGTATGTCCTGTAGTAGTTGTAGTTGTAGTCCTTCCACTCAGTGAAAGTTGGTCACAGGTTGATTGATTCTTTCTGCTGCGATGTTGACTTTGCTTTAGCTCCTGAGAATGAATCGGCTGCCCAGGGGATTTCGAGATTCTGCGATCCTTTGAGATCTTGAGGACCAGTACTTATACTGGCCCAGAGGTTGGTGGGGAGAGAATTCAATCAGAGAGGATCACTGCTGTCTCTCTGTTCTGTGGAGATCAAGGATAGTCAGAATGAAAATTCAGGACCCAAGGTGGCTCGGAGGAGGAAATGATACATGTAGTCACGGTTCGTACTTTACCTACACGAGACCGAAAACCTGCCAGTGGTATATAATAAGACCTGGCATGTAGTCATGAACCTTTGCCAGTGAAGGGCGTGAAGTGGAGCCTGAGGCGGCACGAGTGCCACTTTTGGCTATTTCCTTACCGTAGAGACCGGGCCGATTGACTGGCAAAGAGACTCGACAGCTACTAGTACTGTAAACTTAGGACAACGTAAAGTGAACAGAGACATATATCAAACCGCGCTGCTACCTCATCATATTGACGGTAGTTAGCTACCAGTATCTCCCAGTATTTGTGGGTACCCTGACCTCCGGCCACGGCATGCAAGTTGAACCATGCAAGACTCGAAACAACCCAAATCAGTGCACCTTGCTTTCCTCTGTCCAATACATATCAACAGAGTCGAGTTTAATCTGGTCGTGTGCCAACCTCGCCGTGCGCCTAGTCCAAGCTAACTCCATTCATGAAATCGTAACATACATCATGCCAAAATTTTCTTTTCAGGACTGCGACTTCGCGCTCGATGTTCTTTGCTGGGACTCCGCTGATATTCTAATTGCTGCTGATGGTTGCCAAACCCTTGGTCGGGTTGCCAGCCCACATAACCCTGGTGGAACGGTGTCCCCGGAGGCAAGCCATATTGACCCACTGGGCCGTTGGGGTATGAACCGGAAGGTGGTCGATACATGCTTGCATTGTGCTGCTCTTGTTGTCTTCGATAGAGTGTAAATGTGAAGTTGTTGACAAGCAATCCAACAACAACCAGAGTGATGGTGAAGATCCTGCAACAGAATTAGTCCTTGTACACGTCGGTAATATCAGAGCACTTACATTGTTTTCAAGCTGATAGGCTCCACGAAACTGTTGAAAATCTCGGCAAAGGTATGTGCACTTAGTCTGGCTCGTTTGACCGCATTCGGATCGCGGTTCATACATAACTCCCAATTGCTGCAAATGACTTCGAGCGCTGGCAATCTGGTGTCCGCGCCACATCGATTTTCCACATAATTCTTCGAACATATCGCCATCTCGGCCAGCACTTCAGCCATAGCATCGTCACTGGCACGGTCCACATCTGCTCTTATAGTGGAATAGAATGACCAAAACATGTACAGACAACCACCTAGAATGGCGGCGTTGAAGAAGACCTGGAGGTATTTTGCGATGATCGAGGGGGCGTCAGGATATGTGTGGATGAACGTGAACAAGCCGGCAATCCAACCCACTTCTTCGACCTTTGGTGTTTTCTTTTTCGATGGACTGGGAGGAACGTCATCCTCACTATCGTCGGTTTGCTCCACGTCAAGTTTGCCAAGAAGCAACTGTTTGTCGAACTTTTGGGCCCGTCGTCTTTTCCTGTGTATCCGTCTGGCAATGGGATCGCCGTGGGGTTTCCGAATTTCCCCTCTTCCTGGGCTAGGAGCCCATCTGCCGTAGAGTCCAAACAACGAGCTGCGTCTCGGTTCTGGTTTGCGAGAACCGCTTTTGAATTCTATCGGGAGAGGCTTGGCCTCGGGTGTATCGTCATTGTCTGTCTGATCAAGCGGAGATGAGTTCTCAGGACCCGAGGAAAAGTCGATATCGAACGGCTTGCGAGGAGTGGTAAATGAGGGCGCGCGGAACGGAGATGCTGGAGACGGTGAGGCGGGAAGATTGGAAAAGAGGGACGGTGGATTGTTCAGATCGCGCGAGGCGGCGCTGGGAGTTTTCCTGGGAGAATCAAACTCGCTGTGAGTTCCTACTGAAGTTAGAATCGAGCGCATTGCAGTGAGAATAGTATACATACTCTTCTTGGCTTGGGCATCCATGATGTGCTTATGAAAGGGAGAGCTGGGATCGACGGGACCATGCCCTTGCCATTCAAAGTCCATGGGGCTTTCTGTACCGCGGAATGCCATGTTGCGGAAAGATCAAGTGCGCGTAAAGTAAACACAGAAATATGATTTACGGTACATCCCTGCCTTTGCTGGTGAAGATGGAGGGCTCCCGACGGTCACTGCAGATGGAGGCGGCCAAGCAAAAATACTAGCAACGTAAACAATGCACTTTTGACGCCGCCGGGGTCCATGCACCCACTGCCACTGCAACAGCCTGCGGCTACTGTTTAGTGCGCCTACTACCGAGTGCCCCAGATTTTGGATTTCTATCTAGATCTGGGTCTGGATTCCTTCAGTAGGTGCACGTCTTGAGCTCATTCCTTCGCTTCAAAACCCCCTACATGCCTCGAGAGCAGTCGGAAGAGGCGCAATGGTGGTATCATACAGTCTACTCTGCGGTTCAGAAGATCCCTTATGGTAAATGTACCAGTTACGGCCACCTCGCTCTCCTGGTGGGGTTTCCACGTCGAGCCCGTCAAGTGGGAGTCTGTCTCAAGCATTTGCCTGCCTATGACCCTAACGATCCCGAGAAGTTCTTCTTCCACGATGAAAACGTTCCATGGCAGCGGGTGGTCAATTCAAAAGGCGGGATTAGTCCTCGTGGGGATGATGGAGCCGCAGCGAACCGACAAGCAGAGAAATTACGAGAAGAAGGAGTAGAAGTGAATGATGCTAGAGGGATTGAGGAGATGACGGTGGATTTTGGAAGGTTTGGGTGGTTCCCACAGAGGCTTCCTGGAGAAGAGAGTGAGGATGACGACGAACAAAATGATGGATCAGTCGAGAGCTGAACAGGGTGTTGGCACAGACATCAGCTCTGACTTTTCCGCAGAGGTTGTTCTACCCGCTCAGCTCACGGCTATCAAGTCAGCCACAGGCACAATTCTAAGGGCTGGAGACGCTATGACTCTGCGGTGATACAGGGGACTGTCTACCTAAGTGTGACTGCTCCTCAATGAGCGGAGGCGTACAGACGCATGAGACATACTGGTGCCTTGCAGCAGACAACCTGAGTTCCAGCTGGTGTACCTACCTCCCTAGGTATGGTTTGGTCTGTGAATCTCCGCCTTTGAGTCATAACCGTACCATGACTCGAAGACCGGAGTGAGGATAGGCACACAGCGGCGGATGTCGAGATGCGGCTACAGCTGTTGCACACTGGCATTAGGATCAGGCCGCTGTGCTTCAAGTCGGGGATGGCATTTCACGCGCCGCTGACTAGACTCTGGGCCACTTTCGAAGAGCAGCTGGAAATTCTATAAACCTACGAGGCAAGTAGACAGGAAACCTAGGTACCTAGGTACCTAGGTACCTAGCTAGAAAGACTGAATATCCCACAAGGTACTGTGTAGGTATGTGTACAGCCTGAGGTACTGGGCCAGTGGTACCTACCTACAGAAACGTGTTCCAAAACGGCCGAACGCGGCGGCTCGCATTACAAAGCGCAGCGCAGCCAACAACAAGTAGAAATGAGCTCATGTTCCTTTGGATCTCTCGCAATAATACGTTGTACACTGCAAGGTACATGTACCTCTAATACTACTAGATACTAGGTAGTATGAGTATGAGGAGCAGCGATGTAGCCGTACACTGGCACTGGATGCTATGCTGTGCCATTCATCGTGGTGTATGTCATGTTTGATTACCTAACCGTGCACTCCGTCAGCACTCGTCGGTTGTTCTCCCCACCGAGTGCACCACAGCGATACGATCGTCCATAGCGATACGATCGTATATCTATAAATTCTCTATACTCTTTATTCAACGCGTATATACACCACTAATAATATCTACTAACGCTCAATTAATAGAGGAGAAGGTCCTTAACGCCTACGACGCGTATAATCGCGGCGATTATCCTAATATAAAGGCCGCCGCCGACGTATTCGCCGCCCTCGTTTAATGCGTACGTAGACGACTACGAGGTATACTAGGCGCCAGTATAAGAGGAGAATATAATAAGAGGCTCTCTAACGAGTAGGAGAGGGCTCTCTATACGCTTATAAAGCGCTACGACGAACTCGGCCTATCCCTAAGACCTCCGATAATTACTTAAATGGCAAACCGGATACTATAACTCGCGCAGGACGCGTACGATAACGACGATAGTTAATCCCGTATATCTTACGAATAGACGCGGCGCTTTCTTAATAGATATTCTAAGTTTATAGTTAAGAAGCGAAAGCCTATTAATATTTATCGATAGTCTATAGAAACCGAGTACTATACCTTAATCGTCGAGTACTTTTATTACTTCTAGACTATTAAAGAGTAATACGCTATTATTAACGACGATATATAGAATATAGACGAGATAGGCTTCTCTATTAGCGTTAGTAGAGCGCACTACGTTATTACTTAGCGTTAAAATAAGAATAAGCGTCTATACCTTCCTAATCCCGAAAATTAAGAGTATTATACGCTAATTAAGTTTATTAACGCCGTCGACGACTTTATCGATCTATTCGTTATTCTTAAAGGCGATATAATTAGCGAGCGCTCTATAACCCTAAGCCTACCTAACGAATACGCGTTAGTCTCCTCTAAGTCGAGTTACTTAAACGACGCTATACTACTTAAGTAGATATATTATTTTAATAGGAGAATAAAAGAGCGTATAAAAGGGTACTATAGGATATTAATAAGCGACGGCTTTAACTCTTATATCGAGTATAGCTTTATTAAATACTACTAGAATAAGAGAATTATACTCTTTTATCTATCGCCGTACTCGACGTATCTTCTATAACCTCTCGACGTCGTAGTATTTTAATCGTTAAAGTACTATTACGCGGAGTTAATAGATAGCGCTATACGATACGGAGATCTTACGTTTTAGTATTATAAGTTCTTAGAGAGTCTTTACTCGATTCGTACGAAGACGCTTTACTCGTTAACGATTCGCTTATTATTTAAGAAGATAGGATTAGTACCGTTTAATCCGAAGTAAGTACTCGATAGTCTTACTATCGAGAATAACTCTAACGAGAGCGACGACGACGACGACGACGACGACGACGGTCTCTAATACGTTAATAGTACGCCGCGGAAGAGCATAAATCAGCTTAATACGTACGCCGATATAATATCGGAGAACGTACGACTTAGACATAGGTATACTAACAGTTACGCTATTTAGTAAGTTTCGCCGCGCCGTAATTAAGCGTATATATATTAGGTAGGAGGCGCTCTACTAACTCGGCGAGACTAAGGCTGCTAAACGTGCGCGTACGTTACGAGAGAATCGACGACGTCGACGTATCGATACCTCCTTAATTAGCGTTATATACGTCGAGACGGCACGTTAACGCCTTCAGGCTCGTAACGACGCCGAAACGTTAGACTATTATAAGAGGCGTAAACTAGCGAAGAGACTACAAAAGCGACTCGTCGATATCGCTCTCGATATAGCGTAAGAGGTAGAGCGCCGACGACGTATACTAGAGATAGCTTAACGACGTTAAGATATACTTAATAGGCTCGATATTGTCACAGTTCTCCGCCTGTGCCGCACACACGTGACATGGAGCAGGCCTACCACGTGACTAGCACGTGCCTATGCTGCTGACTCAGCACGGAAGTCTTGGCACCGAGAGGGCTTGGCGCGCCTCGGTCTGTGTCTACCTCGCGCACCCGCGCAACTCTCCTTCATAGTCTTCCGT